TTCCGCCGTGTAACTCGGTGATTAGAAAGGAAAGGGCTGGCTTCTGCCCACCCGGGGGGGGGGGGCGGGCTCCGTCGTGTCTGTGAGGTTGGAGGCGTTTTGTCGTCACCTGCAAAAGTACGCAAGCAACGTTCACAGCTTTGGGGTGAATAGGATGGCATACCGCATACCGCATACCGCAAACCGCAAACCGCAACCGGGAATGGTTGGGCTTCGTTCAGGGCTCAAGGCTGACGGTGGCGTGCGTCTAGGGCGTGAGTAGCATACCGCAAGCCCCCCGAGGTGGGAAAGTTGGGTTTCCCACACCGCATTTTTGTCAAATGCCCTTGCTTGACGGAGGCATTTCCAGAGCCCAGCCAGCCCCAGACCAGCTGCCGAGCCGGGGGGGGGGAGGGGGCGTTTTGGGCGCGTTGCATGATGGGCAGCCCGGCTCGCCGGCTCGCCGAAGGGGTAGACTTAGCGGCGAAAGGGGAACAGTTAGCGGCCGAGATGGGCATCAATGACGGCTGCTGGGGGTTCTGAGGGACTCGGCGCGTAGGTATCGCCCATCGAGGCCAGGGGACTAGAGCATATCTACTGTATGTACCCTGCTTTTAGAGCATATCTATTGTGCCCCTGCTTTCAGAGCGTATCTGCTGTACCCTGCTTTGTAGAGCATGTCTACTGTACCCTCTTTTTTGCGGCGTGAGGACGGATGCAGGTGCGTGTGCAGTAGATACATGGATGGCTATGCATGCTGATCTGCCGCGCTTTTGTGCCGCTGCAGAGTGGTGTATCTGAAACAAGTGGGGACGGGGCTGCGGACGGAGAAGACTGCGCAGCGGACGATGCCATGCGGACGCTGTGGAGAGTGCGTCTTTGCGTACGTGGGAGAGTTGAGACATGGCTGCAGACGGAGTAAACTGCGCAGCGAACTATGAACTATGCTATGTGGACGCTTCAGCGAGTCTTGGAAGGGAGTGGGGCTTTGCGGCGTTGGAGAGGTGGTGTGGAGAAGAGGTTCGTCTAGAGAAAGCTACGTTAGAGTGTGTCGAAAGCAGCAACGCCAATCACACCATTTCCCGATTCTCAGGTCGAGGAGCCGGATGGGGGAATTGAGCTGAGCTGGATCGGCGGGGTGCGCGTTGAAGCGTGGAATGTCGTTATCTGTGGTCAGAGTAGACAGTCTGATGCTAGGTATTTCGCAACCTCGTCACGGACACTATCCATGGCCTGGCCATCGCGCGCGCTGTTTCATGATGGCTCGAAGCAGGTTTATCGAAGAATAGTCGTTGCTAGCGGTGCTTCGCGGCCTATAGATAACACTATCCGGATCCCAGTCGATATGCGATGGGTGCGTGCAGTCCGGCTTCTTCCCTCTCGCCCTCGTGATCGCGTCTCCTCATCCGAACTCACGATAAGATGATCCCAGCGAAGCCTTCTTTCAACCCTCGAGGCTGCCCGCAGCTCAGCCATCCAGCAGCAACAGCCGCGGGCGAGAACGTGGACGCCCGGCTGCCCCAACGCATGAAGTGGTGATGGAGGTGGCCCGTGGTGGATGGGCGGCAGGGATGCGCGTCGGCTTGATGCCAGATTGTCGACATTGACCCTTCCCCGCAATCCTGCACGAGCGTCCCAGAGCAGCGCCGTGATAGGGTCCCGCGTGCAAGCCACCACGTGTGGTGTGGGTGGCTGACAGGCCGCGGCGCGGGAGTGGTGTGGTGGAGCGCGGTGTGAACGGTGAGGGTGGAATAGAAGGGGGGTTGCGCTTCTGTTCCATCTGCAGCCGCGTAAGCCGAGGCAAGGCATGGTTTGTTGATGTAGTGAGAGCGTGAGAGTGTGCTTTACGAGACACAGGCCGGTGAGGGAATCGAATGGGGGACTACGGAGTCGACTCCTCAGTGAGTGAGTGAGTGCGAGCAAGAGCAGGCTTTCGGGATAGTCGGAGACTACACATCAGCACTGCTTCGTGTGTGGCGAAGCGGACGCGATACTGCTCGAAGAAGACGCGATTTTCCTGTCTCAAGACCAAAAGCAGACGTTGACTGTCTCATCGTTCCGCGGGGCGTCGACCTAGAAGCAACTCCGGCACGCCCGCCGTCCGGACGTAGCATCCTTCGATGCAAGATCAATACGCCGTGCATGCGGATCGCGAGATTGACGACGCACGACACGGGAGAATTGGAATAGCGGAGAGAGAGACACGTGAGAGGGTTGCTAGAGGAGGGCAGCAGGGAACCAGGAATACGAGCTTCCGCCATTGGCATCCGTATCGAAGGCTGCAGAGCAAGGGTCTCGAATCCTGCGAACCAACTTCGCTAACACCATCTTTAGGCTTTCATCCATTCACGCATGTGCTCCCTCCAACATGCGGCGCGACGGGCGTAGGCGACTTCCGCCACCCCAGCCTCGTAGGGCCGCAGCCTGTCTCGAGAGAACGCCGCTATGGCTGCTGGGGGAGCCTCGTAGGGCTGCATGCGAGACAGCTGACACGCCTCGAAGCGATGCCTGCGAGCATACTTCCGTCACACGTTCGAGAAGAGAGCTCTGGCCACCGAGTCTTGGAGACGCCAACGACTCGTGTTTCTGCCTAGGGCCGTTATGCGAACAGGTGATGGATGTTTCGGCGGAGGGGAAAGGAACTGGGCAGTGAGTAGGGAGTCGGGTATGCTGACCTTTTGATTAGAAACATTGGCCGGTTTCTCGACGGATGCGCTGCGGAATCAGAGCCCTGGTCTATTGGCAGTACCGAGCGTTCCGCGGTCGTACGCTTGGGGATCGATGGAAGGCAGTTCGCATGAAGAAAACAGGCCACAGCCACTCTCACCCCCTAGACCCGATGTCAATGCACACAGTGATTGCACATCTGCATAGGATGTAGATATTCGAATCAAGCAGCTTACTCTTCTCATCAGACAGTCTCAACTAGGCTTCCAAATCCCGAGTTTCCCGCCGCAAAAGTCACCCAAACCCCTTATAGGCTCTACAGAAAGACAAGCCCCTTACTCGACGTCAAGAATAAGATGCAAGACGTGCGTCAGGCCTCCAAGAGGCTTACCACCGACAGATCGGTAAGAAATCCAAAGAGAAACCACGCCAATGCCTTCACTTTGTCTACACGATACCAAAATAGTCACATTTTACTTACATTCCTCTTCATGCACTATTCCTTTCCTATCACCCCTTATTCCGATCCCTCATCAACAATCAAATATGCTTTAAGATATGTCACCCGCATCACCATCTCACGCACTCTCTTCTCCACCCCCTGCGTATGCATAACCGTTGTTACCCGAGCCTCACCGATCAGCCAGCCCTACGCTCCGCATTTGAGGTCTGCGTCAGCCCTATGGCTATTTTCTTAACTGTCAGCCCTACGAGCTTACTATCCTGTCATCATCCATGCCCATGCAGCTCATTAAGTCGTAGCGAGGTCGGATCCATGCAGATGGTAATATCAAGGCTTTCCTTTTTAGTCGTTTTCAGAAACCTAGTCCGACCTCACTTGATCTTTCCTCTGGTAGGGGTGCGGATGTGATGGTGTACCAGTCATCTGGCAGATTGATGTCAGTAACAATGGTAAGGCCTGCTGAGTTGATGCTGACGTCTGAATGCGCGGCTTTGCTGGGTATCGTTGCTTGTGGGTGGGATTCGGAGGCATGTGAGAAATGCTGCTCCGAGACTTTGGGGTTCATCGCTCAGGTCTCTCCGGAACTCAGGCGAGCAACGAGTGCCTGGCTTGACAGAAACATGAGATCACCGAGCGTTGGAGAGCGATGCTTGACATTTTCTTTCGGCCCACGCCCAATCAAGTAGGGTAAGATACATCGCCGCCCCCTTTTTTCATACCTCAAAAGCTCTCCTATTCACTTCTTCAATCAATAGTAGTCAAAACTAACATACCCTGTCCACATTCATCTACTTTAATATTGCTTCATTTCACGACGTTCGCGTGATATTCCATTTCCAACTCACTGGACACCCTTGTAGACTCAACCAACCTAGCCACTCTCTCATCGTCCTCTCCAATTCACCAGGTTCAAAATCTCCTACTCTCTCTCTAGCGCAAGCCACCCATTCAATCCACCGTCCAAAAAGACAAGAACGAATCAAAAGAGAAAACAAACGTCCGGCACCAAGGATCGAACTTGGATCTTGAATTACACGGTCTCTGGGCCAGTGGGACTTGGATCCCCAGCAACTGTCACATATTATAGCCAACTGAACCACACCGGATTGGATCTTGGACTTACAGGTGCCACGAATTCACGGTATTATGTAGCGTTGTTTTGATGTTTTGCGGACAGCAGCTGACCTGCCCTGCTTCAAAGATACATTCACCCCTTTCGCTTTAACTATTTCCTTCGACACCGCGCTTTTACTTCTTCACCTAACCACCGCGCGAGCAAAAAGAATGAGGCAGAGTATGTCCGGCGTCAAGGATCGAACTTGGGTCTTGTCACGACCATCGGCCTGCGTGGCACATCAGCTCACAGATTGACTGCCAAACAGATTGCCACACAGATTGAATGTGCCGTAAGATATTATAGCCAACTAAACCACACCGGATTTGATTCTAATGTTGAAGATGCCATGAAGAGACGGTATTATGTAGCGGTGTTTCGACGTTTTGCGGAGACCTCTTGACTCCTCACGACGTCAAGCAATGCATTCTCGGATGCCAAACAATTTATTAAAACCGTAGATGCTAATCTCCATAGGACTACTAACGGGCGAAGTAGTCTCGATACGTCCTGCCGTCCTGGTCCCACATCTGGGTTTTGGTCCCACATCTGGGTTTTGATAGATGATAATTCACCCGTACCTCAACTCCCTTCTAGAATTGACTTGGCGATCTTCTCAGCGAACATATCTGGTCGCTCGTCAATGTTGGATCTCACATAGGACGGGAATTCCGATGGAGAACGTTGAGAACACTCACAAGTAGAAGACATAGGATGCCCAAGGGGGCCAGCTGGGAAGGCGCCGGTATCCACAACGCGAAGCCCCGTAACGCCATCGACCTGGGCCCGGAATTCAACTACGGCTGACTTGTTCACTCGTAGGACCCATCTTGCCTATACGTGGACACATCACTGAATTTGCTACAGCGATGCCAGCGCATGGAAAAGAACATACAAGTCGAAGTGCCATGAAAAATGAAACTTCCGTGCTCTTTTATATATCCCAAAACGTCGTTCTAGCTAGTAATATTGAGGCGTGGAAGAACTTCCGCTGTGATAGTGCCCCAATGAGAGGAAATCTGGCGGAGTCGCCGAAATGCCGCAACAGCTTGTTTCGACATCCGCGTTCTCCGCCAGCCACTTTGGATTGATGATCGGTGGGTTGAAAACGTCTGCACTGGAAATGGACATGTTGCCCTTCGACTGGGTGGCTAATAGCACAGCGGCAAGCACGACGAAGTTGTCTGTTGGCGTAACCTGGACGAAGTCAATTGGTATGTTAGAAAGAGGGAGATATTCGGCCAAGGTCGAGTTGCTAAAGTTTTCCGCTGAGAGCCGGTGAGTTTCTCGAATGCTGAAGCTGGTCAACGACAGGTTTGAATATGATCTTCATGGTGCTCTTACTGATGCCCTGGCCGGCCCCGAAACCAGAAAGAGGACCCGATCTGTTATCTAGATATTCAGACAGCGCAGTCTCGACGACCTCAGGGTTGCCAATCTGAAACTGCGTATTGGTGGTGACGTTGAGATTGAGGAAAAAGCGACTCCTACAACTAAGTGAGCAAGTCTTCTCTTGACCCAATCGAAGGGTACTAGTTACTCATACATACCCATAAATTCCGTTACGCTCCAGGGAGGCTAGCTAAAACATCGATGCCGTGCTGCTAAAGCGTCCCAGCGGGACCAGGTGCGAAAAAGAGGATACCACATAACACTGACCTACTCGATCCTGCAAACCCGTTATTGTCTGCAGCAAATTGGCTTTTGTCGGCCTCTGAGTCTGGCTATAGACGCAACTCTCCCCAGCACGGCAGCACCTGTCGCACGCAGGCTGTTTCTCCATCGCACCGCACTTTGCGGTCCGGCATAGCTTGCACGCAATGCGCCATGAGCCACTCATGGTCATCCAAACAGTTGCGGGAGACAACAGCCGTCACATTTTTCTTGTCCATACGATGTAGATACAAGAATTCGCAAACCCGTATCAAGCAGCACTTCCTGCCGACGCCCAGCGCAAAAAGCGGGGCTCGGAGGTCTCCAAGCAGCGTCTCATGCATCCCAGCCAGGCGCGGCATATCCTACTCGGGACCCGCCAGATTGTGAGCCACGCTTATGTTTGAGACTCCTAGATTCGTTATTTTGACCGGTGTCTGTATGTCCTTATACTCGTATGCTTAAAGCCACCACCGAGGGGAATCGGCAAGCGATGGTCGTTCTAGTCACGTGATACTTTCGCGAACGTGGGGAGGCTTTGCGCGCGGATAAGGCGGTCCTGGCGATACCTGACTGTTTTCGTAGTAAGGGAGGTGCTGAACTGCTGTAGATGCTTGAATTGACAAGGTTTGTGGGAAAAAAAAACACCACACACCTAACAAACGCAATCATTGGAATCCAACCACAATAGCCACAAATACCGGTCGAAATCTACTCTCCTTAAGCTACGGAATAGAACTATCGCTTAAACAAAAGTCTCCGGACGCGTTCTAAGCGTTATTTGCCAATGCTGTTATAGGAAGCTAATTCTACCCATCCACGCATAACCCCCTATTATAAGATCTCTCCTATACTTTTGCATATACTATAGCCACATTGGAACTAAGGATATAAGGCTGTTAGGTAGATATAGGATAGTGTAGACCTAGAAACCTGACAGTTATAAAGCATAGCGCTGGCGCAACTGGAAGGGCTAGGTCTACCGCACCACCGCACACCGCAGTCTTAGTGGATCCAGCACTCTGCGCTAAGTAGAGGAACTGGCCGCTTTAGTGTAAAACATAGATAATCCGATATATCTATAAGGACATCTGCTGGCTAATAGCAGGCGCACCAGACACATATTAGGGCTATAACCTAGGGAATCACCACATCTACAGGAAATACTTGGGAGGAAGAGGGAGGAATGGGCTTATACAGGTGGCAGTTTTCCTTTGGATACTGAAAGGTTTTTTCCTGCTACTGTATTTTTGTTGTTGTCATTGTAATTCCTGTAGATGGATCCTACACCTGGGGGTTTTGGACCCCCAGGCAGCCGGAGAGGGCTTCTGCGCCCTCTGGTAGAACGGCCACGCGGCGTGCGCCTTCGGCGGTCTACATCCGCAAAATGAAAGAACCAACCAACCAACCGACGAGATTTGTGATGCTCATGTCCGCGCGCTGGGGTGGAGGTCGGAACAAAGACGCAGGCGATGAATGCTAACGCCATATCTCGTTAGCCATCGACGCTAGTGACCATACCACCGGGAGAAATGGGTTAACGAGACGCCGACATCTAACTATTTACCGCACGGCAGTCCTCAGCTCTAACCCAACGACATTATCACATCTCGCATCTACTCTCTAGCCTTTGCGAGAGCGACTTTTCTTCGATTAATCACTCTTATCCCTTCCTCTTACCGTTATTTATCATGAACATTGGCAAGAAGTCGATACCCTTCAAGCCCGAGCAAGACATCCCTCCGCTCGATGGCAAGGTGATCCTGATTACGGGCGGAAATATCGGCCTGGGAAAGCAGTGCGTGCTAGAGTACGCGCGCCACAACCCCGCCCAAATCTGGCTGGCCGCACGCAGTCTCGACAAGGCGGCAGCAGCAGTCGCAGAAATCCAGCAGCAGCTCCCCAACCCAGCGCCTATCAAGCTTCTCGAACTTGATCTATCATCCCTCGCATCAGTGCAGACGGCCGCCCGCACGTTCTCCGCCGCATCAGCGCGCCTGGACATCCTCATGCTCAATGCCGGCATCATGGCCGCGCCGCCCGGCCTCACCACCGACGGCTACGAGCTGCAGTGGGGCACCAACTACGTCGGCCACGCGCTGCTGGCGAAGCTGCTGCTGCCCGTGCTGGACACGACTGCGCGCAGCAAGCCCGGCGCCGACGTGCGCGTCATCACGCTGTCGTCGCACGGCCACTCGCTGGCGCCAAAGCCCGAGGGCATCCGGTTCGACACTCTGCGCACGCCGGCCGACGCGCTGGGGCCGTACGGCCGCTACGGCCAGAGCAAGCTCGCCGCGATCCTCTGGGCGCGGCAGATGGCGCAGCGGTACCCGCAGTTCACCGTGACCTCGATCCATCCGGGCGTGGTGAGGACGAACTTGATGAATAATGCGACGGGCTCGCCGTTGGTCGTGCGGCTTTTGGGCAAGGTTGCGAACTGGGTCGTCACGCCGGTGGAGCAGGGGGCGCGGAATCAGCTCTGGGCGTCGGTGGCGGAGGGTGTGGAGTCCGGCGAGTATTATGAGCCGGTTGGGATAGGGGGCACAGCGACGGCGTTTGGAAAGGACGAGAAGCTGGCGCAGAAGCTCTGGGACTGGACGGAGAAGGAACTCGAAGGATACACTGCTTGATTTTGGTTTCAGGTCCAGGAACTCTTTTTGAAATGTGGATTTTCTATGCAGCAGTTCGCGGTTGAGGGAGCATATTAGATCCTTACCTTGAAGCATAGTCCTGGACGAGTTTTCGGGTGGCGGGAATATTGGGTTTCTTCTTGATTAGAGGCTGAGAAGGCGACCTAGAAGCAGTATCGGATTATCGTCCAACTTCGTGCATGCATACCTCCAACACATGGTGTATGGCAGACTAGGGGAGCTTATTCCCTCCATGCTAATATGAAGGCATGCCGACAAGTATTGTGATGGTGATTATGATGGGTGAAGAGAAATAAGGCTCCAGGGCAGCTATTCAGTAAGGTGAGCGACGGACAGGCCGTGGTGAATGTGACTCTATCATTACGTGTTACACCCAAGGAGGCGGTGTTCAGCAACGCGCACCAGACAACCATTCCTGAATAGAAATCAAAGCGCCCAGGGCAGGCTTGAACTAGTTCAGATGTCCGTGTATCTATACCTAGTGACTGTATCAAGTACCGCGCACGCAGTATCGCCTCGGCCCTCCCATACGCACCTCGCAGGGGAACTGCTACCTGTACTCGGTCGTCCATTGCAAGAGATGTCGTGAAGTCACATCTCGTCCTTGCTCCTGCTCGACTCTTTTGAGACAGTAGCTATACAGGCTCGCTACTATACCACGCAACCTTTAGTTAAAGGGAGGTGAAGGATAGTTGGTGACTTGTGGATTGTACCCATTCTTGTGGGCATCCATGATTAGGTCGTGGAGGTCGCCCAACATGTTGATATCGGACGTGTTGTATTCATGAAGATGACCTTCAGCTCGGCGTCAGTATTCTCATCTTCGTATCGACTCGAGCTGCCGGTTCAGACAAGCTGGCCATCGCGGCGGAAGAAGCATCCATTGGCGAAGGATGAGGAAGCCTTCACATTTGATATCGACGACAGGGAGAAACTGTCCGGGATAGCATCTGTAAGGTCAATCGTCAGTCTGGCTGATGAATATAATGCCGTCGTTTGGAAGATGTTAGGTGCTCGATGGACGTACCAAGACTGTTCTGAATCCCGTTCTGTCGTTCCGCAAATAGACTTGCGGTATAGAACGGTGCCGCATGTCATTGGAAGGCTCGTGACTCACCGAGATCAGGCTCGTGGCCGTTAATTGTGGAAACAAAATCTCGGCCAATATCCAGGTCCTGTTCGGCGGGTGGAATGTGCTCGCCAGAGGAGTTCGGACGGTTGCCAGTGGTATCAATACTATTGGTCTGGAAAATCACAAGTCAGCTCTATCGTAACTGAAAGCTGCTCAGTAAACATACTTCAACCACCTTGTCGCCTTCGACACGAACTTCGTGGTCTCGTAGTCGCCGCATGAGCTCGAGAAAGGTGCTCTTCTGGAATTTCTCGCTCGTGTTGTCAGCTACGCTTTCTAACAGCTTCCCAGCGGTCTGCGCCATTTGATCCTGTTCGTTTCGAGTCTGTTCCTTAGACCTCGGCTGTTGCCCATGTTCTTGCTGGAGAGGTTGCAGAGCATTACGGCCGTGCGTTATATACCCTGCAGCCTCAAGATCCGCCCAAAGGTTCGGCCAGTTGTTATCGAGGGAAATTGCTAAGTCTGCGGGATACATCGACATGAGTCTCCCGTTGATTTTCTGAATCAAGGCAGCAACACGGGTCTCGATCTCCTCAGGTATGATGTCGGCGTGCTGTCTATTCGCGACAATATCCAGGGTGTCAATACACCACTTGGCCTCGCTGATATCAATGAATAGGGTTCCTTCCTGTTCAGTTTGCTCGAGGTGGCTCAGATAGACTTCCGCCTCAGTGGTTGCTCCGGTGCTGATCAGACTTCGCAGCTTCATCGTGAGATACACGGCTATAGCATTTGTTAGCTTGGAATCTTAGCGGAGTGAGGGTCAATCGTACGGTATCTCTTATCCCTGATCCCCAACAGAATTGGATCCGTTTCCGCAGGTAACTGTGTAGACACCTTCTCCACAGCCGCCTCTTCTTGGAGCACCTCTGCCTGAGCCTCTGCAAAGGCCCGCTCAAAAGCTGATTCGTCGAATTGTGCGATATCAGCCTTTTGTTTCCCTTCCGCGACCGACATGTTCTGCTCTTGCATGGGGCGTCCAAAAGCCGACTGCCCGAACGTCGACCCTGTATAACCACCCATCCCATACCCTGGCATCCCACCGTACATGTTCATATTCTGTGCGGGAGGTTGGTAGGCCTGCTGAGCGGCTCCGGGCGCCTGCTGGCTCACGAAATCCTGGTGCCATGACGATTGTGCTGCCGACGCCTGTGGTCTGAAGTGGTGGTTTTGCTGGGGTTGTGGGGATGAAATCTGTAGACGCTGGAAGTCGGAAGCCCAGCCCCCGGCCTGGGGTTGTGGCGAGAACCGCGGTTGAAGTTGTGCGTGAGCTAGGTGAGGAGGGAGATGCTGAAAGTCGGGATGAGGCGGTGGCGCGTGTCCAGCTTGAAAGGCGTCGAACTCGGGGTCTAGGAGGCCGACATTCTGGTTAGAAGTAGAGCGGAAGGACTGTATCAGGACTCAGCTTTGAGGAAGTCTGGGGGAGGTTGGAAGAGTATAATACTGACCTGTGAGGGCGACTGCCGCGAAATCAAGCGGTCCTGCTGCAGAGTTCTGTCTGCGGCTGTGTGTTTCTGGAAGTTCTGGAGTGGATTTGCAGGCCCGCAGAGTGCGTCTGCCATGGTCGTACAACACCGTCTGAGGTGGCCCGGACAACTATCGAGCTTGCCGAAACTGTCGCTTTACAATCTTTAGATGGACCGGAGGACCTCGACCAGTGCTAGGCAAGTGTAGAGAAGCCTAGAGAGAGTGGGTACAGTAAAGGAAATCTAAGAGTATCGAAGGGAGAAGAGGGAGGTGTACAGGAAACGAAGAGAGAAATCGCCGTCGGATACCTATGTCCTGTGATGCATGCGGGCCGAGGATGTCAGTGGGATCGTCCACCATGCTGAGTAAGCCGATTTGAGCTGCTTAGTTAACTACAGAAGTTCTCTATTCTCCATCAACACAAGGCTCCTATTCTGACGCTGTCTGAGGTGGCCCGTAGAGCTATTGGGCTTGTCAAAACTGTTGTTTTCCAATTCTTGAGAGCGTACCAGGGGACCTCAGGCGGTGTTAAGCAAGTGTACTTAAGCTTAGTGGTGTACGGTAATCTTCGGTCTATAACTAGGCTACCCTCAAAATCTCGGGACCTAATTCCACCTATTGAGCCCCGTGTCTTCATATTCACACTAGGCCACCGGACGTGAGAGGGTGGTGTAGGTTAATTTGATCAAGACGATAATCCAAAAGCTACATGGTTACAGCCTTCGAAAGTGTTTCAATCAGTCATCAAAGATGTGAACCGTATGTAATCTACTTTACTGAAAATGAGCATTTTAGACTAGCAAGCATGTGATAGACAGAGGGCTTTCGTCCACTCATTCGTCTTGTGCTTTTATCTTATTTTGTTTCAATTACTGCTCGCTACGATGAAGAGCGGAATAACGCCTAGAAAGCTAGATTTTATCATTAGAAACCCGACCGCTCCATGACACTCTCGATGAAAGCAACAATGCCATCCACCCCTTTAGGCTCATTAACCCAATGACCACCGTCCGGATAACATGACATCTCCACCGTCATTCCCAGTGCCTTCAACCCATCGCATAGTGCTTTGCCATTCGCGACAGGCACTACCCCGTCGTCTTCGGAATGTGAGAGAAATACCGGCGTTTGGAGCACGATCGGATCCTCGGTATCATGGTCTAGGGAGAGTAACTGACGAATGGAGTTAATGCGTTGTGTGGGCGATGATGTCTTTTGTACAATTTCTTGGATCGCATCCTCGAATGGAAGCCAGCTGCAAAGGCCAATAAAACCGCCGAGTCGAGCACCATTTTGCAACAGGGCGTGGATAGCCGTCGCACATCCTTGGCTGATGCCCCCGAGAAAGATCCGATCCATAGGAACTTCGGCCGATTCGTCTTTCAAGACTCGTAGTAGGAACTCCACACTCTCTTGCAGGCCCTGTTCCTGCAGTTCCATGCGCTCGTTGGGACGCTGGACAGACGCCATGTCGAACCACTGGCACATTTCCTCGTTGTCGACCTCTGCGTGTCGCATAGCTGCACAGGGGAAGACCCATTTGATGCCCGGGAAGATTTGAGTGAAGAAGCGGTCGTCGCTGGCCTGGCTTTCGAAAAATTCACTCTCGAACTCAGTCGCTGTGCTGCCGCGACCGTGGAGAAATATGATTGTGTGTGTATGTGTCGCTGTCGGAGCCACGACGTGGATGTTGGGTTTGATGGCCGTCATATTTTCTATGCAGTGAGAAAAATGAGATGTTTGGCGAAGCTTAGATGGTGTTATGAGTTCGAAGGTTGAGACGTGAGAGTAAATGAGATGGTAAGAGCGTCGGTCTGAAAAACTGCCCGCGAATGTGCGCTCTGATGGTTGGTTGGTTGGACTCTGTGGTCCGCAAGGGACATCAGAGCCAGACTTTCAAGAGCACTATTAGTCTCATCTAATTCACGCTGAACCTCGCCTCCGACGGTTGAGGCAAGTTATGCAGTTGCTTGGGACCGACGGGTACAGACTTGCGGTAGTAAAGAAATAGAGCTCGTGTATTAGTTACTGTAAAATTAGATGAGTTAACAGCAGCTCTGTTACGAATTTTCTGGTGATCTTGATTGCATTTCGAAAGCGGACGATGGGTTTGATGTTGCAAGTGCCTAGATTTTAGTGATGATGGATGTTAGAGGAGTCGTCGAATGAAATATGACAGATATAAGTTCGCAGGATCTAATCAGATCCCGAGACTAGCCCCAAGGACAGTGCGCAACTGTCCCATCGCAACTTCCCCGATGCCAAATAACACAACACTCCCGCAAATAATTCCCCACAACCATGGCAAGTTCACGTGCCTCACTCCTTCCCTCCGAACTCCCCTTACTAACACTTCACCAGGCGCAAGTAATTTCAAACTCGGGCCACGATGACATGATAGTACGCCCTCTCCCTCTCCCCCAACACCCACCCCTCCAGCTCGACCTGCACACCTTCGCTCGACACCATGGCCCTCGTAGCCAAATTGCAGAGACGGCGTTCTACCACCGTGGAAGAGGACTCCCTGATCATGAAGCTGAACGGAACGCAGCACGATGCGGTCCTGGACTACTACGGGCGCCGGCTAGCGACGTGCTCGTCGGACAAGACAATCAAGATATTCGAGGTAGAGGGCGAGTCGCATAGGCTCACTGAGACACTGAAAGGGTACGCACACCCCTCTACATTCCCCCCTCTCCAATCCATCCGAAAACAAGCTCTAACTCTCCTCCCCACTAGCCACGAAGGCGCCGTCTGGTGCGTATCATGGGTCCGTCCTCCCTCCCTCCCCCCTCCCACCTCTCCACCCCACTAACACCCCTTGCCCCCCTCCCAGGCCCACCCCAAATACGGCTCCATCCTGGCCTCGGCCTCCTACGACGGCAAAGTCTTCATCTGGCGCGAGCAAAACGCCGTCTGGCAGCGCATCTTCGTCTTCGAGCACCACACGGCCTCGGTCAACCTCGTCGCGTGGGCGCCCCACGAGGCCGGCTGCCTGCTGGCCTGCGCCTCCTCGGACAGCAACGTCAGCGTGCTCGAGTTCAAGAACAACACGTGGGAGCATCAGCTCATCCAGGCGCACGGGACGGGCGTCAACGCCGTCAGCTGGGCGCCGGCGATTGCGCCGGGGGCCATGCTCGCGGGGAGCGGCGGCGCGGGAGGCGCGTCTGCGGCGGGGGGGCTGAGGCGGTTCGTGACGGGGGGGAGTGATTGCATGGTTAAGGTGTGGGAGTTTAAGTATGTGGACCCCGGGTTGCTGGAGCTGCGGAGTTTGGAAGAGTGAGTGCTGATGTGTGAGAAACAGCCCGGAGACGAACAGCTATGCGCAGCTGGGCGAGAATCTCGTGGGCCATAACGATTGGGTGCGCGATGTGGCGTGGTCGCCGACGGTGCTGTCGAAGGCGTATATCGCGTCGGCGTCGCAGGACAAGACGGTCCGCATCTGGACCAGCGCGAATCCGGATCTACGTACGTGCTCTCCTTCCATCTCTCGTTGACAACCAACCCCGGGCTTCGACTGCTCTTGTTTTCGGGTCCAATGCGTACTAACCTGAACAGGCGAATGGAAGTCCACCGTCCTCAACGTCGAAGCCGTCGCCTGGCGCGTCAGCTGGAGCCTCAGCGGCAACGTCCTCGCCGTCAGCACGGGCGACAACCGGGTCAGCCTGTGGAAGGAGCGGCTGAGCGGCGGATGGGAGTGCGTGAAGACGATCGAGGAGTAAGTGGCGAGGAGGCCAGGCCAGGCACTCGTGTATTGTATCAAGGAAGGCAGCAGCTTTGAGCAGCAATTGGAGTCTGGGTAATCCAAAAGTCTGGAGGGCAATCTGGAGAAACTGGCGGTATGCATGGGGCTTGGGCGTGGTGCATTGGAGTGGAGGATTTGGGAGAGGTGGTAGGCCCGAGCTGGGGAGGTGTTGGTAGTGGTCTGCATCGGCGATGCGCGAGGGTGAGCTGGGTGATTAGACAATTTTTAGGGGTTTGTCGAATCGAGTGTGGATCCGGTTCCTACGATGTTGATGTTAGGGAGGTGTTGGTGAGAATGATGGTGACCACTGAACAAGGCAACCGGAGAAGATGTTGAGAAAGCTTCCTATTCTATTCTCTGATTTTGTCTAGACATGCGTTCAAAGGCACAGCGCTTGCTCGCTCACGCAATCAGTCCCACATCACGCACACCATCACCGCGCAAACACCCCACTTTGGAAAGTTTTCAAATGTTCATCTTTCATCAGGTTTCGCTACGGAACAAAACCAAACCAAAAACCAACTCCAGATCTATAGAAACCGCAAAAGGGAAACCCCGGTCGAACCCGTTCCAATCGCCAAAAAAGAGGTCGCCGATGCCAAAACTACCAAGGTAGAGTCGGTATCCAGGTCTCGGTTTTAGCGCCATGTCCATGACTTGATGGATGTGGGGGGCAGGGTGGGTATATATGCTCGAGGCCACGCTATGCAGAAAAAAAAACCAAAGAACAGGATAGAGAGAGCCAAAAGAAAAGGCATAAGCAACAAATTGCAAAGTCGAAAAGAGTGAAGCATGTATGCAAAAAGCCATTGCAGACGCTGAAGTTGTGAAGCCAGCAGGAAAGGAAATCGGGGTATCTTCCATCCATCCATCCAGCTGTGCTGAACTCCAAGCCGTGAGGTTTCGTGATGTGATGCCGAGGAAGCAGGGAGTTGACCAAAAGCTGCCCGGGGTGATTATAGTAACTGTGTATTGTGGACGGGGATGGGGATGCAGATGCTGCGCAGCAGACTTAAGGAATGGCTATGGTGAGCTCCAGGCGCGATGTCTTGGGAAAGGAATGTGAGAGATCGTAGATCTGAAGGAGATTCGTGAAGGTAAGGTCGTTGAGGGAGGGAGGGGTGCTTTTCTGTTGCGGACGGAGTGCGGTATATATCAATCGATCGAGTGATGATGAGAAGTGGTGTGAAGTCGAGTCTAACTCGTCGAAAAGTCGCAGGAGGTCGTCGAGAGTACGCAAATCGACCACCACCGAGCTCGCGCAGCCATCGACACCTCCTCACGCCTCCCCCTTCGCCATCTTCGGGTGCACATTCCACAGGATAAACGGACCGGAGTAGAGGTTCTCATCCCCATCCACATCCTGCTCCACCCGGTCCACTGCCCACCACCGGCCCAGGCACATCTTGCCCCCCGGCAGCACGACGCCCTCGTACCCCCACAGCGCCTCCGTGTCGACGCTGCCCCATGCGTCGGCGTAGTACTTGATGAAGCTCATGCGCTTCCACCCCGCGATGCCCTCCTGCACCGGCAGCTCGCTCAGCCAGCCCGACGCGTAGAACTTGCCGTCGTCCTCGCCCTCGCCCTCGAGCGAGATGGGCTGCGGCTTGCGTGGCGGCGTGCGTGAGCGCGTGCGGTGCTCGGCGCGCGTGCGTGGCTCGTTGAGCGTCGGGTGCGCTTTGAGGATGGTGGAGAAGAGGTTGCGCACAGAGGGGTCGAGGTGCGAGGAACTTAGGACGGGCGTGTCGTCGCCGTCGGTGGAGGATTTGTCGCTGCCGAGGCCGCTATCGGAGCCGGATGGGCTAGTCGCGGAGGGCACGACGACGGGAGAGAGGTGGAGGGACTGGATGGGGTTCTCGTTGTTGCTGCCGTCGACGTTCTTGTCCATGAAGATCATGTTCTTCTTGGTGCCGGTGATGGAGCGGATTTGCGAAATCTCCTTGGGCTCGAGGTAGGCTGTACGCGAGGTCAGTGATGGCTAGAGAGTGGAGAGGGAGAGAGAAAGCTTACCATAAGTTCCTCGCCAATCGTCGCCGATGTGGTCATCATGTTGCTTCAGCTTGCGGTCCCAAGCGGACGGCTTCTCCAGCGCACTCAGCTCCTTGTAGGCCTCGTACAAGGCATGGCTCTCACCATCGCGCATCATGTGGTAGCGGAAGAAGTTCATGATATGCAGGATGTACTCCATGTTGATGTAGTTGCGGTCCATTCCAGTGAACATGGGTTGCATGACGGCGCTGGCGTAGACCATCTTCTGGCTGTGCTCGAAGGCGAAGACGTGGTTCCAGAGGCGATTGGTGTCGAACAAGACATGCGAGTACATCAGCTGGATGGCGGCAAGAGTCCAGTTGTACGTGTCATCAGTAACATCTCCACGGCCGGTGGGGGAGACTCGGTTGATCCTGGACAGCGAGCTGCTGCTCTCGATGAACCGGGAGAGCTCGTCCAAGTTGCGACAGGTGCGGCGACCATACTCGTCGTAGAGGGCTTGACCAGAGAAAGACTCTGCAATTGAGTTTGTTAGCGGGCATTGCTCAAGTGAGGAATCGCATGACCGCAAGCGGAGATGCAGGCAAGAATAGAGGGCTTACCATTGATGAGCTCCGACATGACGGCGAGCGACTTGACCTCCATCTCGGTGTGGCCATACTCAAACGAGATGTTGCTCATGCGTCGGAGCCACTTACGACGGCGCTGGTACTTCTTCTTGAGCTGCTCGTTGTCGTGCGATCCGGCCTTCAGCGCGTATCTGGCCCTGAAGCGATGGTTCCAGAATGATCCGCCGTCGGACTGGACAGCATTGCTAGTCTCCTGGCAAGTGGCAGCGAAGGCGCAGAGATCTTTGTCGCTCTCGATGTGGTGGGCGATCTCTTGGTTGAGCTGCGACGGCGAGGTCAGTAAGGCGTGCAGCAGGAAAGGGGGTGAGCGGACTAACCTCGATAGGAAGAAGATTGAATGCCATGGTGCGAATCTATTGCACAGCAATGGACTCGCGGTGGTGTAAGATCTGGACCGGTAAGGAAATAGGTGTGCAGTCACAGCAGATGCGATCAACGCAGGAGCGTGGTGTGAATAGATCGATATTGTTAAGATGCAGGAGACGGGCTGGTCAAGAGGCGGCTGATGAACGGAAGCTGATGAAAGGAAGCTGGTGAACGGAGGATGGAGGAGGAGAAGATGAAGAGGAAGGAAAGAAGGGCAGCGAAAAAGTTTTTAAAGTGAGAAGCTAGAAATATAATCGGTGGCTGGTATCTGGGATTTACACGGTGGTGGTGACTTTGCCCGCGAATGCCAAGCCTTTCGACCACAGATCACGGAGCCCACTCACGATGGCCTCGCAGCACTTGCCTGAAATTAAGATGCAGTCCTTGATGGATCTGACCGAAAGTAGCTTCGGTATGATCTGATAGATGGTATGAGAGGCATGGTTGAGGCAGCGCACAAGTGAGATTCCGTCGTGTCTTGCGAAAAATGGAGGCTGCATTCACGTGGGCGAGAGTGTCCGCAACCGAGATTCAAGATAGGAGGAGCTATGAAAAGCATAATAAATACACCGATAGGAAGAGCTCAAGTGTGCTCCAGTCAGTAGGAGTCACCTTCTCTAAATCGCACCAGAGGATTCGTGGCGGAGGAGAATTGCGACAGGCGCTTTTTCGTAGTAAAGACCGCAACTGCAGAGCTGCGATACCTGGCAGGTCCACAGGAGCTATTGATAGTAAGCAGAAACTTTCGCGAAATTTTCGAGCAGTTTGGCCGATTGAGTGCGGAGTCATAACGAAGTGTCTTCCGCCCCTTTCCAGATCAGGCGAAAGCATACCCAACTGCAGGAGTCTTCATGCCCACGACACAACAACGAAACCAAGTTGCAGATAGTCCTAATACCATTACCTGTCACGAGCAGTCAAGAAGGTCTGCGACATAAAGTCCTGGTGGCTGGAAGCATATATCGTCGTCGTGGCGCAACTGAACGCAGTAGAGCGGCATCAGGACGCCATTTGTGCGGGTGCTCGCTACTGCGTCGCGCGCCTCAAAGTGTAGCTGTTCCTGATCCTAAGTATAAGAAGAAGATTTGTCACAAGTCTAAAGAGATGGCATTTTTACGCTTCCACGATTTGATGATTTGACATTGAAATGAAATCAATGAGACGAAACTCATCTTAGCATGTCTCAACCAGTGCACAACTTCCTACCTTAGACGTCCGGGGTCGGGCCCAAGGCCACATTGGATGTATAGGAGTAGATGAGGCATGATTAAGATATACGGGCCTCAGACACCACATTACGGATTATCTGCCTACCTACATGTACCCACCTAAACCAGCAATCCAAGCACCATACAAGCAGCAAACACCCACCACTGCACTTTCTCTCTCACACCCGCACCAGGCTTCGTGGAGCTCGCAGCCGCTGCGCCCGTGCCCGTCGCCGTACCCGTCGCGGTCGGCGACGCGGTGGTGCTCGAAGGCTGCACCGCGTTTGCACCGCTGCCGTCTGCCCTTGTGATCACGTACACCTCCCCGGTAGCATCTGAGCTCATGAAAAGGCGGCCCTTACTATCCCATGCCAGCCCGACAGGGCGGAAGCAGGCATCTGGGCACTTCGAGTTGTCTTGGTTAGCCACGATATCGACAGCGGCGGTGGTGCTGTTAGAAGGCTCAAGGGGGGAGCCGTTGGCAAAGGTGACGACGGAGAGTTTGTAGCCGACTGGGGCGGCGCGGTCCCTAGCGGGTGTGAGTATATGCTGATACAAAAGCAGACAAAGCTACTTACCAGCTCCCATGGAACGTGACAAACGCCGTAGACCCGTTCGCGTTGAATTTGAGATCCAATGGCGCCTGGTGCGCCTGGAACGTCAATCGCGGCGGGATGCGCTCCTTCTGGCAAATCGTATCGTTGACGGTGCTATTCTGCTCACCAATCGCGAATTGCGTCCCGACTTCGATGCCCGCATTCTGCGGAATCGTGCTCACGTTCCACGCTGCGAAGCACGACGGGTATCCGTAGTTCTGGCCTTGGGGCGCATACTCAGTGCCATTGAGGTAGCCGTGGAAGTTCATCTCCTCTCCGGGGTTGTCCGTATGGATGTTCTTGCCATCGCGCTCCATCTCGTCGACGCTGTTCTCAACAGACCAAATACCCCCCGTAAGCGGTTCCTCCGCCACACCAACAGAGTTGCGCAGGCCCCATCCCAACCGGAGCCCCTTGGTGTTGAAGTCGTACGCGCCAGTTGCGTTGGTGAGGTTGAAAGCCTTGATCTGGCTACGACCGGTGTTTATATCTTCCGCCTCAAGATCCAGATTCGATGTGCTGCCGCGGCTGACCAACAACAAGTCATCCACCTGCTTCGAGACGAGTAGCGTACGCGTGGTGTGATCCGAAGTGGCCATTCCCGTGACAATCTGGCGGGGCTCGGACGTGTTCTTGCTGTTGGCCGCATCGTAGTCCCACGCGTAAACTATATCCGCGGAAGACGCGTAGAGGGTCTTTCCGTCGCTAGAGAGTTCGATTCCATGGTTGAGCTGAGAAGTCGCGAATCAGCATTCGAGAGCATGGCGGCACAGCGGAGAATTATATCAGTCTGATGGCTCCACTTACGGTTTTATCCTTGATCACAACAATCGGCTTTCCAGCCCTCACACAAGACCCGCCATCGTCGGTTAAGGGAAGGCTGACGATCCCCGTGTTTCGCTGTACGACGAGGAGGTGACCGCTGCTGTCGAAGATGATCCCACGCGGGCTCGTCAGGCCGGTGGCTACGACTTTAACATCCCAGCCGGATGCTACGGATGGCGCTGCGTTCTTGGGCGCGAGGGTGGTCGAGCAGGTCTGCGTGCTTGTCGACTGCGCGCGCGCGATTGCATACAAGCAAGACGCGAGGAGGCCGTAGGAGTACTTCATAGTGAGATAGAGACAGTCAATAACGCGTGTAAACGGCAGGATCCGCGCTTCGTGTTCGCGAACAAGGTCAGACTCCTGAATTCCAGGGTGGCGGCTAAGCCCTCCAGAGATTCAGGGCTAGCAAAGCACCCAGCTGCCCGTTGCGTCTGTCATGATGAAGCCAAGCATCCGTACAAAGCTAATTGCGTGCCGTCTGCCGTCCAGTAGTGGCAAGCAAGGCACGCGCGAGATGGTCGAGTGCGTCATCGTGGGGAGTGGGGAATGGTGAGGATGAAACAAGGGCTTGTTCTAGTGGAGCCTTGTTGGCAGTTGCGGCATAAACACCATGTTTTCACGAAGCATAAACACCGCCAACCCATCCCCAGGCCTATCCCGAATCCCGCCGTCTTCCAAACAGCATTGTTGTGATAACAACGCGTCTTCGTCTTACCCCGACCGCGTCAAAAATCAAATTGACCACAAAGCGTGATTCCAAATCCCGTACCTGCATGAAAGCCCATTACCTCGAAATAGGCTAGGTTATCTATAACCGGTTGGAGCGATCGGATCCGCCATCACGAGTAAGCACCAGGGGTGGGCCTGGATTTGAGGTCTAAAACGAGGGTTGTCTTCCGAACCACATGTCTGACTGGCGGCAAAACAGAGAACTCAGCTGAGACCAGCTTGGGGTTGCACGTGCGTGAGGTCGAGAGGACCTGGAGGGGTGCTTTAGGGTGACCAACAGCTGAGGGCTAAGTGGGCATTAGGAGGGGCAGTGAAATTCGTCAGTGATTGTTGACTCTTCAGAAGTTCATGGGAAAGATAAGGTTCTCGGGAAGGGTTCGTAGGCTTACGCACAATCGATTATAAAGTAGTCAGGCATAAGGCTCAATCACAATAGTCTTATAGTTCAACTCAATATTATGATAGGGAGCAAATCCTGCGTTGATATATATGCTATAGCTCTAACAGCCGTTAATTTTTTTTCCCATCCTTTATCACCGCCTACACTGCTCATCCCCTCACTCGTCCAAGGCAACCCGGGACCCAACGGCTCCAAGCACTCTACCAAACACCCAGATTTTGTACAGGTGAATATCGCCGCTATTCTTCGTGGGCGTGCGTCTGACGTTTCTAGTCAAGAAGAGAAGAGAAGGGCCCAAAACACCCAGCACACAATCGCAAAAGACTAATTCCGAAGACAAGAAGAAAAGTGGTCTGATGTAGAGGTCCAATCCAATCGAGTTGCCACCAAAACGTGCCATGCCATGCAATTCCTTTTGTATGTGTACTGCGGCGCCGCGGCCTTCGAATGTGTTTCTGTTCCAGGGAGAAATGAAAATGTTCGAACCAAACCATCCGTTGCTCTCGATGCGAAACACAGGAAAATGCAAGCCGCTCAAATGCAAAATAAAAGAGAAAAGCACGCAAAGCGCGAACGTGCCAAAGGAAAAGAACAAAAAACAAAAATTCCCGAAGTCACACTAAACTCATCACGAATGGAGAGTTCGTCCATGGAATGCCGCTGTGAAAGGGAAAAAAGTCCCTAAGGAAAACCTTTTTGCCCACCCTTCACTTTCCCAAGGCGTTTCTTTTTCGTGGCCGGCAATGGTCGCTGGACACATATACCAACATACTCTTGATGCATCGGAACATCGTAGCCGAAATCTACATGACCGTCATTAATTTTATTTGCGTGGCTAAGTCGTTCTCGGTCTGGAACATTTTGCTGAATGGTGGTTCTTTCGGACTCGTGCCGGGGCTTAAATGAAGCCCTTCCGCCTCTCGAAGCGCGTCTTTGACCTTGCGCATTAGTGTGTGCACATATGGAACAATGTGCCGCAAGGTTGCCGTATCGAAAGGCACCTTCTTCGTCGGTGGAACCGGCTGCAGTTTTGGATTTGGTTCGTGAACGCTCTTCCGCTTTTGCAAGGCTTCAATCACAGATCGCGCCTTTGCTTCTGAGTCCTTTCGTGGCCGGGTAGTGGGCAGCTTGAACGCTGGAGGCGTTGATTGGCTGTGGTTGAACTCAACGTGATTTTCGTTGGTAGTCGGTAAAGGCGATGATCTTGGACCACCGAAAATGTCATGGTTAGGTGGGAGGATTGACTTTCGTCGTGGGCGCGTATTGTGAGGAATGTGGGGGGTGGCATCTTCTTTCGCTGATAGGCTGGCCTTGCGTCGACCTCGTCCGTTACTGGGACTAGGCCCTGACACGTCATCAAACGCATCCAGGTCAAACCCAGGAGACGACGGCGGCGAGAGTCCTGGAGGGGCCTGGGCTTCTTCTGCTTCCTGGTCGGCCAGTTCAATCATTGCATCCACCTCTTCCCACATGCTGGCATTTGGTCCCTCCACCACTCCCAGCATGAGTGCGCGGCCACGTTTCTCTTTTAGCTCTTCGATCAGCAGGCCCCATTCTCTCAGTAGTCCGATGTTGGCAAGCACGTTGCTCTGTTGTTCCTGGATCGTCTTCGGAACAATCATCGACATGCTGCTGTCAATCCGGGGCGCATTTCCGTTGGCTCGACCTGAGGGAGAATCGCTGATGTCAGTGAACTCGAAATCATCATTCCAGTCTTCAGTGACGCCCTTGCTTCCAACACCCCATGTTCCAAACTTGTTGGTGACAACTGTACTACGCTTGCCAGCGACATCTGGAACAACTGGCACACTCTGGCTGCGGGCATGCAAGGCACTTGGTGCCCGACGTCCAACCGACCTGCTGCCTCGACCATCGGTGCCTTTCTTCCCATGCACTGTTTTGGGACGTGGCGGTGTACGATTGCCCGGGCTTTTATCAGTGGGTTGCTGCTCTGACCAATCGAATATCGTGCTCCTTGATTCTCGCTCCGCATGGTCGAAGTGCAGATGCTGTGGTGTTGCGAAGGTTGGGCTTGATGCAGTATCCAATAGGCCGGGGTTGCTGTGTCTGAAAGATAAAGGTAGGGCGGTGTGAGTGGCCGGCATCCGATCAAGATCGTCGTCCCACCCATCGCTTGCCTCGTCGTCTTCATCGAATGACCATCTATTGTCTTCTTCCTCAGCGCCGTTGTCCCACTCCAGAGTACCCAAGCTAAGTGGTTTCGGCATATCCGGGGGAGAGGATTGAATGAGAGAAGGAAATAGTGGGTTCCCATTCATGCGCGCGGTCGTCGGTGACTCATTCTCCATCCTGTCTGCTATGATTGTTCGCACCGGCGTGGACACGCTTTCGTCTTCCTCGGTGATGCTTTGATTACCTGTAATGCTGGACACGGTCTGGTCGTGGAAGGTTCCCTTTGGTAGCAAGTCTCGTAGGGCTGTGACTTTGCTTTTGGAGATCTGTGGCGGTGATTCGTCAAAGATAGTCTCTATGCGGGGCCCACGTGCCCCCGACGTGCTCTGGGTAGCGCCGGTGGTAGTAGTGCGCAGTGAGTCGAAAACCGTGTCGCTCTGGAAGTCCGTTTCGTCTTCATCACCAGATCCCGTTCCACGGGCCTCGTTGTCCGACCCAATTAAGGTCGAGGCTTGCTCGGAGGGAGCCACCGAATTGCGTGATGGCCGGGCACCGCCTTGTACCAAGGTCGGCGACCGAGGGACGTGACCTGACGCTCGACGTGAGCTGTGTAGCTCTCCAGAGACCGAGGGGCTATTCTGTAGCGGGGTGCCATTGGAACGAGGCAGTGGTGGTAGAGGCGATGAGTCGAAATGTTGTCCACTATAGTTCGAGTCGTCGCCGTGCGAAGTGTATATTTCCCGACGAAGAAGAGGGTCGGAGATGTCTCGTCGTTTTGATGGCCGGTCCAATTGCCCGTGGGACGTGACGCTCTGCCTGCTGCCCATGGTGTTGAGTGGGGCTGAGACTACTCGCTTGCTCGACTTTCTTGTTAGTTTAGCACCTGGGGTCTTGAGTGGCTGTTGCTTTCTTGAGAGCAAGTCGCTAATCGAGAAAGATCGCCGCGGACGGCCCTCCTGTGCGGCTTCCTCGGCCATGGTGTGCTTGGAAGACTTCTCTGGCTGTGCTTCATTCCCGGCGACAAACGTGGTAATGTCGGTCGGCGTTCCGGGTCTACTCACAATATACACGCTTTCACCGTCCTGGCTGGAAGAGTCGTCAACTTCTATAGAGCATGCTGAGACCGACTTGGCTAGTAGTAGGGTTGGTCTGTGCGTGTCATCTGGGAAAATGCGCTTGATGGCCTTGGGAGTGCCAGACGGGGTCCGCTTTTTGGAAAGCGTCTTCTCTTTTGATACCTTTGCACTAAAGAACTGTGTGTACTGCACTCCATAGTCTGGCAAAGAGGTGTGTTGGGGCTCGTCAGAAGAGGAGTCGTCCTCGATCGGCAGTTCTGTCAAGCTGGAGCGGCGTAGGAGGGTTGCGGACCGTTGATGGCTCGTGGCTGGGCGGCGAAGGGCGGGCATGCGAGAGCCGGAGGACTGCGAAGGAGCGTCGCGAGCGACTCGCACAGATGAGGAACGTTTGACGAGCTTGTTCGGAGGCAAGGGGGAGGGCGAGCGTTTGCTGACCATGGGCGCGGTGGAACCATCGTGGGAGAAGGCCATGGAGCCGTTCGAGGCTGAAACCGACGGTGACATCGGGCCTGGACTCGAGTTGCGGCTCGAGGCCTGCGAGGTGGAGATGGTGGAAAGGCGCTTCTTGAGCCAGCTCGGGCGGGAGCGAAGGGTCGCGGTGGGATCGAAGTCGTTCAGGTCGTGATCGCCCGAGGGGGCATGGCCATCATTCGTAGCATCGTGGAACTGGGCGACGGCATCGCCGCTCGTCATCCTCCTGGCAAGCTTGCGCTGTGTCAAGCGCCCATCGTGACTGCGGCGCGTTGCTATGCGAGACGAGCCCGCGGTGGTGACAGGCAAGGGCGAGCTGAAGGAGAAGGCGGTGTTGGTCGCCGTGGTGGTGTGGCTGGCGGAAGGCATTGGGCGGACGTCCAGCACCTGGGCCGGGTTTGTCTTCCTCTTGTTTGAAGCGTCGTAGGGAGGGTCGAGTCGGCCGAAAGCGAGTCCCACGGCGGAAGCACCAACTGCCACTGTCGTTGCACAGAGCTATCACAGGACGGTCAGCGCTCAGCGGGCGGTGGGACTCGGATGCGAGTGCACGGGAATGGGGCAAGGAGAGGGCGAGAGGGCACCGCGGGCTGCAGACGCCAGATGCCAGATGCAGGTGCGGCGTGAAGCATCCACGACAGCACAGCACGCAGCGTGCAGGAAACATGGAGCCGGGCAGCGAGGTGGGGACTTGGGGCTTACCGTGGGAACCGTTTTCATTCTCGCTGGAGACCCAGCCGCCGCGACCTGCAAGGCACAATCGAGGAGAGACTCGTGACGACGCGGTGCGTGGTCGTGGGCATTATGGCATCGTCAGGGAGGTGGTGAGGGTTGGCGGGCGGGCAGAGAGGAGAGGGCACCAGGCACGCAGTCACACTTCGCCGGAGTGAGGGCCGGAGAGGCGTAGGGGTCGACGAGGTCAGGATGCAGCGGGCGATTGGGAGTGGAGAGCAGAGCAAGGTGCGGTCGCGATGGCCGGCCTGCCCCAGATGGTGAACTGCCAGACGAGCGAACGACGCCGCGAGAGGCCGCTAAGCAGCCAGGGCCCCAGCGGTGGACGAGCTTGGCGGGAGGCGGCGCGCTGGAATGCTCCGTCAACACTCGCATCCTCGCAGCATGTTACCACTGTCTCGCCGGGCCTGCGCTGGAGCGTCATGTCGCAGCGGGGCCTGTGGTGTGCGGCCCTTGTGCGAAGTACACACCGGCAGGTATACGACAGCAGCGTCACACGCCTCGCCTTCACGACATCACAATGGCGCCAAACACGGACATTCACCAGCAGCAGCCCTCCGCAGCCCTCGCCAGCAGCAACGAGCACGCGAGCAGCTCCCGGCTCGAGGATCGGCTCCCGCATCCGCACCAGCATTGCTGCCCCTCCTGTGGTGAACTCGGGGCGCTGAGACGTGATTTCGCCGCGGATCTGTGTATATGTCAGTAGGCAATCCGGCCCACACCGGCGCGACGTCAGGGCGGGCGAATGTTCGCATCGCCAAACACATTGGCCAGCCCGTCAGACGGGCAGCGTGCCTGTCCCTGCTGGCTCTGGGGCGGCAGAGTGCTGAGCCGCGGTCGGCAGCCCCAAAGCGCGCGAGGTGAGGAGACGCTCTGTCAAATGGCAGCGGCCAGGCGCCCGTTGCTTTGGGGCATCGCACACGCCCAGGAGCCCGGCGTGCTCTCGACGAGAGGCGTCACTCTCGCGGCGGACGGCCGTCGGGCTGAGGTCAATTCAACACCACGCTGCCAATGGCCGGGGGAGGAGGCCCTCCTCGTCGCCCTGGCGGCATCCATCCTGGCGCGCAGCTCCGCCGGCGCGTCTAGCACGCCTCTGGGGCGTCTTGGGGCAAACCGCACCGGGGTGCCAGGCTCATCGGAACGGCAGAGGCAGAGTGGGCTAGATGCGGCGCGGCGGGCGTGTATCAAACCGCACGCTTCCCTGATTCCTGGCCAGCGTCCGGTCGGTGTCTCCACGCCTGCTGGGGGCGCTGTTTCGAGGCCGGGGGCGCTGCGGATGTCGTAGACACTGTCGATATCAGTGCTGGCGCGGTCGAGGAGGCAGCACAGAAGAGAGCATCGGCGCTGCAGCGAGCGTCGTCCTGCTGGCACATCCTTGCTGTGCATCGTCCTCGGCTGGGAGATGCACGATGGCCTGGTGGAGATGGCCGGCATGGCGCGTTTGGCCCGCAGATTGCTCAGCCTGCTGCTGCTGGGCGCGGGTTGATGTGCACCGGCCTGCACAACGCGTCGGCGAGAGGGGATCGGAGGGACGGGAGGGACGGCTATGATGAAGGAAGCAGAACCTGGCAGCGTTTGAGCAGCCACTTCGATACCCGCGTGATTGGCCCAGCGCGGCGCTTCTTCAGCCCTTCTGGAAGCTTGGAGCCGGCCATCTTCTGCGCACGAGACGCCCTCACAGCTCGCGGAGCACACACTGCGTGACTGGGTACGTACCGGTACATACAGACGAGATTTGCCCTCCACCGCAGCTGGCAGGACGTCCCTCACTGGCGGGCGGCGCGCGCCGGAGAGTGGTGGCGTGCTCCAAGCCAGCGTGCTCCAAGCCAGCGTGCTCCCAGCCAGCGCTACGGAGCGGACTCCTCGTGAATAGTTCAGCGGAGGTGGCGATCATCCCCACCCTTGCCGCTTCGCCAAATCCAAAATTATCCACGGCTGCCAGTGCCCAGCCTTAGGTACGCGACCGTACCTCCTAGCACGACCAGACACCACGCACCTGCACATCATGGAGGCTGAAATCAGGGCCCAAATCCCTAACATCGACCCCATCCTGTCAGACTATTCCGTCGGCTATCTGACCCATGCCTCCAACTCCTTCCTCTCTGATGCCGACCCCAACGCGCCCTCGCCACTAGCTGAGGCCGCCTCCACCATTTCCGCCATCCTACTGTCCGCATCCGGCGATCTGTCCAAGGAGAATGAAGTGACCATCCAGGGCCTGGTGGACAAGTTCGTCTCGCGCCTAAGTGCCACCAATGGCGCCAACGGCGAGAAGAGGCAGATGGCCCCCTCGGCGAAGAGGCTTGACCAGGCCATCCACGTGGGCTCCTCGCGCAACATCTCCTCCACGCTGGGCCTGACCGGCGGCGGCGTGGACCTCGAGTCTGCCAATGCCAAAAAGGTCGAGTCGAGGGTCGACCGCAAGAAGCTGGAGAAGGCCGAGCGGAAGATCCGCGCCAAGCAGGACAAGAAGGAGATGAAAAATGTCGAATATGAGGCATCCCGCCTGCTCAACGTCCCCGACGAGACCCAGTCCTACGAGGAGTTCTTCATGCTGGTCAACCCGCTGCAACTCGGCGCTGACTCCCAGACCAAGAGCAAGGACGTGAAGATTGACGGCATCGACCTCTCGATTGGTGGTCTGCGAATTTTGAATGACACCAACCTCACTCTGGCGTATGGCCGTAGATACGGTCTCGTAGGTCAGAACGGTATTGGTAAATCTACACTGCTTCGAGCTCTCAGCCGAAGAGAAGTCGCCATTCCCACTCACATATCAATTCTGCACGTTGAACAGGAGGTTGGTGCTAATCGCTCACGTCATGCTCACTCCATACTAACATGATTCCAGATCACTGGTGATGACACCCCAGCTTTGCAAGCGGTCCTCGATGCCGATGTCTGGCGCAAGCATTTGCTTAAGGAGCAGGACGTAAGCCTTCTCTATCCGTTTTGAGACGTATCTAACAAATATAGAAAATCACAAGAGAGCTTTCTGAGCTTGAAGCGGAAAGAGCCACGATTGCCGACACGGCTGTGGAAGCTTCAAAGCTGGACCATCAACGAGAGGGTCTTGATATCACTCTTAGTGATATCCACTCCAAGCTCTCTGAGATGGAGTCTGACAAGGCAGAGCCCCGTGCAGCAAGTATCCTGGCTGGTCTGGGTTTCTCACCGGAGAGGCAGCAATTCGCGACAAAGACCTTCTCGGGTGGTTGGAGAATGAGACTGGCATTAGCCAGAGCCCTTTTCTGCGAGCCCGATCTACTGTTGCTTGACGGTAAATTTTCCCTACCCGGTCCTTGAGAAAGTCACTAATAGACACCAGAACCGTCCAACATGTTGGACGTCCCCTCTATCACTTTCTTGTCCAACTACCTGCAAACTTACCCCAGCACTGTTCTTGTAGTATCTCACGACCGAGCGTTCTTGAACGAAGTTGCAACTGATATTATTCATCAACACTCTGAGCGACTAGATTACTACAAGGGCGCTAACTTTGGTACGCTACCACCCATACCAATATTTCTCAATACTAACATTATCAGACATGTTTTATGCTACCAAGGAGGAACGTCGTAAGACGGCCGTGCGAGAATATGAGAACCAAATGGCTCAGCGTGCCCATCTTCAAGGTATGTGCCAGTAGCGAAATTGATGAAATCTGCTGACCTTGCCTTTACCTAGCTTTCATCGACAAGTTCCGTTACAATGCTGCTAAGTCGTCAGAAGCCCAATCGAGGATCAAGAAGCTGGAGAAGATGCCGGTATTGGATAAGCCAGAGAGCGAGTACACAGTGCACTTCAAATTCCCCGAAGTCGAGAAGCTGTCCCCGCCTATCATTCAGATGAGTGGTGTGACGTTTGGATACACTCCTGGGAATGTTCTGCTTAAGAATGTCGATCTCGACGTTCAACTTGACTCGCGTATTGGGATAGTAGGACCCAACGGTGCAGGTAAGACGACGGCGCTGAAGCTCCTTATCGGCGCTCTGCAGCCCACCACGGGCTTGATCTCGCAGAACCCCCGCCTCAGACTTGGCTTCTTCGCGCAGCATCACGTCGACGCGCTCGACCTGAATGCAAGCGCGGTCGGGTTCATGGCGGCCAAATTCCCGGGCAAGTCGGACGAAGAGTACCGGCGACATCTGGGCGCGTTCGGCATCACGGGCATGACGGGGCTGCAGAAGATGGAGCTGTTGTCCGGAGGACAGAAGTCACGTGTGGCCTTTGCCTGTCTTTCACTGACGAACCCGCACATCCTCGTGCTGGACGAGCCGTCGAATCACCTGGACATCGAGGCGATGGATGCCTTGTCGGAGGCGCTGAATGCCTTCCAAGGCGGTGTGCTGATGGTCAGTCACGACGTGACCATGTTGCAGAACGTGTGTACCAGTTTGTGGGTATGTGACCACGGGACGATCGAGCACTTCGACGGCACCGTCAAGGACTACAAGCGCCGCATCACGGCGCAGGCGAACGAGGCGGGCGTGGTGACGGCGCATTGAGCGCGCGTAGAAAATAAGTAGCAGAGTATGCCAGAGAGTGTAGCTACCGTGATTCGCCCAGCATACGAGTGGATGGCCGTTCGTGATACGCTCGGTATGCGAGTGGATGTGATATCGGGCGGCAGTGACGCCCTGCGCCCCATGCCTCATTCGGCACGCGCCACTCCGCCGGGAAGAGCGTCTGAGCAGCCTGCTTGTTGACTACCTCCCACGATCCTCGCGACATCATTCCACTCCAACACCAACATCCCACGCCAACGCCAGCCCGCACAGCTCTGTTCCCACTGCCTCCTCCGCTCCCAATGCTGCGTGGCCACTGCTGAGGCCGCCCACTCTGCCAATTGACCGCCGGGAGCATTCCGCCCCTGCACCGCGACCACCACCTCACGTTCACCGCACAACCGTCATCTTGTCGCAGCCACACCCCAGCGACGGCTTGTCCGTACCCGTCACTCCTTTGAACTCTCGTCCAGCGTCCCGCGACTGCGATTCTGCGCGCCCGCCATACTCGGTCGATCCTCCCACCACCGAGAACACCACGCTGACCACCGCCGGTGAATCACCCTATCCCCCTCCCTTCTCATCTCTCTATTTCCCTGCTGAGAGCGCGGCCCACGACCCCAACAAGCCCTTTGTCACCAGCGGCGCCAGCGAGTCTCTCCCGGCCTTTACTCCTGCTCCACCCTTCACCGAGTCGTCGTCCTCAGCTGCGGCTGCTGCTGTCAAAGCTGCGCTTCCCCGCGACACCAAGGATAGTTCCAGCAGCCGGGACCTCGACGACGGAGAGCCTCCCCCACCCTACAGCGAAGGGTCAAGTCCACTCGACTCGTTCACATACGTGATGGCATCCACAGGCGGCCCCGCGAGTATCATAACTCAGGTGTCGCAAGGCGGCGGACCGCCAATAAATACACTAGGAGGTAGGGCATTCCCAAGCAAATCCTGGAACTACTGCTCACAAACTCATAGGTGGATCCGACGAGAACATCACCTTAGAACTACGGTAGGATACCCGGCTACATTCCTTCTTGGATCATGCTAAACCAGCCAGTGGAACGCGGTTCACGCTCTCTCGGGATGAACTCCTAACCCTCCCCGAATTCGTGCTTCTCTCACTCTTCCCGAACGGCCTTTTACCAGATGGGCACATGAACTCATATCACGATGGTGATGTGTACCCCGTAGATGTTGGTACTTCCGATTCTTGTCCCGATCCTACTCCTCCCCAAGCTCGCTCCAACTCCATCCAAATGATCCTCAAGCACCTCTCCAATCCCGTATTATATCTATCTGACAACATATACTCTTCCCAGTACGACCCAAACTCGCTGCAATACATGCTCGAGTTCTTTCGACATGTTGCACAAACCATCCCCACCTCACCCCCTTCCCCCTCCACCCTCGCCGGCACTACGCTCGGTGGCTCGGAAAACCACGCTGAAGCAGTCCCTATCGAGCCTATGCATGGCTCGGCACGCGACATGCTTCAAGATCGCGCCGGCATCATTGTATTGCGGGAAGATCTGGACTTTTACGCGATTCCACCACGACGAGACATCGAGCAGACGGAGATGATTGAAGTCAAGCGTGCGGCTGGCAAGGCATTGCTGAAGCAGGACGGCATCTTCTCTGGGCTTCGGAAGAGCGAGGAGCCGGGAACGACAGAGCAACATCTTATCGAGATGTTGACTGCTGGGTATGTTTCCCCGAATACAGAAGTTCACTGGCAAAAAGTAGCATGAGCTAATCCCACACTCCTAGCGGCTTCAACCACGACGACAGATGGGGCCACCGGGCCGGCGAGCCCAACAAGGCCGTCATCTGCAGCATCGCGCTCGCGCGTCTCCGGACCGACATCAAGGGGAACGACCTGGCTAACAGCAACGCCGTCGGCATGGCGCAGAAGCTGCTCCTCTTCTGGCGGAAGCCCGCGCGGCGATGCTGGTGGGAGGGCGTTGAGCTGAACGACGTCGAGGGCGTGGATGGGCCGCTGAAAGTGTGGATTCGGAGGGTCTGGACGCTGGAGATGGTAAGCATGATAACCCCCTTCGCACACACAAGAAGAATTGAGACTAACGCAGCAGTGGTAACAGAGCGTCATCGGGCTGCGCTGATAGCCCCCCTCCTTCTGGAAAACTCCATTTCTCTTTTCTTTTGTTGTAAAAGGGCCCTGGGGTTATCTTTCCTATACAGCAAAGTTTCGACCGGCCGGAGGTCGAGCTGAGGCCAGTCTATATCATTTTTCTCTCTGGTCCCTTGGTTCTACATGTTTCTAGTGTTTATTGTCATTCTACCTTGCTAGCCTGCCTGCCTACCTACTCTACCTGGTTCTTGGTACATCGACTTCTAAATTGGGTGTTTTTTTCTGGGTCCCCTTGTTCTTGGGTTGCACTAAAAGGTGGGGAGCTGGCTGTTGTTTTTTGCGTGGATTCAGTCGTTCGGAGAAATCTGTGGTTTTGGGTGGGGGGGAGGATAGCTAGCTTTGATATCCTTGGGGTCGTGGTGGAGGTGAGGTGAAGTGAGGTGGGGGGGGGGGGGATTTGCATAGCGTGCGAGCGTGTGTGTGCGGTAGGATAGTTTTTTAGTATGGATGGATGGGTGGGTGGGTGGGTGAGTGGGTATTGTTTCGTGCGAGCTGGGTTGCCAAGAAAGAGAAAGAGGCGGCAGTATATAATGTAGATTGGAATGGGGAGACTGTTAGAGTTGTATAACCCCAGTGGCTTTTTTTGGAGAAATGACTGTGCTCGCTGTCACTGTTGGGGGTTGGGGGGGGCTGTGTGCTGGGTGGCTGGTGATGTGTCTCTGTTGACGAGTTTGCTTTTCAGACTCTGCAATGGGCCGGCCCGTCGGACTCGTTGTCATTCGAGAGTTCAGAGAGCCTTTGATCTCTCTCGTGATATCCGTTGTGTGGGGGGACTGAGATTTGGGGAAGTAAGGGCGTGTAGGGCATCAAGCGAAGGAGGTACGAGAAACTTGTGGCACGGCGTGTGCTTTGCGTGCGTGAGGTGTATTTCTATACTTCGTCTGGATGCTGTGGAAGTTAATGCATTGCTAGCTGTCATTCCTGCAAGCAGTGAGGCATTTTCAAGGCGGGAAGTTAGGGACGAGTGGTGTTAATGCCGTTTCTCTGGCTGGGGACGCTGGGTAAAGAGGCATAGAGGAGCTGAAATATTCGCTCTTTTGAAACATGGATTGTGAAATTGATGCCATTGGTTTCGGGTTGGAGGAAGGGAGGACGAAAAAACGGGAGTTTGATCCCCATCAGATACGTTCTGCGCGAATGAAAGATGTGGTCGGACAAAATGTTTACGATGGTACCTGACCAGTACATTAAAGGTAGGTAGAAACATTCCCCGAAGTGCTTCTAATTCGGGAACATACATCGGCGAGTTCGAAACTGATTGCAGCCAAGCAAACCCGGACTAGGCTTTGCTGGAGGCAGGTCCTGGAAGATGAATGTGTCTTAGTAAGGATGCTTGGGCGTGTCCGATCGGATTCCGGTGCTGACGTCTGACAGGTTGACGGAAAGGTGACAGGCCAGCGGAAAGGTGACAGGCTAGCGGAAAGGTGAAAGGCCCCAAGTGAGGTTGTTCGAAAGCGCGTTCAGGGCAGGAATTACGAGACAAAACGCTGGTAATTGTGAATTTTTCATGAGAAGTATGAGGAAGAAAGGAACGGTGAAGATAAAACACGCCGAGCTGTTATTTTGTTGATGGCCAGACCTTAACGGAGAATTGGTAGTCCACGGGGGCGATTTCTTCGGAGTCGTTGGTGGGACCGTCTGGAAAATTGGGCGGGGTCTCAAATCTACAAAAAGCCGGACACGCCCCTCAATACATTTCACCCTCATCTTTTCCACTCCTCCGAACCACTTATAACCCAGTCCTCACCCTCTACACCCTCCACGCACCTTCGCTCTCTTCAATTGCCACCATGTCCGCTCCCGCACACAAGTCCAAGGTCGCCGACATCAGCCTCGCGGCGTTCGGTCGTCGTGAGATCGAGTTGGCCGAGAATGAGATGCCTGGTCTGATGGCCACCCGGGCCAAGTACGCTGAGGACCAGCCATTGAAGGGTGCCCGTATTGCCGGCTGCCTTCACATGAGTACGCTCTTCCGCTCTAGAAATGCCGTTGTTGTTGCTAATCCGCCGTGTAGCCATCCAGACCGCTGTTCTTATCGAGACGCTCAAGTTCCTCGGTGCGGAGCTCACATGGACCAGCTGCAACATCTTCTCCACCCAAGATCACGCCGCCGCGGCCATTGCTGCTGCCGGCGTCCCTGTGTACGTTGATTCCGGAATACATTGAGACTTCCCAGGCTGATAAAACTAGCTTTGCGTGGAAAGGCGAGACCGAGGAGGAGTACGAGTGGTGCTTGGAGCAGCAGCTCACGGCCTTCAAGGACGGCAAGAAGCTGAACTTGATCCTCGACGATGGCGGTGACCTGACTGCCTTGGTCCACAGGAAGTACCCCGAGATGCTCAAGGACTGCTACGGTGTCTCAGAAGAGACCACCACCGGCGTGCACCACCTGTACCGGATGCTGAAGGACAAGGAGCACGGCCTCCTCGTCCCGGCTATCAACGTCAACGACTCCGTCACAAAGTCCAAGTTCGACAACTTGTACGGCTGCCGTGAGTCGCTTGTCGATGGTATCAAGCGTGCCACCGATGTCATGATTGCTGGCAAGGTCGCTGTTGTTGCTGGTTTTGGTGATGTCGGCAAGGGTTGCGCTCAGGCTCTTCACAGCATGGGTGCCCGTGTCATTGTCACTGAGATTGATCCTATCAACGCTCTTCAGGCCGCTGTTTCCGGTTACCAGGTCACCACCATGGAGGAAGCTGCTCCTCAGGGCCAGATCTTTGTCACCACGACTGGCTGCAGAGACATTCTCACCGGTGTTCACTTCGAGGCTATGCCGAACGACGCCATTGTTTGCAGTATGTACACGTTCGCAATCTTCACTTGCTCGAGCTAACGAGATCAGACATTGGTCACTTCGACATCGAAATCGATGTTGCGTGGTTAAAGGCAAACGCCAAGTCCGCCCAGAACATCAAGCCCCAAGTCGACCGTTACCTGATGAAGAACGGCCGCCACATCATCCTCCTCGCCGAGGGCCGTCTCGTCAACCTTGGCTGTGCCACCGGTCACTCTTCCTTCGTCATGTCGTGCTCTTTCACCAACCAGGTTCTTGCCCAGATCCTGCTCTTCAAGGCCAGCGACGAGGCTTTCAGCAAGAAGTACGTTGAGTTCGGCAGCACTGGCAAGCTCGACGTTGGTGTCTACGTCCTCCCCAAGATCTTGGACGAGCAGGTTGCTCTGCTACATCTGGACCACGTGAACGTCAAGCTATCCAAGCTGTCTGACGTCCAGGCCGAGTACCTTGGTCTACCAGTGAACGGACCCTACAAGAGCGACATGTAAGCATATCCTCCCTACTTTCCAGCAAGAACGACGCTAACCTTATCACAGCTACCGCTACTAATCTCTCTTTTTCTTTCGAACATGTGTGAATGTTTCAACACGAGGTCATGAACTGGGAATGATATCCAAAAGTTTATAATTGTCTTCAACGGCATTGTTCTCATCCTACCAATGGGGTGCATAAACCGTCTTTTCTTCACAAAAGATGGGTGGGGTTTTAGGCTATTTCCTGGGAGCGAGTTTCCGGCGTTGCATCCCTAGCGGCCTTTCAACCATGGCCGTGTAGATGAGATGATTCTATATTTTCTTCAAGGGGCTTGAAGGGGAGATGGGATGGTGAGAGGCGAGTTGGTGAGAAGGCGGCTGTAGAGGATTACATAGTGAGGGCTTGCGAGGCAGGTCTAGCGAAGATGAATCGAGATGGGCCTTGTGCTCGTAATACTTCCAATGCTTGTCCCCGTTCGAGGTTTGCCTTTGTGATCTGTGAGAATAATGCTTCGATGTGTGTTATCGAAGTCCGTGTAAGCTTGATGAGAGCTCTAATCTCTAATAACGGAACGTCGGTTGGCTTGAGAATACAATCGGTCCAATGCGTGTGAGGAATGCTTTTCTGCAACCCTGAGGATCCATCGTCCTCTTAATAAATTTAAATTACGGGTGATGTTTCTTCGGAGCCCGGAGTTGGAGCAAATATGCGCCTTTCCTGATCGGGCCACTAGCGGCTGGGCGCCACACAAGCGAAAATCGCCCACCATGAGACTTCGACGAACTTTACGATTTGGCCTGATTTCCCTCTCCACCCCAGACCGTCCCGCCACATACGTCCAAGATGAGGTACATCCAGTCGGAAGAGCTGCTGGAAATTCCAGAGGGTGGTAAGTTCTGGCGGCACCGAAGTGAGGGGTGACTGGACAAGGCGCTGACCGCGAATATAGTCAAGATCGCTATCAAGCGGAGAATCGTAACTGTCGAGGGACCACGAGGTATGGCCTATCCAATTCGCACTCTCAAGGATGGGAAACACCGCTGTTGAAATTAATGGAATGGCTTGAAAGGGACTGCGGCTAACGTTTGGAATTTTGAATCGGCACAGGCAAACTATCCAAGGACCTCTCCCACCTCAGCGTCTCCTTCAGCAAAGTCCCCTCGCTGCCCAACACGATCAAAATCGAGCTGTTCCATGGCGTGCGCAAATCCGTGGCCGCGCTGCGCACCGTCCGCACCCTGATCAACAACCTCATCATCGGCGTCACCAAGGGCTACCTGTACAAGATGCGCTACGTCTACGCCCATTTCCCAATCAACGTCAACGTTGAGAAGAAGGACGACGGTATCACCGAGGTGGAGATCCGCAACTTTATCGGCGAGAAGATCACCCGGCGGGTGCGCATGCACGAGGGCGTTGAGGTCGCCATGAGCGCCAATGTCAAGGATCAGCTGGAGTTGAGCGGGAACAGTCTGGACAATGTCAGCCAAAGTGCGGCGAGCATTCAACAGATTTGCAAGGTGCGGAATAAGGAGTGAGTTTACCCTTTTCTTCCGTCCATATCCTCCACACCACACCGTTAGGATTCTTCAGAGAGCTCTCCATCTAGGATATCAGTGTCAACGAATTGAATGGCTCGCTAACAGATCTCTCTTCCCACAGTATTCGAAAGTTCTTGGACGGTCTCTACGTGTCAGAGCGAGGCAATATCGTTCAGGACTGAGCGGGATCCTTCCTAGTCACCGTGCATGCATTGTTTTGGGGGACCTTCCTTTTCCTTTTGCGTGGGCGATAGGCGGGGGTTGGGGAAATACAAACTTCACTTCAATGCAAGGGAGTCGATGTTCTCACAAAAATGCGAACAAGCTGAACGATTCAAGGCGGCTCCGCTGCAACTGCTGTATTCTAGCTGCCGTCGTGAAGATAGCTGGGATCGGAATTATACCTCGTCTAACCCACATGACAATTCGCGGATGATGTTCGAGTCTAATCTTTTGGTGTGATCTGGTTCTGCTAACCTGGAGTTTTCAAAGGGGGGATGGATGCTAATGTGTTTCTACGCTGATCAGACTCTCATCACCTCCACGATTCTCTCTCATGTACTCTCACTGTAATCACAGGCTATTTACAGCTTTCTTCGCAACTCTTCTCCGCTCCGTCACCCCCAACATCCACCTCGGTGGGTCACGCTCGAATCATGGAACTTAGTGACGCCAACAGCGCAAAGGGCGTCGCATAACGATGATTTCATTAGGAAGGAGTCCCCGTACGTTCTATGGGTGCTGATGGGCCGTTGGAGAATAATGCGTACGACTATGTATTACTGCCATCGATGAAATTTGATTCAATAGGGAAAGCGCGTGACCCCATGACGTCGCGCATACTTCTCTGCAGCACTTCTCGATATTGGGGGGTTTTGATAGTCTGATTATCTCCCCCCCCCCCCCCAAAAAAAAGGCTCTTCTAAGAGCTTAGTACAGGGCCTTGCCAGGAACCTGCGTGCGCTTCTACGTTTTGATAGGGATTCAGAAGGACAGGGGACATGCTTAGTCTGTGCCGTTCTACCACTATTATTACCGCATGAAGAACGGTATGGATATCTCTTGATCTTTAAGGGGTCGCTGAGCGACACTGAGAGTTGTAGCCAACCAAAAAAGGTCGCAAAATATTCTTACTAAGAGTTTTAACCACTCGAAACTAGCCTCCAAAGACCCAAATTAGACACCTGCATCCTTGATACGCCAAAACAAGTGCAAAGCCTTTAAAAAATCTCTCCTAGCCCGGAGCCATCAGTCGTCCAACACGATTACCTCCGGCTTAGCCTCGACAATCATGCCAAAGTTACCCTTCCCTTTCGCACTCTTCCGCACCAACGTGAAGCTGTGCGACAAGCTCAGTTTCTCGCAAACCTCCTGCCAATCGTCTTCATCCATAGCCTCTCTCACCTGCTCGCTATACGTGATCTCCTTAACCTGAACCTCCCACGGCCCCTGTGCCTGTATAGTCCTCAGGCCGCCCATCGTAACCGTCTCCCCCACGAAACCCCTGATATTCCCCGCCCGAATTTCCTCCACCCACGCCGGCTCGCGCAAGACGGGGAACTTCTCCGCCAGCTTCGCCACCTCTCCCGGGCGGTCCGCGTAATAGCAGCCGCAGCAATGGTGCACATCGTTCTCGCCCGACGCGACCACGACGTCCGCCTCAGGATGCTGCGCCGCGAACTTGACCCACGGGAAGAAATCCCCCTGGTAGCGGACCCGCAGCCCCTTGGCCTCCCGCGTGTGGAAGCACAGGTGGATGTGCCGCAGCCACCGCACGTTGTCCCCGAGGCTGGTCAGCCACCGCTCGAAGCGCCACGTCGTCGGCCGCGTGCACACGTACCACACGCTGCCGATCATGCGGATGTCGAAGCGGGGGTCGCGCGCGCGCACGTCGTGGTCCTCGTGGAACGCGAACGTGTTCGCGCTGTAGAAGATGGAGAGCCCTTCCTGCCGGACCTGGCGGCACACTTGGAGCAGCGCGGGCACGCCGGTCGGGGGCCGGTACGCGCCGCCGCGGGCGACGTGGTGGCTCCGCGGCTTCTTGGTCGTGCCCCAGCTCACCTGGACCTTGGAGGGGTAGACGAGGGCGTGGTCGTAGATCATGTTGCGCAGCTCGCCCGAGAGGTTCATGAAGCTGGTGCCGGGGGAGTTGGGAGTTTGAGCGGGTTTCGAGGTCTTGGCGACTTTGGTTCTGAGGGTTCTGAGGGTTTTGGGGGTGTGTGGCTTCTTGGTTTTTGGCGTCTTGTGGTCTGATACACGGGGTTCCTTTTTCGCTGTGGTCTTCTTCGGCGTCGTGGCCTGAGCGGATTTCGAGGTCTTTGCAACTCTAGGGCTGAGTTTCTTCATAGCATGCAACTTCTTCGTGATCTCGCGAAGTGAGACACCCCTCTTCTTTTTCGACATCGATTTCTTCGTTCTCGCCATGGCGAAGCAGACAGCCTCAATATGGCCGGTGTTAGATAAGGTCGTGGACGGCGGTGCCGCGCCTAGCTGCCTGCGAGGTGGTTGCGTAGGCGGCAGAGATCTTCCCCCGAGACGAGATGTAAAGTCGTCGGGCTACTCTAAACAGCGTCTACTAGTAAGGATTTCCTAGCAGCAGCAGTCTCAGGTTCGCTATTGGTTGTATGCTGGAGGTGGTCTGCTGAAGCTAAGGCTGAGGTTGAGGTTCGTGGATGTAGAGCTTTCGCTTAGACCACTCTGAGGCTCGGGCTTTGCCAAGTCTAGCCACGTGACATAGGACTGCTGACTATGAGGTTGCACCGATACTGATATCCGGTGTTAGTGCATATGTTATCAGCGTGTGAGCAGGCTGATCGAGGGTGTGAGCGCCAGGCATGTTCATCATGGGTGCACTGTCTGAAGTATTTTCAGATTTCCAAAACGGCATACCCTTGTAAGAGGACCTTCGAGGTCTTGCGGACGCCCTTCGCTTTCGGCAGGGTGGGTCTAGCGGCAGCTTTCTTCAAGTTCGGTTTCTTCTGTCTCGCCATGGCGACATTCGTGGTCTCGATATCATCAAGGCTAGGTGTGCGAAGCTATCCCTTGGTTGACGTGAAGTCGTGTAATAGGTCGCAATTTGCTTCTAGAGAGTCCTAGAGCACACGTATGCGTTTCGAGAAGAATCTTACAGCAAAACTTCTCCCGGGCTCTTACTCAGACGATTTTGCAAAGGTGAAGTGTGTTGTTCTCGGAGACGTTTAAGGTTGGAGCAAACAATGAAGGTCGCACGGGCGCAAAGAACAGTCACGTGCCCTGCGAACCCCCATCTGTAAGTACCTGATACATGCTTCGTTGTTCTCTAATTTGCTATCTGCACCAACACAATGACATGTAGCGTCTGGCGGCACATCAAGATATTTACCTACTTCGTACAAAGGTATGCCGCACTGTATTCGAAGGTCACATGCTTTCCATTCTCGCCAAGCCTCATCTACCAAAATCACTTCTAAAAATCTCCGCCGAACCTCCGCCTATCTCCAGTTGCCACATTACATTAACGCCGCTTTGTCGTACAGGACTCCACAGTCTGCACTAACCCAGCGTCGTTTACATATGCCTCGAAACGCGTCATGGAAGTCATAAAGCCAGAATGTACGCCAAGACTTCGTTTTACGAGCGCTGGTTAGCCGGTTTCCCAATCCAGACTTCGCTAGCGCTCTTTGGATCTCCGACTTCAACCGACTTCATCTCCGGCGCAGTACTACAATCACCTGAGAAATGATGAGGAACTCGCTCGTAGGCGTCGTTTGGAATACGCGGTCTGGACGACGGTATGCACGGGTCATTGCAATGGCCCCGGTTGTCCGATGTACGAAGTGTGCGACGTGGAGTTAGCTCAACCTCCGCTGGAGGGAGTCTGAGTGTGTTAGTGTTAGCGGAATGTGTATATAAGAAGACTCCTCTACCAACCTTTCATCTCTCATCATCTAGTCTCTCAAAGCACTCCAGCTCTTCTTGATATCTCGTTCGAGTATTCCAACTCTTTATCATTCGATATCCCACTCAAGCCACCACAGCTTCAAATAGCTTATGCTTCGAGCCGCCTCCTCTGCTCTCAAAATGGCTTCCAACCGCATCAAGAACGTCGCCATCGTTGGCGTAAGTGCACTACCCGATCAATGGCCTCCCTCAAACTTTCGCCCTGGGCACTCTTACTCCTGTCATACTTCCTACTAACCCACCCCAGGCCACCGGCAACAGCGGATCGTACATGGTCTCGTCCCTCCTAGCCACAGGAAAACACAACGTCACCGCCATCACTCGCGCTAGCTCCAACACCACCCTCCCCGCCGGCGTCACGGCCGCACCCGTCGACTACGACGACCCCTCTTCCCTCGTCGCCGCACTTAAAGGCCAAGACGCCCTCGTCATCACCCTGGGCGTCATGGCACCCCCGGGCACGCAATCGAAGCTCTTCCGCGCCGCCGCCGACGCCGGCGTCCCCTGGGTCCTCCCCAACGAATGGGCGCCCGACACCGCGCACCCCGGCCTAGCCAAGGACGTCTTCAACTTCGGGAACCTGGCCGACGCGCAGAAGGAGCTTGCCGCCATCGGCGTGAGCAACTACGTCGCCGTCACGTGCGGCTTCTGGTACGAGTGGAGTCTCTCCATACCGACTGCGTTTGGCTTCGACTTCGAGAAGAAGGAGGTCACGTTCTTCGATGACGGCGCGGCGAAGCAGAGCACGAGCACGTGGCCGCAGGTGGGACGGGCCGTGGCGGCGTTATTGAGTCTGCCTGTGAAGCCTGAGGGCGGGAATAAGGAGAAGTCGTTGGAGCATTTCAAGAATAAGCCGGCTTATGTCAACTCTTTCACGGTCTCGCAGAAGGATATGCTCGATTCGGTTCTTCGCGTGACTGGGGACAAGCTGGAGGACTGGAAGATTAGCAATGAGCCGAGCCATGAGCGCTGGGCGAAAGGCATCGAGGCGATGAAGGGCGGTGATCGGAGCGGGTTCGTCAAGATGATGTACACCAGGGTCTTCTATCCTGATGACAGTGGCAATTTCGAGAAGACTCGGGGAGTGAGCAACGAGTTGCTGGGCTTGCCGAAGGAGGACCTTGATGAAGCTACGAAGGCGGCTATTAAGAGAGCCAAGGAGATTTCGAGCCACTAGATCCTAGACTTGCGGAGAGTGACGTATTTTGAAGGGTGCTCGTAGCTCTGCTATTAGTTTCAGGAATTCAAGTCGTCGTTCACGCAATCAAGTCTATACTTTCTAGAATATATCTAGTGCACACTTTCGTGAGTGCTTTGACACACTTCAAAACCTAGATCACGCTGAGTACACTCTTCTGAGCATTCGTTACGTCGCTGAGCCACCTCATACCGGGGCTTTCGACAATTCAAAAGAGATTATCATACCTGCAGACTACACGAAACACGCCCCCCCATTCGCGCAAACCGTCGACCCTGTGACCCACCTCGACCTCTCCTCGCAAAGAAAAGCAACGACTTGAACCACATCGTCAACTTCACCAACCCTTGGTGCAGCCGGAGTGATATCGATGTAGTTCTGCATTCCAGGAACCGCGTCAACCGGCGTAGCACTGCGTTCGAGCGAAAAAGTCAGCTTTCACACCTTTCCTAAGCTCACATAAAGCCTCGAACCCACTCACTTCCACATATCCGTAGCCACTGGCCCCGGATTAACCGCATTGACCGTAATCCCATACGTATGCCCCAGCTCCGCCGCCCACGTCTTCGCAAAGCTCTCCATGCACGCCTTCGACGCCGAGTACGCCGTCTGCATAGGCCACCCTACACACCCCTCATCAGACTTCCCACCCTCTCCAGCATCGCTCACTCGCACAACATACCTTGCCGCGCGCACACACTCGACACATTAACCACCCTGCCCCCCCTGGGTAAGTACGGCAAGCACTCCTTCACCAAGAACATCGGAAAGCGCACGTTGGTGTAGAACACCTTGTCGAAGTGCTCGAGCGTGCAGTCGGCGAGGTACAGCTCGTCGCCCGCGCCGGCGTTGTTGACGACGATGTCGATGCGCGCGCCGAAGGCTGCGGTGGCGGCGCTGACGATTTTCTGCGGCGAGGCCGGGTCCATGCAGTCGGCTTGCACGGCGATGGCGGCGCCGCCGCTGGATGTGATTTGTGAGACGATTTCGGAGGCTTTTTGGGCGGAGGAGATGTAGGTGAGGAGGATGTTGGCGCCCAGGCGGGCGAGCTCGATGGCGATGCCGGCGCCGATGCCGCGGGAGCCGCCGGTTATGATGGCGGTTTTGTTGTGCAGGGACATTGTGGGAGAGGGTTTGAGATGTTTAATGTTTGAGAGGATGGACTGGAATGGAAAGAAGTGAAAGGGAGAGAGAAGGAGAAAGTTATTCCTTTTTCGTGTACTTGCAAGACTGCGAGATGGAAAGAGTAACAGTTTGGAGAAAGTTACTGGCTTGAGCTTGAGTGGCGCATGTACGTTGGAGACTATCAGTTAGTAGCAGTTAATAACTTGAAGATTCTCAGTAGCATATGGACTCAACACGCAAAGGCGGGAGTGGCGGGTATATAGAGCTATTTCAGTTTAGCGGCGGGGTATCTTCTGCCTGTGTGACTGGGGCCAGAGATCAAGAGTGGCGCAGTTCCTCTTCATAACTGCCTGTTTGGTGGAAGGGTAATTCGCGAGTACGCTAGATATGCAGGAGGCCTTGAAGCTTGAACCCACTACATGAAGCAGGTTGACAAGCCCAATAGTTTCGACTAGGATCTTGCAACAAATCAATGGCATCTGAGGGACTTACTACCTTGAGAGATAATCCAAACCTTCCAAACGTAGTGGTGTCACGCAAAGCTGATGTTTACTACCGTTGGAGGACAGGAAGACGTGGGCGGTAGTAGTGCTAGAGCTGGCGGCGGCTACGAGGCCGAGGAGAGCGAGGCCGAACATTTTAGCTTAGGATTGGATAGAGGTTTGAAGCTGTTTAGGGGAGTAAATGAGGTATAAGATAAGAAGAGAAGAAACATATATATGGGCGCTGGTTATATGTGTCTTAGAATGCTTGATTACATCTGGAGCCATGAAGCTGAGAGGTATGTTCCGTGGTTGACTCTCCTTCGACCCTAACCTCAAGAGTAGATCCCAGGCTGCCACGCCCTTAGTCTCGGTCTCGATGCTTCCTCACTCGCAAACAGCAACTCATTTCTGTCCACCCCCTCAGCTTCATCGTGATAACCATACTTGATCCACTGATTCCGGACGATGGGATGCGACATAATCTCGCTCCCACTCAACCCCCTCCCAGACTCACCCAGCCGGTCCATTACCGGCCTCAGCAGCATTGCAATAGAGAAGAAGCTCTCGTCCAAGATCTTGCCCTTATTCGCAAACGTGAGCAGCAGCACCAGGGCCCCAAGCTGTATTGCTAGAATACTGCCCAGGATCCCCAATATATAGCCCCAGTCCACGTTCAGTTGCTGGCCTTGCACAGGGCGAGAGTTCTGATTTAGAACGATGTAAGCAGGGCCGTGGTCGTCCAGCGCTGCGAGTGAACCAATAGTGAATTGAGACAGCAGACCCTCAATCTCTGTTCTATTCACCTGGTGCGGGGGGCTCCATTTCGACCCACCGCGACCCAAGTAGCCTTGCCATTGGAAAAGGTCGTGGCCTGACATACTATATCCCGTCCAAGCGATCGCGCCGGCTCCGATCCGGGCGAATTCGTCAGTGCCGTTGATATGCTTCCAGTCTTCATCGCTAAGATGGCTAAAATCAGAGCCACCATCTAGGACGTGATCTAATGTGTTGTTGCACAGGAACAAAGCAGCAGAGAAAACTTCGATATCATTTGGGTGTTGGTAGACGGTCAGGTTTGTGCAGCGTGGGCCGCAGAATGCTTCATGTGATGCGACCCAGGTAACGCCGCCTTGGACCCATTGCGGCACTTCAATCTTTTGCCAATTTCCGTTATCAAGCTAGGGTTGTTAGACACATGAAATAGTTCCTCCTAGGTGTCAAAAAACTTACTGTCGCGTTGGCGTAGTACTGGCCATCGTCATCTTCATATAGGGTGTTTCCTTTCACGGCAAACTGCTGGCAAGATGCACTCGCGCGAATGGTGCGGCCAGAAGCCAGAACATTATCGTAGGGATGATCGGGATTGCGGTTGAGAAACCGGTACTCGTGGAAACCGTCCCCTTCCAGGATGGTGTTTCGTTGGGCTGCGATTTTGTTTTTCTTGTCTTTTAATATAGAAATTACAGGATAGTTCTCAGCTTGGATTCCGTAGGCATTTGCAGCTGCTAGCTGTGATTGATTTGTCTCTTGCGCGCCCGCGGCCGGGTTCCAGTTGGTCATGTCGGACACAGAGACGTTCCCGTGGACGAAAAGCGGCATCGCGGATGAAGGGTCTACGGGCCAGAAAAGACTCAGAGCGGCAACAAGTATCTGAGCGCCGATATTTACTAAAAGCCAAAGCATGCAGAATATCGGGGTGTACAGTGGGCCGTCTCTTGGTTTATTCTTTAGCCAAGGAATTTCACGGAGTAAAGGCACGGCACGTATGCCTGGCATTGACTCTACCATCAACCTTAGTACCTTAGTAAGCGTCTCTACCCCTAGGATCAAATCGAAGGTCTCCAGGGATACGAATCGTCTCGCGAGTAGCGACCAGCGCAAGGTAACGGCGTATTTCTTCAGCGAGGAGGCCAGGTTAAGACCGAGCCCTAATGACAAGCCCAACATAAGGGAGTTGAAAATTCTGACAGAGTGGTTGCTCAAGATGACTGGCTTCTTAAATCCTTGGTACGACTTGAGGGTCAAACAAATCAGGAGGCTGAAAATGAAGGTCACCAGAAGGCGCACGAACCCGGTGCGGAAGAGCTCTTTGCGAGAGTCGTGGTAGTTGTATTGCCGTTTCGCTACCCCGTTGACGAATAAGGGTTCGGAATCCGTAGAGTTATATGTTTCATATGCGTTTGGGATTCCCTCTTTCGCAAAAGTGTCGCTTGCGGGTCTACGCTCGCCAAGTCGTTGAAAAGTCGGATGAGCCTCCCCTCCTGGCGTTCCTATATAGCTATGGGTTAAGCGATGTCGTAATGAAGTGTCATCTCCCTCATGCGGCGCTTGTGTTGAATAGTGACTTTGCTGATGCTGTAAAGAGACGTAGTCCTCTTCGTGCGCGGCCTCCGTAGGGCTGTGGGTCGAGATTCGCTGAAGCGGGACTCCATCCGCTGCATCTCCATGGCCCTGGCTGATGTGAGAATCGACCGAGCTCACTGGCGATGCGCGACCACGTCTTCCGTTTTCAATAAGGCTGTCGCTCTGAGCGCTATGAATGGTTTGCAAGGGCGGAAGTTGAGGGGCGTTCGACGCCATACCCGCGCTTGGCTGCAAATCAACACGAAAATGGAGAATGGTGTTGGGCAAAGGCAAGGGAAAGGATCACGAAATTCCAAGCTCCAGGGGATGGGTATAAATAAGATGAAAGAGCGACAGGCCTACGCGTTGACCGAGTTCGCCAGCCGTTGGGGCGAGAGGCGCGGGTAGATGAATGTAGCCTGGACTGGAGACATTCGGGACGGCCCACCGACGGCACCACCTCGAGGTGCATGTCTTTTCTGGCGGGGCTGGTGCCTAATCCCTGGGTGCCGGGGATCCGCTTAAACACGACTTGCCAGAGGGTTTGTGCCCCTGCAGCAAGACGCAGCCTCGGTGTGAAGGGTTCTGAATGTGGTTGGTCAACAGGCTGCCGCCTTCACCTTACACAGGTCAGACCTGCCGGTCACCGACCCCAATATATCTGAGAAAGGCTTCATGGCCGAGAGACGTAGTTGGGGGCCGAAACGGCCGACTTTTGGAGACCAGGGGGCGCCGGGAGCGATAAGACGAAGGGATTAGAGGCGTTGGGGGCCAAAAGACATCAAAACGCCACTGCTGTGCTGCTGACACAGCCATCCGCGCATTTATATATCAATGCGTCACTTCCCTGCGAATCTAGAACGAATGTAAGTATAGTGAGAAGCTCTGTGAGTAGGAGGTAGCCACGTCTGGGGTGGCCTGGAGGGTTATCGACGTGGTTTCAGCGGTTTCCGCCCAGTTTTTGGTAGTATAGCGAGAGCACTTCAGACAATGTCAGAAAAGTGTACACAGGATGTTGTGCAGTTACGGAGTACGGACACGGGGATTGTGTTCCCCTCCTTCAAAGGGCGCGTGAGGTTAGCTTAACCTCCTAGCGCACCTGCGTAATTGGGTGCATTAGTAATGCAATTTTATGGATATATGGGTAAGCATCAGGTATTGTAGGCAACAATTCCTCTACACTCTGCATGTTCCCAACTATCTCAATTCGATCACTTCTTCAAGCCCTCAAACTCTGAACAATACACTCGCAACCATGCCAATCCCAATCCTCTACGACATCCCCAGCAAGAAACCGCTCGAGAGCTGGTCACTGAACCCATGGAAGAGTACGCCCTCCCCAATCAGGCACCAACCCACCATCCCGCTCTAACACCCCCAGCCCGCCTCGCCCTCAACTTCAAGAAAATCGACTACCAGACCGAATGGGTCGAATACCCAGCCATCGCGCCCCTCCTCAAGTCCTTGTCAGTCCCATCCCATCCCACCCCACCACTCAATGCCACCACCCCATTCCCAACCCCAAATCTCCATACTCAAACCACGAAGCGGCCTCCCCCCCAACGACCCCACCGACCCCGACTACTTCACCGCCTACTCCATCCCCACCGTGCGCTTCGACGAGCGCACCTACGTCATGGAATCCAAGGCCATCGCCGCGGAGCTCGAGCAGCGCTACCCAGACCCGCCACTGCACCCATCCGCCCCCCTCGTAGCTGAAGTCCAGAAAGCGGTCAATGCCGCCTTCGGGCCGTTGACGCCCATCCTCATCTCCGCTATCCCGCGCAACCTCCTCACGGAGACGTCGGCGGGGTGGTTCGAGGACGACCGCAAAGCGCGGATGGGCGGCGTGAGTCTGGCGCAGATGGAGGCGGAGAAGGGGGGGGAGAAGGCGTGGGGCTTGGCGGCGGAGCCGGCGGCGGCGTTGGCGGCGCTGCTTAAGAAGAACGAGGGCCCGTTCTTGGGGGGCGAGAAGGGTGAGTTGCTTGGGACTGTGTCTAAGGGTCAGTGAGGCGAGTTGCTGACTTTTTAGTAGTTCAGTATGCGGACTTTCTGATTGTGAGCTTTTTGCATTTTGTGAAGCGGGTTGATCAGCGGCATTTTGAGAGATTCGTTGCGCTTGATCCGGCGTTTGCGGCGATCTATGATGCGAGTAAAGAGTGGCTCGCTAGGGGGGATCATTAGAGCACTGGGCTTTGCACCTGGAGGTTGAACTCGATTATTGAACTTGATTTCAGTAGCCGAGGATTTTTCCCAGTCTTCGTGACGCTGTTGGGAGAGTTCAAAAATCGCATACACAATGACAATACTGTGGTGCTGACGTCGCTCTTGAAGCTTGGCTAATGGTGCATGTAATATTGGGTATGAATGCCTGAAAACAACATGATTGAATAGCTCCAACAAGGCTCTATGCAGGAAATATCCACACGGACATGAAAACAATGAAGAACACACAGGTAATGATACAGTCTTGGCTGCAACACTTCTTTAAAATAGAAAACAATATCTTACTCGTGCCGGCGGCGACGGTTTGGCGGTTCAAAACCATCCAGCACTTTCGACGTCAGCGGTGCATCCTGCTGGCCCAGTGTCGAATCGTCCGATCCGATCCCACTGGGGTCGGCATACGGACGCTGGGCCGGGTCCAGATGTTGAGGCCACCGAAGTTGCAGAGGTGGCACAGGACGCTTGAGCTTAGGCCAAACCGGTTGGTCACTGGGTAGCTGGGTCGCACCATCTCCAGAATTCGTCTCGGAGGAGAGTGGGCTGAAGATGCTCACCTCGTCGATATCGGAGAAGGATACTCGATGGGTGCCGTTCGGATCAGGCAGGTCGTTGTCTCCTGGTCTTGACTCCGGCTGAGCTTGGGACTTAGGTGCCTTGCCTCCAACTTGAGCGTCTATGGACGATCTCGAATATTTCGACACATCTGACGTTGAACTCGACAGTGCATCGGGCACCTTAGGCTCTGGGAAGCCTCCTAAAATCTGTCGAGGCGTAGCGTCTCCCGTTGAACCAATCTCAGAAGGGTTATCTGTGGCTGGAGGATGAGTGTCTAGATTTTGCGCGGCCTGCCGCTCCCGCCGGGAGCTTTGGCTAGAGAACTCGATCTCCCGAGATGGTCGTGTCGGTATGGGCTTGGGTTGATTCCCCCGAATGCTTCTCTCTACAGGCCCATTGTGTTCGACTGGTAGGATATCTGATGGCCGAGAGTTGACAACAACGATTTCAGGGCGACTATCTGATGATCGGGATGAAGCTTCTGGTAACTTCCCCTCGCCTCGGCTTGTAGTTCCCGATATTTCTTGTTGGGCGCCTGCCATGGTAGAGCCCTCGGGGCTAGTACTAGTGTCAGAGATGACGGGGCTCATGAACCTCACCTCGTCCACATCCGAGAATGAAACCCGTCGTCCACCGGTGGAATGAGCCGGATTTCTTCTTCTGGGCGGCCCCTCGTACACTCGAATGCCATCGTCCGAGTCAAGGCCTTCCTGAGCAGCACGACGCATCTCACCTTGTCTCGGTCGAATCCGCGGTGGAGGACTTGGAGAGGGTAGTCGACTAGCCTCTTCCCTTCTCACTGATCCAGGCGAGGTATCGTCCCTAGGAGGTACATGCCGAACACCCTGCAAAATCCTGTCCCTAATTTGAGCTGCTTGAGGAAGTTCTGGACTCCCTTCTTCTCTAGACGCCTTCCGTGTGCCGTTTTGTGAACGGATAAGGACCTCAGACTCCGGAGTCTTGTGCTTTTTTCGAGAATCAGGCGATGCTGAAGGCGATGCTGGCGTCTGATCGTGGTGCCTAGCGGAGACTTGACGGTACGAGCGCGTCACCAAAACGGTCCTACCCTGTTTTTCAGGGGTCCTCTGTCGATGCGTTTCTCGAGATACTTGCTCTTCGTTTGGCAGATACCTGGAGAACTGCGATGATTCGGTCTGCGAGTCGATTTGGACTTCGTGGAGTGGAGATCTTGGCGAGGATGGCGGCGTGCGTAGAGAGGGTGAACGCCGACGGTGACCAGTGTTCCAATATTCAGCAGAAGGTTGTCGACGGGGCTGTCTAGACTCTGGCCGGCAAGACGATGTCGTGTTAGTCAGCGAAGCAGTGCCGCGTCGGTTAGGTCGATCTCTCCTTTTTGGCTGAGTAGGTATCGCTCCACCAGAACATCCTCCAGGAGGTCGTTTTGGATTCGTGTGCCGTGGACCTTGTGTTGGAGTAGGAGGCTCATATTCAGAGGAAGAGTCGCTTGTGGTCATGCTAGCATCCTCTACTGTAATTTCGATTGAATTTTTCCGGACCTTCCCAGGCTCGGAACCTTGCCACTCTTCAGTCAGTGTCACTACGGAGATGTCGTCAGACAGATCAGTGTTGGTTCCCGTGAACTCGTCCGTTGAGTGTTCGTGCGCCTCGCCTAAGGGGGACGGCTGCTCATTTGGTTGTATAGGAGAGTGGGCATCCGCCCGCACTGGAGTGAAGTACACCTTATCTCCCGGGCGTATTGGTGGTGGATTTGGCCCATTCACAACGCCTGGAGGTGCCACTGATGGGGGCCAATTTGGCATAGGCATTCCAATGGGTTGAGTGTACGCCGGCGGGGGTTCCCCGTGGTGTCCCTGAGGGGGGAAATAGATCGGCTGTCCCTGAGGGAGCGGTTGCGAAGGAACATCGAAGGTCTGAGGTGGAGGAAATGGGATCGGCTGTCCCTGGGGAAGCGGTTGAAAAGGAACATCGACGGTCTGAGGCGGCGGAGGATATGGCAACACTGGCTGCGCATATTGAACAGGCACCAGAACAGAATCTTCAGGCTGCTGAGGCCACTTCATGATCCTGACCTCGCCCGTTCTTCGGTTGCGCACGAAGCACGTCCGCGATTTCCGAGGGCTCCCTCTCGGACGAGATTCCTGTTCTCTGATGATTTGAAGCGCTGGTTCCTCAGAAATGGGCACATCGAAAGCAGTGGGATAGAGCTCGATCGGGCTCTTGGTCCTCTGCAAAGTCTCGAACCCGAACTCAGACCACCTCTTGACCATCTCAGTATACAGCTGAGGTGGAATATCCTGTCTCTTGCCATCGTTTGCCTCTCGCCGTATGCACCACTCTAGTACAAAGTCCCAGAGCGGTATGCCGGGAAACGTGGTTGCCGAGACGTACTCCAAGGCTCGAGCGGACAACCTTTTGGAATGCGCCGAGGTTAAGCTCGAACGCAGTCGCCGCATGACCGCGTTCTGTAGCTGAGGAAGCTCAGAGGCCCCAGCCAGCACCCACAGTTTGCAGTACAAAGACGGACTGTGAATGCGATTAGGAAGAAACTTCTCCTTCAACCACTCCACAAACAGGGTGAACGTCTCCCTGTCGACATCAGGGATGATGATTGGAGCCGGGAGCTGGCTCAAGCTAGGGCTTTTGGCGACATGCTTTGGGCGTAGCAAGAACCTGTGACCCCCAGCGACGACGAATTCGACTGGCTCCTCCTTCCTAAAAAGTGATGTTAATTAATGAAACACATACCTCAGGTGTCTTACTTACTTGAACACATTCTTAATGAACGACATCCTCGCGAGAGGAGGCGCATCTAGTGCTAGCCCCTAGGGCATGCAGGGCAGGGTTCTGTGGTGGTTTGGTGGTGGCCGCAAAAAGAATATTCATTTGGAACAATATTGCTACAGAGCGCTTTGTGATATGAGGCACTTGCAATGGCGGTTCCCAGGACATGCAGGATAGGCCCTGGCGATGGTGTGCGCGAGGGGATATGTAGAGCAAGAGGGGATGTGTAGAGCAAGAGGTTCAACGAGGAAACAAACAAAGAGGACACTTATACGCACGGGAGGCCAACGAAAGAGTGAATAAATAGAAATACAAGCCGACGAAAGGCGGTTATGAATCTCCCACACTTACAGCACCTCCTCTTCCCACCCAGTGAATGAAGATGTTCCCGAGCAAAATTTCAGGGGGATTCCGGTAGCACGGGCCAGGGTGGAATGGAGGAAAGGACTGCGACCATTCGTATTTGATTGATATTGCAAAGAGAGAGATATACTAGCGTTGGAAGATACGGACAACGACGAGAGATTGTAGCTAGAGCTACGACGGCTGCGCATGCCCCAAAGGAAGTCTATGCTGCTGAGCTCTATCTGGAAAGGAGGCACGAGCCTCTCTTGGCAGGTGTTTCGTTTTGCGCACATGACTTTTTCTAGCTTGACGTTGGTGAAGAGTGATCTCCAACTCCAGCACCAGCAACTGAGGGGCTTAGAGACGAAAGCAAATCAGCGGCACTGATGTGATGTTTGAAGTAGGAGACTTACAAATTAAGTACTTCGTGTTGCGAAGCTATTGGAGTTCCGTTACGGTCAAATAGCTTGTCAAAGGGTTGGGGTTCATGTGAGGTCAAAATAAAGTTTGGTCATCACCACGGCGCTGAAATGAAAGGGTCTACACCAACCAAATGGATGCAATCGATTGGCATTACCTATCTACAACCTTCGAAGCCGCAGAGGCAATATTCCACCTATCGCAAACCTAATGAACCTATCAGAATTTGATCAGAATCAAACTCTACAGAAGTCGAGGCCCGATGAAATCTAGGAGCATGAATGTAGCTGGATATCACAAGAGCTTCGTCTCATGGCCCAATTCAATCGTCTAAACCCTCATTAACAAACCCGGCTGGGGCGCAGCATGCATTTGTATAACTCCGTTGTCCCGTTTGCCTCACTACTTCCGTCCTTTGGCGGCGTTATCCTTCGACCTCAACTTGTTCGCGGCCCGCTGCAGAGAAGTCTTAATGTCACCCTTCTTGAAGGTATCGATGTCGAAGTAGGTCGGTGCGAGTTCCTAGCCAATATTAGCAAGTACGTACATAGAGAAGGGGAAACGCAAACTTACCAAGAGCCATTCGGGTTTGATGGCGGTGACCGTGCGAATGAAATTCTTGGTTGTGAGAACAAACTCTTGGTAGATGACCCATTCGCTATCTTGCGCAAGGACCGTGCTCGGATGCAGCAACACGCTCTGATCATCCTTGACAGTCTTGTAGGTTTTGCCATTTCCGTCGCGCTTCGCGACTTGCATGAAGAAGCCGGCGACCAAGGCACGCCGAATGTTCTCATAATAACGCTTGTCCTCGAATGGCGTAGACATCAGCTCGATCTCGTTCTTCTCCATTATGCGCTTCAACTGCGTCCGGACGTTGTCTGCCTGTGTGAGTGCTCGATAGTTGAGGAAGTGATCGTAGCACCACTGTTTAGGTTCGTTCTGCGCCTCGTCGCTCCTGTAAGCATGGTAGACGTTGAGCATAGTGAGATGATCACCATCCGCGTGAGCGAACAAGTTCTTCATCTCATCCGCTCGCTTGCGTTGAGCTGCGGGCCGGGTAAACAGCTGAGGAACGGATAGCAGGGCAGTCAACGAGAGCATCTCGTTCGAACAGTAGAAGTCAGGGGAGACGATAAGCATCACTGCTAGTGCGGGATCGAGCGGGAAGTCAGAAGCTAGCCTCCCGAGGTGCGTCAGATCGCCTTCGTCGTCTAGGCAGGCTAGATAGTTGAGCTCTTCTAGCGCACGCATCAGAGTCTCAGGAGCGGGAGGATCCATGAGATCAAAGTGCACTAAGTCATCAATGCCCAACTTCTTCAGTTCCAGAACGGTGCTAGATAAGTTGGACCGAAGAATTTCTGGGTAAGTCTGCTCGATGAGCTCATTCTTGAAAGCATGCTCAGTGTACAGTCGAAAGCATTTTCCGGGTCTCGTACGACCTGCACGACCAGCTCGCTGCTGAGCCGAGGCCTTCGAGATAGGTGATACTAGTAGAGACTCAACCCGAATCCTAGGATTGTAGACCTTTTGCTTGCTGAAACCGGGATCTACGACGTAGACAATACCATCGATGGTAAGCGATGTTTCGGCGATGTTGGTCGACACGATGACTTTTCGACCAGGTCTCTTGCTGTTGGGATTTGGGCCGGGGGCAGGTTCGAAGATCTTCTGTTGCTGGTGAGGCGGCAATGAGCCATAGAGAGGATAGACTTTCATGGGACCTGCTCCAGATTCTTTCTCCATTTCTCTTGCTTCGAGATCGATCTTCTTGCAGGCGTCCTCAATCTCCTCTTCGCCGGTCATGAATAGCAGAATGTCTCCTTCCGGCTCCGTAGCGTGAATCTGTAGGACGGTTCGGAGGGCAGCTTCCACGTAATCTCGCTCAGGCTCGGGGGTATAGAAGATTTCGACCGGATGGGTACGGCCAGGGACAGCCAGGAGTGGGGCGTTGTGGAAATAACGCTGGAACTTGGTAGCATCGAGAGTTGCCGACATGATGATCAGCTTTAGATCGTTCGGTCGTCGCAAAACCACCTCTTTCAGCAAGCCCATCAAAATATCAGTCGCAAGCGTTCTCTCGTGAGCCTCGTCCAGGATGATGGTGCTGTAGCGCGACAGATTATTGTCGCTCATGGCCTCTCGAAGCAACATCCCGTCCGTCATGTATTTCAGCACGGTCTTGGCAGACGTTTTGTCCTCGAATCGGATGCTGTATCCGACCTCGTCACCCAGTGTCACATCCATCTCCTGCGCTACACGCTGAGCTACCGACATGGCAGCCACTCGTCGAGGCTGAGTACACGCGACCATCATATTGTTGAGGTGGGGCAGGTCGTCGTAGAGGACGAACTGGGGAATTTGGGTAGTCTTGCCGGAACCGGTTTCTCCCACGAAGACGAGGATTTGGTTTTGCTGGTACTTCTCTAGAAACTGGGTCCTTGGAGGTCGTTAGCTAGACTGCTGCATACTAAATTCTGAAGGCAGAACTCACCTCTGAGCATGCACGGGAAGATCTCGCCGGGTTCGGAGGATGTCCATATATCTCTCCGAGAACTTCCGCCCGGTGAATGGGTTGTTCGGACCATCCTCAAGCGCTTCCGTGGCTTTGGTAGTTGTCTTGTGGCGCAAAGCATTGTTGAGACGGCCTCCACCTGCACACACATTTAGCTGCTGATCGCTAGAACCTTGTATACCGGAGAGGGCGTTCGTACTTGTAGTCTCCGGATAGTGGTGTTGCAGATATGGGTTCTGGCTGGGATCGTTCGTCGCATCGCCGCCGAAACCGTTCTGGGATCGCATCTTGCCGTTTGCTTCGCTCTCAATCCTGGGACGCTTCGCCCGCGGATTGTTGTCGTCACTGTCTTCACGCTCGCGGTTAGCCATCTCCGTGTAGTTGTCAAGCCAATGTGCAGGCACAGGCTCGTGGTGGGCGACGGCGACTGGTGTTGACGGCGAGTAGAGGCTGGAAAAGTTGTCGCGGGAAAATAGTTGTGAGGCGCCGCGGTCTTGGCGCTGTCCCGCCACAGCGGCACCGGAGGTGGGGCGGTGCATCTGAATCTAGGGTTCCATTTCTTCCCGGGTTCCTCGAGGCTCCCTGCGATGCAGCCACCCACAATCCTCCACCTTCTGCATATTTGCCTTTTTAGTCTCTCTTTACGGCCTGTGATAGAATCAAAACCCTACGGTTTGTTTTAAGCCTCCATAGTCTTACCTCTCACTCAATATTTCTAACAGCAGCCGGCTGAGTATTTTGATACCCCTCCAAATTTTCGTCCACTCCTTCGAAAATGGATTCTCCAGACAGCCAGGAGGATGCGATGCCCATGTTTTACGTTGCGCACCATGAGACGAAACGACCGCTGCCTGTTACGGAGCAAGTGCTCCAGCAGGCTCGCGATTGCGGTGTGCGCGTTCCCCGAAGTCATCCTCCTATATTACTTACTGACAAAAGGAGCAGTATGACATGCTTACGGCCCCTATAACAACACCTCATTTTCACGCCAGCGTTTTGACGCTGCTAACCGCCTACAGCCAAGCTCACGGCGAAGGTCCCCCAAACGATGATCTCCCACTGCCATTGATCCCAGCTCTCAGACCTGTGGATACGCCATTGACGCCAAGCGACAGTGCAGCACAGACAGTTGCAGTCACGAGCCCATGGATAGATCTGGCGTCTCCAGACCCTTTGATTGCACATCTTTCGCGCCAGGTCTTCAACCTGGAGATTGCATACGCCGCATTCTGCGGAGTTATAAATGTGGTTGTGCAAGGCCCGCGACTCTACAACGGCGCGAAGTCTAGCGGTGGAGTGTCGCAGTATGCTCGAGCTATAAAGGAGGCCCTCTCGCTCGGCGGCTATCTGCAGCTGCACATTACCACACCTATGGGTGATGTATCGGAGTCTGTTATAGAAGAAGACATGGGAAATCTAGCACGGTTTGCTAGGGACGAATACAATCACACGAGCAGAAGCCAACAGATCACGAGATTAGATCTATTTGCGTCGTGGGACGCTTGGAACCTGATCAGGTCTGTTTGTAGGTACAATCAGCGACTCTGTGTGTCGCTGACCCTCCCCCGGCGTCTTCCGCCCATAGCCGTCCAATCTCGATGGTACTCAGAACCACTACGCTTCATTTGCATACCCTCAAGCTCGTTTTTGGTGAACGCGCGAGGATCATTCGTGCTTTCAAAACCGCACCAGCTATACATATCACGATGCATGCGCCTCCGAACTGCTCCTTGGATAATGCTCGTTGATGTTGGACCGATCCCTGGTATCAATGACCCGGACTTGATCATGCAATACTCATCTGGTCACTTGTCGCCTGGAGTCGCCGCAGATGCATCTTCTGGATCCCGCTCACCAACTCCAGCAGAGTCCGCGCAAATGCCACGCAATCAGAGTCGAAAAAGCAAAGCAGATCCTACTCCACACCTAAGCTATATTCGATATCTGCAACGAAACCAGCCTCCGAAAACGACAATCGAGCGATTTGGCGGTGGATTTCAAGATTATTTGCAAGCTCCGCTCCAACCCCTTACCGACAACCTAGAAAGCATAACGTACGAAGTTTTCGAAAAAGATCCAGTAAAGTACGATTGGTATGAACGCGCGATAGCGCAGGCGTTGAGAGATTGGACGGAGCAGGAGAAGTCTACCTCTTCAGCAAACGGCGCAGTAGTCATCGCTGTCGTCGGTTCAGGAAGAGGCCCACTAGTCACCCGAGCAATCCAGGCGAGCCAAGATGCTGGCGTGCAGGTCGAAGTATATGCCGTAGAAAAGAATCCAAACGCCTACGTGCTCCTCCAGCGCCACAACGAGGAAGACTGGGGCGGCCTAGTCACGGTCGTGAAGACCGACATGCGCGCCTGGAAAGGCCCGCTCCTACCGGACGGCACCCACGGCCGCGTCGATATCCTCGTCTCTGAGCTTCTTGGATCCTTCGCTGACAATGAGCTCTCTCCGGAATGTTTGGATGGCGTCCAACACGTCCTCAATCCGGAGCACGGCATCTCGATCCCCACTTCCTATACCGCGCACCTCACACCTATCTCCGCGCCCCGTATCCATGCGGATCTCGTCAATCGCTCGTCGTCAGATTCGCACGTATTTGACACCCCCTTCGTCGTAATGCTCCAGCAGATCGACTACCTCTCTACCCAAGAATTCGACTACGGCCCGAGCGATACCTCCGCAGTTGCTTCGTCCAAGCAACAACCTAAAGTCGAAGCTCCGCTCCTCCCCGACGTCCAAATAGCCTGGGCCTTCAAGCATCCCTGCCACCCTTCTGTGCTCGCGCAGTCCAACCTCCGCCGAGGTGGAAGCGCGAGTGGAGGCGGCGGCGGTGCGACAGGCGGCGATGGTGCGAACGAGCATAACGTACGGTTCTCGAGTACCATCTTCCAGTGCGCTGGGCGTGGCGTGTGCCATGGTATAGCTGGGTTCTTCGAAACCGTGCTTTATGCCGGGGCGGAGGGGAGTGTGGAGCTGAGCACGAACCCGGTGACCATGGAAGAGAAGAGCAAGGATATGATCAGCTGGTTCCCGATTTTGTTTCCGTTGAAGGTAACTTGAGCCCCCCACCACCATTCCAGAGTACGAGAGGCTAATATGTACCCAGACACCCATCTACGTCCCCGAACACGCAGAGCTAGAAATCAGCATGTGGCGGCAGACCGACGACAGGAAGGTGTGGTATGAGTGGATGGTCGAAGCTTTTCTGACGCTGTCCGGGAGCAGGGTGCGGCTGGGAGCCTCGGAGTTGCATTCGAGCAGGATGAATGGGTGCTTGATGTAGCGTTCTTTAGCGCGCTAGTGATACCCGAGCGGCGCTTTTTTGGCTTCCTGTTTATGAGATGCCTTTTTGGGTTGAGGCTCGTTGAAGCGAGACTGAGAAGGCATTGGTCTCGGACCTGAATTCAAAAACTTATTTTTCCATGTTTTATGCGATACGTTCCTGGCTCTGTCTTCGTCGCAATGTGAGTACGCTGTCCTTCAATCAGCCGATTGCTGCGCGGTTGGATTGAGTTGATGGGAATTTTGGCTGGCGATTCAAGCAGTTGGAGCTTCCTCGATCGACTGGTCGGTCGATTAATTCGCGCCCGTTTCGTTTAGTTGATTATGCTCCATCACGATCGTGGCGCCAAAATTAGTCAATCAATTAATCAACTCAATTCAATTCAACTGGGAGTGGATCTAGAGTCAAATGGAGGAGGAGAGGGCCATGGTTTTGGAGCAGAGATCCCACATACCAGCACACCATGTGCAGAAATATTGGGAGACTAGATGGAAAATCAAAAGGGACGGGATTGAAGCGATAAGGTCGAAGTCGTGTAGGGGGTGGTTCTGAAGATTGCTTAGGCGCGGTCACCATCCAGGCACAGCAATGGCAAGGAGAAGGAAGATAAAATGGCGAAGAGGAGGATTAGAAACTGATAATGGAAATAGTTCTGATTCAATGGGGTAGGTACTTCAAACTTCGTATTCCTAGTTAGGCCGGCAGGATGAAGGTACAATGCGTCGTCGCAGAAATCCGTGCAGTCGTTTACCACTGCACGAGGAGCTTCAACGTATTTTTAGCATTCCGAATAGGAGAGAAGTTCGGCATTTTAGACAACTACTAAACTCGCGAGATTACCCCAGACAGCGTCAAGAGAGTGTACGCAGATTAGAAGTCTATCCGCTGCCCCTGGTTTCTGTTAGTACCTTGAAGCCCCACAAACAGTGAGAGAAAAGCGTACGGAGATCTATGGCAAGGCACTGTACTTACTCACGGGCTTGTGAGTCATCGACGGGACCGGGCTTGCCAATCCACCAGGAACCGTTTGACTTGACAACAGTCGTGCAGCTCCAGTGCTCATCTCCCGAGTAGTCCAGGTTGACATCCGCCGTGTCTGCTTCACAGTAAGTCCAATAAGGCCTGCAAGCCTTGGCCTTCACACGTTTCCAAACACCTTGGTTTTTCGAGATGAAATCTTTCAATGCGGCGCACTTCTCCTCAACGAAGGCATCCTTCAGAGCGACCTTTACACTATCGAGGTTGCTCCTCTTTCGATTTCTCATCCCGCTCATTATGGCTTCGAAGAACATCCAGAAAGCGTCCGATTGAGGGGTTTCTTCAACCTCTAGCTCAGATAGCGCGTCGTTAGATTCATCGTCGTCCCCAACCCAGCCGCATTCGCGGACATTGATAGTCAGGTGACAGAGATTAGGCATCTGAAATAAGTGATCGAGCACGTTCACCTAGTATGTGAACAAATAGTAGATTTCCTCCAGGACTTGACCCTCGTTCGTGCAGCACACTCTCGCATACTTTGTAATATGGTGAGGATCGAAGTTGTCGATGTACTCAAACTCGGCGAGATTCCGAGCGCCCCTGACGGCTACCCGATGACTTTTACGGGTCAGTGCCAGATGAAGTTTTTGAATACTTGAAAAGGCATCGCTAACAGGCCGCAACATGTCGTGTAATTTCCATAGAGGGGCCTTTATGTGAGAATATCCGAGGAGATGGAAGTCGTTGCGCGCGTAGAATATTTCTCTCGCTTCGAGCCTGACTTGTCTGGTGGTACGAAGCAGACTCAAATGATTATCGGGGATCTCGCCGCAATCGTCCCATTTCATTCTGTTGAAGCAGATACAGTTTTTGGATATCAACGCTGTAGCATAGATTTTATCACGTCGCTCTCGAGGCAGACTCAAGAAACTTGTTTCTACGCCCGAGACGAGAGCGCGGTGAACTTTGGCCTCGGAAACTTCGATCTCACCCGCAAGTTGTTTGAGCTTCATGGCGACCGCTTTGCGGTCTTTGATTGTATTGGGCTCGAGGGAACGAATGGCCAAGTCGCGCGCCTGGGTGAGCAAATCGATGAGCTGCCACTTGTCCTCCATACTTTCACACTAAATTGGCGGCTGTATTTTGACTTTGTAATCGTTGTCGTCGGCGTCAGAATGGAGATAGATCTCGCTGCAGTGACGGCGTTCAGTCCGATATAGCTCCGGCTGAGGTGGCTCGAAGAGCTATCAGATTCGTTAGACCTGCTGTTTTCCAACTCTAAATCACGTACCAGCGGTGCTAGGTCAGTGCACACACACTCATAGAGTGCCACTTTTTGCTCAAGGAAGCCTGCCATAATCACGAAACTGCCTTAGTGGAGGTACAGCCATCTGGGCAAAAGTGTACGATGAGACTGCACTACCATAGGGTGAGGTGCGAAGTTTTTCTGCGATTGGAGGGAGGCAAGTGAGATTGGGAGAAAAGCAAACTCGTTATAGGCAGCAGCGCCGTACAAGCAAGCCACATCTCCAGCCTTGTTATGTAGTGCAGAGAATGACATCGGGACCGGGATATTCGAGTTTGTTTGAGAGACTACGACGGCATATGGTGTTTGATTTGAAGGGTAAAGTAGAGGAGAGAGGTACTACGCCTTCTCACTCCGCACCAAGTGTACAATCATTCAGAAAGCCCAGCAGACTGTTATTACTACAGATTATATTCCTTATCTTCGACTAGGGTGATTGCTTGACCTAGAGAGAGGATAGCAAACTCTGTCGGTGACAAGCCGCACGCCGACAGTGGCGCTCTATATGCTCGAAGAACTCACAACGCTCCTTCTCATCCTCTGGTGCCTTTACAGGGACATCATATACACAATAATACTGGCAGTCCGCGGCACCTACAGGAAAGGGTTCGTCGATCCACCAGAAACCATCCGACTCGATTAGGTTCGAGCAACTCTATTCGTCATCAACCGAGTACTGCAAGTCACAGTCCGCCGTGTTTGCTCTGAATTCATCGATTTCTCCGAGCTCATCAGGCTCCTTGATTTGGCTCCATAACCCGCGCGCAGTGGTAAGAACGTCGAAAGCGCATCTCATGTCTTCTCCAGTATTCGCGTAATCATTCCCCACGCCCGAAGCAGTGACATCTACGTTTCCCAGATTGCTTTTCTTTCTGTCCCGCATTCGAGTCATCAAAGCCTGCGCTGCTAAAAATTAGCCACCGAACTTGGGGACAAGGATTCCGGCATCATAGAGCCAGTCATTGTTAAGAGCAATACAGCTATGCCGCGGCCATCTACAGTCCTTGAATCCAACGAACAGTTCTCGCAGAGCAGGCATCTTGAATACATGATCTAGCTTGTTCACCCAGACGGCGAAAAGCCACAGATGTTGGTCCAACACGAGGCCTTTCGGCGTGGCGCATTCCCGGGCGTATTTCGCTCTGTGTTGAGGATCCACGGCTTTGAGGTATTCCAGCTCGGTAAGGTCCATTCGCCAGTAGAGGCTGTCGCTGACTCCGAGAAGCAGCTCGTCATCGGCGGAAAGATTGATCTCAAGTAGCCTAATCATGTCGAAAGCAGGGGGTGCGAGAGTCCGGTGAAAGTTGCGTAGTGAGAGCATATCGTCGACTCGTCGTGGCGAGCGGGTGCAGTCCCAAGTTCCCTCTGGAAAACGAGCATCTGCGAGCGGTATGTTGAAGCCGTTGTGTTTATATAAAAACTCTTCCGCTTCGTATCTGACTTGTTTGCTGACGCGAAGAAGGTTCAATTCAACACCTGTCTCCTCACGGACATGCGATATGTCAAATGGAAAGAGGCGTCCCTGTGACACCGGGATCTCATGCTCTTCGACTGGAATCCAATGACTTTGCTCGCTTGAGAGCAGCACTAAGGCGTAGACTTGATCGCGTATTTCGCGGGGAAGAGTCAAGAATGTTGTCTCAAGTCCTGACACTATCGCATCATGCACCCTAGACTCTGAGACGGTGATCTCACCCAAAAGCTGTCTGAGCTTCATAGCGTCAGCTTTAGGGTGTTTGAGGGTGTCAGGATTCAGAACACGAATGGCCAAGTCGCGCGCCTGCGTGAGGAGGTTGATGAGCTGACGATTTCCGTCTAAGCCTTCACTCCCAACGTCGCTGGCCGAGACCTGTACTTCATCAATACTGTGAACTGTATTTTAGGGGAAGGATGTACTTGAATTACGCCAGAGTCTCTATATTGGACGTCCTGCATTAACCTCGACGGCGCTAGGGAGCTGGAGATTGTGGTTACCAGTAACATTGCGTTTTTATTTTCGAAATTGCGGTCGTTGTGGTGGTGGTGATGCTTTCATGAGGTGTGTGTTGAGGCCTAGAGGTTACGACACTGGGTTCTAAAATCGCTTATTAATATACCCAAATGCAGTAAAAGGTTCCTAGCCTTGTAGCTTAGTGTGACTAGGTATCTAGGAAAGATTTCAAGAGATAGGAATCGATAGCAGTGAAGTCTAGTCGTATTTTAACTTCTCGTAATCTTAATGAATGATTCTAAGTCAACCGTATCAACCGATGTATGGGAACCGCCGAAACAGATTGCTCAAGTAGTACACACTCACAAGAATGATTCACCTACCTTAGGAGCAGACGATACTCAGCACGGGAGGCTCTGTGGCCTACAGGTCGTAGATTCATCGACGAAACAAGAGTGAATTTATTGCCATGAAAAGCTAAATGCTGAGTTGGGGGCGCAAGATCCACGGACCCTTTCGAACGTGACTAAGGTAAAGTCGAGCTCGGAGCATTGGGCATGAAAGCAACAAGCATGATTAAGTGTTATTAATCTTGAAGCCCAACGCATGTTTAACAGATAGAGCCAAGTAGACCAAAGTAGCATGTTTTATTGGGTTGATGGTTGGCAACCTGACTACTCACGGCCTAACTACATGGCTCTTGGAAGACTAGTCGGGATCGTGTCCATTATTGCTGGCTGGTACGATAATGCCAACTAAATCTTTCGCCATTCCGGTGTAGGGTCACATCATTGATGGGCCTAGGCGTCCCAATCCAAGAAAGACCTTCCGATTCTGTGAGATCCGAGTGACTCCAGTCCTTGTCAACCGAATAGTTCAAGTCACAGTCCTCCGTAGTTGCCTCGAGAGATATGTGCCCGCGCTGTACTGGTTTCCAGAGTCCAGGCATCTCGAACAATTTGACCCCCCCATCGACACTGACCAGGATGCAGCCAAGCCCACTCTTCTTCCGATCTCTCATCCGAGTCAGCAGAACTTGCGTCGCTGCCCTCCTAGGATTGATTCCAGGGATATCGCGGTCGTCATAGATCCAAAGATCCATTTCTCGCATTGCGATGGTCAGGTCTTTGAGAGCTGGCATCTTGAATACATGATCGAGCTTGTTCACCCAAGTCGCGAAAAGCCAAAGATTCCTATCCGCAACAATACCATCACGAGTATGGCATATCTGCGCATACTCGATCCGGTGCTGAGGATCGATTTCTTTGAGATAGTCTAACTCGGCAGATTTGAGAGCCTGCGGATGCTTTGGGTACTTCTCTTCCCATCTTGGACCGTCCAATGTGCTGAGTCCTAGTTTCAAGCTTCGAATGTTGGCGAAAGCAGATGACGATAAGATTAAGTGAAACATTTGGAGCGAGCATCCGTCGTCGATCTCTTTGTGGAACCGGTATGGAAATGAGAAGCCGTTGTACTTGTAGAAGATCTCTTCCGCTTCAAGTTTGACTTGTCGACTAGTATGTAGAAGGTTCACCACAATGCCCCTTTCACGGAGAAGTGTCGAATTGCTGAACGGTATCAGTCCTCCCTTCCGAGCTTTCAGTATCTTCAGTCTCTCAGGGGTGAGGCGATCGAAAGAGATACGTGGCTGCTGATCTTTAACAACAGCGACGAGTGACAGTTTGTAGATCTCGTCGCGAATCTCACGGGGAAGACTCAAGAAAGTCGTTTCATAGCCTGCGACTACGGCATCGTGAACCCTTGGTTCCATAACTCCAATTTCACCAAGAAGCTGTCTAAACTTCATGGCATCTGCTTTCCGGTCTTTACTTGTTCTATGTTCAAGAAAAGAAAAGGCGATATCCCGTAGCACTGTGGTGAGTTCGATGAGTTGGTGTTGGTCTGCCATGTCTTTAGCCGCACAGGTCTCGACAAGATTTCCTGAGTCCTTTCCGTCAGCGTTATGATATTCAAGACCGAATATGTTCTGGCTTGCAGCAGTAGCTTTATGCTGAATGCCCTTCTTCAAGTCCGGCGGCGTCCTTGAGCTTGTATCTGGATCTTGCGACCGCAAGGCCTTCTCGTCTACGACTGTACGGTCGTTGCTGTCGGATGTAGCAGAGATCCCACTGGAGCAAGGGCGCTTATTAGACGGTGCTCCCTTCATTCTCCCCTGCGGCGCGATGATATCCAGTCCAGTGAAAGCGGAGGTAGAAGTCGGCGGGGTTGATGTGCTTGCCTTACGTTTCGACGGTAGTGGCGCTGTATTTTCCTGCTGCCCATGTGGGGTGTCGCAATTGTATATATCCTCGCGAGGTACTTCCTCGATGTCATCGTCGTCCGGTCCGTCCGCCATGCCGTCTACAGCGCCAGAGCCCGTCATAGTAGGTGTTTGATCGGAGGTGAGTTGCTCCAAGGCTGGCAGTGGTGTGATTGAAGATTGGAGGGAGTGACTGCCGCTGGCAGCGGGTTGAGTTGCCTAAGTGATGACAACGCCCCAAACGGAAACTCTTGGCTGCCAAGACGACCTCAGCTGTTGAGCACGGAGTAATCGAATTTGTGCTCCATTCGACCACGCGACCACCCTTTTGCACATAACTCCACAACCACACATCGGACCAAAGAAATGACACCGGGACTGGACGCGCCTAGTTAAGTAGAATGATCCATGAGTTTATGGAGCCGAAATTCGGTAGGTCCATTGCGATAGAGGTGGGTCGGCGAGCTAGACCAAAAAAGGCACAGGTTTTTTACTCAAAACAAAGCCACCGCCCACATTTCACCTCTAGATAGCCGTATATCAAGGCTCACTATCTACTAGATCGAGCTTGAAACCACCTACACACCCCCTTTGGGACAAACCCTCCGGATCGTACCTCCGACTCACCTCCTGCAGGAACTCCCAATTTTCCTTACCATAGCCCTCGAACGGCTTCTGCCACTCTGCGCAATAATTGAGATACCGGAATCGATGGCCCGTTCCGTTAGCAGCTGCAGCGGCCTCGATCTGCTCGATGGTGTGACGCGTCGTCGCCTTTACGAACTCGTCATTGCGGCTTTCGTCCCAGTTGACGGTGAAGCTCACGATCACAAGAGGGTCATTGCTGTCTTCCAGGCCCATGGGATTCGCGTAGCCCAAGCGCACCCACTCCTGGAGAAACGGTTGCAGCACGAGGGTCCATACTAAGCCCTGAGCCTTGACACGGCGGAGGGGGGAAATGGCATCACAATAGGCGGCATGAGCGGCGGCGATATTAGCAGGATCGTTTGTGATGGTGGTAGTGGCAAAGACCTAACGTCTGCCTGGCGGATTAAGAGCATTTATCTCGTCGGTCGCACTGGTAAGGGTGCGGACCTGGCAAGTGCTCCAGAGACGCCAGAACGATGAGAATGGTGATGTCTTCCAGTACACGGGTCATTTCTTCTCGCTCTCGGGGAGCTTGGTATATACAAGATTCACGGAGACGATCTTCAACCCGAGCGCCTGTATGTAGGAAAAACAGGCAAGAGGACCGGTGGCATGATTGTCGGGCTTGGTACTGGCATCACCCAAACTCGCTCTCTCCACGCTTTCGTGGAAGTCCGCTAGAACTTTACTGGATTGGAACGAGGGCATGTAAAGGAAGCCGCTCCAGATTCTGGTGGACGGGGAGCCACGGGCTGTAAATCGGGTAACGATACCAAAGTTGTTGGAGCCGCCTTTGAGGGCGCGCCAGAGATCGGGATTTTCTGATGCTGAGGCTGTGGTGACAGAGCCGGATGCGAGGACAACTTCGTAGCTAATAATGTTGGAGCAGACAAGACCGATGCGAGGAGAGAAGAAAGATACACCGCCTGTTGATAGTCTATGTCAGGACTTCGATTATTTCAGGATGTCATTAGAGAGACTCACCTCCTAGAGTCAAGCCACCCACCCCAACTGCAGAATTCCTACCACCAGCAACAGCAAGACCTCTCTCGTCCAAGACCTTGGAAACATTCATCCATTTGGCTCCGCCACCGATGATCACGCTCGACCCGTCCTCCGACGGAGTCACCTCACAAAAAAGACTGAGATCGATCACAACACCTCCCTTGATACTTGCAGCACCGGGAATCGGAGAATGACCACCGCCGCGAAGAGCAAATCATCCCAACGCTAGTTTGTCGCCAGAATTGTTACTAGACTCCGCGTACTCTCGCTTAAGGAGAGTGACGGCTGTAGAAAGCTCCTGAACGGTGCGGGGTCGGACGACGCATGCTGGGATCACTTCGCACTCCTGCTGAGCCCAGTAGGAGTTCATAGATTGCTCGAAGCTAGCGGCACCGCGCGGGAATATGACACTGTCGGGCAGTGCCGATGCGAGGCTTTTGCTAATCATGGAGGGCTTTGGTGGATGACTTGCGAGGGCTAGATCAGGCTTCTTCGCAACTTTGAGCCCTAAGCCTAGCCAGAAATGGCGGATAAGGTATATGGAGATGATAAGGAGGAGAATGATTGTAGTATATGCAGAGAGAGATTGGAACGTCATGATGAGTGCTGTCACAACGATTGTGAAGAGAAAATGATGAAGATTCGCCCGACATGCCACTTTTATTCAGTAAGAAATTATTCTTGCGAAAACAGCTCTGGTACCAAAGCCGAAGGATTGGAAGGATTCACAGTCTATTGAAAGAGAAAGGAGATAGTTAGGTACACGCAGGAAATATAAGCACGATGTCTCGATAGAGTAAGCGGAAGAACGTCGGACCGAAGGACTAGTCACATTCCTCAAAGAATATGAAGTTGCTATGAAATTCGATAATTACTCAAGATCGAGGGCCCACCTATACCTGATTTCACAGCAAAGATGAAGCGTGGAATCTAACTTTCGAGCAAATTGTCTTTAAATTTTGTTGTCCTTTCCCCTTGGACTTTCATCTCCTTTCCTGAATGCTGCTGTGAGCATGCTTCCACTTCTTGTAGGCATTTGTTGTCCAATAATGTCGGGTTTGGGGAAGCTCTTGAAGAACTCTGCCTAGGCGAACAGATTTTTACTTCGCTCTTGCTAGCAAAATACAGCAAACATGGCAGCAACACCTTGTCAACTTGAAGCGTTGGCAAAATATCGCTTGCTATACCTAGATATGCTTCGTTCTGTGATTCCTGATAGAATTCATAGTTGACTTTCACAACGATGCCTCCTGATTGCTCGTTTTGGAACGGGCGTTCTACGTAGTTTTTTTGAAGCCAATCATCCCGACTCCAAAAACGTCCCTTCACAGGAACACACCGTCTTCTTCTTCTTGATTCGTAGAGCCCTGTCTTCTCTGTTGGATGATAGCAGCAGCAGCAGCACTCCTCTCACCACTCGCACCCTCGCCTTCGCCAGTGCTCACGACCCCATTGCGCGCAGACTCTCTATCTCCCTCCGGCAGGTCTTTCTTCGGCCCAGTGCCCATTTCTTCAGCATGCCACGGCATCCCTCTGCCCTCGACTTCCGCCCTCAGCAGTAGTATCCTGTGCTCCATGCGATCCACGACCTCCTCGTTCTCAGCGATCGCGTCTTTGCACACTTCATCGCCTTCGGTCGCGAAAGGTTGTAGTTCTTTGTTCGAGTGTTGGAGATGTGTGATGGAGTTGCGCAGTTCGGCTGCTTTGCCGTGCAGACTGGAGAGGGGGAGGTCTTTGAGGGCAGCGGCGAAGCGGGTTGGAGAGATCGGGGGAGCTGTTGCGGACATTTGAGTTGTTGGAGAGGGTTGATGGTAAGATTGTTGTAGTCGCAGAGTAGCTGAGCGGCTGTTTGATACAGTGTGGAGGTTAAGTGATTATTTAAAAGGGTACATGTCAAAAGTTGAGGTTAATAAATGGCGATGCAGGCACCAGAGGGGTGACGTCTATAAGGCTGAAGCTCGAAGCTTTGACATCTCGCCTCGGCTTGCATCTCCGATTTCACGACTCCAAAAAGCCATCATCAGATCCCAATTTCGGCGCGCATCCCCTCCTTCTGCCATGCCAGCGTCCCAGCAATGAACAATGTATGGCCGGTAGCATCACGGCTACCCAGCTCCTGCGCCTCCCTCCGCCCTCTCACCTCGACCCAATCATGGCCATCATCATCCCTCCTCCGCACCGCGCGCCGCAGCTTCACCGTCCTCTCCCGAGCTCGCGATAGCCCTATACCCCACCCTATCCAACCACCTCCGCGCCTCCAGACACCCCGAAAGTGGTCCAACAGCGCCCCAAAACTCTTTAGCACCACACTCGCCCTCGCGCGCAAAGCCCGCCCTCAACCTCCATCTCTCTCGAAGCCAAAACCGAACCTGACGCCTAAAGCCAAATCAGAACTCAAAGACCACGACGACTCTTACACCTACGATGACTCTTACATCACATCCTCTCTCCCCTCTGGCCCGCTCCTACCAAAGGCAATAAAGCAGCTTTTCCCAACCCTCTCAACCGTCAATGGCAACCGCGTCCTCTCAATTCTCCACACGCGGCGCTTGACCGGCTCCCTCGCCGAGCGGGGGATCTCCGGCGTCGACGAAGCGCTGGGCCTCGATCTCTCGGATATTTCGCAGGAGCAGATGATGCAGGCGCTGGAGTATCTGCGGGCGAGTTTCCCGGTGGATGAGGAAGCGGCGGCGGCGGATTGGGCGGAGGCAGAGGCGGCAAGGATAGAGCGAGAGGTGCTGGCCGCGAGGGGGGTGAATTTGGGGCTGTTGAAGAAGGTGGAATTGGACCCGGAAGTCGAGGAGCAGCAGAATAGGGGAGAGGAGTGGGAGGGAAAGCAATATATTGCCGTGAAAGTGAAGAAGGAGAGGGAGGCGAGAGGGAATGCGGGCGGGCAGGGAACGGAGTATGGGCGGGCGAAGTATGGACGGAGTGTCTTTGAGACTGTGCGGAAGTCGAACGAGGCGAATTGGGAGGCGGAGAAGGCGGAGAGAGAGAGGGTGAAGGCGAAGGAAGAGGCCAAGATGATTGCGGAGGGGAGGCATCTGGGACCAAAGAGTTTGGTGCCGGGGAAGAAGTTTCTAGGGGTGGAGATTAGAGGTAGGTCTTATGTCTTGAATGTAGTCTCTATGCAACGATTGCTAATGCTAGTGGTGTACAGAGAGTGGCAAAAAGTCAGAGTATGTCAAGAAGTACGAGGAGAAGGCGCAAAGAAAGTGGAAAAATGAACAAGAGATGGAGCAGAGCTTGACTCTTGTGCGTCTGTCAATAAATTCCTTATATTCTTGCTAACCCTACAAAAAGGCCCAACGTCTCTGGCCCTCAGCCGCCTTCACCGCAGTTGTCTGCACTCTTTGCGGACTCTTTGCAACAAACTATGAACCTCCTGATAACACAGTCCGACTCTTCTCAGATTTCACGCCCGCCCTCGCAACATGTGGTGTTATACTAGGCATCAATCTTGCTGTTTGGGTCGCGTGGAGGGTCCCTCGCTTCTGGCCTCTCTTGAACAAATACATGGTCTCAACTCCGGCCTACCCCGTTGCGTTCGCAACACTGGGGAATATTTTCAGTCATCAAAGCTTCTCGCACTTGGCCCTCAACATGACCTGGCTGATGACGATGGGCGTGTGGTGTAAGTTTACTCCTTTCCTATGCCCCCTTTCCCATCTCCAGTCACGTGCCGCATAGTTTGAAACACTTCTAAATGCCATTACTCACAAACCCACAGGCCACGACCTCGTCGGCCGCGGCGTCTTCCTCAGCACCTACGTTGCTGCAGGCACATGCGGCTCTCTCGCCTCCCTCACCTACTTCGTGCTGGCACGCAACTTTAAGTCGGCCTCAATTGGTGCGTCAGGCGCTCTCAACGGCGTCCTCGCCCTTTTCTGTATCGCGACCACCAGGGATCACATAAGGATTCCATTTACAGATATTGAAAGACCAGTGAATCTGAAGATGGTCTTAGCGGCCTTCTTGCTGCTGGAGGTGTATAATATGCGCAAGGGGAGGGTAAAGTTGATGGATCATTGGGCGCATTTGGGAGGTGCGGCGGTGGGCGTGAGTGTGGGGACGGCGTTGAGGTGGGAGGATTTGGTTGCGTGGTTGAAGAGCTGGGGAGGGGGTAGGGAGGAAGATAGAGATGTTGTGACTAGGGTTGAGGTAGAGGAGGTGACAGAGAATAAAGAGGAGGGTTCAGTGTAGGGCCTCCGCCGTAAATATAGGAGGGTGCTGTATGGATACCTTGTAGGATATAGACACTCACAACTACGATTATCAGGAAAAGATATCATCTATCCAAGAAGAATCGTAAGCCCAGTATCTGATCATATGCCCACGAACAAACCGCAACTCCTCCAGAGCAATTACCACCATAGACACTTACATATACCCGCCCTCACGGAACATAGAGTCTCAAGTAGAACGATATTATGAATATGTATATACTTTGCACCGTAGAAAAGGAACCTTCTCGTACCAAATCCCAGTTGAGCCGAGGCATCCCGCCCGATTCGGGTTGCCGAAACTGAGCCCGCCCGACTTCGCACTTCACCCGGCAAGGTCCACAGCGACGGCTGCCATAGGGAATAGTCTGCCACCGCCACCACCCTTACGACGACGCGGCCTACCCGATGCTGCCAGCTAGAGCCTGCAGGAATGTCGTCGCCCAAGGCAGATCTCTCTCACCGCTCGTCGCTCGAGCTAGTTTTCTGAAACCCTCACCCGCAACTCTTCCCCGAAGGCCGAACTTTCTAATTCAGCGGAGACAACAGAGCAGCGTCAGCGCCTCGCCAGGTAAGCGATTCTCAAGTGAATGTCGAGGTTCGCCGCAAGGTTGGCATTGGCATTGGCATTAGGGGTATCCATTGCATCGAGCTTACTTTTCCCTACAGAACCTCCGACGCCCTTCTCACCACCACCACCACGCTCTCCTCCTCGCCAGCGGCCTAGCATACTGTGGACACTCTTCAAATACGCCTCCGTAACTGTCCTCTGCACCACCGCCGGCTTCGCCATGGCCGCCGCTCCCGCCTACAAGACGATCCAGGAGATCATAACGCCTCCGACAGACGCGGAAACGCTTGAGCTATTCACCGCGGATTCGGACGTTCTCGCGGAGATAGATGAGCAGCTGTTCGCACATCCGCTGGTCAAGTCGCTGCTTGAGGATCCGAGCTTCATCGCATCGCGCCCACATCTGAAGATCCCGCCGTCTTTGCGACTACACAATCTTACCGGCGGAACATTGATTGGAGAGAACAAGATTGGCGTACCACCGCTTACATTCACCACAGAGGACGGTTCGCGCTTTGTCAGCGTACAACATCTCGGCTCCGCGCTCTGTGGACACCCGGGGATCGTTCATGGGGGTCTATTAGGAACGCTGCTGGATGAGGGGCTGGCGAGGTGTTGCTTTCCGGCACTGCCCAACAGAGTGGGTGTGACGGCGAGTCTCAATATCACGTACAAGAAGCCATGTATGGCGAATCAGTATGTCGTGCTGAGGGCGGAGACCACCAAAGTGGAGGGAAGGAAGGCATGGGTCAAGGGACGGCTAGAAACTTTGGTGGACGAGGCAAAGGGAGAGGTGCCTATGGTGTTGACAGAGGCGGAGGCGCTTTTCATTGAGCCGAGACAGGCGGCGGTGAGTGCAGTCGCTTGAGGTTTGGAGAGATGATGTGCTAATTGATTTGCAGACGATGGCGAGAGTCTACTCGACATGAGACGAAGCACCAGAACGGATTTAAGAAGATTTGGGCTATATATTCTAAGTGATACATGAGATTTGGTACGGATTTCAACAGCATCTCTCTGGATTGCTGACTACATTGACGAACGAGAACGATGCGTTGCAGCATTGGAGTACCATTATAGAAGCAATGGGATTTTGCGCGGCCTCCGCGGAGGTCTTGTATAGAGAATGCTTTGAGGAGAATAGCATTAGACGCGGTAAGACTAGATTGCATAAAATGTGCATACTTAGATCCATTTTTAGTCCTTTCAATGTTGAATGATTCCGGATCGACCCACCTCACCATAGAGCAAAGAAGAAAATGGGAAAAAAATTACCATGCCCAAAGTGCCATTCGAACTAAGTTTTACAGGCAGCGAAAATCTCGGGCCGAAGCCCTACCAAAACCCCTTAGGGAGGGGGTTTTACACCACAGTTCGATAAGCCATTGGCGAAAACCGTCAACGGCAGTAGAAGACTCACGAATGAGCCAGCCCCCCCGAAGGGGACTAGCTGCGCTAAATATTTAGGTATATATATCTAGCCCCAAAGCGAAGAGAATTAGCCACTTATTCACTAAATGACTAGTCTAAAAAGAAACACGATGGCTCTACGAATCGAACGCAGATCTATGAGAGGCAAAAAACTCAGGCCGAAGCCCGAGAAAACCCTCAAGTGAGGTTTTTTTCAGCGTTATTGGGACGTTACGGCAACCCGCAACCTCAAACTACAGACTCGTAACCAATGAGCCCGGCCCCGAAGGACAATGGCGGCGTGAATATTTGGGTTTATATACTTGGTGGTGAGGTGAGGCGGTATACTTGACGCTTTACATTTCACAAGTGATCCGTCATCTCTTTCATATCCTCAATTTAGAATTACATGTCCTGATCGTCATGCTTCGCGATTAAGTTGTGACATCAAGAGCAAAGCATCGGTCGTCCTCGTCCGAAATGATGGTAACGATAGGAAATTCCAGTTGGATGATGAAGGATAAAAGCTTAGTGGCCAATCAGATTAGTGAAAATCAAGAAACCCCACGACCAATAGCATCGTAGACCAGCCGTCCGACCCTACTCCTAGCGTGCCAACATTGCAATCTTCTCCTTCGGACGACATCCGCACTACTCACAAGTCATCAACACTACAACTCCTTATCAGGAAGTCGCCTTGTCAAAACCAGTCCGATTAGATTCCAAGTGCTCAACCCCAGGTGTGCCCTGCTTTGAGGTTGCCAAGATCGTAGAAACAATTGACACCGGCTAACCTACAATCATGCAACAAGATTTTCGAACAATGTATATCACAATGTATAAAGTCATACTTTCCCCCCCTTCTTTTCATTAATATCACTATCCCTTGAAGACGTTTTCTACTATATATGTCATCTCATCAAGAAAAGTCGCCCAGAGAAAAAAGGTGGGAGATTTCTTCATCTCTACCGTGCCTTAATCTTGCAACAGACAGTCTTCCATATCCACAACCCTCCGAGGTTACAATCTCCCAAGCTCAATATTGTGGCGTGGTGTGGCGTCTAATCAAAATGCATGTCTTCGCCGCCCCCAAATGCAGCCAAGATGGCCAGACTCTCAGCCTCGCCATGGCAGCCTTCACTTGAATTGTACATATGTACGGCACACCCCCAACGCTCTACACTTCCTCAAACCAGGCCCACCATGACACAACCAACTGGTTATTGGCATACGAGCCGTTCCTTGGTTTCTAGGGCCGGAAATGGGTTTTTCGAGGAGCTTGAAAGTGGTTTCTATCATACGCCGGGAGCATTGCGATTCGACGAGAAAAAAACTGTGCCATCCCATACATTCCCCGCAGCATCAGAAGATTTGAAACGCCGTCACTCCACAGGATCCACAGAATTCAAGGCGAGACACACGCAGAGGACGACGCCAATCCGCTCCTTCAATGGAATATCCTGAGGTTGGGCCTTCTTCCCTACTTGATGGTCTCTCCGGTCGGACTACCTATAGCTACGTGAAGGATAGCCTCAAAAAAAGAACGCGTCATCAAAGCCGTGGAATCTCGTCACGAGATGAATTTCATCGATTCACTTCCTTTGACGATACAAGTGGTAAAATAGATCGAATACGGGTCGCAATAATCGATATATCCAAGGAGAATACTGTCCAGTGTCACCGACAGTTCAATTTAGGTGTCAACAGCCACACCTCGCAAGATGATGGCGCTCACGATCCTCTCGACGCTGGCACGCGAACTGTGCTAGATCCCGAAGGGTCGAGAATGGACAAGTTTCTCCGCGAGCCTACCACCACGACTTCATGTCGCACAATAGTCGTTGAAGGGCTTTCTAAGACTGCGATACGTATATTGGGCGACGTGTATGGACTAGACCCAGAGGTATTTTTGCAACACTCTGCCGGCAGACCACATTTCGATCAAGAGACACCGACATCGGATATGAATCAGACCACGACATCGTGTGTAACTCTCCAATGGAGTGCAGCAGGTCATATCGATATCAAATCCTTGATACTTGCCTTAAACTTTGGGCTTGTAAAGCCCGTATTTCCTCAAGAATTGGAGAACTTAGCAGGCCGGGCGGCTTTCATCAGTCATGGACCGGACCCGTCGGGAGTGATTATTCCCGACTCCTCGACGGCGATTCTATGTCCATTCGGAATGTCCTCCAGCAGTGGTGTGGCTGCGCTGGAGAAGAGACTGACGCTTCATTTCGTGGGAACATCACGCCTGAGGCCTTACCATAGTGAGTACAGATAGATCAGCATTACGACCCATCAGACACTCTTTGAACAGTTCTGGCTGATGTAATAAAGCAACCCTCATTCTTTGCGACCCTGCCCCAGTATGTTATGCAGACGAGGGTCGCATGCGGACATTGTTTTCAGGCTTGCCGCGCCAAAGAGCTTCTGCCCACAACGCTGCTCTTCGCCCCAACGGTGACGGAAGGGGTCTGAAGCTTCATCGGTACAGTGAAATAGATGGAACTGAGTTGTCAACTGCTGCAACCGCCTGGCGATATCTCGGGAAGGCGCTTCCTTCACCTCAGTCCAAGATCGCCCCCAAAGCTCGTATTTTATCTTGTGTTTTGCAAACTATCTGTCAAGACCATGCTGCGCTACTGAACTCACTGATTAACGAATTGAGCTCACTGCGAGCACAGCTACCGGATGAGCAGCATATACTCTCTTCGTTGAAGTATCTGCAATGGGCACTCCTTCAGCATGACGCTCTACTACACGATATGGAACGGAGCTTGTCGCAATTGCGGGTGCTGTGGAGCAATACAAGATTGCAAATGGAAGATTCGACTCGACTGCATCCCTACAAGTGTGCATGGAAAATACCGAATACGCGCAGAACAGCGACAGATGGCCTTGAGGAGCAAATTGTCGATTTGCTAGAGCGGCATTACGGCACGAGGGCTAAAAAACTCGAGATGTTTAACACTCTTGCCACCACGGTCTCAATAATCGAGAGCGAGCGACAGATTCAAGAAGCAACGTCAGTGACTAAGCTCACCGAGCTGGCCTTCGTTTTCATACCCCTATCCTTCTCGGCATCGTTGTATAGCATGCAGGTCAAAGTGAGCACGGAATCCTTCATGAAACAAAATTTTCTTTGAGCCTACTTAATAATTGTTACCTAGGAGTTGCAGAACGGCGTTTCTCTCTGGATATTTGTCACGACTGCCATTTTAATTCTGGTCCTCTCTTACACCAGTCGACTTACCCTCCGAAGTTGAATCGTTGCACGTATGAAGCACGGATATATTCAAAGTGTTAGGAGGACAGCCAAGCTACATGCCGACGATCCAATACCGGCAACCACCGCCTTCATATGGGTAGTTAAGAAGTTTGTGCTTCCAAGCTTCGTGGTCCTCTTTGTTTTAGGTGTTTACGTGGGACCAATTGTAGGAATCGTCTACTTATGGAGGTCGCACTTGTCGCATACCGCGAAGGTTGCAGCAACTACTGTGATAGTGGGCTTTTTCTTTTTCCTCTCTTTCGCTTTTCTCATATTTTTCTTCTGTTTACGAAGGAGAAAGCCAAGTAACAAGCCTCCTGGGTCTGTCCCAGGATTCAATTGACGCAGCTAAACCTTTGCTGGCAAAAGTGTGCATGTTTTCGACTTTCACAATCAGTAACTGCTTCGCAAGGATCTAAATATACCCGAGCTCCTCTTCTGTTATTTTATTCCGTAGGTATGAGGACTACGTCGTACTATAGCTAGCGACCTATCTATTATCTTCCTTCGTTAAACCCGCGTTTTGATAACTTCCATGGACATAAGAAACATACTAGGACACGAACTAGTGTACTCTCTTGCCCCTCCACCAATTTTCAATGACGACTAGCTACCCTAAATCTCATAAGACCCTGTTATTTCGGATGCTGATGCTCTAGTACATACCCTGTCGAATCAATACTGACGTCTTCGACGGATTGCCCCATCGACACTGTACTCCATGTTATGTCCTCGAATATCGAAAGATCCGCTCATTATCCACTCCGCTGCCTCGACTTCTTCCACGAGCCACATAGGGATATTCAGAACATCAGCCTTTTCTGGGCCGATGTCTCCGAAACCCATCCTCGACCCTTCAGCATCTAGACTATGTTTACTTTCCCGAAATCAGAAGTAGAACCTAGAAAACCCGTTGCGGCTTTTGCTAGCCCCGTAATCTGACTTATGCCTTCGAATGTCCATCATGACGTCCCTTGACCACTCCGATATCTCATCTTCCCTCGCCCACATCGGATACTTCTGGACACTGAAGCAATCCTCCACGAGCCTCTTCCGCTTAATCCCGTCCTCCCAAACTACACCTGGGTCATCTTCTCTGTCGGGATTCACATTCTCTTCTTGAGCATCATCCGACGCGGGTGCCATAGCTTGCCAAGGTAAATACCGCAATTTCACCATCTCCACAGCCTCGCACTTGCGCACGAGTTCTCGAAGGCCGCGGGTGATAGCATCCAGCGCACTCAGCTTTGCGTGGCAAACGTCGTGGAATGAGAGCTTAAAGGTTAGGACCTGCAGACTCGGGCAATATTGAGCAAGATAGCGTAGTGAGAGTGTCTGCTCCGCCAACCGAAGCCTATGCCACTTCTTGACGACCACGATGCTGTGACCCGGAAACCTCAAGCAGTCCTTACCGATGTTAGATGTGAGGGTTACGTGTGTCATGAAGCGGAAGCCAAAGTGGGACATCCTCATGTGGTAGCTGGGCCTATAAGCAAAGGGTTAGTATGGTCTGTCTAGCGTCGTTACTTTTAAGCTGACTTACCTATTACTCAATTTGAGATTGAAGATGACCTCGATGTTGCGGACCAGCAGCGAGTACAAGTCCGCTGCAATGAACTTGTTTGTACACATCAGTGCCGTTTGCTCCTGACCAATACCATGCCCGAACACGTGGACGGTACTCGATGGCTGCACCGTGGGCTTGGTGTGCTCAATTTTATCGGTTTCTAGGAAAGAAGATAAAGTTGCGAGGGGGTAATTGAAGCTCACGCTTGTGATAGTGCTCCACAGCAGAGTGTCGTCTTGGTCGCGGTGGACCATTGTCGGGGTTTTTTTGGAGCCGATATCGATCCAGTGTGAGAGAACTCCACACTCCTCGGCCCAATCCAAATCAAGGTCGTGGCGGCTTGGGCCGCCCCAAAGACTCTTCACGTGCAGGCAAGGCCGGAAGATGCGACGGGCCACGGGAAAGCCAAGGTATGAGTAGATAAGCTCTCGGAGTTCGAGAGGAAAGGCTTCCAAGCGGCTTGGTCGGTAGTGCTTCTTTGGTTTTGTCGTGATTGAAGACAACCCCAGAAATGGTATCAAGGGAGTGGTGTGTATAAGGTGGTGATGGATAGTAGTGGGTTAAAAGAGCCTGAAGGTTTCGTGCAGAGGCTGAGGGGTCAAGGCTATTGATATAGACAGTTTAACAATGGTGAATTGACGGACTGCAACTGCAAGAGCGAGTGCAAATTTTTCGAAGTCATGCCATTAGTCATTCATATCTCTAGAAAAGGAACTAGGAGTTGGATCGATGACCTGTCGCTATCCCTAGAGTACAGGGCTCCCTAAGAACTACCGCCGACAACGAACTCTTTGATAGATCGATCGTGGGCGAGCCTTATCGTAGCCCCCATTTTCTCTCCGTGTAGCCCCCTACGTCAAGGTCTAACTCCGGCCCGTAAGAAAATTGTTCTAAAGACTACATTCACTTGCTCAGCAGGTCTCTGAAAATATTCACGTTAACAGTGAACACAACAGTCTCCTCCACTGTACTTTTCCTCAACACCATGCTACTACTGCTAAGGCAGAGATCCCCCTGAGACTCGTAGTGGTAGTGAAGGAGTGGGCACAATGGGTTGGTGTAGTGGCTTGAAACTTTAGGACACTAACGATACATAGAGAAGGTATCCTGAAGGTCTTCCGCATCTAAGTTGTGGCAAGCAAATGGTTTGGGTAGTAGATAATTTAGCTTCTGATTGGCGATTAGCAACTCAGTGTCAAACGAGGTGTCGTTCGAGAGGCAGCCTGAGTTCTGTATTAATTATGAGAAGTCATGTGATAGGGTACTGAACGAATACATGTAGTCGAATAATATTCATACTAGCCGTGGCTAGGCTTAAAGTAGAGGGAGCTACCTACACAGAGAGAAAAGGCGGGCTACGACGAGAAAAAAGGGAGGCCACGGCTAGGCTCACCCCAGATCTTCCTGGTCCAGCTGATGCACCCCTACTCCGAGTTAATGGCCGTTACCTCCGACTAGACGTTCTTTAGAGACCGTAATCCTTCTTATGGTTCCGAATATCCATCATGACATCCATCGCCCACTCCGCTACCATATCCTCCCTCAACCACAACGGAATGAGAATCTCTTTCTTATTCTTCTTCTTATTCTCCTTCTGCTTGAATTTCAGATTCTTTTGCACAGGGACCCCCTTCAACCCATCTTCGAATCTGTAGTCATCCACATCCCGCCACTCCAGTTCCTCTCGAGACGCTACTCTCGGCTTCGGGTCCCTTGTTAAATATTGCAACTTCAACTTCTGCAATTTCTTGCACATCCGCACCAACTCTCTAAGACCAAACGTAATGGCGTAGAGTTCGCTCAACTTCGTCTTTATAATTTTGACTACAGATGGCATGAGGGTGAAACGTTTGAGCTTTGGGCAGTGCTGTGCGATGTACCGAATCGAGAGCGCTTGTTTCGCCATGTCAGTCCGTTGCCATTTCTTGAAGACGGAAGAAGGATGCGGGTATCGCTCTTCCCAGCTGCCGCCGATGCGGCTCGTGAGCGTGACATGGGTCATGAAGAGGAAGGGGAAGGAAGACAATCCCATGGGTCTGCTAGTGATGTTCTCTTTGGCGTTCCTGACGCGATATTGTTTATTAGGCCGTCTTCCCGTGCTCCAATATTGAAGAGACTCACCAATCAGACCACCACCCATCAGTGTATCCCCTGTAAATCCACTCACTACTCAGTTGGTAGTTGAAGACGACTTCGATTTTCCGGACGATAAGCGAATACACGTCCGCGGCGACGAATTTGTTTACACACAGCAACGCTCGCGATGCCTTGAATCCATCATAGCTGTAAAAGAAGCCGCCGTAGATCTGTGGGTTTGAATGATGCTGCACCTCCTCCGGGGTATCTTCCACTATGACAACATTCGGGAGTTGCAGCAGAGCATTGCCGGGACCTTCGAGTATGATGGTGGTGATTGTGCTCCATAGCAATGTGTCGTTTTGGTGTCGGTGATATATTTTCCACCCGTCCTTGGTTTCGACGACGGCCCAGTGTGATGGTATGTTGCAGTAAGTATTCCAAGCCGAGTTTAGAAACACTGGGCAGGGTCGAAAGACTCGGCGCACAACGGGAAGGCCAAGGTACGAGTATAGACGCTGGCGAATTTCGAGAGGGAGAAGTTCCAGGCGACTCCATCGATACTCTTTTGCCTTTCTAGCCATGTCTAGATTTTGGAAAATGAAAGATGGCCTGTGTTTTAGGCGATGACAGACGGTAGGAATACTACAGATCCTAATTACCCGGTGATTCGTAGAGTATAATCATATAGTCTCGAAGACTAGTAAAAACACTGAAATCTGCATGTAGGAATGATCGGAGCATAGATGTAAGAAGCAATGCGAACATGCAAGTCGGTTGACCAGAAGTCTAGCTGGCAGTTACTTCCAGCCCTGGAGGAACGCCTGGTGCATAAAACTACGCAACGTCTGGTGGAAGGACCGATGCCGTTGATGTTACCTTCCGCAAAGCAGAAAGGTACGAATCTCAGGGACCCTTGGTACTGTCCGTGAGGTCGGTAAGGTACTTTGCAAATGATGAGAGTCAATCCAATTCGCATTCACTCCCAACCTGCAATTTAGTCATTCACTAGGCTTAACGCGTCAGCCAAAGTACCTAAACCCCAATGGATGACGAGGAGCTCCATCTCCTTCATACACACCTCCCACACCTCCCACACCTACCAAACCTACCACCACCAAGCCAATCTTCCCACTCCCACAACCATGTCAAAGAAACAAACCAAATACCGTCCAAGCCGCCTCGAGCTCTTTCCTCTCGAGCTCAGAGAGCGCATCTACTCCTACCTCGGCCTCCCAATCCTCTGCCGCTTCCCAGCAACCTGCAGCTGCTCCGATTGGAATCATAACTGCGAGGATCCCTTCCACTATTACCACGATCCTGAGGACGAACGCAATACACCTTTCACCCGGAGTCTCCTCACCTCTATCAGATTCTTCAGTCCTGGTAGAGGATGGGAATCCGGTTGCGGAGGGGGGAAGGCCTGGTTCGGGCGCGTGCTAGAGACGTCAAACCACGAGCAATGCGAAGACGGGGTGGTGATGTATATGCGCGAGTATCGGACCATCGGGGCTCTGATCTGCACGAACAAGTTCATCGCTGCTGACTTGTATACTCTGTTGTTCAGGAAGGTTGAAGTGATCTTCAATTTCCAGCTCTCCAACAAGGCCGTGTTCCGTTATCATAAGGGATGGCCTCGAGGTGATAAAATCCTATGTGAAGGTGGGAAGCTGAATGGAAATTTGCCACCGGTGGGGAAGAAACAAGTGTAAGTTGTTCATCTGAAAGACAAATCCCAAATCACTAAAAATCTGAAGTGCTAATTGTTTCGCTGTGCAGGGTACCCTACCAGATGCAACTGAGCCCTTTTTCGTTCTTGGTCATGACGCAAATAACCCTCTCAGACCGCATTGGCCGCTCATTCGACGACGAAATCCCGCATTCCCGGAAGATGTCCTACAGACAGCGTCGAGAGAAGTTGGCTAAGCAAACTCTGTCCATCCGCTTAGTTGCCCAGAATTCCCCGCAGCTGAAATCTTTAACGGTGTCCTCCCATAACGAGCGCGACCAGGGAAGATTGAAAAAGAGCTTCTTCGAAGCCATTCCATTCGCTTTGCGGGAGGCAGCGCGGATGTGTGATAACCTGGAGACGGTCAACATCCGGATCCTTCAGGAGCCCTACTCTATTATGAACGGCATTGCCCGGAAGCTGAAGAGAATTTTTTTTCCATTGGGACGTAAAGAGCTTCCATTTCAAAGAGGTGCCGCGCTGGGTATTGGATGATGAGCTGGCTGAATGGGCGACCAGTGTCCTGATGGAATTTTGGCGCTATGAGGGTGAAATGACAGAGCAGCTTTTACGCCAAGAACGATTACTAACTCTTAGGCAAGGGTCTACGAATAGCGGTATCGGATTTTTGGTGCGTTCCACTCCTATAGTCTCTCCATAAAGTTTCCTTCGTAACATTGGTTGGATAGCCAGGGTCTCGATTGTCGAAGATTACGAAGGAGAAGAAGGTTCAGATTCGCCCTAGAGTAGCTGAATATACAAATGATCTTCCAAACTAGCAAATGATTCTTAGTTTGCAGGGGTATGAGTGTGACTCTAGCAAATAGTTGGCGTGGACGAGAACATGACTGTCGATCGCATGACTCCTTCCATCATACTTAGTCTGCGCTGACCACTAGATCGCGTTATCTCGACATCGAGTCCCACACCCGACCTCTTGACTAAGACCGAGAATCGGTGGTGGCGGAAATGGTTAGGATGTCTTCGAGGACCTTCCTAGGGTCAATTTCGGCGTCCGCTTCGAGGAAGTCACGGGCAATTTGCTCCTAATCAGGTAGTCAGTAATCAACGTATTGAAAATGGCGGGGAAGTATGAGCTTTACCGCATCTTCAAGCTCCACCAATTCCGCGTTAGGCATTACAGCACAAGCAGCAACGAGATCTTCTCCTTTCGCTGCCAGAAGAATGAGCTCCTCGGCGCGCCTAACTACATCTTGCGGAACTCCGTTCATTGCGGCACAGCTAGTCAGTGGTTAGTACCTGCTGGTGTCTGGAAGGGAAAAAAGTGTACCATGTCCCAAAACTCGAAGTACTACGCCCTTCGCGAAAGCTGTAGGTGTTAGCAACAAGAAGTGGATCACGGAATCATTTCTCACTTGTACAAGTATGTTATCTGATCGTCTACCTCGGACGCAGTTGTATCGACTCGTACTTCCATGTGACCAAATGCTAAGGACGGACGAGGCTTCAAGAAGCCGTTCTCGAAGATTTCTAGAAAGGAAACATGAGAGAGTAGCTGAAATATCATGAGATATCTTACCGTGGAAATGCGTCGCTCCGAGAACTTTTGGACTTTCTTTACCGAGATTGAGCAGATACTCGAGTACTCCGCAAGCAATGCCCGCACCGTCTGCGACTCCTCAGTATCAAGTCATCAAAGATAAATGACAAGAGCATACCACTTGATTCCGTGCCCTTTCCAAACTCATCAATGATAAGCAGACTGCGTCGAGTAGCCAAGCTCAGGGCAAGCGATATCTGCTGAAGATCGATCATAAAGGCGCTTTGGATCTAGATATTCTCAGTAGGTGGCCACACTCAGTTGAGTATAAGACTCACCCTGGAAACAGTCTCACGAGTCGATACTCGAGTGAGGATCTTATCCGTAAGCCCAATCCTGGCACTTTCCGCAGGCACAAAGCTAATGCTGTCAGAATCGCTCTCCACGCAGAGAATTGGGCGCCTACCTTCCAATGTGCGCCATGAAGACGATCAACGCCACTTGCTTCAAGTAAACACTTTTGCCAGAGAAATTCGGTCCCGTGAGAATCAGTAGACTTGCGCCATCGCTTCTGATTGCAGATGGCCGACCTGAAGACCTCTGCGGCGCGTGCGAGCTACGATCTACAGTCGATTCGAGGCCGTCTTGTTCCATCGCATCGTCTCCGTGGCCACCAACGAGGTCTGTGTCGTTTGAAACGAAAGCCGGTACCGTAAGCTCTTGCAGAATATGGCGTCCACCTTTTATCTTGACCACGTTGTCTTTTGTCAGCTTAGGCTTCGCTAGTCTGTACATCTTCGCACCTTGAGCCAGCGCCAGGAGACTGTCCAATTCGCCGCAGATATCCGAGGCCACGGTAAGTAGCTCTTCGTACTCGAGAACAAATTGCGCAAGATCATGACTGATTTCAATCTCCCTGTCTGAGATGATACCGTGTAGGTCGCCGAAATGATCATCCATTTCCCGCATTTCATTGTTTTTGAAGTAAACCTGCTCTTCTGTTGAAAACATCTGCTCCCATGGATTCTCGATCCCGCCTTGGTATACGCCTCCGCCAGTAGCATGATTCCGTGGAACCGTAGCAAGGAAGCCAATCTGCGGAAAATAGATGACATTGAGGGTTTCATGCAGCTCGGCTGGAATGCTTTCTGATAGTTTGCGAGCTACTTGGCTGAGTAGGGCATCAAGACCGTCAAATGTACGTTTCATTTGGTCAAGCTCTTCGTCTATGCCAGGCATAATGACAGTCCGGAGCTCTTCTGTCGATCTCTCAAAGTCGACCACTTCGCTTATTTTTCTTCCAACTTGGCTGAAATGATATGTATCGACTTTCTCAAAAATCCTTGCCCGAATGGCAAGCCTTTCTCCGCCCGTCACGTCTTGGAAAGTGTCCCTGATCTTCATGGCGTGGTACACAAACTGTTTTGGGTCAGAAGAGTAGGAAAAAGAAGCCATAACTCGGTCTTACTAGTCGAATGCCTGCCCAGATGCTCTTTGCAATGCCTCCTCCCTTAGTAAGACCTCCACCGACCCCCTTGCGCAAGTTGATCATGATCACTCGGATGTTCTTTATAGACTGTAATGATTTCACAAGCATCTCTAAAGGCTCAGAATTTTCTGGGCGAACGAAAATGCTGATAGTTTCGAGGCGCTCATTGATGACATCAACATTAAGGCTGGGACGGAGAAAATACTGTCGGAGGAGGTATTTGCCTTGCGGTGTTCGGGCGAGATGGTGGAACAGTCCATACACAGAAAGCCCCTCCTTCGAGCCAGATGATCCTTTCGTTGGGCCTTGGTTATGGGTGTGCGGATGTGATTCCGATTGCAAGATCTGCAAAGACTGCAAAGTATCGGCATTGATGAACCTGGAAACCGGTGAGTGGTGGCCCCAGTGTCTAGGTAGATACGGACGTACATAGTATCCCGCAACGTGAACATCTCAAGTGTAGAGATCCGGAATACGAGGTGAGCAGCCTCGTCACCGGGTAGGAATCCAGCTGCTCGTCTTCTCTGAAGGTAAGATATTAAGGCTCCGGCACAGCCGACCTAGAGACGTAAGAGATGTATTTCTGTAACTGAGGGAAGCACCTACAGTCAGGCGACTCTCCACATCAATCCACCCAGACAGCCTCAGGAGCTGCTCATGACGTCCGATGAACCCTCCTCCGTCGTCAGCGCCCTCTGCCACCATCACGTCTCCTGGAACAACGAATGTGACTTGCGGTCCGTCGTCATCGCCGAGCTTGAGATTCACGAGCTTGTTCTTCGCTGCGTCATAGCCGAACTCGGAGGATGGACGGACTTCGAGCAGGTATGGGAGGCGAAATGGATCGCCTGGCCTGTGTCAGTCTGGGAAAATCTGTAGCTGAAGGTGGTACGAATGCTTACTTGACCCATCAATGGAGGTAGAGCGTCTAGCTTCAGGGTCCAATCGATTTATGACAGCATCATCAGCTCTAGCAGATACTAGGACTACCGTAGGTTCGATGAAAGACTTCACTAGTGAGTAGTTAGCAGCATATATCAAAAAGTCTAGGCAATCCTACAAGCATCGACCACGTCAACACCTCCGAGCTTAACATCTTCCATGAAGCACAGCTTCTCATCTCTTGCAACATAGTAGCAGCATCCCACTGTCCCTCTTTCTCTGAGATCCACCGCCATGACGATCTCGTTGAGAGCATCGGCGTCGTGCAGATTATTGTCGACATCTTCGTGAGCACCCTCGGACTGCTGGTCTTCCAAGGCAGACTCGGCAATTGATTCTGGCTGGGTACTACGATGCGGCGTCTGGATCTGAACTCGTCGCTGGACAGGCCTTGCTGAGGATGCTGATTTTGATAGATTGACGGACGACCTAGAGCCTGACCTGTATCGACCGTGCTCTCGCTGTGACGATGACTGGGACTGGTCGGCTTTTCGTTTGTCTTTCGGAATCCTGAATGCCATCTCCGCATGGGGGGAGGAAAGGCTATTGAGATCGCGGAGTGATGTTTGGATGGGAAGGTTGACGTTGAAAAAGAGTTGGAAATCGGAGACGCCGAGGCTGTACGGCGCGTGGCCATTTAGCAAGCTGAACAGAAATGCACCGCCTTATTAGATGTATGAAACAGATTCTTGTCTCATCATTCATTAGTAGTATGTTTGATCATTACGTAGACTTATGCACAGCCCTTATATACACCTCTTGAGCGGAGAGGACTCGTCATGTGACATCTGAAACCTTACGCCAGCAATGCAGCTTGAGTACGAAATAATGACACAAACCAATCCCACATGTTTTACAAGGTATCTTAAAAGACTGGAGAAAACAACCTATGGCTGGAGGATAACTTTTGACAGCCTCGCGATGTGACTGGCCTCACGATGTGGCTGCCCGCACTTCTAATCCAGCACCATCGTCCTGTATGGTAACCTTCGCAACATCACCGCCTTTGACCTCACCACGGATGATCTTGTCTGCAAGCCCGTTTCCAATTTGCTTCGCGATCAGGCGATTCAGGGGACGAGCACCGAACCTGGGGTCATATCCTCGGTCGCAAAGCCATTGCTTAACATCATCAGAGACGTCTAGCTTGATACGACGGTCATCCAGCCGCTGCTGCAACTCTTTCAATCGAATGTCTACGATGTCACGAAGAGCTGCACGAGAAAGCCGTCTGAACAAAATGAACTCGTCGATACGATTGAGAAATTCGGGGGGATATGAGGAAGCTACAACGTCCATCACAGCTTCCTTGGTCTTTGGAGAAATCTGGTCATCGTCTTCGGGAGTCTTCGATCTGTGAAGCATGTCTTCGCCAACGATAATATCGGCACCTAGATTCGAGGTCAAGACGATGATCGTGTTTCGGAAATCGATCTTGTGGCCTTGAGAGTCGGTCAAAAAGCCCTCGTCCAGGACTTGGAGAAGGAGTGCTGAGATGTCGCGATGAGCTTTTTCGAACTCATCAAATAGCAACACTGCGTAAGGCTTCCTTCTAACGGCTTCCGTGAGTTGGCCTGCGTCGTCATATCCAACATAGCCTGCAGGACTGCCTATGAGCCTGCTTATCGTGTGTTTTTCCTGGAACTCGCTCATATCAAATCGGATGACGGCTGTTTCCGTGGAGAAGAGGAAGTTTGCCATCTTCTTGCAAAGTTCGGTCTTACCAACACCAGTTGGTCCCAAAAACATAAAGCTAGCGAGAGGGCGGTTGTCTCCACTTAGGCCTGCTCGCTGCATGCGAACAGCATTGGCGACCGCTGTCAATGCTTCGTCTTGACCGCGAACGTGCTGCCGAAGAGACTCTTCCATGTGGATCAGCTTTTCGACCTCGCCTGCCATGAGCTTTGTAACCGGGATGCCAGTCGTTCGGCTCACAACACCAGCGATATCATCCGCAGTGACCGAGTCGTGTATGAGTGTGTCGGATGATTTTCCACCAGCGGCGTCCTCGCTTTGCAGCTTGCGTTCGAGTTCCGGAATCTGCGAATATCTCAGCTCGCCGGCTCGGGCAAAATTTCCTTCTCGCTGGGCTTTCTCAAGCTCAAGCTTCGCCTTCTCCAAATTCTCTTGCGCATTTTTGATCTCTCCAATCTCAGCTCGTTCCTTTTCCCATTTGTCCATCAAGGTTTTGACCTCCTCTTGCTTAATTTTGAGGGTGCTCTCCAACTTTTCCCGCCGCTCTACGCTGGCTATGTCTGTCTCTTTGCGCAGCGACTCTAGCTCGATTTGAATGGTCATAATCTGACGATCAAGCTCCTGGATTGCATCTGGTTTGCTCTCTTGCTGCAAACGGAGTGCACTAGCGGCTTCGTCGACCAGATCGATAGCTTTGTCTGGAAGGAAGCGATCGGTTATGTAGCGATTACTGTACGTTGCAGCAGCGACAAGAGCCCCATCAGTGATTCGCACACCGTGGTGAACTTCGTACCGCTCCTTGATGCCTCGAAGAATCGATATCGTATCCGGAACACTTGGTTCGCCCACTATGACGGGCTGAAATCTTCTCGCAAGCGCCACATCTTTCTCAATCATCCTATATTCGTTGAGCGTAGTAGCACCGCAGCATTGCAGCTCTCCGCGGGATAGCGCAGGCTTCAGGAGATTGCTGGCATCAATGCTGCCCTCCGCTTTGCCTAGGCCCAGCAGAATATGTAGCTCGTCAACGAAGAGTATAACACCACCTTTCGCATCTTCCACTTCCTTCAACACTTTCTTGAGCCTCTCCTCAAAGTCTCCTCGGAACTTGGCTCCAGCGATGAGTTGGCCCAAGTCGAGCGAAATGACTCGCTTCTCCTTTATAGACTCTGGCACATCTCCCTGCACTATTCGTTGCGCGAGGCCCTCCAGAATAGCTGTTTTCCCCGTGCCCGCAGCTCCAATCAGAACTGGGTTGTTTTTTGTCCTTCGCGATAGGATCTGTATTGTGCGGTGTATCTCGGCGGCTCTTCCGATAACGGGATCTAGCTTTCCATCCCTTGCGCGTGCTGTGAGGTCGACGCCATACTCTTCTAAAGCAGATTTCTCCGGCTCGCCCCCCATGTCCATTCGATGGGTACCACCTGGGGGTTGCGGTCGACCCCTGGCATAGAACCGCGCGGCTGTTGTTGGTAACAGAGCATTGTTCAGAAAGTTCGGACTGACCGAGATGGGATGGGTGTATAGGGAGGAGGCGCGGATAGCTTGTAATCGAGAAGTCCTAGGGATAGCTGAAAGCCGTCTTGCGGCAACTTGCGCTCTGCGGGATAACATGGTTATGACTTCAGATTAGCAGAGGCGAGAGGGAAGTCACAAAAGCTGGCGCTTTGGCGAGAGGACCATGACTTTATAGCCTTCAATGAGCAACATGACGTATACACGCCTCCAGTCATTCGATGGCTCGAGTCTTTTCGAGGATGTTCTATTTAGTTTACCAGGGTAAATTACAGCGCTAGGCTCGTGGCGGGCAAAGAATACGGGAGCGGGGCCGCTTTGACAGTTTTTCCGTCGGGCGTCGTTCGTGTCCAATTTCAGAACCAGGCTCAATATTTTCAATCCCTCCTCCCTCCTCCACCACTCCCAATCCCCATTTCAGAGGCCTTTCGTATATCCAAACCGTCAAGATGGGCTTCACCGACTTCATCTCTGACGCGGGCCTCACCTGTAAGGCCCCTCGCAAGAGTGCTCTGCCCGCCGAACAGTATGACTGATTTGTCTCCAAGTGCTCAACAACTGGGTGAAGACCCGCAGTTACATCGTTGGGTAAGCGCATACCCTTGATCTCATAGCTTCATATGCCTCAAGTCCCGAGTCCCTATTCCCTCCGGCACCTCCTGATGAAAAACATTGGTCCGTGTTTAAGAGGCGGCTTAAGACCCCGCCACATGACTACAAAACCAGCACTTTGTGCACCTCTGATCTTTACTACTGCCACTAAACTTCATGCTACTCTCAAAAGCTTCACGAGGATCGCTATTGACAACAGAGTAGCTACGCGCCTACCCAGGCCGATGTCAAAGTCTTCCAGGCTTTCGAAAAGACCCCCGCGGCCGAGAAGTACCCGTACGCCGCCCGCTGGTACAACCACATCGCCACCTTCGAGTCCGAGTTCTCCTCCCTACCTGGCGACCCATCCAAGGTCGCTACCGCGTACGGCCCTGAGGTCTCTGAACTCCCCATCAACCCTGCCAAGGCCCCGGCCGCAGCGGAGGAGGACGATGATGTCGATCTCTTCGGTAGCGACGATGAGGAGGAGGACGCCGAGGCTATAAGGATAAGAGAGGAACGCTTGGCGGAGTATAAGAAGAAGAAGGAGGGCAAGACGAAGCCCGCTGCCAAGTCTATCGTCACATTGGACGTCAAGCCATGGGGTGAGTCAACGAGGTCTCTACGAGGTCACTCCGTATACTAATATAGTCGCAGACGATGAGACCGATATGAAGGAGCTAGAGGCGCAAGTCCGAGCAATTGAGCAGGATGGTCTCGTATGGGGTGGCTCGAAGCTCGTTCCTGTTGGCTTCGGTATCAAGAAGCTGCAGATCAACTTGGTCATCGAGGACGAGAAGGTCAGCACAAACGATCTGCAAGAGAAGATCGAGGAGTTCGAGGACTATGTCCAGTCCACCGACATCGTAAGTCGCCTTTACCGAACATTTATCTTGATCTATTCTAATTCGTATTCTAGGCTGCCATGCAAAAATTGTAGATCCTCTGGTCTGCTTTCTTCTCAACTATACGCCCTTTTTGCTAGTCATGTTGCACCCTCGCGGTCTCTGGCCGGCGTGTTCTTGCGTGGCTCAAGAGGCTATCAGGCATGGTTAATGTTTTGACGATCATGAGCATTGGCACGATGAAATAGATATAAAATGAACTTCTTTTGGGAACCCATTGCTTTCAACATACCACCTTTGACTTGACCTCTTGATCTATATGCCATCAATCATCTACTAAATATCCGTTCTAAGATGCCTTGACCTGCGACAAAGAAAACATCCCGCCATTACGTAAGTGTTTAGCTTGTGTGGATTCACTCACCACCTCGACCTCTCACGACATTCCTTTACGCGAAGATTTGGTGTATCCGGCTTTTCCGCCGTCTTCGCAGACAAACATGCCACTACAGTCTGTTGCAAACCGATCTAGTTTACTTCCTCTTCCGAATATACGAAGATATGCAGGAGAACCTCGTTATCGGAGCACCCCTCCATGGTCTGATCAACTCAGCTACGGCCGCTTCAAAGACCACCACTGACTTTCAATCCTTTTGTCAGGCACTTACATGAAATAGCGTTCTCTCTTGTTGATCTGTTTTCCAACAAGCAGCACGATGAAGCCTCCCATGATCAGCCCTCCTCTTCTCAACTCATCTAATCCGTGGTGTACCAGCCTCGAGCAGCTCCGCGAGCTCTACGACTGCCCGTACACAGGCGCCGTCACAACGAGAACCTCACTCCTCAATGGCTTTCCAAACGATCCCGCAGTTCACCAATACACATTCTATAATCCTAGCACCCACGCGGCAGCCGCCGACCCCTCCGCCTCCACTTCAGACAAGACCGGCAGCCTCAATACCCTCGGATACAGTCCTCTCCCGCTAGCCACATACCTCGATTTCATAAAACAGATTGCTGCAAGCACCAGCTCCTCCACCTCCCCTCCTAAATCCAAACCCTTCATAATCTCCGTCACCGGCAGCTCCACCGAAGTCTGCGAGTGCTACCGCCTCATCAGCGCCCACCAACGCCTTGTGCACACCCCGCTCGCCATGGAGATCAACCTCTCCTGCCCCAACATCCCCGACAAGCCTCCGCCAGCCTACCACTCGCACCGCCTCGTCGAGTACCTCACAGCGCTGAAAACCGAAGTCGCGGCGCAGCAATCGCAAGGCGCACATACCCACGTCCCTATTGGGATCAAGACACCACCGTACACCTACGCAGACCAATTCAAACACCTGATATCCGCGCTGTCCGACGCTGCCGGCGCTGCTCCGGTCAATCAGCCTTGTCCGATTAGCTTCATAACGGCGACGAATACGCTTGGCTCCTCGCTACTGCTTACCCCGACGCTGGAGGCTCCTTCTTCGCCTATCTCTGTGACTCCGGGTTCTCCGACGGGGCTGCCGAGGCAGGTGTACCATCATACCCTGGCCTCGTCGACGGGGACTGGTATTGGTGGGCTTGCTGGCGCGCCGTTGCATCCACTGGCGCTGGGGAATGTGTATACGATCAAGGGGCTGCTGTTTCAGCATCCGGAGTTGGAGGGGATACAGATAATAGGGATGGGCGGAGTGGAGGACTCGGAGGGGTATAAGAGGATGAGGGCGGTTGGGGCGAGTGCGGTGGGAGTAGGGACGGCGCTGGGAAGGAAGGGTGTTGGGGTATTTGCGGAAATATCAGGGAAGAAGGAAGGATAGTCGATTCGACATGGAGTGTGTAAGAGGAATCGCAATCCAATTCTGTCATTCTCAATCGTACCTATATTTCATTTCAAGTCATTACCACACTGTCGTAATCTCCGCAATGGCGAACAAGGGAGATTCAAATTTGCAGACTAACGCGCTACTTGCTCTCCTTTCACCCTTCTCCTTTCAGCTCACATCCACTTTTCTATTCCTCAATATCATCAAACGAGCGCACGGTGCCCAAAAGCACCCCAAATCAACCGAAACTACCCACCCCGTCGCCTCGTCACCCCTCATGATTCCACATCACACACACCACTCTAGCAGTGCCAAGACCACGACTTCACCTTCCCCCCACTACTATACCCAATGCAACTCCCCGCCTTCGCGCTCGTCGCGTCATTAGAGCACGAACTGTCGCTGTAGTACGTGACTGCGCGTGTCGTTAGCCCCCTTCCACTCCCTGCAAAAACAGCACCGCCCCATCCACCGAGAAAGAGAAACTTACTAGAGCAGCCTCTATCAACGTTGAAGACCTCGAAGCTGCGAACGTTGGCTGTGGGGGGGATTAGTAGGGAGTAAAGGGAACGGAGGGGGTAAGGGGTAAACGAACCAAGCTTCTCGCAATTGACAGAATGACCGGTCCAGGTTACCTCGTCCCCGGAGTTGCAGCTCGTGCCGCTGTAGGAGATGACCTTGGTCGCGGAGACGGTGGTGGTAAGGAGGGCGAGGATGGCGGTGGTGAGGGTGGGGGCGTGCATGGTGGGTGAGAGGGGGAGCTTGTGATTTGGTTTAAGAGTTCGAGTCCGAGAGTTGGAAGATTGCTCTGTGGGTGTTGGTGAGGAATGAGGAGGAACAGGAGGAGTTTATATATGGACAGGCTCGCGGTTTGGGGCCTTTTGGAGATGTGTGGTGTTGCGAAGGGGGAGTAAGCTGACGCGAATAGATGACCGTATTGTCCTTGAGCGCTTTCCGCCTGAGTATGCTTCTCATAGTCCAAATCAGGGCATTCTAGGGATTTCTCGAGGGGCAGGTTCGCTGCATTTGGCCGATTTAGCCTCGCTGATGGTTGGATACCCCATAAAAGCCATCTTTGGACTCCCTTATTCAACAGCAATAGGTGGATCTTTATCCCATGATAGCTTGAATAACGGCTATCAAAGACCCCATTCTGTAAATGGGCATGCGATCTGGAGGTCCAAGCGGAGATTGTCTACGTCTGGTTCGCTGAGGAGATCCTAGAGTACGGTCAGCTTCCGAGGGAAACCCATCTTATGAACGTATTGCAGAGATTTACAGACTGGGAAGGCCTGTGTTGTTCGTACACCGTCTCCATTTCAAACATCACGGGTGTCCACTTCTGGATTTTTGTTGCGGTGCATGGGTTCAATTAAATATCAGATCGAGCGGTGAGGCTAGGGCCCAATCATCAAGCTTATAGCCGATATAAACAATTATAAACTTATAAGAAGCGTCCAAGTGAAGGTCCCATCTGCGAGGAGTTATATGCCCCGAAGCTGACAATGCGTGCGGCTGAGGCGTCGATCTTCGCAGGGAAGCAGCCCCCTGTAGGAGGTTATGTGATTGAACTTGCAAGATGAACAGTTTCATTCTGCTGAGCCGGCCTATTTGCGCCCTGATTGAACTTCGGTTCAGACCGTTGTTATATCCGGTTGTGGGCCAATAGAGCTGAGAGGTAGAGGCGGAATTGCGGTGTGTACTAGACCGCTGAATGGGAAACATGGCATTGAAGTAATTAGCTAAAAACGACTCAGCCCTCGCACCATGTGGTCGTTGACGAACATTGTACAAGGTATAGCCGCCGTAAAATCAGACATAGTACACACATCTAGGAAACCACAGCACAAAGATATTGGATGCGATTCGGTATGCGTGCGGTTGAGAAACTAGAAAGGTGTAGCTTCCTACCACACTTCCTTTACCTTATATGATTAAAACTCATCATAAGCCACCCATTAATATCACAATAGTAATACAAGAGAAGAAAAGGTTCAAGTGCCAAAATTACGCAGTCACCAACCCAACAACCCCGCAAGCACTCACTCCACCGCCCGTCACCTGGTCCGTGACCTCACTATCCCCACTCTCCAGCCTCCTCGGTCCACTAACCGTATCATTCGACAAGAACAGCTTCGCAGACGTCATTCCGTCTTGGGTGTTATTATACAAGCACGCGACCGGGACGTAGATGTTTCCGAACGTGTCGACGACAGTGAGATAGCGAGGGGCGCCAGTGGTTGTGTTGGAAAGCGGAGCTGGGACGAAGGAACTATGGTGTATCAGTAATGACACTAGAGGAGGGGAAAGACGGATGGTAGAAACTTACACTAGCGCAGCAGTCTTGGGCACGGCATCCACACTTCCCAGCCTCAGCCGACTCACGCCCATCGATCTGACCGTATCCGCGTACCCGAAAATCACTCTCCCAGTGCTATCGCTGTATATCAAATTCCCAGCGTCATCTTTTGCAAAGTAGGAAGAACTCGTGAGTGCTGGATAGCTAGACACAACACTAAAGTGTACAGCATACATATTACCGTTATCAGCAGCCACGACAGTAACGTTTTTCTCGGGCGTGGTGATCTGCACGAGCTGGGAGTTCGGGGTGATGTCGGTTGTGTTGGCCGTGGGAGCGGCGGGAGGGGTTTCTGCGCGCGGAACCACCTGGTGGTATTTCCCTCCAAGGGAGATTGGTATCTTAGGCTTAGGAAACGGGTTCACAAGTGGAGCTGGCACAGATGAAGGTGGCACCGCTGGAGCAGGAATTGGGGGAGTCCCGAGTCTGGACAATATGTTAGTTGATCCACAATAAGAGTGATCAAAACTTGAAACTTACGGGAAGCATTTCTTCCAAAGATCCTTCTGAAAAGTGGTAATCGGGAATACTTTATTACCGATTATGTTCTCCTCTGCCGATAGTTCGTTCTTGAAGCTGACATCGAGACTGATACCAGGACAAGCAGCATCACCAATCTGGTAGCTGACGCCGCCGTTCGTGATCGAAGCCGAACCACTCACACCAGCGGCAATAGAGAAGCTTGGCTTGTCGATGAGAGCGGCCTGTTTCTTCCAGGTACCCTTCAGAATATCTATACCGAAGGCTAGAGCGACCTTCAGCGAGGCGTCGGCCGCAGCCTTAACTGATCCCTTGACATCAAGAACAGGCTGGAGGGCTGGAATACCAAGGGTACTTAGTTTAGAGTTCTCGCGATTGATAACATCGACTACAGCATCGATTGCCGGCCAGTTGAGAACTCCTCCAGCTAGCACCTGTCCAGAAGCTTGCAGCGTCAAAGAGGAAGTTGCATCGACGTAGAACTCGGGCCCAACGCTGATAATTCCGGGGATAGTGAGCCACGTCAAAGGCATGTCCACTATTCGTTTTTCGTATAACGGAACCGTAGTGCTGTAGCTGGCGTCGACGCCGAGTTGGAGAGTACCTTGAAGAGTTCCCTTTACAGCAACCGTTCCCTCCTCAAACCCGTGAGCGACGGAGAATACGAAGTGGCCGTTCAGCGCCAGTTGTCCGCTAGCCCCGCATCTCACGCAGTAAACCCCAAGGTGGCCCGCGCCAGACGACGCTTCGTATAAGGAGTAGCCTCGAGGGCCCCATGGAGTGGCGACGGTGTTTCCTTTGCTCAAAGTATCCATGGAAAATGTGCCGGAAAGGTCTTTTGAAATGGTCGTGAGATGATCCAAAACACCTAGATATCTTAGCATATAGTCTAGATGCGAGGAGGGTTTTCGTACTTCCTGCAGCTTGAACAACGTCGCCGATAGCATGTCCAACCGCTGAAACGGCACCCCCGACCACGCTTCCAATGGCGTGGCCCACGCTAGTAATCTTTGCGACAGTCAATGATCAGGAACATATTTCTTCAAGTTAAGGGTATTACGCACAATTTTAGGCCAATGGAATCGTTTCTCGAGACCCGATCGACGAAGCAGATCTGTAGTGTTAGAATTACCGGAGAGGCCAAGAAGGGTGAAGTTGGTCGCGCCAGGAAGCGTCTTATTGAGATCAGACAGATTGTTTAGATTAATCCTTCCGATCCCGTCGTCCAGACGACTATCGAAGCTATCATCATGAATCAAATGATTTGACGAATTCCCAGTAAGGGGCACGAGATAACCTTCGGTTGAATTACCACCGGGTGCTGACATGTTGTAGGTATTAATGGGCTCCTTTCCGCTGAGAGAGAAATTTCCAAACTTGACATCGATCGGGGTATCATGAGCGACTGCTTCGGTGAAGTCAAGGTGCTTGATCTTTCCAGTTATTGCCATCGCATGGTCGTCATGATCGAGGTTAGAAACGAGGAGGTAATGACGGGGGGCTTCTTGCGGTTGTCCAGAGCCACAAGAAGGGCTGGTTGAGATTAACACAAGGCCAGCCGTTTGCTTTGACCAGTCGGACACCGCAATATTGAAGGCTTTCAAGTCGTTGAGGATGATAGTTGCGGTATCCCCTGAGCATGTCATAGAGGAAACGAAGTTTGTATGCTCTAACTGTACAGACGGGTAGTTCATCTCGGGGACTGAAACGAAGCCAATAGCCACGTCGGTGGGTTCTATCAAACAGATATATCAGTAATTCATGTAGAATGGTATCCAGACGGAATGTTTACCTTCATGTGGAAGGGCATTGTCCTTGCTTCTAGACTCCAAGTAGAAAAGGTCGATCGACATGCAGGCCGTAAGGTGTTCATGATCATTGAGATCAACATCCCAGTGGACTGCTGGACGTAGAACATTGGTTTCTTGCGGTGCTTGCGGACTTGCGGTGGGAGAGCTCAATAGTTCCACCGCAGTCAGAGGTGAGATGGGCTCGGCAGTGTATGAAACGGGACTGGTAGGAATTGGCTCTGCAATGTACTGCGTTGGAGTGGTGGGAATCGGCCCCGCAGGAATCGAAGCGAGCAGACCACATGCGGCAGGTGAGCCGGCTGTTTCGTCGTGATCATTGATGTAGATGTTGATTACTGCTCGATCGTCTATTTCAAAAGAATTGGGTGTGTCTAATGGTGCTCCCTTTGAGGTCAAGCAAAGTGCTAGCAAGCACACTATACGGAGAAGGGTTGTCCGATGCATGTTCTTAACGAGCGTCTGGAAACAAAACACAAAAAGGAAGGTGGTTGGGCACAAGCCAAGGAAATGACTGAATGAGTAACTTGGTGTTCTCTGTGAGGATGGACTCGGTTTATATATGTTGATGTAGGCAAGAAGACATTGGCTCGAATCAGGGCTTAGATCTAGTGAGAATGGAAACGCCGTATCTAGGAAGGTACAGCATGGCTAGTTAATTTCCGACTGCTGCCAAGAGCAGTCAAACTTTTACGACATGGAGCCTTCATTGTAACAATCCCGTATCTCGATTTGGTTGGTTGGTACACGCTTTGGCCAGATACGAGCACGTGTGCTTCTAGAAAGGAAGCTGAATATTCCTGAAGAATGAAAAACCAATGGAACAATCTGTGTATCTCGAAAAGCAATGCAATGCTTCCAAGTCGAGCCATTCTACCTTGTCGGTCGCATCGGAATGCTTCCTTGAGACTCGCCAAGAACTTACGATGTACAACTTCTAAGTAAGTCAAGAACATAAATGCTCCGGTGAGCTGAGTGGCAGAGACGGGCTTCGGTGGGAGTTCGTACTCTGACGGCTCTTGGCTCACACATACCGAGTAAATATGGCAGAAACGCCGAACACTTCAGACATCCAACTGGAGGAGACCTTGCCGTAACATCTCCAAGGCTACAATTTCTTGAGCTTGGGAGGCTTGATCGTTCGTTGGTCACTTTCCGAAGTGCTTCAATACATCCTCATAATTCTAACAGTAGTTACGTTGGGCGATCAGTAAGCTCGCTGAGTCCTCTAGCTAGTGTTGAGCTGTGAAATGGTGAATGGGCTTGTGCACGCCAAGAGCCCTGTCGGTGGAATGCGAGGCTGAATCCGAGCATTTGTACAACGATCAAAGCTCAGAGCAAGTTTCAGACGTTGGATTCGAGAGCGGTCGGAAGGCCCTGCGCCTGAACAAGAATTTCCGGCGTAGAACCTAGCAACGTTGTATTTCCCGAGAGATGTCACCTTGCTGTGCCAGCTGTTGCAAGAAGAGGGATAAAGTTGGATGGAGAGATTTGAGATGGAAGAAAGTAATCCCGCGGCCGAGGGGCTTCAAACCAGGAGCCAAGCCGGACCAGTCACATTCACAAGCTCGCATCAACCGTGAGTCACAACGTATTTTGCGTTCAGGTCTGATATATAATCTACTCGCGAGCGATGGCTCTCTTCACCTGGCTCATCCCACCGAAGGCGGGACAAGCTACTCACAATGGGCTCGATTACTATCCGCAACACCATCGCCTCCGATCTTCCTCTATTGCCAGCCCTCGAAACGGCGGCCTATGAACCTTTTCGCGCCATCGGTATGGCAGACTTCGCCAATCGGCAACCTCCAACTCTTGAAGAGCTAGCGGCGTATCACGATACAGGACACGCCTGGGTAGCAGCCGTCTCTGAGGACGAGGCGGATTCGGGCACACCAATCGCATTTGTCTTGGTGTACGTCGTAAACAATGATGGCCTCGGGTGGAAGAGCGCCTTCATACACGAAATCAGCGTGTCTCCTGAGTACGCCAGGCGAGGCATTGGAAAGACATTGATCGATCACGTCGCTTCTTGGGCTCAGCAGAATGGGCTGAGGGCGTTAGACCTCGCGACATATGTCAATGTACTTTGGTGCAAACCATACTTCGAGAGACTGGGCTTTAGGGTAGTAGATGAGGAAGAACTTTTGATGAACGAATATAGTGGAGTTCGGCGTCTCATTATGTGTGAATGGCATGATGAACTTCTGGGCCGATGGCGTCGAGTGGCAATGCGAAAGTTTCTCTGAACGCTCGCGGTCAAACGCAATCGAGCGTGGTCCCCGCCCCATACAGTTGCAAGATGAGCTGATGATGGATATTTCAAAGGGTGTTTCATTTCGCTTCTTCAATCGTTTGATTCCTGATTTAGGCTTTTAATAATCTGCTGAAACTCAGTCAACAATATCTCTGAATGTGAAAACAAACTTTTCAATACCTCGCATGACCCAGATCAAGGCATCGACTGTGAGTCACAAGTTTTACATGTAGATAGACGTTCGTGAGGATATAGCAACATATTTATCCCAAGTTTTCAACACATTTCTTCGGACTCCAAACTAGCCTTTACAACTCCTTATTCCAACAGCTAACGAAAAGCACTGCAACGCATAATCTGCTTTCTCCTACTATATTAGGCCCAGACACCAGAAACCCTTGGATGCCTTCTGCAGTCATCTTGCACGGTCGTGAACGGAAATGGATGGCGGACTCTGGTGGTGGTGAAAATACTGCGTTCAATATTTTGTCAAGCGATCGCCGAGACTTGATTGATTGACAAACCCGGGAGTGGGATATTTGGCTATGAAACTCATATACTCGCAAATCTTGGTGTATAGTGACTTGCATTCCCACCGCGAAATATCACATTTCTCGACAGTCACATGCAAGCCACGCAGTAACCGGTGTAGCAAAAAGGGCCAAGTCGCGAAGAGAACTTCCTGACTTCATCTTCTCAAGCGTCCCTACACAACACATCCAATCGCATTGATATCTGAATCAATCCTACCATTTCTACCTGTGAAGCAGATAAGTAAACGCTGACTGCGCCTTCAGATGCTCGTCTTCGCTTTATTCGAGTCAGCTTTGACCTTAGCAAATAAGGCGTCCTCTATTCTAAGGCGTCCAACCATCAGCAAGCCACTCATCGTGGGGGTTTCCGAGATGAAGAAATCAGGAGGAGTGCAACGCTCATTGCTAAGCAAGAAATATGAATTCAGCTATCATCGACCCCGTCGTGGTGTTTTGAAATGCATTGCCCAGATTTCTAAGCAGGATCGGGAGCCGGAAGGCCCACCATCCGTTCCACGTGACTTACCGAGACCATGATTATGAACCATCAGCCCGGTTAAAGGCAAACGAGAGCAAAAGCTTGATTCTTACCCCACAATAAGAACTCAAAGCGAGCTACTTGTCTGAGGAAGCGAATCTCTAGCCAATGATGAGCTTTAGCGCAGCGCCACGAATAGGTGAGATGCATCATGTATCGTACGCGAGGAACCGAGAAGGCGTCCAAGGCCACCCACGGCTCACAAAGCATGCATTCGAAACAGTTGGTGCTTGGTGAGTCTAAAGGTTTGTGGAACACTAGTTCCAGTATATATATCCAATCCACTGGACCCTGTAGTTCAGCAACTATTCTACACGCTTCATTTCTTAACCTTTCATAACTCATCCTAATTTTTCCATTTTCCACTACATCCATCATGGCCGCCAAAATCGCAATCATCAACACCAGCACGCGACCCATCCGGGTCGGTCCCTCGGTCACTGCATTCGTGAAGGAAATCCTCGAGAAAGCCGACCCCTCAGCCGATATCACCACCGTCGATGTCGCGGACTTCAACCTCCCCGTCTTCGACGAGCCTGCTGCCCCTGCCATGATCCCCGCCATGGCGCAGCACACCAAAGAGCACAGCAAGGCCTGGAGTGCCGAGATCGCAAAATATGACGCCTACATTCTTGTCGCGAACGAGTACAACTTCGGCATGTCGGGCGCGACCAAGAATGCTATTGACTTCTTGTACAACGAGTGGATTGGCAAGCCGATCTACATCGTGACGTACGGGATTATGGGGGCCACGAATGCGTCTGAGCAGCTCAAGGCTGTGTTGACCGGGATGAAGTTGAAGGTTGTGGAGACGAGGCCGAATTTGGCGTTCCACGGGCTGCAGGCGGGGCCGGATATGTATGCGGCGATGAGCAAGGGGGAGCTTGGGGAGGGGTCTAAGAAGGATTGGGAGACCGACAAGAAGGAGGAGCTGATTAAGGGGTTTACGGAGTTGAAAGAGTTGCTGGCGTCGCCGCCGAAGGCTGAGGCTGTGGCTTGAGAGAAGGCGTGCTTGTAAGTAATGTATAGCTTATCAAGAATGTGTTGTTAAGTCTTGCTAATTGTCTTCTTAGGTTGTAGGCCATTTTAGTAGACACTGTTAGAGGAAATAAATTCTCGTAAACCAATTTGGGCCCGATATCACGCGAGGTAGTGCCTACTGTCAATATAAGCCGCCAACTGCTTCGTTTCGATTGCAGATGCCTTAGACAGCTGCTTGCGACGAAGCACAGTCTACATGAATCACTCGTCAAGCCAAAGCGAACCAATCTTCGAACATGTCCGCAACGGAGCTCGATTGTATTCGAGAATACATACCCTCACGAATTGATCCTTGGATGCTTCTTCCCCAGCCTACTATCATGGCACCACACCTATATACACTCTTTCACGTCTCCATCCTCAAATCTTTTTCTCCTTCTACACATCCCCTACAAAAACTTCCCTACTCCACTTCCCACCGCTAACAACCCCATAAACACTAACACCCCCCATCGCACCTTCCCGTCCACGATACCACCCGCCACTCCTGCCCCCGTACTCCTTGCACTCGTCGAGTTTTTAATTGTCACTGTGCTCTCCTTCCCCATCGACGACAGATTTCCATTACACATAATAAACGCATCCCTTGTGCGGTCACCAATGCAGCTTAGCAGGCTCCCGACTATTTGCTCCTGCGCCAGGCAGTAGATGCTGCAGCCGTTGCTGTATTTGACGACGGACTCGTTAAGGCAGCAGGCGTTAAGAGCAACGGTGATGTTGGGCGAGGCGTTGATGGCACAGGCTGGGCGGTTTTCGGGCATGTTTTGGATGCCGGAGCCGCAGTGGTGGGTTGCTGTTGGGTGGAGGCGGAGAGGAGAGTAGATGGGGAGGGGATGAGTGAGAGGGAGATTGGGGGCGAGGTGAGGGAAGTCATGGTGTTGCGTGGGTGGGTGATGTTCGAATGGGTAACGAAGGCTACCTAGGTATAGTTGCGATTGTGATCGTGTCCGTTCGTTTGGACAGTGGAAGGCTAGATTTTATGGTCAGTGGGGACCTTTCACTTGTATGCTTGAATGGTTTTCCTTGCTTCTAAGGCAAGTCTATGTTAAAACTGCGGTCGTTTGCATATTCCACGTATTAGCGTTGGGTATGAGGTGTGCCGAGAGACACCAACTGGCAGCCAAGCACCAGATTCAAGACGCAGATATCCATGCCACCAGGAACAATGTCAGCACCATCGTTGTTACAGTATTACTAGGAGGGGAGCGATCCGGGCTGTTGTGGAGTGGCTTCGTATGCGAATCCCAGCAGCTTCGCGACAGGCTCAGCCTCACAATAAACACCACCACGCGCCGAGCCCCCGAGTGTTTCTCTTGACGATAGGTTGACGCAGCTTCCTGGACAGTAATGAGCAATTTAACGCGAAACTCAATAAAGAAACATCGAGTGTGGTGGGTGGAATTTTTCCGCAGGAATGCATTATATCTAGGTGTGCTATGATTGGTGATGCAAGGCTTCTCAGGCGGGAAATCCTTAACCTCCGTCCTCGCATGTAGCTCTCATCCATAAACCTCCACCACTTCCTGCATCGCTACGGCAAACCACATCCCATACTTCACATCTATTGACTCAAATACATTGCCGTGCACGGAGCTCGGAAGCATCCCCTAAGGAAGTGGAGCCGATTGGGCGTTCGAATGTTCCACTACACGCTCAGTAGATTGTTTACCCTGAGTACAGCGAAGAGTGTACTACTAATAACCCTCGGGAACACGAAAATTGACCAATAGTTGAGAACTCACATGCAATCGAGTTAACCTGTACTTTAACATGTATGACCTCAACGCTGGCGCAACAGGGACTTTACCCAGCATCAACCAAGCATTCAAGTTATAATGAGAAGTTTTAGGGTTCTCTCGTTGCACAATTGTTTCAGAGTTTATTACAGTACGAGAAGACGTGGACAACGGTCGTACCATCGTAAGGAGCTTATTACCTCCAGTATGGCTCGCAATGGAGGCTCTTCTCAAGCATCTTCTGAATGATCTACAGTGACTTGTAGCGATATGGAGGGAAAAGGTTTTACTGAAGGTGAAATATTTGATGTCTCTCCTGAGATTATCTCACTGGCTTCGTCCTTAGGCGCTCACCAATTTGAACACGGCATTGCTTCAATGACCTCCGAATCGCCAACAGACGACCAGCAGCACCACCCTCAAGCTGAACAAAGTAGTTGGCTTCATGTTGACTTGCAAGGCGAACTTCCTACAAATTCAGAAACCGTATCTCCCGTAAACGTACTGATGGATCATCTCCGAGGGCCAAGCCTCTCCACTAACATCTACCAGTCTGATACAACCTTCGGACTTCGCGACTGGCTGGCCGCGAAGCGCACTGTCAGCCATTCTCATTCTTCAAAATCGCATACATCGGCGAAGGCAAACCCCACTATGATATCTATTGGAGACTATCGTCTCCAACGATCGCCCACCACCCAGTCGGATTGCGCCCTGTTGAAGTCCACCGCTGACGAGACTCAGCACTGCCTTCAGAATTGCAAGTCTCGCAAACAAATATCCAGGAGCGGCAGAAGCTGGGCATCGATGCTAACAGCCATCTTGGCGCTCTTGTCCACCGCGTTGTCTGGCCTCTTTATGGTCATTGCATTAGTGCAGCCTCGATACGGAACTCGAGTTTCCACTTACGGAGCAATTACAATAACCACAAGCGCATTGATGACAGCTGTACTTGCGAAGACCATCGAGACAACTTATGTGACGTTGTTCGTCATCTTTCTGGGGCAGGAACTAAGGCGCCGAGCGCTTTTACGCACGTCTGGAGGAGGGTTCACCCTCGCCGATGCGTCAATGAGAAACTGGCTGATGCAGGTACATAGTCTCCTTTACTAAAGCTTAGTGTATCCCTGACTCGAGCAGCCAGGAACTATTTTTACGCATTTTGACAGCGTCAAACGTGCAGCAGTATCGTTATTGGGGTCTGCTACTATGTAATTACCCTCAAAACTCCCTTCTATGGCCTTCTCTGACCTATAATCATTGGTAGCTTTGGGACGTTGGTGGTTGTATGCCCCCCACTAATTATGTCGAACTTCATCCTTAGATTTTTCACTGACCAGAGTCACGAAGCTACTATATACTACCGCAGCAAACGTTCTCGTACAGCCTCAGTTGAGAAGTACGTGACTAGGATTCTTTGAGCCTTTTCACATATTCACAGCTTATGCCGAAAGAAAACTCGCTAATAAGCGCGACAGCTCATACTGTGGGGAAGGAATTGGAAGGAGTGGTCCAAGCCGAGTTCGCATCTCTAAGATTTCAAAGCGACTCAGCTTGCAGTGTCAACTTTTCTATGTTTTGTACTAATGCCTTGAGCAAAGCTGCTGCGCTTCAGAGCTACCAAGCTTATCTTTCCGACTGGAGGCACGATTTGATCGAATCGAAGAACGCCTCTGGAGCATTAGGCTCACGTCCGAGACCACCAGCTCAGAATTTGAGATTTGGCTCCCTCAGTATGTTGATACACCAGTAGGCTTTGTTAGATCCGGGATTAATTTAAAGTAGAAGATGTTACTGTCAGAGGAGCGTGGTTACGACAGAGTTTCAAGGATGAGTATCCGATGCAAGACCAAAACAAAATCTTTGTCTCGAACTTCTCTATCGTGATGCCCCATCCTGGAGTCCCTCAAGCTGCCAGGAACTCGTCGAATCATGTGATTCAGCTTGAGGTATGAACCCGAGTTTTACTTTGATCACAGCACACTATGGGCTCGGCGGACAGGTGCCCCAAGTAGCGATTTTGAAAAAAACTCACTACTGACACGATGCTCTTAGAACCTAGGTCCTACAGCCTTCTACTCCGTTAGAGCATCTGTGATGTCCCCATTTCTTCAAGTGCTATGTGCGGAGGTTTCGAAGCGCGACATTTCTCCTATAGTCTATGAGACATGGCCAATGGCCAATGCCACCAACTTGAGGAATGTGTCATTGATTGGGCGGCATTTGTCGAAGAGAATAGGACGGTTGTGGATGATTATTTCCAATGGGGACTCGAAAACACGCCTCCAAGTAAGTCGAACGATCATCTTTCAAGACTCCTTGTCCGGAATTTGACATATACTCACAGTCTTCTCGAAGTTTCTTCCGTCGGGAAAGGTTTTCGTTAATTATTACAATTCTAATGGAGGCCGTAGACCCGTTTACCTCCTAACTTCTCCCTTTTCAACCGGTGGTGATGATGAATACAAGTTCTGTTTGTTGGAGCCAGGGCTCACGTATCAATGTTCCACAATCTTCAATGCCAGCACATCGGCCCCATCACTGGAGGTGTCCTGCGATGAATCTAACTCCTTCTCAGATACTGGTGACAGGGATGTGATCACGGGTCTTGGAGCTTATTCACTTAACCTACTCGAGGCATTCTTTTCCAGTATGGAATTCGATGAAAGCTTCGCTAATACCGAGGGCCAACAAGGATGGATGTTCGATGGTTCAGCGAGCTCCAATGCTGAGGCTACCAGCCACCCGTCGCCAGCAGAGCTGGTTGCTGTGTTCGTAGCATTTACTTTGGTCGAGGCCACGATCGACACGCAATTCACGGGCAATTTTGATTCAAAATTCGCCCCAAATTACACGCAAAGGTTTAGGGCCGCCATCACCGCCCAAGAATATGCTTCTGGCGGCGTATACCCTTATCAGCGCGCCTTCCACGTCGTCCTCATATACGTCTTCGTCACGAACCTCTTCATCTTACTCTACTTTATCCGGAATCCTGGCCGCGTCACCGACTTCTCCGATCCGCCGAATCTCTTCGCGATAGCGATCAATTCACCTCCAAGTGAGCGTCTTGCGGGTAGTTGTGGTGGAGGGCCCGAAGGAGATGAGTATCAGGTGATCTGGAAGGTTGATCAAGATGATGGACATGCTTTCTTGGTTGCTGCGGATGAGCCGCGTGATCCTAGCTGTGTAGACACAAGTCGAGCGGGTGAAGATATTGAGTTGGAAGAAACGAGTGAGGCTGTGAGGAAGAGGGGCCGCTGGCATCGCCTCTAACATGATCTCAAAGGGAGGAAGATGACAAACCACGATAGATTGGTGCTAGATTGGCGAACCACTGTTGGGCAAGGAAGCAATTCGATCGACGTCATCGTCCCAGGGAACGTTTGGAGTCCATGAAGACACGATATTGAAGTATTGGAAACTCACAACTGAGAAAGCTTTTCGGCAAAGTCTTACTGCAGATTTTCTACTTCCCATTTTTAACAGTGACTCTTTCCATGCATCAAAGACGCAACCGGCCGCCAAGGACTCTGAAGCATAAACCTACCCTGGTACTCAATCTCACGTGCAGGCGCACTAACATCTAAAAACAATACCCACTAATACTCGCACTACACACGTAGTCATCACAGACTACACATGTCCTACCACTCTAATCCTCGAGCCATGCGTTAAGCGTTCCGCGTCCTCTCGCACGCGCGATGACGATCCGGGAAGCACGGCGTCGAAATTAGCTTACCACGACATCGCGCCGCAAATAGCGGAAAGGGGAGGAACTGCCTAATTCCTAGCCTCTAGTGTTTCCAAGGCTCCAGCAAATGGTTCCGAACATTGTGCCACATTGCCGTGGCTGCCTATCACTGTGCCGCATGCTTCAAGAGAAAGAATGTCGTTGAAACGCTCACGCGATGATGTCGTCGTTCGCGGCGTCGGAACCCCAGCCGAGTAGAAGGGCCGACGGGATTCTATCCCTTAACCCGTTGAAATGGGTCCTACGTTATCGATAAGGCTGCGGCCAATAAGAGGCTCTAATTCCTTCCTCCGTGATGAGAATTACAATAACCTGAGGCTATTCGAATTGCTTGTAGATAGCTATACAGGCCTATTCTATGGAGTTGAGCTTTGCTAGATGTTCACTCCAACACTGTAAACCTGTACAGAATGCAATCATATAAACTGTACAACCATAATTCGTCCGAGGCGTCCTTATACGACGCTTCCAGCCATGACTATCGCCTCTTTCCTTTCTTGTAGTGTTAATAGATAGATTCGCAAGTGGCTTCCGAGCCCCATAGTGTGGTGTTGTAGTAGTACGCCTTGCCTCCTTGCAGGCAGCACAGAAGTGTTGTTTTTTAAACACCTTAGCTAGCTTATGCTCCTTAACCGGCTGCTATACTATGTCTATTATTCCTTTTACTCCTTCTACTGTATATTGCTTGCGAACACAAATAGAGTTATAGAGGAGGGCATCGCGTAGGTTGCGGCGGAATTGGGCATGCGAATGTTGGCGTAGAGTTCGCTCACCCACTATCCTGTAGGTGGACAGCTGGTAACAATTGCCAACTACTATATCTAATAGGAAAGAGAATAGAGGCTTCCACGTTTTCCTATAAGTCCTCTCGGTGTTGTAGTAGGACCTTAATTGGTCGGCCACGTCGACGCCGCACATGAAGAGATTGTACTCCTCTATGAAGTCTGGTATATCTAATTCCTTCCTAGCCTTATCGCCGAACACCTTCGCTGTTTGCCTGTAGCCTGTGGATATTGTAGAGGGTTGTTTTCGTAGCTTTGCGATGTAGTTTTGACCTGGCGATGTATGACGTCAGCGGCTCTGCGGTATAGTGTTGAGGACGATGTACGTACTATTATGAATTGTAGACAGGAATAGAACCACCGTGGCGTCCTTCCAGGCAAACTCTATTACCTTATGACTCCTAGATAACTCTCCGTATAGCTGGCCCCACGGAATTTGCTTATTGTGGCTTAATTTAAGGTCTGTAAGTGATGCTGAGAAGCGCTTAGCCGGCACCGTTCTTTTGGCCTTGGTCCTCCTTTTTGAGGCCTTATTAGAGGCCTTTTGATCGGCTGTGAGGACCTCCACGTCGTGTTCCTCCTCTCCAAGCTCCTCTTGTTTTGTGCGTGTAGTTCTGACCGTGCCGGCAGCTCTAATTCCAAGAGATCTTAGCCGTTTAAAGAGCTTCACACTGCTAAAGAGATTGTCCAGCCAAACTACGTGCTTGTCCGGCGGATATAGGCGCTCCTGCGTGCCTGGGCGACATTAAGTAAGCAGATTAAGGACAACGGCTTGCGTCTTTGTAAAGCCTTTATCTAGAAAGGATGTATCCAGGTCTACAGGCCCCTTCTTGTCGCCTTTGGCATGCCATAGCCAGTTGAGAACGTAGCCCTGATTCGCCAAGACCTATATCTTAAAGCCTTCTGGTGTAGGTTTTGATGGAATATTGACAATTTCCGGCGCTCTGCCTATGAACCTCTGTATGGTCTTATTAACAGCTAGGTGCGGGCCTGGGCGCTAGTACCGCCGGCAGCGTACTCGCAGATGCTCCGAGAGCTTATCTACGCGGTTAAATGTACTGTAAAAGCCGTCCTGAGGCACAGGAGAGCATCGAATATAGCGCTCAAGCTGCTCCTATCGCGTCTTCGATATATAGTCGCCCACCTTGTGAGCAGCTCCCTTTTCAAGCGGCCCCCAATAGTCCTCTATGGCCGGCTCCACGGTGATTCCCATATGAATTACGACTCTAAAGTAGGCGTACAGCTCCTGCCTACACGTAGGCAGCCATGGCCTTGCCTTGCCCTCAGGGGCGTCCTCCTCCAACGCCAGGTGCGCCTCTGCATATTGATTTGTCCACGCGGTCATCCGATCTAGCATCTCATCGTCGAAAAACAAGCCAAAAAGGGCCATAGGATCGCGTCTATCAGTGCCGAGGGGGACAGCAGCTTCGCCGGGGTGGTAATAGTCGTCTATTCGAAGGGGAGTGAATTGAGGCAGAGGCCAGGGCTCTGGCGGCGGCTTTTTGGACGTTTTGGTGCGTGGATCCTTCCATTTCACATAATCGATGTTATTTGATGTTCGCGGCATTCTGTTGCATTGATTTGGGCTCAGGGAACTAGCTAATTCGACTATTTACAGCTCTGTTGATGCCTCCTGCACACCTCAGCACGGTGTTGCTGCACGGGCCTGAAAACTGGCCCGAGCGTTGCACCCCGACGGGTTAAGGGATAAGCAGGGGCACGATGGTTCCACGCGGCCCGCAACGCATTGACTTACGAACGCGATGGCGGTGGCTTTAACGCTTAATCGTGTTCTGAGTAATGCACGTGAGGGGAGAGGGGATGGCGGTGTTAAGAGGACACGTACTGCAGATTTATGCGTGCGTGTTTCGTGCGGCGGCGGGGTGTGGCGAAGATGCATGCATGCGCAACCCCCAGCGATCGGATTTAGAACTTTGGAAACACTGGGGGTGGTTGGTGGTGGCGGAGGCATAGGGAACACGACAACGATAGTGGAGGAGGATACCGTGGACGAAAGATAGGCGTCAGTGATGGATGACAAGCTTAGCGACTATCCCCACATCCCATCGCTATAGATGAATGCCTATTTCGAAGAGTCTCGTGAAAGCTGAATAGACTACAGAGTCATGTGCCCCAACCAATACATATACAGTACCAATAACACGGACAAACTCTGCAGAAGCTACTGTACCCGCCTAGGTATTTCCATGCTCCCCAACCAATCCCACATGCCTCCCGCACATCACCGAAAATTCTCCTCGCACGAGACACCGACGCCCCGAAGCACACGCCGCGATCCCCTGTGCCTCGCGCGGCGATCGAGTGGTTCGAGAGCGTTCCACCTCCGTCATCCCTGCGCCTAGGAGTGCATGTCAAGGCTAAGTTAAGCCGGATCCAGGGACCGCGTCGGCCAGGCGCAGCGATCGACGGTGACGGACCCTGCTTTTGCGCACGCGGGCCCTGCGTGGCGTTTGACGGCACCGGGACCCTTGGGAGGGGAAGGTTTACGCCTGGGGGGTCCGGGTGCGAAAGGGTTTAAAGACGGTGCCCGGCTCCCTGCGTTCTTGAGGCTTCGAGACCGCTTGATTGTTGTTGTTGAGATTCCTTCACGCCGGACTATATTCTATATTTGGAGCGTATTGGGTTCTGGATCTTACTCCTTTTCCATGTCCTTGGTTTAGAGCCTGGTTCCTGTTTTGGATATCTGCTTGTCACGATTGCCTCTACATTTCGCCTCTTCGAACTCCAAAACCAACCTATCCCACTACTATCGATATCATTATTCTCCTGAGGTCACCCTTTACTCATCCCTCAATCACACCGTAATCACAACACAACCACAATGACTTCCCCACCACCCCCAAGATCCAAGTTCACGGAACTCCTCGATACCGCCTCCGCCTCTACATACAACTCCGCGCTCAATGTCAGCCTCGAAGATATCCTAGCCGAGACCCGTCGCCGCTCTTCTTCGAGCAGCGCTAGCGACATCAATAGCCCCACAAGTCTAACGGCTCCTACGGCGACAGAGGCCTCGAAGGGACGGTTACGGCGGATCAGCTTGATGAGCAAGCATCGATGAAGCATACACGTTTAAGCCTGAAACTCTGGGGGTCGAATACGCATATGACCAGGAGGCGACGCATTTAGAAAACGACATGATGGAAGGAGTAATGGAATGGAATGGAACGGGACGGATTGGATGACTTCACGACTTCTGGATACCCAGCGCATATGCAACCGCGCTTGATTACGCGTTTAATGGATAACGAGAGGACTTGGGTTGCCTGCAAGCGACCTCGGCGTCCTTGAGTTTGGGGTTTGGATTACGGGGTTTGAGCTTCTTCACTGTGGAAATTTAGGGATGGTGTATCTGTATGGTGTACCGGCCATGGGTGGCATGGGGTGGGGTGGGACAAAAGGAAGGGAGGCTCTAAAAGGACCATGGAAAAGCGATGACTGGATCGTAGAGACTATTACTCCTGAGGCATAATGGAGATTTTGACCTGTCGCTTGAACTTCTTTTCTCTCCGGTGAAATGTGTTGATGTCGTCAATTCAATTATTCTGGATCACATCACAGGTATAGCTCAGAAGAGCAAATGGCCGGGACAGACAAGGGAATATTGAATTGATGTTCTGCCAGCAAAAATCGCTTGAACGTATGATCATGGCGAGACGCGTGACGGGAATGTCACTGATTGAGGCCGCTGAATGCTGATTGGTGGAGCCTGGCCCGCCAAGGCTATCTCTAATGCTATCCATCTCTGCGACCGCCGGTATTCAACTTCTTCATTTCACTCTTCATCTCGAAACTATGTATAACGCCAAAAATCGCCTTGCAATACGACGCCCTTCACGAGACCGGACAGACCAGCTATGCTGTGCCGCACTTCTGCATAAATATGGGGGAGTCGCTCGTCCAATCAATCTATACTCCGCCACAATCGATCAAAGAACCCTCAAAAATTCGTTTAATGAGGCAGCTTCAGCGCCTCTATTTCTATAATGAGGATCGCTGTTATCAATATCGCGAGGTCGTCAGGGCTCCCCTTGGAGCTTGAAGTCGTTAATGCGAAAAAGTTCAAAGCCAGGCGGAACCCGCGGCTCGGGCAGGCCCCTTGGCTTTCCCCAGGGGAACAGTGTAGGAGGTACTGACTCGGGCGAATAAGATCAATGTCAATTGGGTATCTGTTAGCATTGTGGCACAGAAAATTCTATATATAATGGCTCTGTTTACATAGGTATGTTAATGTGCAGCTTTCATTACGGTGTTGCGGTCTGTGCGGCCTAGGCCTTCTGTTTGGGAGCGAGATTCATAAGTCGTGATTGCTTCTCCTCGTTCACTTTGAGGCCATCTTCAAGCCACTCTCCATCGGCGTGTGAACTATTTTCACCTACACGCCCATATCTAGCAACCAAAAAAAAAAGGAAAACGGTACACTACTTCCTACTTACTTAATCGGCACTCAAGTTTGCTAATAGCTGCAAGATGATTATCCCCGGACGTGTCGCACTCGCCCGTAAGGTTTTAACGAATCTGACCTCGGCCGAGCATCAAGCCCAGCCATGCGGCATCGATCTTACGCTTAAGTGCATTATGAAGTAGTCATCGCCCGGCACCATTGACTTTGATAACACGTACCGCAAAACCGCCCAGACCATTGAAATTCCCTTCGAACTACGCTTGAAGCCCACCAGCACCACAGCCGGAACGTCACTTTCACTCAATGGGAGCACCCAGACTCCCGATGCAACCATAGAATTCCCTCATGAACACGTGAATATCACCTGCGGCTCATACCTTGTCGAGTTCAACGAGCTTGTTGATATGCCGCTTGATCTCATGAGTCAAGTTCTAGTCCGTAGTTCACTGTTTCGATCAGGTGTGCTCATAAATGCTGGTGTCATGGATAGCGGATACAGAGGCGCCGTTGGTGCGATGCTGCAGGTGGTTAATCCTCACGGTTTGCGATTGCTTCGGGACGCGAAGCTTGCGCAAATCGTTTTCCATCAGATGAGAGAGCCGGTGCAGGGTTATAATGGCATGTACCAAGGCCGTACGTTTGTCTAAAGTATGAGTGTCGTATTTTGGTCTAATTCCCAGTGTCCCAGGGTTGTACATACATACCGCTGTATAGAGAGACAACAAGCATCCCGTCCAAGTTCCATCGCATATTGATAAGACCTAACGTAGATATACTACCTGTCTCCTAGCATCATAATCTTCTATTAGAACTCCCTCCAAGAAGTTACGAAATCCGGAATGAACCGCTACCTCCCTCCTACCTAGAGGAGGGCAGCTAGGGCGACCTCTTCTTATCTAGGCTATTTTAGTCCGATATATGTAGGGTAGCCTTAGTTAACTCAGCCTGTCCTTGGCTGGTCTAAGCCGGGCTCTTTAAGGTGTTATTTCCTCTCAAGGCCGGTGCACAGCCTTGGACGCTGTGGACCTGTGGCTGAGCAATCGACCGGTGAGCGTGGTGAGGAACTATTGGACAGCTGTTCTGCATACACGAATGAGGCTTGAAAGACTGCAGCTAGGTTGATACCCCGCTGCAATTTTTTTTCCATAAAACACGTCTACACGACCATTAGGCGTGCGGCTTTGTCTGATCCTCCCTCGCGTCTCCAAGAACTTCTACACAACCAATCTGGCATGTCGGCTCGAGGCGGGCTCTCGATGTTGTGGGGCAGTGTTGAACAGTTTTTGGGGCTTAAGAGATACGCAAGCCTGCTGTGCTCTCGGAACCAGTAAAGTTGCTTTGTGGACCTACTCTTCTGCTCACCGATGCCCTTTGCCGCGGACGCCGCAGACAAATATCAGTCACCAATTAGGAGTGCGCTGATGCTTCGATTATGCTGGAAGCATCTGCCGTGACTGGCCATCACGTATTGTTATCAACAATTCTTCAAATGTGGCTTACAGGAGCAATAAAGAGGAGAAGAGGGGGGATGCCAGCGCGAACTAGTGGTTGCGCGGATACGGGATGCATACACGTACATGAACTGATGCATGTCACTCCAGCTACAGAGGTCGAATGCAACGGGAACTTAGGCAACAACGATCCGGTGAGCCGCGTCGACAATCCTTTACCCCGCGCTGGGAACCAATAGTTGCCATTCCATATAACCGTGGAAACGTGGTGGATTGTTACAGGGTGTGCTTTATCTCGATGTCAACTCACCAGGCAGAAACGTGTCAAAGCGCTGAAAAGCGGGACACGGTGCTCCCTAGCTAGTAAGAGGCTGGCAAATGTACTGTACCGCAGTCCGCAGAAGGCAAACAGAGGACCTCAAATGACATGTGCTCTGAGTCGCGTGCCGATGACGAGTGGAAACGTAATCTCGATTCAGCTAAACGTGCAATGCGATGCACAAAGCTACGCCTTTCCTGCACCCGCTTTGCTACATGCGGCGTGCCCACCTTAACTGCTCAGCAAAATAGAAACATTGCGCCAATCGTACTTGGCCACATAGCACTAAATGGTACCATCACTGTGCCGCAGAGGATGGATATGCGGGCGATGAGAAGTAGATCATCTCTCGCTTCGTAACTCTCAAGTGCATTCTCTCAAGGAGCTAGGCCTCATTCAGCTTAGCGGCTCCTCCACCCCTCCCGTCTCACCGAAGCTTGGGGACTCCCACCTCAATGCCATTCGACTTCTTCAAATTTCTAGGCGAGATCTGAAACAGGATCTAGGACGAGCTTCTTTCACTTTCGAAAACTGTTGAGCCGAGCATCTTCGGTCATAACCTCACCGAGGCCTTGCCAGCTGCCACATCAGGCGATGTCGCGTCAAGCCGATCTTGTTCTTCAGCAAGTATTTATAGCGATCGGTGCGCTTTACCGTGAAGACCATGACTATGTGACTATGCAAAATTTGGAATTATTCCTCTGGGTGTTGTTCTGGAGTTGCATTTATTGCACTGGTCTAGGTGGGCAACGTTGCGTGTCAAAATTCAGTTATTGCAATTGAAGTAGATATCTAGTTCCGCTTTCATTGGAGGAATCAAATGCCGGACCGGGCTAATAACTTGCATTGCATCTGCGTAACTTTGAGCAAAATCAACACGGGACCTCTCGAAAGTGATGGGAGAACCATAGCAAACTGCACCACTTGCGACTTTTTTCACATGTTACCTCCTAACACATCGCTCCCTGGGCGATCTATTTGGGACGGCCTAGGTCGAGAGACGTTCGAGCGTCATGTGCATGCGTTATCACGCACTGGTACCGTTCCCGACCCAGTCGTTCTCAAAGAAGAAGATTGGCCAAAGAGCAGCCACTGGGACATACTTCCCTTTGCTGTGGAGAAACAGCTTGCTGATGACTTGGCCTTTATTGCGGCATGCGAATATGGAGTTGGTTATGTGACAGCCGCGACTGCTGCACCAGCAACCGGTGAAGCAGGTATGACTGTGCGCCTTGCTGCGAACGAAGGAGTCTGCGATAGCGTAGAGCGTGCGATGCAGGCAGTCTTTCGCATTCTAGAGAGGTGTGCTGGTAAAAGTAAGTGCGGCTATCTATATATAAAGTCATCTAATGACATAGGTTAGGCATATCTCGCGAGTGTTGCGCAGAGGCGATTTTCGACGCCGTTGTCAACCTCAACTTTAATAGGATTCAAGGACGATTAGCGTCTAGGTTCTTCCGACCGCCGCCTCACAAACGTGGCACTCCTCGGAAGCCGCTAGCAGACCGCGTGAGAGGACACATTGCTTCTTCCAAACCGATAAAAAGATTGTCCGAAACCTCTAAAGATTTTGCAACGCTGTTCACTCAGGCTAATGCGTTTCATGCTTCCTTCGTCCAGCTAGAGAGCTCAAAAGATGCGGACAAAACTGAGGCCACAAAGACCGTCATAAGGCAGGCCTTCCTGTTGACCGTAGATGGCGTATCTCTTCCTTCTCGATTAAAGAGAATAGGATATCCTGCTTCAATGGTCGATACAAGAGATGTCCGTGGGGTTAACAAAGTTGCAAACTACTGGCGTATATGTAATTCTCTTGCTCATTTTAGCCGCTTTTACCGGACTCTGTTTAGAAAGTTGCACCTTGAAAGACTCGAGGCTTACCAGCCTCTGTGCACGCCGCTTAAAAAGTTTGTACATGCTAAAGTCCAGATGGTCGTATTATACGAGACCTCTTTGCTCAGCACATGGCCTCGCGTGATAGGCGCCTCCAAGGAAGCATGTTTCCTGTGCAACTCATTCATTAAGAGCCACGGATCATTCTATATGTTAAAGGCGCACCGCCAGATCTTTCCTTAATGGACAGTGCCCGACCTTAGGGAATATAACCCTAAGACGCTAGATCGACTTCGGAGCGCGCTGATAGTAGTTGATAGGAGCGTTCAGTACAAGCTTAAAAAGAAACGCAGCTTCCGGCCTTTCCCTTTACAAAGCTCTATTAATTTGGACAAGCTGATGCTCCCAACACCTTCTGCAACTATAATCCACTCTTCGGCATCCAACACTGCGTATAAATCGTCACCAGCCGGACCACCCACAATATCCCGACTGCCGGCTCTAACACCGACGACGGAGCTGGGCAATAGCGACTTTGCCAACGCAAGGCTCACCAACACAAAATCCTCAGCTTCGCCATCATCCACGGCCTCCAGTCATACCAAGAGTCAGACCCAAAGGCAGACCAAGATCGGCTATACGACGGCGCCTCCGCTAGAGACCTCCACTGTGAAACTTCCTGCAGTGGAATATCCTGCACCTATAACAAGTCGTCTATGCGTAAAAGGCGGGACCAGCAACAGAGCTGCCCTCTCAGTAACTCAGGTTGCAGCACTACAACCTAGGATCAACAACTCATATGCCAGAAAGCTACTCTCCGAACATCAGCTGTAGAGAACCCAGCTGAAATCTCAGCTGTAGAGAACCGAGCTGAAGCCTCAGCTGTGCAGGGCTCATCTGAACTTACTAGCGCGCCACCCTGGGGGTGGCCCCCTTCCTTCCCCTAGTATATATACAACTAGCTAGACGTCTATAGAAATCAGAGTTCACATCAATTTCAACCTGAGTCAGTAACACCCAATGGTCCAAACCATGCCGACTTTAAATGGCTCAGTGTTTACGCCCATTTAGATGGCTTTCCTCTTCCGACCGAAGATAATAGCAACGCAACTACCGCCACTCACTTCTTAAGTGCTGATGTCCACCTTGAGGTTCAGGAGAGTTGTGGAGCAGCTGATTAGGGGGACAAATCTAAGATCATCAGGATTAGCGATCTCTGCCCAGGAGAAGAACTGTTATTTGTTATAAGTGATAATAACTCTGACAGGGCTGAACCGGAGATGACGTTTATAATTACGGACGGACACCATCGTAAACCGGTGAAACTCAGGTGTAGGTGGTCTAACCCCACATAGACTCTAAACTCCGAGCCAGGGTCTCCGTTCAATTAACTCAACGAGCATTTTCAGTTGATCCCGGGCCCGCGGTAGGGACGTGCCACCTGCACAGCGCTCTATAAGGACCGGGATCGACTCAATTGGGCCCTCCAGTTGATTGAACGGAGACCATGCTCCAAGCCGGTACCTTGGGTAAGGAGGCAAAACAACTTCGAGATACATGCCTGTTTTAACGCATTTCAGGTTCAGTCAAGTTTAGGTGACCTAAAAGGCATAGTATCAGACGGAAGTAGTCATTTAATTGGCTCAGAGATTGAAATTAAGAGTCCCCTTGGCATAGGACATGTATTTGGTTAGGAATATAGTAGTAGCCAAATGCGAGCCTCTCATAGACCACTTTACAACCCTGTTATATGCGACATACCAAGTGACAACGACGTCCATCCCAAACTCTGCTTCATCGAGACCAGAAAAATAAGGCCTCTCGCACAGTCAGCTCACGCTGTGGTAGAGAAGTACCTTCTTGTACCGTGGCAAACCACGTGCCTCAGCTAATAGTGCCTAACCGGATACACAAGGTGGGGTGCTGAGACTTTTGCTTACGGGTGGGGTAGGATCGTGTTGCGGCCACGTCGGGGGTGAAACCGCATTTGCTTGCGACTGTATAGGAAGGAGGATTAAATTTGAATAAAGATGCCACTTCGAGATGTGTTGGTCACTAGTGTCATTGCTGACTACTCCAGAGTCGGATCATCATATTCCGAGCGTCCGCACAGCCATAGGCCTAACCGCCACAGGCCTAACAGCCACAAACTTGGCTTACTAAATGACATAAGTAAATTACACCGTGGTGACTATGTAGGACTTGCGGGGTCATTTTGCACTAGCCGGGATTGGTAACTGCTTCAATCGGAAGTACCGACCAGGGTGGCGGCCTTGCATGAGTTTGCGTGCGGTAGCAGCCACAAGGCTGATGACAAATTCTCAGTATAGTAGTGAGGTTGTAAGGCTCGGATAAGGCCCTTTTATGAGCATCAGGAGTAATAAGAGCTCGATAATGGTGCTGTGGCGACGGAATTCAGTTACGCCATGAAAGAAGGCTCTCCGCAAATCAGGCGCGAAAGCGACGATGCGAACGTAACTTTTAGGTAACGTAGGTGATGGGGTTATTACGCACGAGGTAGTTATTACGTTGGTCTAAGCTTCATACGTATTCCGAATCTGTGCACCCGCCAAGCTTTTTTTTAATGTTCGGAAGCGGAATAACTACCTCGTGCGTAATAACCCCATCACCTACGTTAGGAGGTGTTCTGAGTGTTCAGGAGCGGCTACAGTACGCGACTTATATAGAACTATGGGAAATCTTGATGTGTGCACCGAGTCTCATATTTTCCGGCACGGTGGAGGGACGTTACTGGAGTGGATTGGAGGCCCGCTCTAGTCCACCAATCCCTTCACTGCACGCTTGTAGGAATATTTGAAAGTAAATAGCACAGACAACTTCCCTAAGAGCATGACCGTCCTAAAGACCCGTCTTGCGAGCATGTCTATCTTGAGAACATAACGGTCTCAAGACGGGTCTATCTTAGTAGCGTGACTGTCTGGAGAACGTCCTCGTCTTGAGATGCCACCATCTTAAGGCCATGCCTGTCTCAAGACCATGGCTGTCTTAAGAACCTGCCGTCTTAAGAACGTGACTGTCTGCAGAGTAGCCCCGTCTTGAGACTACTTCTGGGTCATGGCCTATCCGTGCTCAGAATAGAAGTGGCCCGAAAATGGGCCCCACTCTGGCTGGCTACTAGAATAAACTCTCGGCTAGGCGAACTCGCAAGGTTTACCAGGAACAACGTCGCTTCACAACCTGCTTACCAAGCTTATATTCGGCTCGATTTTTTTCTAGTCTCTCCCTTCGCTCATAACCTCTTCTTCTTATGCGTCTCCGCCAATCATCGAACTTGTCAACGTCGGACCGCGTGCAGCACCTGGCAACATTATGGCAGATGCTCCTGTAATAAAAAGAACACGAGCACGCGTGCCAAGAGTGCGGACTGGATGCATCACCTGCAAGTACGTTTCTTTGTGTCAAGCCTTGAGGAAACTGACAGGGACCCAAAGAAAACGACATCTCAAGTGCGACGAAGAGAAGCCATCTTGTCGACAATGCATCTCCGCTGGCTTCAAGTGTGATGGCTACAAGCCTCCCCAACCAGCCAAGCCTCGAGAGACCGTAGCGACGAGCACTTCGGTCGAGGTAGTAGCACCGCTGGCAGCCCAGAAGAGACTGTTGCCAAATCCTGGCTGCTACGAGCTCAAGCTGTACCAGCGCTACGTAGCTCCGAAGCTCTCCAGTTACTCTGACGCTGGTTTTTGGAACGTTCTTATTCCGCAAATGTCACAGACAGAACCTGCAATACAACACGTGGTGGTTGCGATATGTGCTGTGCACAGGGATATTGAGTCTATTCGCAGCTACTCTCAACTGAGCGTCCTCCGGCCTAACCCTCTGGCCATGAAAGAGGCCAGCCAGGCCATGCAAAGCCTCTCGCAGAGGATCAAATCGGATCCCTGTTCAAGCCTTGTTCCCCTAGTCGCTTGTCTGCTCTTTACGTGCCTAGAGCTTCTCTGTGGCAACTTCGAAACTGCAATCGTCCACGTGGCGAATGGCTTTAGGATCCTCAACAGTCCCGGTTCTACCGAGCTTGCGGGAAGGTCACATCAACAGATCGCAGACATGAACACGGTTGACAAGGAGGTCGCACCGGTATTCCAGCACCTGAGTGTGCTTTGCCTGCTGTTCGGGCAGACGCATGCATTCGATACTTACGGCCATGTTGCAACAACAGAGTTCGCTACGTTCACATCGTTGGAAAGCGCCCGACTTAATCTGTTCGAGCTGTTCAGCCAAGTCTTCCGCTTCATCAAAGTTGCCAGTGACAAGGCTGATAAGGGGAGCATTGACTTTGCAGATCTCATTGAAAAGGTTAAATTTGAGCGGCGGCTGCAGCACTGGTACAGCTGTATGGAGCAGTATGTTAAAAGTGCAGCCAAATTAGGCCGCCATGTCAACGAGAACGCGGTGTACATCTTGCGCCTGCACCACCGTACCATACTCGTTTGGCTCTCAGTGTGCCTCTCCGTAGACGGAGTTGACCTCAATCTTCACACATCCAACTTTGAAGAAATTGTCCGCCTCTGCGAGAGTCTCGCGCGAGACTCGCCATCAAAGCGCAATTCACCCGGTTCAACAACCACCTCGCCGCCTCAAACAGCAGGATATAACAAATTCTCATTTGGCATGGGTATGATACCATCGCTCTACTGGGTTGCAAGGGAGTGTCGCGATTCCACAATCCGTAAAAAGGCGTTGGACCTGCTCCTAAGAGCGCCACTCCACGAAAGTCTTTGGGATGTGCACGTTTTTTACAAGATTTTCGAGCGCGCCAAGGCCATAGAGAAATCTCGAAAGCACAGTCAGAAAATGCTCTCTCCGGAAGACTGCTGGCGAGGGGATCTCTCATTGGCGTCGGATCATAAAATTCTTCTTGAGCTACCTGTACACAACTTTAGACATGTCCAGACTTACCGGATCCACAACTGCCTCATTCCGAACAACTGGTCTTCCGATCAAAGATCAGGAGTCACGTTTCGTGCGAAGCCATGGGGACCACTCGGTGCATGGCACATATGGGATGATTCTGTCTATCTATGACAGTGGCACGCTCGTCACCATCTACAGCTGAGCTTGAGATGTGGAGCTGCCGGCTCGATGCCATTCGTGGGTGCCTCGGCTATGCCGTAATACGGTCATATACGTTAAAGGCTCTATCAAGAGTATCTTGAGTGGCGGTCATCCGGCTAGAGTCTCAGGCCTCGGATCGTATCAGTATAGTATACCTGTAGTCAGGTCGTCAGGTGGACGTGCTTTCATCGCAGGCCACTCAAGGTCTTGCTCATTCATCTCATGTTCCATTGGTACAAGACAATAAAGTCACCAGCAGCTTGGATGATAGCAATGAGGCGAAGTATCGTAAATGGAGGCCGTGAAGGCAGCGAGATGAGGCTGTCAAGCCATCTTTCGAGAATGTGAGAGTTCGAGGGAGACTGAAGCCACGAGGGACCGGGCCTCGAAAGTGAAAATGGCGAAGCGACTGTCCACAAATCATCTGTACCGGCAATTAAAATGCTGTGGAGGTAAGATGGGTGGGCCGAGCAGAAATACCAACAGCAATGAGTAACGAAACGAAGCAATATCAATCGTGCGGTGCTTTAAGACGTTCAAGTACAAGCACTCGCGACGATATCACCCATTAAATGACAAGGTGCGATAGTAGAGTCTGTATACTTTGACGCATATTAATGATCCAGGTGGAAACAGGACCCCAACCAATATATGCGTAGATATGAGGCCCAATGACCAAAGTGATCAAAGCTCTTACTTACACGGCGGAGGCTGTTGGACGGGCCCTCATTCATTTGTTCTGCTGCGGATTCTACGAAGGATCCAATGAACAATAAGCCTATTCCTTGCCACTGTCCAAGCGTCACGACATGTTTACCGTTTCGGTTGTGGGTCTCTACTTCTAGCCGGCTCTCCCGTAATTGCGTATGCCTGGAGGTAAGCCGCGCTCGTTGATTGGCTGCACCGTAACTTCAAGCGACGCACCAGTTCTTGGCGGCTGTAGGATTTCGTGTACTTCTTTTATGCCACACGATAAAGTAGTTCTGTGCTTGAATAGACCGGGTGCAAATTACGAGCTATCCAATCTGCACGCTCCGAGCGGCGCGATGATGGGCCGGCCTGCGGCGCATGGTGGGCAACGACACGACACCAGTGAGGCGAAGCACAGCGTTCAGGGTTGATGACCTCACATCCGAAGCTCAGAATCCTCATTCGAATCTAATTCGGACCGAATTGCGCCTGGTAAGAGATGATCACTCGATTTTTCTGCTTCATATAAACCCTCTAAACATTTCCTTTACTACTTGCACATCGCACCCTTCCCATCCTCGACAGCCTCATTTCAATAGCTCGAACAATCCAACACGCCCAGATATTTACAAAAGCCTCTATCGCTCAAAATTGGCAACTTGAACTATCCTTTCGATCCAATTCCAGTTAGGCTTCATGAAGAGATGGAATATAATCGCCTTACCCACCACTGTCGTCCTACTAGAATTCGCGGCAGTGGCTGCTGCCCACGGCGATGAGGGCGGAAACGAACCCACAGCGGTAATGAGCAATTCATCTGACGAGCCTCATCTTCCACCAAGTTATATGCGTCACCCTGAGCACGTCACCCTCATTCTGGCGCACATTGCACTGATGATCGTCGGATGGGTGTTTGTTCTGCCTATCGGTAAGCCTGCAACCGTCCGGGAGTCCCACGAATGTTTCGAAGGCTAATTAAGCTGCCCTGTCAGCTGTTGTCTTCAGCGTGGCCCGCTCGCGCCTCACCATGGTAGCGCAGCTGGTATTCCTTTCGATAAATGCACTTGGGGTGCTAATAGGTATCATCTATAACCAATCGACCCCTAGTTTATACGAGCATGGGAAGCACGGTATAATTGGATATACCATAACCCTGCTTGTATCTGCTTGGGTGTTTCTCGGCCTCGCTGATACCTATACCCGCCGCAATTTGCACAAGCGACACTTCGCCGGGACTGACTCTTCATTGCAGGATGAAGCGTCAGGTTGGCAGTCAGAGAATTTGATAGCGGATATCACCGCAGAATACAACCAAGACTACAACGAAAACGACTCTGGGGACGATGAGAAGCATGGGTTCTTACGCGGCACAATCGTGGACCGCTTCTTCAGGGGCAACTTTGCGCGATTCGAGCGCACCATTCGCGCAATCCGCCTCTTCCATCTGGTGCTCGAACGTGCCGCGCTGGTACTTGGATTTCTAGGTATTACCACTGGCGCCGTTATCTACACTGGCATTTTTGTAGGTCAAGGCCTTGCCCACAGATGGTTTCGTGTCTATGGCTAACCCAAGTGCCAGCACGGCCGCAACATATTCAACGGCGTAGCACATTTCATCAAGGGCGGCATCTTCTTCTGGTATGGCCTTTTGACATTTGCGAGATGGATGGGGTGCTTCGCCGATATGGGGTGGGCGTGGAACCGCAAGCCGTCGCGCAATCTGGTCGGCAAAGTCGCGTCCATGCCATCAGCTGAGTTTGTTGAGTCGGCGGTGATTTGTTTCTATGGAGTGTCAAACGTCTTCTTGGAGCATCTTGCAAACCCAGGTGGCGAATGGGCTGCGATTGATTTGGAGCACGTATCGATTACGCTCATGTTCTTCGGCGGTGGATTGGTGAGTTTGCTCTGCGTTTCCCGTTTGCCCGCTGGCATTTTTTTTCGAGGTTCAACCCATATTTAGATTGGACGCTAGCTGATCACAGTGTGCTTTCTACAGGTAGGTATGATTATCGAGTCTACCTATGTCCGCGATGTGCTCATGTCCAATATTACAATCATCAGGGCCGACTCTGCCTTGCATGGTGAGGGCGCTTCTTTCTCGCAACCTAAGCAATACGCCTTCTCGATGAATCCCATGCCAGCGCTCATCATATACCTCCTTGGGCGGATGATGGGCTCGCACCACCAAACTAGCGTGGTGAGCACTAAGATTCACACACAGTGGGGAGACCTGTTCTCCGGTTTCGCAATGGCGCGCATGGCCACATACGCTCTTCTATATATCCAACCGCCGGTAGGCCACCTCCCACAGCGTCCGCCTACGGAGGTACTAAGCAGCTTTTGTCTCGTCGCGGGTGGTATGCTGTTCATGATGAGCAACAGGGATACCGTGAATGGGCTTGAGTGGAACGAACTAGGTGCCATGTTCACCTTCAACATCACCATGGGTCTAGCAGCCTTCCTAATGGCTTGGAGCACTATTGTTATGGCGCTGAAGGGCTGGGCACAACTGAGAGTGGCGAAAGGACGGGAAAACCGAGTTGCTGCTGCGTCTTAGAGAGAATATGGGCAAGCACATTGAGTCAAAGTTCTTTCCTGCGGTATGTCTACTACGAAAACAGTTCCGAGTTACCTCTTCGCCTGCAACGGCTGCAAATAGATATATATAGAGCTATAGCACTAATATACTGCGCAGTTTGCAACAGAATGTTTGTTAGGCTTCTACATCGTAAGGGCGAAAGGGGTTCCGCCCAAACCTCCTAGCGGACCTGGTTTATAAGCAGCAAGATTATGATTGCCTGTAATTTTCGCTAATTCTGCGCAAGTATTCGTATTGACTGCTTTGAAGACGTAGCTGCGAATGCTAGACTATTAGCAGGCGTTAGCTATATGCACGCAACCTCTGCGATATAATACAAGGACTAGAAGTGAATTCTGGTATACTAGATACAGGCAGCGGAATGCGCAGAGAATAGACTTGTATTATGATCCAGTTTTCAGATTACGGTTCTAAATCTGGCCCCCGCCAACGTCAAATTCCAGGTCTGTGGAAGCCGCCCATTGCTAAAAATAAGCACTCCTAAATATAGTACAAATTTGTGGTGCAGTGCACGCTGATTTAGGACTTGGAGACAGATAGTAGCCCCATGCTCCGTTTAAGGCTGTCCCAGATATGGGCCACATGAGCCAAGACCTGCCAAGGCGATGAGTGTCCCATTTTCGGGCACATGAGCGACCCCTGCTAAATACCGTCTCGCCAACCTTGAAGTGAAGTGGTCCGGTAACGGTGCCTGCGCCGGTGGTAGTCTTGGCATGGGTGACGTTTAGATGGAGAGGGCACTGTACGGAAGACACGGAAAGTAATGACGATGAATAGAAACGATAGTCAATTTAGCCTTTGATTGAATTTGGCTCCGGCTTCTGCACCCTAATAAGTTCTGTTACGATGATGCTGGGAAGCACATCGTAGCTGAAATCGGGAATCCTCGTGAAGTAACGGGTGCGTGTCTATCTACGGGCCTGTCATTGCAATCAAATGGCTGACCTCTTCGAATTCGGCTGGCCCGCTCAACTGCGGCTGGCCTGTTAATTCGGGCAGCCTTTCGAATTGGCTGGCCTTTCAGATTGGCTACAAGGGGGTAACATGAGCGGGCCAGCTGCCCTCCCTGCAAGTTTTAGGGGCATTATAGTCGTATCCATGCTATTTCTCTAGGACTTTACTATAACGCCCCCAAAACTTGCAGGGAGGGCAGCTGGCCCGCTCATGTTACCCCCTTGTAGCCTTTTAGATCGGCTGGCCGCTAAGATTTCGGCTCGTCTCTTTGAGTTCGGCTAGCCTCTTCAAGTTCGGCTGACCTTTCATATTGACTGGCCTTTCGAATTGGCTGGCCACTAAGAATTCGAATAGCCTTTCAGAACTCGACTAGCCGCTCAGAATTCGGCTAGCCAAATTCTAGCCCCAAAATAGGCGATACAGTCGACCTATTTCTAGTCCCGTTATCATTACATGTGGAATTATATGAATGGATATATTTAGAACGTACGCTAAAGATAGATGGATTTCCCGGTATATACAAGAGTTCGCCGTCAGGAAAATATTTGTTGTGACATGGGATTGGTGTCATCTCGCCAAAGGTCTACAGATTCCATGTTGCTTGAATTGCCTGGGCTGTATCCGCCTTGAGGTGAGCTTCTGGCACAAATGGCTCCAACCCGACATTCTCGTGCGCTGCTAGTTTCTGCAAGAGCAACCTTTGTACTTCAAGCACCCCTTCAACCTCATACATAATGAGCTTTGGGTGGGCTGTAGATCTTGGTCCTCGGGAATGCACGACCTTTCCTTTATGCTTCTCCGCTCGAGTAATATTAGGAACATAATGTTGGGCCTAACGGCTTCTAATGTATGTACTTAGGGGTATGTCTAGTCTCCAATCTGCGGGAATAGTGATGCAAGTCTACTAGGGAATTCGACGGCAGGTCAGCTACTTAAATAGCTCAGGGAGAGTCTGGTGTAGCGTTAAATCGGCCTAATCCTATTAGAGCACTTATCCTGTTCAGCGGTTAGTGTTACACCCATCTGCGATTTGTTCAAGAGGGGAGTACGGTCCCGTACGTGAGTATCGAGTGTGCGGTGAGGTGAATACAGGAAATGGGAGGGGAGTACGGTCCCGTACGGGAGCATGCAGTGTGCGGCGAGGGACAAGCGGAATACTGAAAGACGTTAGCGATCGCGTTCCCGTACGGGAGTATGGAGTGCAGGGGCAAGAAAGCGGTGTTGCGGCAAGTGATAGGATTGATTGATTGTCAGACTATGGATGGGCGGGGTGCCTCATATATGTATCCATTCCCATTCCTGTCACATGGATTCAGCCACCAGGAATGCCGTGACATTCAACACTCCCACTCGATGGCTACCTTCGCTAAGAAGAGTGCCAGCGACCATTTGTCACGACTCTGACAGACCCCGTTAAAACCTTCAAAAACCCTCCAAGGCAAAAAGAAGGAAAGGGTGCCTGTGTGTTCTGCCTATTTCGTGCTTATCACTCGATACCTAGCCCTCTCCGAAACCATTCAAATCTGTCTCGTGTAAGAGGTTTGGTGAACCCATCAGCGACTTATGCTGTAGTTGGAACATACTTTAGTTCAACCGTTCCAACGGCTTAAACTTCTCCTTGCCACTTGCGCTGGATTTCTATATGCTTCGTGCGTGAGTGGTACTGTGGGTTTAAGGACAGAGCAATAGCGCCCTAGTTGTCGCCACATATAATTGTCGCGGCTTTTCCTTGGCTTATATTTAGCTTATTAAGGAGTCTCCTTAACTAGATTACTTCCTTAGTTGCTTAATCTATCCTATAAATTCTGCTTTACAGGTTAATAGAGCAACAACGCTCTGCCGCTTAGACTGCTAGCTGATTGCTCCGCTCCTAATATGAAATAGATATCCAGCCGTTAATTATCTTATATTGCAACACCCGGCCTAGTCTGCGTCTGTAAAGCCTTTTAATATCTAGAAGTGGCCCTTATATATAATTCTAAGGCCTTTTATACCTTTAAGGTACTGCAGGATGCATTAAGCAAGCTTTATATATTATAGTCCAGGGTTTACTAAATACCGGCTTACTATAGAGACTGCATATACAATATCTCCTCTGGTTCTAAGCATAATGTATATTAGGGATCCTATAATACGCTGGTACTCCGCCTTTTAATCTAGAGGACAGTTGTATTCTAGGTTGTTTTCTAGCAGTGGGGAGGTCTCTATCGGCGTGCTAACAGGAGCGCAGTTGTCGATTCTAAACCAATAAACAACCTTATTAATATAGGCTTCTTAACTTAGGTACAGTATCCTGTTCTAACAGTCTTGCTAGATGGATATCCCGAGGTAGTAGCTATATAGTCCAAGGTCTGTTATTTAGAAATAGTTTCTAAGGCCTCTCTTAGTTCTCTTAATTTCTGCAATACTTAGTCTAATAATTAGAAGGTTGTTAACGTACACCGCAATATACATATTACTCCGAATAAAAATTCCAAGGTCGTTGTTAATTAGTTTAAAACCGAGACGGCATAGGAAGTTTATAAGGGTCTAGTAGTTTATTAACAGCACTGGTCTGGTCTCTAACTATCAACGTCGTGTGTAGACATGTGGGTACTTCGTGACGAAGCTGCACATCAACATACCTTACAGACACCAGCCAATCTACACCGAACTACTTCGCACCACGATACCAGCACCATACTCAACCAAACACCAATCCTGTTTGCCCAAACTCCAACCCATTGTTTCCCTTGGGGGGGGAAAAAAAAAAACTCTAACCGAGCCGTGGCTTCTACCCACCTTCTCACCTCTCCACATCACCTCTTCAAGCCCCCGCCTCGAGACCCTGCCTGCCTACCCCACAACACTCTTGCTCCTTCCGACTATCATCCACCAAACTCGATAAGGGACGACTTTGCACAGTGGCCAGATGCGTACGCAAGCATCGGCACCAACCTGGAGTGGCAGAATTGGGATTGTAGCCTGTCCCCTCGAGTGTTACATCTACATCTCCCCACCCATCTACCGCTATGTCACACGGCCTGGGAACTTTACCGGTCGCGCAGAGGACCCAGGACTGAAGCCGCAAACTAGCCCAGCTTGACTTCGCCTTGGGATTGTCGTGTCTGGTGTGAGTAGTGGGATTTAGTACATTGGCTGTGGACTAGTTCTCGCCAACATCTACCGGGCAATGTTCGCATCGCGTAGAGCCTTTTTGAGCCGTGGTAGAAGTTCTACGCTTCCTAGTGACAACGGACTCGTGGTGAGATTAGCGGGGCAGATTAGTGCACCGGAATGGTTGGATAACATGGGAGAAGCGAGGATGGTTCGGCTTGACGTAGTGCCAAATAGTATTTATAGGGTACCGAATTATGAGTTGTGGTACACTACATATACAGGCGCTGTGTCCACCTATCTGATGGTGTCTGAGGTGGCCGGCCCAGTAGAATACCGGTTGCGCAGAATAAGCTTTTACCTACCTAGCTCTCATTGACAGCTGTCAGGCATTCTCGACCGTGGAGATGTCTTAAGCAAGCCCGTGGTTTTGGTATGCTTTGTAAGCGTTGGATCGCCGTCGCTCCAATGTGTTGGTGTACCTAGATACTGAGCCCTGGGTGAGCTTCGTCCTCGGGATACGCTTTTCACGACCATCCGCGGCCCCCGCGTCCGCGCCCGCCGCCCCTACCGCCGCCTCTCCACGGCCCACCTCCTCTGTTACCTCCCCTACCACCTCTTCCTCTTCCAAAGCCTGATCCTCCACGGCCCCCCCGGAAGCCATCTCTGTGGGAGTCCGGCCTAGGCCCATTCAGCGCTCGTTGCCGGCTCTCTTCCGTTCCCGCATGGAACGGATTCGGGATCTGTAGCAGGTCGCAGAAGCCTTGTGTGTGAGCGTTGTTGTACTCGAGCGGTTGTCCATCAACCTTCTCCCCTACCAAGGGATCGTACGGCGTAGCTGTGATGTGGAAGTCTTCCGGGACGAGCATCTTCTCCGATTTCACGATATTCTCCTCAACCCATGCTTCTTCCTTCTCGATCAGCGGGCGGTAGTGCGCGTCGCCTTGATCAAAAGGGATGCGAGCTTCTGGATTGCCCAGAGCTAGGTCCGCGGCGAAGACGCGCGTGATGGCGAGCCATTCTTTGTCGTATGAAAGGCGGAGCGGGCGGGTGAAAGGGGCCGGTTTTAGTGGCTCGACTTCCATGAGTTGGAGGAAGTGGCGGTTAGGGAGGCATTTGTCTAATGCTAGGAAGCGGGTAGTTTTGTTCTTGATGTCGGCTGGAGGTGGGAGGGTTTCGGGTTGTGGGTGCGCGCCGCCGTTTGCAGGACGGGAGAAGGCTGCTGGGAGAAGGCTCCGGATGTCTTGGGGCACTTCAGACGGACTTGCGCTAGTCTGTGAATTTGGCTTGGAAATATCACCATTTGAAGCTTGTGTGGTTGGTGGTTGGGCTGGTGTCGTTGAATCGTCCTCGTCGTCTAAGTCGAGATCTATCTCGGCATCGTTCTTTGGCGTCATCTGTGGAATTGCTGGCGTATCATCATTCATATCGAGGTCAATCTCCTCATTGTTCTTCGGTAGAGTTTCTTTCGCCTGAGCTTTTGCTGAGACATCGGGGGAATCCTCGAAATTCCAGATGGCGGAGTACTTGATATGCATATGTGCACTGAACCAGTACGCAGGCCTGAGTCGATCTAGGATAAGCTTGGCTGCAACGCTCCCCAAAGTCCCATCTCGAGCGTCCTGTTCAAAATGTGACTTCTTCCGGAACAGCGTCTTCCAGTCGCCCTTCCACTCGATCCCTCGTGGCCAGTCATGGCTCAACCCAATGTCAACCTGAGTCCGTATTTGAAGTAGCTTCCTCGTATCCAGCTCTCTGACGTGGTATATGCTCTTGATATCATCCTGGTTATACGGTAGCCGTTCGTGATGTTGTTTCTTGTAGTTATATCCCTTCCAAATCCCCGAGAGTCCAGCTATCCTCAGCGGTCCCAGGCGCACCACGTTCGCCGCACCCATGTAGTAGATATTCGGCGCCACCCATCCGCCATAGTATAGTTCCCACAGGTAATTGCTGGCCTCGTGGTTCCCACCGATGAATATGGTCAGGTAGGGAGCATCTCGCGCGCCGGAGTAGTATTCGTGAAAGTCGCCGATTTCGCGGTATTTCGCTGGCATGGACACCACGTTCAGGTCGTAGGCATTGCGGACTGACTACCTATGTTAGTTACAGCGCTGTAGCTAGAGGGGCGCAATTTTTACTTGGAAATCTCCTCCTATGATCAGAAGGTCAACTCCGTCCCAGCCTTGACGTTCGCAGGTGTCTTGGATGGAGGCGTAGATGGAATGCAAGGTGCCGTGACCCTAGACTGCGTGAGCCAAAGTCTGTTGGAGGGGCAGGAAGTACGTACGCATCCTTCTACGGCTATGCGCAGCCCTTGTGTTTCGACGATTAGGGTATCCATGGCTTGCTGTATTGAAGCAGCTCGGACGCGGTTGACTTGGCCTCGGGGTGGAACGCTAGCGTGGAGCTGAGCTTTGCAGCTTTGGAGCTTTCGCCGTCAGGGCCGTCGACTACGAAAACTACGCGTTTGTCTCCAATGGAAGTCGTGGGTGAGTAAGGACGAAGGTGTAGTCGACAGACCGCAGATGTTCACTTAAATGCCTATGACGAGGACACGCGATTTTTCTATCTAGATTTTCTTCCTAACTCCAATCTAAAATGTCCACCAACACGTCCGATAGACAGGCGCTGCAGTCACGGCTGCAATATCTGAAGGATGCAGCCCACCTCTTACACGCACAATCGCCAACAGCTGCAGCCGTTTTAGGCGCACAATACGACAAGCTCCTAGTGGACAGGAACCTCGATCTTGAAGCTTCTCAAAAAGAATGGGATTCGCATCGCCGAGATATCTGCGGCGCATGCGGCAATCTGTTAATTCCAGGACGATCTTGTCAGGTCTCCCAGGAGAGCCATTCATCGAAATCCTCGAAGGCCCCGAAGTCCAAGAGACGTACTGGTGATGTCGAGAAAGCGATGGTGTACACGTGCTCGAGATGCGACGCAAAGACAGTCCAGCCCCTACAACGTCCACCAAAACTCCTGGGAAGACAGGCCGGGATCTCTAAATCACAAAACCAGACGAATTCAAATCCGAGAGCAACCGCGATCTCTTCTGATGACACGTCTACCGCACCGAAATCTGCCAACGCAAGCAGCAAGAAAAGAGCCAAGGCACGCAAGCAAGGCGGGCTGCAAGCTCTGTTGGACAAATCTAAGAGCGACACATCCAAATCGCGTCAGGGGGAATTTGGTTTGGACCTCATGGACTTCATGAAGGGAACTTGAAGCTCTATTCACATTCACTAAAACTCACATTTGGTAGGCAGGTTTTCTTAAACAAAAAGTGATAGTCCACGAGTCCCTGGTTCTGATTCCAAGCTTCCTATCCTTGAGTTACAGACTATTTCCGTGCTTCTGCATGCTTGTTCAGCACCGCTGGTGTGTTATTCAAATTCGTATAATGCCAGCTTTAGCAGGCCTGATATCTCTCCGGGCCACCTCAGACGGTGTTGAACTGCTACTTTTTGTTCAGCGGAGCCTCGTAGGGCTGAAATGGACAGGGGTGCCACCCAGGACCGAATTTGCCCCACCGAGGGGCAGAAAAGTTTTGGGCCTTCGTCATGCCGCAAAAGGAACCTTCGTGAACAGGCCACCAATAACACCCGCCTTCGGTGAAGCATTTGGCACCTCACCTATAACCTCGAAGAGCCTCACACCTTTCCATCTTATCTACACTTTGTACATGGACCAGGCAGCACGAAGTCCCTTCAAGAGTCATACACACCATTCCTGAACGATTGCGCCTAGTTCCCCGATATCAAATCCTCTGCCTCCACGTCCGATCCTGCTTCAAATCCGCACAGTATGGCGGCACCACCAGGCCTAGCGAAGGACCTCTTCGAGGACATGGGGCGAAAAGTGGCAGACGCGCAGGGCGAGGGAATTGACGACGGCGAGTCGAAAGTAGTCGACGAGATCGAGACTCTTTGCATGAACTGCCATGAAAATGTACGTAAATCACAGTCGACCTTTGGAGATATTGAAAATGCTAATCATGCATCAGGGCACCACCCGACTCCTCCTCACCAAAATCCCCTTCTTCCGCGAAGTCATCATAATGTCATTCGACTGCCCCCACTGCAACTTCAAGAATTCCGAGGTCACACCCGCCGGAGAGATACAACAGCGCGGGTGCAAATACTCGTTCAAGGTAGACCGAGCTGCGGACCTCAACCGGCAGATCGTGAAGAGCGACACCTGCATATTCAGGATAGAGGACATCGACCTAGAAATACCCCCAGGCCGCGGACAATTGTCGAATGTGGAGGGCATCTTGAGCATGGTCGCCGAGGACCTTGCGCAGAAGCAGGCGGAGCGGAAAGAAGTCATACCAGAGGTCTACGAGCAGATCCAGGGCATCATCCGGACACTAGAAGCCATGAAGACCGGCCTGCAGTTCCCATTCGCCATCACGGTGAACGATCCCGCAGGGAATTCCTGGATAGAGCCGTCGCCAGATGACAAAGGCGGCAAGTACTTACGACACGAGTACGCCAGGACACCAGCGCAGAACGAGGCTATTGGACTTGGTGGCGGCGACGAGGAGGAGGCGGCGGAGGGAGACGCACCGCCTTCAGAAATACGGCCGGAGTACCAAGCCTCGCAAATGTACCCGCACATGCCAGCAGCCGGCACGAACAACGTCGACGACGATGAGATTGAGGAAAACCAGGTCTACTCATTCCCCGCCACCTGCCCCGGATGTACCAAGCCTTGCGCGACCAAAATGAAGATGGTTAATATCCCCCACTTCAAGCAAGTCGTGCTGATGAGCACGGTATGCGAGTACTGCGGATGTAAGCTCCCCCACGACCCACCCAACCCCCAACGTACACTGAGTCCCTTTTAGATCGAAGCAACGAGGTCAAAACCGGCGGCGCCGTCCCCGAAAAAGGCCGCCGCATCACCATCTCGGTCGAAAACAAAGCCGACCTCTCCCGCGACATCCTAAAGTCCGGCTCCTGCGCCGTGCGCTGCCCAGAACTCAACCTCGAAATGGAACCCGGCACGCTCGAGGGCCGCTTCACCACCATCGAGGGCATTTTGACCCAGGTGCGCGACGACCTGCGCAACTCCATCTTCGACGAGGAGAGCGGCGGCAGCGGCAGCGACTCTGTCCAGAAAGAGGCGAGGGCGAAGTGGGACGCGTTCTTCGAGAGGATCGATAAGGGGATTAGGGGGGATGTGAAGTTTACGCTGATACTGGAGGATCCGTTGGCCGAGAGCTATGTGCAGAGCTTTACGGCGCCCGAGCCGGATCCGCAGATGACGGTCGAGGATTATGTGAGGACGCATCAGGAGGAGGAGGATTTGGGGCTGAATGATATTAAGACTGAGGGGTATGAGGAGGGGCAGGCGAGGGAGGAGGTAAAGGTGGAGGAGGCCAAGCTGGAGGAGGCCAAGGCCAAGGCGGAGGAGGCAGCGAGTAATGGGATGGTGGCGGAGGGAGGTTAATTGATTGGGGCTGGGGGGGGTAAGGGCGTGTATAAATACTAGGGATTGCTCTCACGAGCTGTAGGAATGGCCGATGGATTACATTGTGGTACTGAGTTTGTGGGGTTTTTCATGGACGTGATATTAGCAAAATCAAACTCCTCCGTCATGGTTGGCGACGTCTAAGGTCGCCCAACATAATCTCAAAACGTTCAAAAAAAAAAGGAAGTCAACACTCGTTCGGATATCTGCAGGTATATCAAACCCATCCCCATCCCCGCGCCCAGGGGCCTACGGCGGCCGCAAGGCGGTGTATGCATTCTTGCACTGCTTCAGGAAACTTAGCCGCCTATCAACTATAATCCACAGCCCCTATTCAACCTTCATATCCCCCGTCAGCCGACTCCCCAGCACCACCGTGACCCACAAGCTACCACTCACAGTCCCTAAGCATACTGTTATAGCGATACCGCATCTAGCAGGCTATCATATCAGCTCTCTCCTCCCCACGTCTCTGAGCAGGAGTTCGGTGGTACTGACCTAAAAACCGCGAGCACACGGGCGTGAAACGGGAGTACAGTAAAACCCCGTTACATGTTTTCGGGGTATAGTGATATACTTCACAGAGTGATACATTCTGGCTTCCACTACATTCCAAGCTTGTAGTAGTAGATGGCGTGGGGGTGGGGTAGCTAGGGGGTGGGCTAGCCTATCTCGAGTTTGGGAGTCGTGGGCCCTTCGGGTGTGTAAGTACCTGGCGGTGTGGTTGGAGTTGATGGAGATGTAGATCTTGCCGAACTTGTGGTGATAGACGGCATGGGTGTGGGGTTTCTGGGAGGTGGGTTAGCTTTATTTCGAGTCTGGGAGCAGCTCTTGTATACATGTTTGGTGTGTGCTTGAAGTTGATGCAGAGACCGCGGAGCTCGTAGGAGCAGATCGGGTGGCATCCCCAGACGAGCCCGCCGTTGTGAGAGCAACATCTTCTAGCCAGAGACCTACGAGGTCGGACCTCCCTTGATCCTGCGGTTTTGGGGGCCACTGCCTTATGGAAAGCCCACGCGTGACTCTTGGTATAGTGATACCACCCCTCGGAAGAAGGCGTATTACTATAGCGGAGGTCTAGTGTAGTTGAGATAGTGATGGCTTGGGGGGCCACGCTGGGTGGGTATCGCGTGCGTGTATGGATTTGAGAAGTTGGAGGTTGAGAGCAGCGGTAAGGTAGCGAGATCGAAAAGCGTCGAGGAATTGGTCGTGGAGCGTTTTGAGGGAGAGAAGCGAGTTGCTGTCACCTCTTAAATCTGTGGGTGCATGGCTCTTGCTTCCCGAAGCCTATGGCGTCCATTGCCGTTGAAGCAACGAGTAATTGCTCATACACCCTTGAGTAATCGGATGATCTAGCCCGAGTTTTTCTTGCAGGCCTGCGCATGCTCGCTGGTAGAGTGGTGAAGCGTCTTTATACTGCTGCAGTTGGTGTAGTAAGTACGCAAGGTTGTAGACGCTCCTCAGCGTGTCGGGATGCTCTTTCCCTAAAACCTTCTCCCACCCCTCCAGCACTTGTCTATTCATCTCCTCTGCCTGCTTGTACTTCCCCTGCTCTTGCAGTACTAATGCTAGGTTGTTTAAGCTTCTTAGTGTGTCAGGATGCTCTTCCCCTAGCACCTTCTTCCTCATCTCTAGCGCTTGTCGGTTCATTTTCTCTGCTTCCTGGTACTTCCCCTGCTCTTTCAGCACTGTCGCTAGGTTATTCATGCTCATTAGCGTGTCGGGATGCTCTTTTCCTAAAACCTTCTCCCACCCCTCCAGCGCTTGTCCATTCATCCCCTCTGTCTGCTCGTACTTCCCCTGCTCTTGCAGCACTAATGCTAGGTTATTCATGCTCATTAGCGTGCTAGGATGCTCTCTCCCTAGCGTCTTCTCTCTCGCCTCTAGCACTTTTCGGTCCATATTCTCTGCCTCCTTGCACTTCCCCTGTTTTTCTAGCACTGTCGCTAGATTGCTTATGCTTTCCAGTGTCCGGATGCTCTTTTCCCAGCACCTTCTCCCTGCCCTTTAGTGCTTGTTCGGTTAAATCTTCTGCCTGCTTGTACTTCCCCTGGTGTAGCAGCACTGCCGCTAAATTATTCATGCTCGCCAGAGTCTCAGGATGCTCTATTCCTAACGCCTTCATGCTCCCCTCCAGCGCTCGGCGGTTTATGCCCTCAGCCTCTTTATACTTCCCCTGGTATTGCAGCACTGTCGCTAGGTTGTTCATGCTCGCCAGCGTGTCTGGATGCTCTGCCCCTAAAGCAGCCTCCCTTGCTTCGAGTGCACCTTGGCTCATCTCTTCTGCCTCCTTGTACTTTCCCATCTCGTATGCATACCACGCCGCCTTGAAAAGAACCGACGCCCACGCCTCGACCGCCCGTCCACCAGCTGGCTGACAAGCTACCACTGCTCGTGCATGTGGAAATAGCGCTTGACATACCGCCCAGTTCTTGTACCGTCCCACCGGATCGTTGTCGTCCATGAGCGTTATGTATGCCTCCTTCCACTCCTCTAGTTCATTATAAACCTCTAGCCATTTCTTTATCGAGAACTGCACCAGCCGGTGCATCTCAAACTCGCGCCCATCCAAACTCATCCAATTAAGGAATAGTTTGTCAGCGTGTGAATGTCCTCTTCAAAGTTGGCTTCTCTATCCTTTTCTCGCTGATATTGGCTCTGGAGAAGCGATTCCGGAATTCCCTGTCGGTCGAAAAAACTCATCAGCGAGAGTAGTCGAGCGGCAGTAGGCATCCCTCTACGGATATGTTCGAATGAGACCTGTAAGGTGGCGATGATGGAGTTAGATGCTCTGCCGTCCCTGCGGTTGTCTCCTACGTCCCTTGCAAGTAGACGGGCTCGGTCATGGTCGTTTCTGTGAATTTCGTCTATGTATCGCGAGATAGTCATACGCGGCGCTCTCTGTTCGATGTGAGCCGCCGCCTGCGTGATAGCAAGGGGCATGTAGTCGAGAGCTTTAAGCAGTTCAGTCGCGTTGTGCTCGTTCGCATTGCTGAGCTTCTTCTGGAGAAGAGCTAGTGCTTCGCGACTGTCCATCGGCTTGACCTCCACGAGGCGATCTCCGCGTCCCGTCAATCTGCGCGCCACGTCTCGGCTCCGAGAAGTGATGAGGATCGATCCGTTGGGCGATTGTGGTAGAAAGTCTGACAGCGGCTCTGCTGCTTGATCCGGATTGCTAGCTCCTGCCACTTCCGCCTCGTCGAATGGAGGGAAGAGGACGTTCGAATCGTCAGCGTTGTCGACAATCATCACCCACCGCCCGTTCGACTCGTCGCATAACCAGCTTTGGACGAGCTGGAGGACATCCGCTTTGGGGTTGTCCCACCCATCCATCTTCGTCACTTGAACGATTTTGCGATAGCCCTCCTCGAACGTCGCTCGTGTATCTGCGTGCACCCAAAACACCCACGTTGTCGGCGACTCGTCCTGCACCAGGTAGGCATATTCAATGGCAATTTGGGACTTGCTGTGCTGGCAATTAACGTCGGCGTTACGCTTGTGAAGTACAGCACTTACCCAACGCCTCCAAGGCCAACAAGCGCCGCGCGAGCTGCTGGTCTCGTGCAGATCTGGCGTACCCTGTCGAGGCTGTTGCGGCTGATGAAGTCGATGTCCCGCCGGAAGGGGACTGTCGAGGATGGGGGAGGCTTTGGGCGGAGGGCGTGCAGGACGGTAACAGGGCCTAGACGGCTTAGTAGAAGCACTTGCTATGGATATGAACTTGGTACCGTATGAACTGAGTATATAGAGACGGGGCTCTTGGCGTGCTAGCCGATCACTTGGACCTATTTGAGTAGGTAGGAGTCCAAAGTCGACTGAAGGTAGCGCGCCAAGAGTCCCGTCTCAATATACTCAGTAATTACGGTATGGAAGGACGTTTTGGAGCGCGATGCGCGATTGAATTACACACCTTTAGATCCTTCCCATTCCTTCCAGTTTTGAATAACTTTCTCTTGCGCGCTCTCACACATCTCGCTCAAAAGGCCCACAACGGTTCGGAAGTCGTCGTCTGAGCGATATCGGAATCTGATCAAGGTCGTGTGATCCTTCTTGATCTCAACAGATTCCGCATTTCGCATACCGGGGACCACGGCTGACGCCTTGGGGACTATCTGTACGTATGTTAGAGACGCGCCATCCATCATTCACGCCAAGAGAACTCGCCATCATCGAACGTCCCGCTGGAAGGAAGGTTGGATATGACTCGAAGCAGAATATTGTGAAGACTTCCGCACTGATAGCCATGTATTGCCTCAGCTGTATTTCTAGCCACTCGGAATCCCTCTCCAAATGCTCAAGAATTGCTGTGTCAGCGTGTCGATAGATCGATGTTACGTTGGCCAGCACTTTTCCCCATGATGCGTTCTCTGTACCTCGATGAGGCGTTCCAAAGAACATCACCCCATAGGTGGAAAGCTTAATGGCTTTCAGGTGTTCTCTATCGGAATCACCTGCCATGTTTGAGTGAATCAAGGCCTTTTGTCCTGTCAGCGCCGACCTCTACATTGACACGATTTCACGACAATGCCTCCCAAGCTATGGGCAAGAAAAATGATTGGGCGCCGCTCGGTCTTGTTGGTCCTCTGTCAGTAAAAGCCGCACAACTTCAACCACTAGGGCACTTGCCTTTGATCTTCGTCGATACAGGCTCAGACTTGATACAAGACTCATGGAATGACCGTATAGTGTCTGGTGCGTGAGATGTCCCGAGCTCCGCGTTCGCGAGTCGTAGCCGTAAGTGAGCACTCGAGCATTCGGTATTTCTTTCGGCAGCAATGCTTGCAGCCACAGGACATCGTTATCTGCCGTCCACGACTTCTCTCTGTCCCCGTCAAGGCCGTGAACCGCGACGATGCTGTTTGTAGATGCTGTGGTCAGCCTGAGAAGCTCGCAGGCGCGTTGATTATGCTTACTCGATTGATGGGGCTTCGCCCTCTACCAGGCACTTGATACCATATGAGCTTTCTTCGGGAGACGCTGACTCTGGATCGTTCTTGGACTGGTATTCATCGGTCGCGAAGCTCATGTTCTTGATGGAGTCACACCAGATCTGTACTTTCTCATTGCTTGAACAGGTAGACATATCTTTTAGATCGGATTTTGTGAGACCTTGCAAATCCTCTCCACAACTCGAGAAGCCCAAGCTGACTGAAGAAAGGGATGAGCGACTGTTGGAATGTGACACGCCAGTAGGGGCTACACTGGTTACTCTGGATGAACCGTCACATTCTGGCTCAGGTAGTGCCCGTAGGGCAAATTTATGCATGTCTTTTCCGATATGTTCCAAGAAAGAGTTACTTCCCAGGTCGAACTTTGCATCTTTCGCCTTTTCCTTCTTCCAGTCGCCCTCGTAAATCGAACAAACGGGACATCTGTCTAGTTTAGGTTCGTCAAATATCTGGCATGCCGTCAAGAGGTCATTCAGGTACTCTTCAGAAACAGCATCTCGATGGAATGCCCGAACATGTTCACTAAAGGCGCCTTCTTTAGCGAAATTGCGAGGGTCTGGGCAGAAGAAACACGTCCATCCCCGGAAATCTTGGTGCTCCGAGAAGACATGTGTTTTCCACGCTCTGAAGGTATCAAACAAGCGGTTATTCTGTGAGCAGTCCGGAAGGTAGCACGTGTAGGGCTGCAGATCCTCTGAAACATGTTTCCTGCAAACTTAGCATATGAAAGGCAAAGCACAAGAGTCTTAAACTAACCTCCACTGAGATGGCTTCGCAGTCTCTGTCAGAATAGTTAAATTGCAATATGGGCACTCGACTCCGGTATCCTCGTTGAAAAATCTCGGCGGCATTGGATAGTCAACTTGAAGAGCGATCGCTGTCGGCGGTGCAGCTACAGGAATCTGTTCAACCATCGTTCCCAGCGGAATGTCAGGTACGAACTCTGATAACTGATTTGTAGTGGCTGTTGAATGTTGTGAACGAGGCGGGGGAGGCATTTCAACTCTTTCAGCTGGAGGTGCTGTAGGTGTGCTCGTCGGATATTGGATCTCGGTATCTGGGACTTGTGTTGGTTGACGGCGAGAAAGATCCTCCAGAAAAGGTGAGTGAGGTGCAAAATCGTGTTGGTCGATGGGTATCTTCAATTTACCCCGGCGTTCCTTCGCGAATTCAAATCGATGCATCCGCTTGGCATTTGCATTGATGAGCACTTGTTGTTCAAATCGTAACGGGCTCTGTTGCTCAACTGCTCCCTTTGAGGACACTAGCGCTTGAATCTTCTCTTCCGTAGGACAAAGATCGTCCGAGGAAACTTTCACACGAAGGAGGAATATCAGATGCTCCATCAGCGACGAGTAATTGGCTTTGTGCTTCTCAAACGTACGATCAGCGTTGCTCAGACGCGAGGCTGCGCTAGCCTGCCGGATTGCGACTCCCAAAAGGACAAGGAGTCTAAGCAACTGTTCAACGCTGAGCTTTGCTTCTTCTAGGATAACGTCTCGGTCATCTTCTTTGCCTGCGCCTTCGGCTTGTGAAGGGTCTCTCTTGGTGCTGGTCTGCTGGTCTAGTGATACAACATGTGCCTTGGACCCATCTGCAAGATCTCGACACAATGTTGCCCATGCCTCTAGTGTGCTCAATGAGCTGATGACGACGTTCTTCGCCGTAGCATCGTTTCGCAGGCGAAGATCAAGAGAGTTTGGCGCCCTCGCACTTGCTCCAACCCCGGCGTCCCATAGATTGAAGTCACTCAGGCGATTTCGGCCAAATGAGACTTCTTCGGATTTGGTGCGCTGTTAATTCCTCGTGAATCTGGGAAAGCCATGAGTAAGTATTCCTATCTGCGTCTGGTCCAATATGACGATAAGTATAAAAAGACTACCAACGATCGAAGCTTACCTTGGCGCTTCTTAGGCTGATTTCCACCTTTTCGAGCTTCACGAATTGCACACTCTTTAAGCCTGAGACGGCATTCCCGGGTGATCGAGCGTATAGTGATAGAGTGGGTATTGTCCTGAGGAGTCTCCATCATATCAGCAAGTGAAGAATCTAAATGCAAACTGTGAACGAGCTGGCTGGGGATGTCAGCGTTGAAGAAGGTTATCAGTGGGGCATGCGTGCCTTAGACCCTCCAGAATAGGATCAACTCTGCCCGTGCACATTGTGGATTTTATGAAATAAAATCACCAATCAGAGAGCACCATGTACCGGGCGAGACTAATTCCTCTGAGAGGGTCTAAGGGATTTTAGTCGCAGTCTATAAGGGACGGGACTAACATTAACCTAGCATCTCCCTATTTAATGCTACACATCGCCCCTAATCGGCTAGGTGGCAAGGTAAGATTATTAAAGGACTTTAAGATTGATTCCATTGCGTATAAATAAAGGTAATAAACCTGTTTAGAAAGAGACTGGTTACACCAAAAATGCGCCTAAAAGGTCACAGACGCTTCTCAGAGAAATTGGGGGTTTGCCAGGGTAGAGAGGGGTCGGTGCTAAGTTACGCAAGCCACCAAATTTCACTTGAAGCGGCAGGGTTCCGAGATAACGCAGGCGGGGTTCATGGAAAAAGCACACGCATGCTGCATGTAGCTTCGGTGGCGTTGTTGCGTGACCGGTAAGGGTCGGGCATCAGATCAGTGCCTGCCCACTTGCTACGGCCTGCCATCCACTTCTGACACCACGCGAGCAATTCTAATCCCTATACTCTACCTTTCATGTATCTTGATGACGAAGATGATTCCTGGGTCGACGTTCAAAAGTTCTCAGATACTAATAGCAACGCTGCTGCTGATGCTGCTAATTCTGCCCGGCAAGGCGGCTCGCTGGATGGCCTCCGACAGGCAACGAGATACAACTTCACAAGCTTCCACTGGTTCGGTCTCAGGACAGCAAATGCTCAAATGAAGGCTGCTATCTCCCCAAGAGACGTTCGTGTGATGTCTCGTTCGGTTGAATTAGCTCTCACGCTGGAAGAGCTAACACTGCATTCAGGTCAATCGCTACGCACTGGATCATGCAACAAGCATGAAAGTCGAAGCAAGCCTCGCAGGCGAAGATGCCGAAGTCAACGCTCCACTACCGGTCCGAAACGCTGGCTCAGCGGAAGAAAACGAACCAGAACAGTATTCAGCCTCAATGACCCAAGCCCTTCATACTGTCTTCCACAATAGCACAGTCTTGCCTTGTGATTGCGAGCGCGAAGGCGGGCAATTCCGTTTACTCGATACGCATGTTTGTGCGTTGCGATTAGATGGAAAGTTGGGGGTATCTGGCGACAGTAGCCACTGCTTTTTTGAATCGGTTGTTGCAGTTGACGAAAATTATCAATGGAGACACATACAGTTCCAGATACCGAGGTATGGCCGTTCGGATATCGACTATTGAGTCAAAAAGCTCATAAAGTCTCGCAGAACTATCAGTCAGGTTCACTTTGAAGACTCTTCCAGCGACACTAATGACGGCACACTCGGCCCACCATACGAGTTACTGAACGATGTTTGCCGGATTTTTGAGAGCCGCGTTCTTTACCATAGTATCCCTATACGCATTGAAGGCAGTGTACCTAATCACACACTGTATAGACTCAATCCTGAGGATGGAGGTGAAACAATGCATTGAACGAGGTAAGTTATGTATTGGATGAGCATCTATCTAGGCTACGTACGCCGTATATATACTCTGTGTGTGCGGAGGCTTACGTAGCCGTACCGTAGAACTGTGTGGGCTAAGTATAGGAACCGTGTTCTATATCAAGGTAGCCGAGCTAACCGTACCATACTCCGTAGGCTAGCTGGCTAAGAATACGTACTCCGTCAAATCCTGTATTCATAGATGACTCTCCCATGGACTACGCGCCGATTCCGCTGTCGACCGCACTCAAAAACAATCTTCTCTCATCAACAAGCAAGATACAGCTAGCCTTTACGTTATCCAAAGCATTCTGGCAGTACTATGAGTCAGACTGGATGCGAGCAGCTTGGAATTTTCAAACAGTACAGCTCCTTCCCCAGCGCGATGAGGATGAACGCTGTGGAATCGCGACACTGGATTGTGAGGCGGAAGTACCATTCTTGAAAATTGATACAATCTCCCCGGACGGGCCTTTCTTCTCCGAGTACGAGCCGCAAAACCAGCGCATGCACCGTTACCCGTATATCCTCAATTTGTGCCTGCTTTTAGTTCTACTATGCACAGAACAAGGTTCGCCACACGAATCTTCTCCTACGCAGAATCGAATTTATTCTTTTTGTGCCATGAAGATCAAGCACAAGCAGAGCGTATGGCCCGTTATCGAGCTTTCCGACGAACGCAAGAGGAAGTATAAGGAAATCGTCCGCAAGTGTCTGCCTAATCCGCGCGAAGATATCTGCCTCAGTCTTGCGGAGAGACGCGCGTGGTTGAGAGACAATGTTGTCCGCCCTCTGTATGAACTTCTCCAAGACATGCAGTGCTCGGACACGGATGATGCCCCAGAGACAGAAGAAGCGGGCCTCCAAACCAACCCACAAATAGACATGGACGAGATTGCCAAAACCCCAAGGTAGGTTTCTAAACAAAGTCTCGGCACTTGGGCTAAGAAAGTTTCAAGCAACGAATCAAGAAGATGGATCAATAACATCAAATTTTCGCCCATGCAGAGATATATCTGTCAGGAACTGAAAAACGACAAAAAAGGAAGACGGCCAAAAATTGCAATCATTGATACGGGGTATGATGGCGAAGCACGTTGGCTCGATAATCCATTCAAAAATCGACTAAGCCAAAAGGACGAGGCCGGGACAATTTCTCAAAATTGGAAGGACTTTTGGGAGAATAACGATCAGCCCCAAGATGATTCCGGCCACGGAACTTCTATGCTGTATACAGTCATGAATATCGCACCTTTTGCCGATGTCTGCGTTGCGCGTATAGCGGGAAATAGCGAAGATTTGCGTCAGGAGGATTCAAGGACGACTAAAAATCTTGCAGATGTAAGAGATTCTGACTTTGAGGTCCCTTCAATTAGTGACGCTAAACCCGGGCCACAGGCAATTCGTTGGGCTGCGGAAGTCCAGGAAGCGGACATTATATCCTTGTCTCTTGGCTGGGAACAAGAGAAATTGGTTGAGGGACGCTATGTTATAAGCAACGTTATCTTTGATGCACTTGGGAAACGAAATCAAAAGGTGTTGCTTTTTGCTGCCGCCTCAAACTATGGAGGCGGTCGATACGAGCTGTTTCCAGCAAAGCACCCAAATGTCTTCTCTATCCGGGCAACGAATGCGCTTGGCAAACATGAAGACTTCAACCCTCCTTTGCCTGACGATGGCAGCGAAGTAGTTGGAACGCTGGGGGTGGGCGTACCCACGAAGGAAAGGACCCACGAGGAGACTGGCAGGACGGGGACCTCGGTAGCAACAGCTGTTGCCGCTGGGTTCGCGGCCATTGTCGTTGCTTATATCAACATTCATGGTGAAGGTCGCTTATGGGAAGGCCTAAGGACTCACACGGGGTTTACCAGACTACTCCGTGAAGGTATCTCAACGGAACCCGAAGCAAGGAAACGTTTTGTCACGTTGGAAAAGCTGTATGGAAATAATTGGAAAAGGCACTTTGAGTCTTGTCTAGATGGAGTTACTTCAAGACCGAATTAGTCCCTTTACATTTGTCATGAATGCTGCATCATTTTACAAATGTGATCTATCTTATGAGCCACGTCGCGGCCCACGGTGCATTTGAGCAAAATGAGACGGAGGAACTGTATTCTACCGAAGGAGCTGACCAGAGAATCACCCCACACTGTTGATGTACCTTTTAGGCAACCCTTACCAATTTCATGCATGCAGCTAAAGATTTGCTTGACAAGAGTGTGGTCTGAGTGGATCGGAACGTCTGTCTGTAAGGCGAGAGCCGCTGCAGGCTGGCTGTATTCAGTCAGATCAATATGTTGAACGAACGCTCTGCTTCAGCATTGATGGAAGCTGCCATGCACGAAGCAATTCGCTCTGGCAGGCGCCTCAGCCTCCAAAGCTAGTTGGCTGTATAAGGCACGGGAGTCAAGGCGTTCTTGAGCTAAAATTCGCGCATGCCATCACCTCCATACTTCGCTGGTACCACAACATCACTAGATAATACGTTTATCTGTCAGATGCTTGACATACACCCGCGATCAAACCGCGAGTTCTTAGTGCGAAAGAGAGATATCAGAATATGCATTGAACTAGGTCGTCACCTAGAGCGACAGCACCAGTGCCTATCATTCCTTCATAGCATCGACCATACTTCTTCTCCATCCTCAAAGTCTACTTCACGGACCTGACCGTACTCTTGCTGATCAGCAAAGTATACCACATTTTGCTGCGTAACTGTGTCTGCCTCCAGCTCAACATCCTCAACCTTGTCGTCTCGATCCATGAAACCTGCATCTCCTGGATCATATGTCTCGACCTGTACAGTTGGATTTGATCCCCATGGCTATCGCCGTCCTGCCTCCTTGACTTCATGCAACCGGTAGGCGAGAATACAATCGCCTAGGATCTTGTAGGACTCCGCGTTCTCTCCGCCTCTAGTTGCTTCCGCTCTGCCCTCCACAGCGGCATGCTCATTGATATGGCCACCTCCACTCAAGCCACCGTGCATCTCAGCCGTGCGTCGGTTCGAGTACTTCAAGCCTTTGGCAATTTTGAGTCCAGTGACGATGAACACTGGGCCAGTATTCAGAGCTCCGTCGACCTGTTCATCCTTCTTGCGAAGCGCCTTCACATCCGCTCCCGTAGGATTCTGGCTCAAATACCAAGACTCAACTTCGTTGTATTCATACACCGTCCGCAGGCTACGCTCCTTGCTTGCTTCGGCACGGCCTCCGAAGGCCTCGTAGAGTTTCGCGGAAAAGCTAATATTGATCGACCCATGGGCTTCGCGCTTGACGTCTCCCTCGCCGGCGCCGGCACCTTTCATAACGTTCGGAAGAGGGTCAAGGAATCCGATTGTATTCTCGGGATGGAACATGTTCGTGATAATATTGCCGATCTTGATTGGTCCGCCCTGAATATATTCGAGATCGGGCACTCGGAGATAATACTTCTGGTTTCCCTGCGCGGCTGGCATGGTGACCGAATTTGTGGGGTAGATGTGGGCTACGGCGTGTAGATGGTTTTCAGCAACTAGTGCAATGTTTTTGGAGAAAGCTTCTGGATCAGCTCGGTCTGCGGGCTATGATGTCCATTTGTGAGAGCTTTTTGGAGCACGAGGCTGAGCCTGAGCCTGTGCGTCGGTCAAGCTCTGAAGCCTGGGAGCAATCTTCAGCCGTTTGCATAATTTAGAATCTGCGCGTCACACTGCCTAGAGCGGCGCTTGTCGTTGATAAGACAGACTGAGATTTGCCCTCGTGATTGGCCTCTGAAGGTTCCAACTTGGTTCCACGGAGAGCATTATTCAGCTGCTTGCATGTGGTATGGCTTGGGAGTGTGGGGGCTGGGAGAGATCCTCAGCTACATGCATGCAGTATTGCAGGAAGACGTGCCCATCCGCTCAGGCCACACTCTTGTGAAGCGGGAATTGGATATGCTAGCAGGGATGGCCGCCAACCTGTTGATGCCACCCTCTTGTGGAATGGCGAGTTCTGCAGGTGTTCAGTCAGGTGGCATGGGACCCGTTCAACTGGTTCTATCCATGAATCTGTGCTTTTGATCAAGGCTTAAAAACTTGTTCCTTTAGCGCTGTGGCGCTGTAGCATTCTAAAACCTACCTATCAGACAACAAAAGGTGGAAGTTATGTTGCAGCAAGGCATACAGAGTTATCAGCTAAACAGATCCTACCACCTGACGCACCAATAGCAGGCAGGCCGACCCGAACAGTATTCTACGAGTCTGATTAGGCCCACAGCCTCGTTACAAAGGCGAAATTTAGCCAGCGTTGGTTAGAAAGAAGCGGGAGCTTTTGACATGAGACCGGCTAACGGAGCTTTCTAGTAGTAAACACTTACGAGATTTGCTATTCTACCAAAATGTAGTCGGAGATGTCCAAGGGTAGTGGCTCAGCGGTAGGCCCGTGAGCGATAGAGCGGCTCGTCCCGCGATCAGACTAAAGAGTGGTCACAGTGAGTCCCGTGCATGGGGCCGAGCCAGTGGCGAGGTAGTCAGGATAGTGTATTGTAGGTACCAGCGCCAGCGTCCACTTCAACCGAACCCGCCCTGCCGCTCTCAATGATAGGGCCTAGACATCCGCAACGGGAGCATCGCTAACTCTTTCAATCTAGACAGCTTCTTCACCGACTCTTGGAGCGGGGCCCAGGCGGAAATCGTGCTCTAAACTATGACATACGGCGAGGCTGAGGCTGAGTATGTAGTGAGGTGCAGCAAGGCTGTGACTTGAGGTGCGTCGAGGTGGAGTACGGTCGCTGAAATGTCTTGGCTGGGCGGATGTAGGGCGTAACGACGCTCAACGGCCCCCAAACTGTACCTTCGTGCAGCCCCTTCTCGTAATCTGTCGGTGGAAGTCGATGAGAGAGGTTTAATTTGCGATTACTCCGATCACGTGATAACAAGAATGGAGGACAAAAGATGTCGATTCTATATAGGAATCTAGCTAGGCTATATACACGTAGGGAGGGCCCGTGCGGCCCTAAATATTGACTAGATCTATAGTAGGAAGGCCTCCTAGTATAGATCTACACATCACGTGTATAGAAACCTATACATCACGTGTCTAGCCATCACGTGCCCGAATATCAGCCGGACGCTGAGAATTCCACAAATTGGCCGCATTAGCCTTTGCATTGTTACACAGCGTTTATGAAATGCACTAACCACAGGATGCGCGAAGGAGCTGCACAGCATATCATCACGTCCGGTGACCTACCACCGTGTTTTATGAGGATATTACGTCACGTGACATAATCTTGGTGGCAAATTTTATAGATTGGATCACGTGACGGAATCTCCTCGTAAAACACGGCGGTAGCGCGGAAACTGAGTCGATCCCAGTAAACCACCTTTTCTGGGCTAATGTTGAGTCAGCTTGAGGATTGATTGGCTAAGAGGCTGCTATTACCCCTTAAAGGCGTCCGAAAATACTGCCTTATACGGTGATTTTGTGGCTTGATTTTAGCGCTGGGTTGCCGGACGTGAGTGTAATCCTTCGAATCTTTGCTCGCTCGATCGCTCTAGTTATGAAAAAGAAGAGCAGTATCAGACTTCTTGCACGACTTATTAATCGGTATAAGACACCCAGGTTTTGGTGCAATGGCTTATGCGCAAAGCAAAATGCGCGTGTATTAGTACTAAGAAGCATTAGGCAGCAACTCCAATTCACTCTCAGCCTCGATGTTCGCCCATAAGTTCCCATGTTCGATCTTCCCTCTCCATGCTTAGGAAAGCTCTCGAATGAGTGCTGATGCGCTCTGTTATCTGTAGCCGTTCAGGACGTTGCCCTCCGTCATGTCTACTTCGGTAGCAAAATCTTCGCGGCTAAAGCCCGAAATTCGTCTGGCTCAAGCTGTTTCCCAGTTCGAAGGAGACCTTTCAAGCGAGCAGAAAACTGCCTTCCGTACCAATAAGTCTCAATCGCTACATTCCCCTCCAGATCCCTGCGATGTTATGCGACTCACAGCCGAGATTGACCGCCGCGTGTCTGGAAAGGGTGGCGGCCGTTGTTTTGGACCTCGTTTTATGAATTTCGTACAGGTAGTCCAGCAATTTGCTGCGCTTGGGGACATTGTTGTAGGAGGCTCTCAGAATATAATCGCATGCAGCGTCTGGTCGCTAGTGCGGGTGTCATTACTTGTTAGTGTTTCAACCTCCTTGGCTGGTTTCTCTGCTAATCTCATCAAAAGGCAATTGTGAACTTCTCGTCCTACCTCGAAAAGCTTTCGACCCTCTTCATGACCGTTGGTCGCTCAGCACCACGCTACCAAAGCATGGCCATACTCTATCCTCGATCCAAATGTCTACAATCAAACCTATCTGAATACTTTATTGTAGTAGTTCGCCTTTGCCATCAGCTATTGAAATTTACACAGAAGTCGGCGATTCGACAAGTCGTGTCTACCTTAAGCGACTCGGACTTGAAGATGTTTCAATCAGAGCTCGATCGCTGGGCGAATTCGATCAAGGAGGAGATAAACTTCCTAGTGGCAAACCAGGTTGAGGAAGAAGCCCAAGAGAATTTCCACTTCAGGGTTCGATCTAGCAAGTTTTACAAATCCGCATCGCACGAGCAAAAACTAGCCACAAACCTTCGAGTCCTCGAATTCTGCTCTAAGTATGATCAAGAGACGACGTGGAAACAGACTCGAAAAGTCGGAAACACAAACCTCTTCAGTCAGGTCGCCGAATACCAGGACTGGAAAACCAAAGATACGTCCTGCACACTCATATACACAGGCAAATTAGGATCGGGGAAGTCTGTCTTGCTTGCAAACATTGTCGACGATCTGCATATTCACGACGGAGGTAAGGATATTGCAGTAGCCTATTTCTTTTGCAGGCACGACATTGCGGAGAGCTTGAAGGCACAGACAGTTATTGGTTCTCTAGCGCGACAATTGTTACGCACGGTACCAGACCTTGCTATGGTAGCAGATTTGTGCGAAAGGACCACTTCAGCCCCAGATTTCGGAACAGTAGGCAATTTGCTCCATCACGCCTTTCCATCTCATCGTAAAGCGTACTTCGTCCTTGACGGGATGGACGAATGTAACCCTTCGGAGAGAGACACACTGGCTCAAGAACTCCGGAAGCTCCAGAAGACCCTTACGCTCCTTGTCTGCGTTTCATTCAGACTAGATCCAAACACCGCATTGGAATTGAACCCCGAACAGTTTGCTGCCGCTGCTACAACTGCAATCCCCGATAATAACCCTGACATCGAGGAATTTGTTGAGGCGGAGTTAGCGAGATGCCTAGAGTGCAGAAAGCTGGTATTAGGGGATGCTGCTCTTATAATAGAGATACAAGATGCTCTCTTACAGGGATCTCAAGGAATGTTCCTCTGGGTGGCTCTCCAAATCCAGTCCTTGTGTAATATGAAATCAGACCAGGATATCCGCGATGCTTTAGCGGATCTTCCCGAGGATCTTTCAGAAACGTTTTCTCGGATTCTACGGCGATCGGAAGGACCGGGAAAGTCTTACCAGAGACAAATACTACAGCTCGTCACAGCAGCCTACCGGTACTTGACAATAGACGAGCTTCGAGAAGCCCTGAGTGTAGTTCCAGGAGACCAAGTCTGGAATCCTTCAAGGCTCCTGAACGACGTATATTCGACGCTGGCTTGCTGCGGATGCCTCCTCACTGTTGATGAAGAGGAGTCCACTATACGTTTCATACACCATAGCGTCAAGCAGTTCCTCCTGGGTGGTTTCCAAGACTCAACCAACACAGCTTTCACGATGGACAGCGCACAGAGGACGATGGCAGATATTGTTATCACCTACCTCAACTACGGCGTCTTTGGAACCGAACTAAGCACAATGAAAGTTCCACAAATAAGAACAGCCTCAGCGCCGTCTAGCATCATTCTTTCAGCTCTAGGAGCTTCAAGCAGTGCCCGAACTGCATTGAAATTCTTGAAGTCTAAAAAGCGAGCTGACTTTGATATTGGCAAGACTATTGCAGAAGCGCGTAAACCGTTCCAGTCTCATTTGGTGGACGCATTTTTCTTCCACCCTTATGCTAAGACGTACTGGCTACAGCACGCCCCGTACTTCTCGGAGCAAGAGCTAATTATGTGTGACTTTCTACTCGGACTTGTGAAAGGAAAGATCAGGAACTCGACCTTTCCTGACAAAGAGGGTAATACATTGCTCTGGTGGGCGGTTAAAGGGGGTCACGGGGCCGTCCTCAAGCTACTGCTTGAGACGGGCAAGATCGACGTCGAGTCTGCGGATGAGGATGGACGCACGCCGCTATATTGGGCAGCAGAGAACGGCCACGAAGCCATGGTGAAGCAGCTGCTGGCGACGGGTAAGGTCGACGCCAACAACAACAGGCTCGGTCAGACGCCGCTGTTGGGGGCGGCTAAGAACGGGCATGAGGCTGTGGTAAAGCTGCTGCTAGCAAAGGACCAGGCCGAGGTCGACTCCAAAGACAACGAATATGGTCGGACGCCCCTGTCGTGGGCGGCTGAGATCGGGCATGAGGCTGTGGTGAAGCTGCTGCTTGAGACGGGCAAGGCCAATGTCGAGGTTAAGGATAAGATTGGCGGGCAGACGCCGCTATCGGCGGCAGCACGGTACGGGCACGAGGCCGTTGTCAAGCTACTGCTTGAAACAGGCACGGTCGACGTCAACTCTATTGATAATTCTGGAAACCCTCTCGTCAGCCTTAGGGGTTATTCTGGAAACACACCGCTATTCTGGGCAGCAACAAATGGGCATGAGGCCGTTGTTAAGCTGCTGCTTGTAATAGGTAAAGCCGACATGGCCTTGAAGTGTAAGGACGGACGTACGCCGCTATCAGCGGCGGCGCACTGTGGGCAAGAGGCCGTGGTTAAGCTACTGCTCGCGACGGGCAAAGCCAACATTAATTCCAGAGATAGATACGCATCAACGCCACTGGCGGGGGCGGCAAGGTATGGCCATGAGGCCGTTGTTAAGCTGCTGCTCGAGGCGAAGGCCGACGTCAACACCACGGATCAAGGCGGATTCACGCCACTATCACTGGCGGCAAAAATGGGGCAAGAGGCCGTGGTCAAGCTGCTGCTTGAGACGGGCAAGGCCAACGCCAACATCAGAAATAGTGTCGGATCCACGCCGCTATTATTGGCGGCAGAAAAAGGGCACAAGGCCGTTGTCAAGCTACTGCTTGAGTCGGGCAAGTTCGACGTCAACATCAAATATAGTGTCGGATCCACGCCGCTATTATTGGAGGCAAAAAATAGGTATAAGGCTCTTACTAAGCTACTGCTCGAGACGGGCAAAGTTGACATCTACACCAAGGAACCAAGGACAGACGCTGCTGGCATGGGCGGTACAAAATGAGCATGATGCCGTTGTTGAGCTGCTACAATCGCATATCAACCTCCTTGGGTAACATATATCGCCTCATACCCAACCATAACCTGTTACCACCCTCTTCCTATATACTCTTTAGGTGGTATACAATGGATTCAAGGAGGCGATATGTTACAGCAAGTCAGCCACGCTTTCGGTCAAGGGCGGTACCTTCGACTTCGCCTGAAATTCACTAGCCCTGTACTGGATGGTTGGAGTTGGCGTCGACTGATTCAGATTTCGGCTTCACCGGAGGCATCGTATGGATGCTACGTACAGGCCCGCGCCGCGACCAACACCATCCTCAATCCTCCAGCTCTGCCCTTGGATATTCCGTACAGTGCCTGCATTTTCGTTTTTCTTTCATTCAGTGTTCAAGGGTAGAACGGGCTGGTCCCCATTTGCTACAGTCACAATCTCGTTCGAAGGTATTTGCAGCGGTTTCCATACATCTTGTCTTTCCTACGGTTTCTTCAGGAGATATAATGAACCATCTCCCTCTCCCGTCTGATCCTAGCCTCAACCCTGACGTATCCTATTTGTGCACCGAAACCGTATACGGCGGCCCATTTGCCATATGTGATACGCGCTCCGGCTAGAGCTAGACATCCGTAGCCGGCCTGGCTGATCTCAAGCGCACTGGGGAGGACGTGAGTAAAGAGCAAACGACCTCGTTCCTGCAGACTCGGACATACTTTGAACTTCTCAACGAGACACTCAGGGGATGGAGCTCCGATGTTCGGAAGCAATTCATTGCAGCGGGAAAGAGTAGCCAATATAAAATTTCCACCATGCCTAAGCCAGATCGCTCTAGATTGCCGCGAGGATCGAGAGAGATCCGTCGCGAAGCGCTACGGCCTAGGTTTTGGATCGAAATGTTACAAAGACTCCCGGATCTAACCGTACAACCGCTTTTTTGATCGACGTGGCGTGCCCGTGGTGGGCCTGCGAGTATTTGGTTCCAGTATTCGACATAAGCGAGGACCTATGTATCAGTGCTGTGATAATAGAATGAGGAGATTTCGACCGATGAGTGGTGAAAGACTCTGTCCAGGATTTCGGTCGTCTTTCTACAAAGAGTTACAGATCTGACCGTTCAACAGATTTTTATCATAGACGCAGCGTGGACACGGCGTCACCTCGGTGTGGTCGTGTTTTATACCAGATTCACGGCCTGGGAATCGGGGTAAAGTTGGAAAGGTCGAGCTTGAGCTCATAGAAAAGTCATGAAGTACCTTTTCAAGTACATACAGTCTTTCTTCGTACGAAGTAATATATTGAACCGCGTGACAGATGTTATGCAGTCACTACCACGTGCGTATCACATGCACATCACGTGCTATGACGATAGGTTGATTCCTGGCCATACTTAGAGCTCTTGAGGTTGAGTCGCAGGAAGCAGCTTTGCGTAGGCTATGATCTGGCTCCAATTGCTGCTTTCTGTGACCTGTTTTGTTACCCGGGGAGGCTTGCGATGGTTTGGTAGAGCAGACAATCGGGCTTCAGGCTGGGGATGCTAGTGTCTGGTGGCTTAGCGAGTCTAAAGACTGATCGAATTGATGCACTTCCGTCTCTTCTAGTTTTTGGAATGCGATTTGGAGCGCCCTTGACAGTGGTAGAGAAGTGTGCTTGCATGAAACTGATTTGAAATATCACCACCTGGTGTATCAATTACCAAGCTATACCGCTGTAAACCACTCGTAAACGCCAGCACCCAGACGGATTGATAATCCAGGAACTGACCTGCTCCACAAGACTTCGTCTTTTTCGATGCCAACTGGAGACCGATCTGAACAAAGCCGCATTGAGCGAGCCAATCACGGCCATAATCAGAGCTGAATCCCTGGACGGGGACGAACCGAAGCTGCGGAGCGCTGGCGTTGCCACATGCATATCGTTGGCGTCCAAACGCCAAAGCACAAAGATCGAAGGCTTGGCCCACTGTCTGCGAACCTCGCCCTCGGTAGTGACCTTCACTGACTTTCTTCATCTTGCTTCCACATTATCACTATGGACTCAATCGTCTTACACCAGCGTAATCATTTCTTCCTCATATCCGTCCTTGTGAACAAACACCTCCCCTTGCATAAAATCATAGAAATAAGCCTGGCCAACTAATGTGAAGCACTCTTCTTCCGTTTTTGCTCGTCGAATTATCATTGGTACAGATACACCTTTGATGACAACCACAATGTCTCCAGCCCGCGCCTGTTGAGGGACCATTCCGACGTACCCCGTCTTCGTTGTGGCTACGCGCACGTGGAAGCAAAACCGACGGGCTTCTGCGTGAAATTTTTCTGCCCCCATGTTCATGTCTCCGAAATGTTGCCAAAAGGCGGGGAGTGACTCGTCATCATCTTGGTTTGCGTCATTTGGGGGTGTTACTGACTCGCTTTCGACCATGGCGACAACGCGTTTGACCTTTTCAACGAGGTAGCCAGGTTCGTACTGGCATTTTGTGATGTCCATGAATGATTTGTAGGAGTCGGTATAGTCTTCGCGTGCTCTCGGATTAGACTTGGACTCAGGACTGCAGACCATAGTCCTCCACGTGATATTATTGTGATCCTGCTCCGTATATTGTGATGAACGTTTCAAAGAGCGATGGATTTCTTCTGCGATGGAGTATAAAGGAGGCCAATCCGAATGATCTTTCGAACTAGAAGATAAATTTCCAAGAGTATCGGAGTCTGCGTAGGAATGAGCCGTGGACTGACGCTTTTGATCTTTTGCATGCTCGTGAGGTTGATTATTGTTGAAAGACTGCAGAGCCTCGTTGAGTAGTTTCATCATATGAAAAGGACGATTATATCGGTATTTGTGAACGCAACCCGAGGATTCAATCTCGCTGATACGGAAGGCAGCAACGAGGATTTGACCTTGCTGTTTACTGAGATGCAGGTGGGGAATTGGTCCCCCTGCAGCCGGAATGGCATCCAGATTGTACGCTGTAGCCTTCGGGGCTGGATTCTCTGAGGGAAAACTGGGAAATGACCAGTCAGGAACCCACGAAGGCAAGTTCAACGACGGATCGCTGAGTGAGGCGTTCAAAAGAACCTTCGCGCCTTGGCCAGAGCTCATAAGAAACTCAGCCGTCCTGATGAATGTTTCACGGACAGTTTCTGTATAGTCTGGTTGAAATCGACTACCCTTTCCTTCTTTAGAGAGATTAAGTAAACCAAATACTCGGTCCCTTGGGTCGGATGCGGAAGCATATCTCGATATCTCCAGCACCTCAATTAGACCCCATTGTTTTAGTTCCTCTCCCGGAGATTGCATCATCCAGTTGCACATTCCTAGCTCATGCATGAGCGCTACTTGAGAGCAACCCCTGATGTTAGGTTGTTCCCAAGGAAAGTTGACTTCCAACGAGAAGTTAAGGACTGGAAATCGATGGCCTATACATATTACTAAGGCCGAGAAGATGAAATCCGCTGAAGCAAGCCAAGTTCCGCACATTATGTCCATTTTCCTTGCTGCTAGAGCTTCCTGAAGAATCCAGACGCGGAAGAACCAAGGTCGAGAGAGAAACTTGCGAAGTACTTCCCATGACGCATCTTCAGAGGTGGGAAGGCCACAAGGACTCAAAGCCCAAGGCATACAGTGCATTTTTTTCAAATTGGCGTCGTTCAAAGTGAGCTCGTGGGCAGCACATATTCTTGCGAGCAATTCAGGTATCCGCTCGCTGCCGTCAGCCTCATGGCCCAGATATGCTACCACTTTCTTAGCAGTCGAAAAGATGTCGTACATCAATTGGACTTGAGAATTCCGCTCCTGGAGATCCATCTGATTGATACAGACAAAGTCTACCCAAAGCAGACGTGGCTGATCTTCGAGTTGGAGAGAAAACAGCGCGGAGTGGAGATTATCGCTGATTGTGATCATATTGTCGTCTAGCCAAAGGACACGAGATGGAGCGGACTGGCCCCAAGTGTATGATAGGCACTCGTATGAGGGCAGTCCGGCAAGATCGACTTCGATCAATGTACCACATAAGTCCGTCTCGTGGAGTGTACGGCCTAGGTATTTTTTGCTGATTTTGCTGGCGGAGCTTTCGTGTGATTCTGGAAACAGCTTCAGAAGCCTGATTTTCGTCCTTCCCTCGAGCCTCCTGTAAGGATATCGGCGGGCAATAGACAATACATTGCCGTCAGGAATGGAGTATAAAAGAGGGTCTGCGGCGAACGATTGAGCATGGAGTCGGGTAGAAGCCATGTTAGAAGGTGGTTCAAATTATATAGTAGCCAAGCGTCGAATTCGTAACATGCGAATACTTCTTTCCCTTGTCTAGATATGTATCGAGATTAATCCATAACTAGGTGTTAGGCAGCAGTGACAAGGCTGTGAGGTTGCCATGGGCTTATCTATGCTGCATACCTAGGTAAGACTCGGCGCGTTAAGCCACACTAATTTGGGTCTGCATGCCCTCTCTGTATTTTGTCGCATGACAAACACCTATTTATTGGCTCTGGAGGAGTCGGCTAACGAACGTGCTAGTATTTGCCGCCTTTTACAGCGGCACATAATATTAGCATCAGATTCCATATTTATTGATCGTGATATCTTTGCATGTTTACATTTTGTTCTCTTTCTTCCACAGCTGCATTCAGAAGTCTCGGATTCATTGTGTAACCTAACGCAAAACCCGTGGATCCGGTCCTGTATGCTAATTCACGTGGACGTTCTAATTTTGATTGACGCGGCGTACATCACGAAGGGTGACTCAATCTTGTCTGCAATCAACGGCCCTAAGGTTAGATTGTAAGTAGGAAATCGCTATGGATTTTCCTCTGGCTACCATTGATGGAATCAGTCTCTCTTTGCCATATTATGATTCTGGTTCGGAGGCGCCAAAAGACTTCGACTCGTTTGGAAAGGAGACGGCCTGGCCTCAGGTCGGGACCATAGTGTCTGTGGTAGCTTAACGAGTCTAAGCATTGGGCAATCTCACTAGGCTCCGTCTCGTTCGGATTTCTGAAAGCGTGATGGGGTGCCCCTGACAGTGGTAAGAAAAGGTGCTGGGATGAAACTGACTTGAAAAATGATGGCCTAGTATATCAATTACCACGCCATACGGCCGTGAGCATTTCGTAAACGCCAATTCCCAAATGAAACCCTTCCGCTCTTGATCCGTACTATCAGCCCTTGAGAGCCTCCAGCCGTCCCCTCATATGCGCCAACATCTCCTGTTCCTTCGGATCTTCCACCTCCTCCGCGACGCGCTGCACCGAAACGCTATCCACAGGCTTCTCCGCACTCGCCGGCAACCGATCCTTCAGAATCTCGCCCAGTATCTTATCCACCTCCGCCTCCGCCGCATCATCCTCGCCCTCCCACAACTCGCTATCCGGCAAACTATCCCCCACCATCTCCTCAATGATCCCTGCCCGCACCAACTCCTGACTCAGCTCTCTCATAGTGCCCGTCAACTCCGGCAGCCGCACCAGTGAATTCACATCCTTCATAATGCCTGTGCTCGCGCGCAGGCTACCCTCGATCTTGCGCATCGAAAACGCCTCATTGACCTGCATCTGCACGCTTTGTAGCTGGGCCTTGCCCGTCAGGAGGCGGCTGGTCTGCTTCCGGATGCCGATGAGCTGGCGGGCGAAACCGCGGGTCGCGTCGAGTGCGGCTTTGGCTTGCCCGGAGTTCTTCTGGGGGCGCTTCGAGGCTTCTAGGATTAGGGATTTGGCCTTGGTTTCGGCGGCTTTGCTCTGCTGGATCTCGCGTTCGAGTTTGCGGACGTTGGAGCGGACAAGGGCGTTACATTTTCGTTTCTGGATGGAGCAGTTAGTGGTGGTTGATAGGGGAGAGGTGTAGGTGGGCACCTGTTCTTCGGGAGTAGGCTTCCAGAGGAGACCACGGATGGTCTCCATGGTGCACCGTGGGGAGGGTCAGAGGCTGAGGTAGGAGGGAGATATGGCTGTTTTGAGTGTAGATATCGTGAAGTGTGTATACGGTTATGGCGCTGTATGTGTGACTTTAAGGTGTTGCTAGGTAGTGAGACGGGAGAGTTGCAGCAGCCGCCCAGACCACTGACGTTGAGCGCGGGGCAGCTCCGACCTCGAGTCCACAGCGGGCCATTCTGTGCGCAAAGAGAGTGCAAAGCGTGCATATTATTTCATTCTACGCTTCGTACTGCCTTTAACAATTATTCTCAGAGTTCTGACCCCGGAATTGGGGCGCATTTTCTGGCGACGGCGTCACGATCGGCTCGCATTTCGATTGCCTTCCACAAACATCTCTCCAGCCTTGAGGCGCTAGTAAAAGGTGCAGCAGCCCTGCGCCCTCCACTCCTCTCGTCTCATCTGCTTCGACACCTTCCTTCACCAACCACCACTCTCTCACCTACACATCTACACTCGGCGACCACCTGAGCCTCTCGATCCAGCAACAACACAACCGTCTTCCCTGTGTGACGTCCGCCTCCGCCTCTTCATCAATATGGCTTCTCAAACCTTCCACCCCGAAGGTAAGCTCTCTCGCTCTTCTATGTCCATGGCCGCCCCAGCCGTGATCAAGTAATACTTTATGTCCTCATCGCTAATTAATCAAAGTCCTCTGGGCCCAGCGGTCTTCCTCCACCGATGCGGCTAAGAATGTCGTATTCCTCAATTTGATTGCGGCCGACGTGCCACCAGAGAACCTGAAACTCGATTTGCAACCCACCAAACTCACCTTCGAAGGCAAATCGACCTCCAAGGGAATCACCTACCAAGTTGAGCTGGAGTTCTTTGCCGAGATCGACCCTAAGGAGTCCAAGGTCCACCACTTGGGGAGCGGCATCGAATTGGTGCTACGGAAGAAGGAAGTTAAGGAGGAATACTGGCCGCGCCTCCTCAAGGACTCGAGGAAGATGCACTTCCTGAAGACCGACTTTTCCAAAGTGAGTTTTGATTTTCTGGTGCAGAATTAGGCTAACATCCCCGCAGTATGTCGCAGAGGACGAGCAGAACGAGGCGCCCGAAGACGACGAATACATGAACAAGATGAACCCCATGGGCGGCGAGGGTGGCGGCGAAGGCGGCTTCGGCGGTATCGATTTCTCGAAGCTCGGTGCTGGTGGCATGGGCGGAATGGGTGGCCTGGAAGGCTTGGGCGGCATGGGTGGCCTGCCCGACCTGCAAGACCTAGCGGAGAACGGCGAAGACAGCAGCCCGAGCGAGGACGACGACGATGAGATGCCGGCGCTGGAAGGCGATGACGAGAAGCCTGCTGCCGCTGCCACGAAAGAAGCCCCCGCCCCCGCGGCTGCTGCCAAGATCCAGGAAGTCGAGTAGATATTCTGCGCGTATCTCTAGGTTTTGGCGTCTTGAATAGGGACAGCGCGTCTTTCTTGACAAAAGACTGGGTGGGAGTCAAAAATAGGGTAATGGTCTGATTGCAAGTGGCGGTGGGTGGTACATGCTTTTCCGTCATCGTGGGAGACGACTTGGACTGTTGTGGATTGACATTAGGCTTTGTGATATATGCCCTAGCAAGTAGTCCTCTATTGAAAGTCAGATCAATCTCCTCTCGCTTTCTATGATGGTCTAAATGCTTGCAGCTAGTCCTCTATCGAAAGATGTCATTCTCATCTCGCTTTCTATGCTATGGTCTAAATACTTATTGCTAGTTCTCTATTGAACGACGGGCCAACCTCCTCTCGCTGTCTATGCTGAGCCAGATGACTGCTGTAAATGCCCATTCCCAACGCCCCTAACTATACCACCTCTATATCCCGTCCACCACAGGCTTCACATTCTCCTTCTCCTTCTCCCCTCCTATTTCAATCCCATAACTCGCATACGGAAACCCCTCCAACGTCTCCAACAACCGCGCCCACCCATCATCCAACTCCCCCGGCTGCCCCTTCACGCTCGCCCCCTTGACCCTCTCCGCCCCATCCACCTCCTCATCCACATGCGCCCCCGTCAGCCCCGCCAACACCTCCCTCTCCCGCCCTCGATACTCCTCCCGCAGCCCCGGGTGCGGACACCACACCACCTGCATCCCCGCCCGCCGCCCGCTCTCCACCCCGGGCACGCTGTCCTCAAACACAAGACACTCCTCCGGCCGCACCTCCGCCGCCCCCTTGGCCCGCAGATCCACATTAATCGTCTCCAGCGCCAGCAGGTAGATGTCGGGCGCCGGCTTGCCGCGGCCCTGCGCGATGCGCGGGTCGTCGCCGAGCACGCGGTGGCGCTGGGCGAAGACGGCGAAGAGGTCGGCCAGATGGTTGGTTTTGAGGTGGAAGTTTGCCTCGTGCGAGGAGGTGGCGAGGGCGAGGTGGGCGCGGGAGGTCGAGAGGGTGCGCAGGAGGGCGGGGACGCCGGGGAGCGGTTTTGTGCTGGGGAAGTGCTGGCGCTGCAGCGCGGAGATTTTGGCGGTGAAGTCGGCGGGGGTGATGGGGAGGTGGGCCCATTCTTGGAAGATGCGTTGGGACTGGGAGGGGGGTTTAGTAAATGGTAGGGTTGGAGAGGGGGTGAGAGGGAGCTACTTCGGGGCCAGGGCGGCCTTGGAGTTGCGCTTTGATGCTCCAGGGGAGTTTGGGCCGGCCGTATTCGGCGAGGACGGCGTTGGTGCAGATCGAGTAGAGGTCTTCGGAGTCGATGAGGAGGCCGTCCATGTCGAAGAGGCAGGCCCGTATGGGTGGAGGAGGACTATGGTGGGATCAGGTTTTGGGGGACAATTGGCTTTGGAGATGCTCTACGTACCTTGAGGATGGAGACATTTTGTCTGTGACGATATGGAGTGATATGGAACGGAAGTTGGGACGGTAATGATCGTGTATGGTGGTGAAGACTCATGAACTTCCTTCAAAATAAAATTTATAGTAGTTACAACCATTCACCATTCGTACAAAGTATTCCGAGTTTCGCACGGGCCCCCACCTTTCAGGGACGAACTGACGTCGCCAGGAAGCTCTCGACAGCTTCAACAGCTACCACAAACGCCAGAATGGATCCTCCTTCAGAAACAGAGCCCTCAAAGACCGGCAACACCCTCAAACCAGAAGCAGACGAAGAACCCGCCTCCGTCCGCTTCTCCCCCAAAGAAGAAGCAGTAAATAAAGCCCCACCATCTTCATCAATACATTATCTGACCTCGCCTTGAGTCCCTCGTCGCAGAATCCGCCACCGAGAAAACAACCGCAAATGCCTTCTTCAGCAAAGGCGACTTCTCCTCCGCCATCCAAGGCTATAATAAAGCCCTAGGCGTATGTCCCACCTACCTCGATTACGACATCGCTGTCCTCCGCAGCAATATCTCCGCATGCCACCTCAAAATGTTAGATTGGAAAGCTGCGATCAGCTCCGCGACTGAGGCGTTAGAAGCGCTAGATCGACTCGATCCTCCACCTCAGAAACCCAAACCTGGCGATGATACCGCGGAGGGAGTGGTCGAAGAGGTGGACGATGACACAGCTAGCAAGATTGAGGCGCTAAACCGCAGCGGCCGCTCACGGGATGACATACAGAAGCTCCGCGCAAAAGTACTTCTTCGGCGCGCAAAAGCGCGACAGGAGACGGGTGGGTGGGCGTCGTTGCAGGGCGCGGACGAGGATTACAAGGCGTTAGCTGCTATGCCGAACCTGACCCCGTTGGATAGGAGAACAGTACAAGTTGCGCTGAGGACGCTGCCGCCGAGATTGGAAGAGGCGAAACAGAAGGAGATGGGCGAGATGATGGGGAAGCTGAAGCAGCTGGGGAATGGGATTCTGAAGCCTTTTGGGCTGTCGACGGATAATTTCAATTTCGTGAAGGATGAGTCGTCGGGTGGGTATAGTATGAATTTCGATCAAGGGAGGTGAGGGTAGGATGGGCTTGGTGAAGATTTGGATCCTGGGACAGGTGTAATAGCATAGGAAGGTACGAGCCAGGCTTCGGAACAGTTATGAGGGCTGATCAGGAGAAGAATGCTGTCTCATATACCCAACTGGATTAATGAACGCAGCAGAGGCTCTAGTAGAGGCGAGCACCAACGATTCTACCATAGAATGGTGCAGTCGAGCTACATCTCGAAAGTACGAATGGAAAGTCAAACGTATCCCCAACGACTTCTTCCCGCTCATTCTCGTCACGCAAATCGTTTTGTCGATTTATAAGAAGGTGTACCGCGTTTCTGTCTTGCATCGAAATTCACGCACGTACTTTCTTTCATACCACATAGCCTCAGCGCATTTCCTTCCACTACAATCATGCCCCGCTTAGACTACGAGCAAAATGTGTGCCTGCATTGCAAGAACTATCACTACGTCGTGAACCCAGGCGCAGAAGCCAGCATCTTTGATATCCTACAGACGAAGCAGTCAAAGCTTGGAGAGGACAATGAGGCTATTCTTTCTGTGGAAGTGCTACAGAGCCATACGCAAGCGCTCAAATGCCAGATCGAGATTGAGAAAAAGAAACACCAGGCAACGAGAGACATGGCGCAAGAAAGAATGGATGCGAAAGTCAGCGACATAAAGAGGTTGCAAAACGAGATCGATAACGGCAAAAGGGAGCTGGAAGCTGAGAGAGCAGTCTGGAAAGCGGCGAGGCAGGACATCCTTAACACTTTGAAGCAGATCAAGAAGTAGTTAGGAGGTACTCTGTGTAGAATCACGGTCTCGGAGGCGCTGATAATGGGTTCGATATTGAAGGACACGGAAAGCTACGAAGTTTAAAGAGAGTATCTTCGATCAATATACAACAATACCATTCCTTGATCTTGAATAATCACGTGCGCCCCACTTTCCCCACAATATCTAGCCCTACGGCGCTAGCCACCACGCGACGCCTAAATCTTAACTCTATCCAAACATTTCCTCCAACGCTCACCACAATCCTCAGCACCCACGATGGACCCCTCCAACCCGTCCTCGGCCCCACCGTCGCGGACTTCAACCCCAAACCCAGCCACCGCCTCGCGCTTCACCTCCCAAGCCGCCACCGCCGAAGACCTGCTCAAAGAACAAACTGTCGGCCTCGTACACCTCTCCGACTTCCGCAAGCGCCGCGCTGAGGCCCTCGACCGAAAAGACAGAGAGCGCGCAGATGCAGCTCTAGCCCCGAAGTCGAAGCAGGGGACGCCGAGCGCGTCTGGCGCGAGCACGCCTCAGGACAGGTAAGTGATGCTCGCTCCCAAGCTATGCAATGGAGTGGAGCTGATTGTAAAAGTACAGAGCATCGACGCCGCGGCCCCTGAAAAAGAAGCGGAAGGATCCTGCGAAGGGGAAACTGTCGTTTGGGTTCGATGATGAAGAGGACACGGGCGAGAGTGCCGTGCCCACGCCGCGGTCGGCTACGCCGAATGAGCAGGGCGCTAGCGATGGTGCGGAGGAGAATGGGACTGTGGTCAAGAAGAAACTGGGTCCGAATTCGGCGGTGAAGTTTGTGCCAAAGGCGATGTCGAAGTCGGCGTTGTTGAGGGAGGCGCAGACGAGGGAGCAGTTGAGGAAGGAGTTCATATTGATGCGGGATGCGGTGAAGGCGACGGAGATGCTGCTCCCGTTTGTGTTCTATGATGGGACGAATATACCCGGGGGCGTGTGTCGGGTGAAGAAAGGGGATCCGATATGGCTCTTTCTGGACAAGGCGAGGAAGGTTGGCGCAGAGACGGGTGGTGGTGGTGGGGATAAAAGTAGGAGGGAGTGGGCGAGAGTTGGTGTGGATGACCTGATGCTTGTGAGAGGGGAGATCATAATTCCGCATGTAAGTGGAGGTGCTATTGGCTTTAGAAGAAGAGTATGAAGCTAATCTGAGACAGCACTACGAGTTCTACTACTTCATGGCGAACAACACAATCGGTTTCAACGGGCCCCTCTTCAACTACTCGGCACAGCCGACAGCTGCGACACCTTTATCGGACGATACGACGCCCATAGACCCTGCTACTTTCGACCCTCTAGCGCGGCCAGAGAAGAAAAAGGAGAAGAAATCTGCCATTCCAGACTCCGAGCTGGAAGGCAACACTGAAGACCCTACTGTGACCAAGGTGGTGGATCGACGCTGGTATGAACGAAATAAGCATATCTTCCCGGCGAGTGTGTGGGAGGACTACGATCCAGGCAAGGATTATAGCAAGGGGCATAGGAAAGACACAGAAGGCAATTCGTTCTTCTTTTCATGAGCGTAATATGGACAGACTACCTGCGATTCTGGCATAAAGCAAGCGGTGAGTAGAGATGTTTCTGATACCCAGTTCGCATACAATGGCCAAAAAAGCCCAATCACGCAAACACTATCTCTCCGTGATAAATTTTCCGCTCCGCTTCCCAATCATACTCCCGCTCAACTCGTAAATTCGATCCGTCTGTATCCTCCGAAGAGAATTCCTGTGGACTGGTCGTTGTAGATGAGGCCGAAGACCCTTTCCAAAATTATCTGCACAGAGCAGGCCGTTTATGAGTGTGGTAAAGGCCAGCAATATAGTCATGGCGCCAAAAGTTGTTAGGGAGCCGAGGCTGGGTCTCGTTTCGTCTGTCACGGTTTGGTAGGCCCTAGCAAGTTTGAATGGGAAGTATGCGATGACAGCTAGCTGAAGAATCTACAAGGAAACATGGGCCGGAAATTAGAGCTGTCGGATCTAGACTTGGGTGTACATATACGTACCGCACGCCATAGTGCCCCGATGCTTGACTCTCTTCGAGTATAGTAGGCAGGAAGCATTATAATCGCTATGAGAATGGGCAGTGCAGCCGCAGTTCCGTAAAACTCATTACTTTGCACAGACCTAGGAAGCAGCAGGAACTGGATGTTGTACGCAACAAAAAAGAAGAAGTCAACTTTCAAGATAATCAAGTAAATCTAATGCAGGTTGTCAGTGGTTGACAAGGTGGAGTAGAATTCAGGCTAATCCTGGTAGACCTACTTGGAATGTGAGTTACCGTCTTCTAAGCCGGAGATCCGCGGCAATGTACTTCACTATCGACCAACCATAGATGTGGTATAACCTGTACGTAAAGAACCCAAGTAAGAGGGTCGCTAAGGACACGACGGATATGACGATGTCTAGCATTACGTCCATCCTGCGAGACAGACCTTCTGGATAACCCTGGATTTCCTCGATCGTTTGAAAGACGGCGTTGAGCTGATTCCGTTGAAGGACCGCAAAGTAGACGATCCCGAAATTATATATGACCGTTGCGACTAGCTGAAAACAATTCTCCAGCCTGATTGCATCCCAGGTAAAGACGAGCTGAGGAAAGAATCCAAATAGGAAGACGGATAGATCACAAGCCACTGGAAGGAGTATATCGGCATTGTTTCCGCCATCGAAGACCAAGAGCGCAGGCTTATTAGCTTCACGTAAGATATGTCTGGTTGAGCGATAGAATTTTAGCCTCGAGCACTCAAAGTCGAAAAGCGTTGCCTAATCAGAATAATGCCTACCCTTGTATTCCTAGCACCACGGCTGTTTGGGCAAGCACAGTAACTATAAAAAATGCTGCCGAAACTGTTTTGAACATGGAACGGCACCAGCGTAGCAAACGAGGTAAACAGATCTTCAATGCTCGCCTGGAGATCGGACCCTATGCAAAGACACCAAGGAAAATCCTACTCTTAGAAGAGCCAGTCCACTGCTCCCGTGCACCGGGGCGAGGATTCCTCGGCGCTGGCGCCATCTTTTCCGTTTCCGAAGCCACAGAATCCATCCTCCAGCTCATATACGATTCGCCCATCGTATACGGCTTGTGGAAAGGCGTGTGTACCGAGTCGGCATTCACTGGTTGCGCCACAGCCGTCTCGTCTGTAGCATTCACTAACGCTGACATCCTTATCAAATCCGGTGAGCCGTCCTCAGCTTCGCTTGCCACACCACAGATATCTCCTCCTGGCCCAAACCCCACTTCAGACCCCCCCTCAACCTAGCCCTCTATACAACCTCCGCACCCATCCTCCGCCTCCTCATCATCTACCCAATCTATGTCCTCCTCCTCACCCTTCTCATCACCTGCTTCGAAGCTAAGGTCTTCAGCATCGGCGTCTTCGGCGCGATCTTCGCGATCCTCACCGCTGCTGCTTTGGCAGCGCATCTAGTACTTTATTTTCAGTACTTACGGAAGAGGATTTTGTATATGCAGAGTTTCGATGATCAGCTCGACCCCAAGGAGGAGTGGTGGGTTACAGTGGATAAGTACATGGTGAAAGTGAGGTGGTGGAGGGTGCCACTCCAAATTGCAGTTTTCAAGATAGTGGTCTGCTGCGTGAAAGCGTGGAAGCCGCTACAGAAGGACGGTGTTTGGTTCTCGGCGGCGGAGCAGAGGGAGGGAGGGGTGGGGCCTAAAGACTTGACTAGGAACAGTGGTGGAGCGGTGCCGGTGCGAGGAGAGGTTTGATGTGGACTTGGTTAGGCTTGGTCGGATGGATCGAATCGGTTGTGCGCCATCTATAATCAATGTATTTCCTTCTTGGTTCGGACTAGACTGAACACGACCACAAAACCCAGATAAGGGTATGAATTTACTATCAAACAAGCTGCTCATTCTCAATGGAACCAGGATAATATGTCACATGACACATATATCAAGCCACGGCCGAGCACACGCTACACTATCCCCTCTAGCACACAGAAACCCCCCCGTCCAAACCTATCAGCATAACCTCAATCCCATCCACCTGAGTCCCTCGCCTACCCCTTCGCAACAGCAAACGGACATCCCCCCCTCCCCGCTGCATACAACTTCCCCTTCTCCATTTTGTAATGCTCCAGCCCCTTGCCCTCCATCTTCTTCGGACCCACCTCATGAAAATGATAGCCCTCGGGCTTATACTTACCACCTCCGGGAATCGGGCGCCCAGCTAGCCAGCGGACCCAGGCTTCGAGGCTCCAACGGTTCCCGAACGTCTCGGGGATGTACCAAGGCTCTGTTTCGTAGAAAGTGCGCTCATAGCGGCCGGTGCTGTTAGGCTCCTCGGTGAAGGCTCTGAAGCGGAGGAAGTAGGGGCGCGGGAGGAAGAAGTTTTTGAGGAGGAATTTGCGGGCTGAGAGGGCGAAGTTCTTGACGGCGTGGTATGGAGCGGGTGCGGCGGGGTAGCTGGATTGTGCGTTAGTTGTCATAGTCTGGGTGTTTTGTGATTCAGAAGGGACTGATTTAGAGGGGAAGAGATTTACATCATCGCCTTCCGCAGCCTCTCGTCCATCATTGTCGTCACCAGCTTCTTTGCCGGGCCCTTTAGGAAGCCAGGGAGGTTGTAGATCAGGATGGCGGTTGTCTCGTTAGCGAGCTTGTGGTTGTAAGGGTCTGGGATTAGATTCTTTTGCTCGTAGTCCTCGACCCATTCTGCGAGATCGTGGGCGAACTCGAGTCCGTCTTGGAAGTTGTTGGGGCCATGCTTGAGAGCTGATAAGTCAATGCCCATTGCGTCGCCAATGTTCTTCCATTGAGTGCCACTGTCCTCAATCAGCGAAAAGGTTGACAGAAAGAGGTCGTGGACGTACAAAGCACAAAGTTCCATATCGGTGAGTGGTCGCCATTCGTAGTTGCGTATCCATCGATCGGTTTCGAGAACGAACAGTGCCAGCGTGTAAATCATGTCGTCGTTGGAAATTTTACCGGCCTTTCGATAGCCCCTGATAAACCCATCAGCATTAGAAAAGTTTCTGGAACGAGCGCTGGCTCACTCGTGAAGATAGTTCATCCTGGATATCGCGGAGATTGCCCGGTCTGAGTCGGGGGCGTTTCCTACGAATTCGTTGATGAGGATGGCTGTGTCGGCATATCGCTATAGAACTGTTAGCAATTGAAAGAGTTCCTGGTTGTATTGCTAGAGAGTACCCTGGAGGCAAAGACCGGCTCCGCAAGCTGCTTTGTTTCGCAAAGAGTTTTGCTGATCGTCGGTACACCGTATGTCCTGTGTAGTTAGGTCAACGAAATTGAATACATCCAACGAGGTTTTGGTAGCGGAAAGAAAAAGTGACGCTTGAGCCAAGTACTGTTTCCCGAGAGATAGAGTCATGGGATGAATGAAGATCGATGAGATACGCAAATGTTTTAGACCCACCGAAATAGAGCAAACTGCGCCGCCTTCTCGCTCGTGAAAGGAAACTCCAAAGAGAAGACGTATTTTCCGATCTCATACGCATCGGTAGCAGTCATCTTAGAGTAGGACTCCCGAGTCTTGTATGGGTACTTGGCATGCTTTTGTTCCATTCTTCGAAAACGCAACATCCGACAGAGCAGAGAATAAGAAACAACTAAAGCAAGAGCGCTGATGGGCCATAATAGAAGCTTCTCAGTGGGCAAAGAGAAGTTGAAAGGCAGTTTCTCGGAAATCGATGCCATATCTGATAGTAGTGATGGCAGAAGTGGCAGGCGGGGAAGAGAGGGTCTACAAAGTTGAGATGGTAACTATATTCTAATGGCAGGGGAAAGACAGATGCCTGGGAGAACAACGCAGTCCATACCAAGGAAGTAGGTACACGGGTGGCCTGGTTACTTAGTAACAAGGTCTCATCTTGCGTGAGACGTGCTGGCCTTATGTAACCATGTTTGGTGGCGTGCGGAGATATCTGTAGCTGACGTCCCGTTCCCCGCGCCATAGAACATCAATTCCATCCGACGCCGAGGCATGCGCCTTCATATGTTAGTCTCTTCCTCGCAAAGTTGCCTGTTTCGCGACCATCTTCGGCCCTCTGCCTGTAATTTCGGACGATCAGGGGACTCGGATGCCCGCAACATGCCTCCCTAGCGTGTCTACAGGGCTATGCCGTAGCCGTACTGTGGGGGTGGGCATAAGGTGGGTTTAGTTCGCGCTGATGCCAAAACGATGTATTGCAGGCTTCATCTCCAACCACTGCCCATCCCCGCGACCTCTATATCCCATTTGGCATCAGCATTCCGTCCATTTGGACCCCTACAATGGCCACTACGCTAAAACCATCAATCATGTCCGACATCTCCGGTCTTCTGCTGTGATAAACCTCGCATGTGGACCCAGGGCTTTCCATCCCATCGCGCCTACCGACCTCGGGTTACCTAGACATCTCCTCGTGTCGTATCATTAGACCACCAAAACTGCGCAGTCTGGACACTGAATTAAAGCCGACATCATGCTCCGACACCATGCCCTTGCGCATATGAAGACTCTTCTTTTCACGACGAATCCCGACAAGAGACAACGCTTATATCAAAAAAATTTATCAGGGTATCCGAGTAGACTCTCATTTGGCGATTGCCTTTCTAGCAATTGTGGGATCAGACACTCGAGCAATCTGTTCAGTCGGACCAGTTGTAGTTGGGGCTCGTTCACCTTTACCATTCCATGTTGAAAGCTATAGCGTGATGTCGATAGGCCAGCGACCGCCTCCTAATGAGCAGCTGCAGCTACTCAGCTCCAAGCTTTCAGATACGAAAGTTCGTATCAGAGCTAATGTATTTCTTGAGTAGCATTTTCAATTCTCGACCAGATGCCCTTACCTGGCGCTATCAGTACCTCACTTGCGCGTCTCACCATCACGCCTTTCACTAATGTGGCCTTCACTCTAGTATTTAAATCGCATCGGCCGAAATTCATGTTTAGAGTTGGTATAGGTGAAAGATACGGGCAAAGGTTATGGGCGACATATGAAAAACCCTACGTATGAGTCGACGCCGACGCCGCCGCCGCCGAAAATACTTCTGCCTCCCTTAAAGCCTCTCGAAAATCATGGTCTTCATCATCGCCGCGTACGGGGTCAAGTACGTCTATGAGATTTCACATACTTTCAGCATCTACGCAGTCACGTGACCTGCCCGTGCGAGATCCCGTGCGTCGCGTTTCTCCGAACTTCTTCACGCCGAAAAGAAGACTTGGCGACGAATCACACCCTGGATTAGCGCCATTCCGACTCGAAAGTCAGTTCCTGACGCGAGCTGTCTACAGCTGCTACATTTTCACCGCAATGGCGCTGTCAATACGTATTGTGGCCCTTAGCGTGAGTGCGAACGTTTGAAGCGCGGCGGCCAACTTTCACCAAAAGAAGATGGCGGGCGACCTCACTCTTGAGCTTTCCAACAACCTCCTTCTGCCTCTCATGAACATCCTCAGGATCCTTTTCACAGCAACCACCTACTTCGACCCACCTATCACCCATTTTGACATCGCTACCGCCCGCCTCGAAGCGTGCAACCCTCCACCTCAACTTCCGCACCGCAACGCGCTTTCTTCGATAGAAGATCCTTCGTCCTGCGCCATGGGGAAGAAGGTGAAAAGGGCTGCCGAAGCAGTTGACAAAACCAGACGTGCGACATCATGCAACCATCTACTGCACCCTAGCGCTCCCAATATCACCGAAACCTGTCCAGTCTGCGAGCTTCGATCGAAAATGACTCACTGCGCCAAGCGCGAAGCTGAGCTCAAATGTTGGACGCAACCCTCTGCCAGATACGCTGGATATCGCCGGGGCACGCGAGCCGCCAAACTTGCTGTCATTAGAGAGATCGGCAAGTGCGAAGAGCAGGCAGCGCTGGAAAAGGAGTGGGAGGACCGTACCCCCGACACCGATCCGCTGAAGTGGCTTCCTGGCGTTCACTCGGCCCAGCTTGCTCTGGCTTTCGCTGATTCCGAAGGATACTTCGTCTCCTGGCCGCCGGGCACTGGACAGGATGCGACCAAGCCCAAAATTACCACATCCAAACCTTGGAAATCCAAGAAGAAGGCAATGGTGGTGAACCCTACGAGAAAACCCACTAGCAAGATCATACAGGTCACCGAGCAGAACGAGAAGCCAAAGCGCAGGGTGTCTTGGGATCCCGATCAAGAGCATCGCTCGGAGGACCTCTACCGTAGTCCTGCTTTCTACCACCGGAAATCTACCTGGTATAAGCCGGGTCCTCATGCCACTCGAAGTATGGAAGGATACCAAAACACTAGCTTCCAGAAGGATCCCACCTACTTCAGCCGTGAAGAAATAGAGGCTCGAAAGGAAGCAGAGAAGCGTTCAGCTTTGACAAGTACAGATGATTCAAATTCCGAGGGGCCAATCGATGATCTCCTGGACCAGGAAGACGACGACGGTGAGTTGGAAGCGACTACAGCTCAGATGGATAGTGCCACTCTTGAAGATCCCGAACTTAGAGAGGCCAACATGACGCTAGAACAGCTGAAAGCCGACTTGAAACGGTTGGAAGAGAAGTTCGGGCCCAGACCGGAGAATTTGGCGGAGAAAACACACGGAAGGTGCCAGGAGGAGGACTCAGAAAGCCGAAAACATGCTCCGACCCCTTTGACTATGGAAGCACTGGCCGAGCTCAACGGGAACAAGAAAGGACTGATATCCCGATGTAGAGACGACGACCTAGATACTCAGTGCGGCTCGGATAGCTCTCACGACTCGGACAGCGACCGCGACTCGGATGAGGACTTGGACCGAACGTTATTGGATATAAAAGAGAGCGTTGAATCTCCCCATGACGAATCAGACCCGGATATATACGGCGATATCGTCTCACACCTGCGACAACGAAGCGACGACGATCCTCTTGTTGACATCGAAAATGAGACTAGCTACTCGGAACCTTACAAATACAATTGGAGGGTCCCATCCGTAACGCCACGAAGGGCGTCCTCCCCTCCTCGAGATCTACCTAGGGGAGGCGACCTGGAGGCACTCCACAACACGACTCCGATCCATAACCTGAACCCTAGAGCGCCGTCGTTCTATCCCAATTACCAACGCGCGAACACCTTCAGCAGTATGAATGCGTTCGACTACAATTATTGCAACCTTAGGCACTTTTAGGTGAAAGACTATCAATATCTCGTTCTATGCGGTCAAAATCTGACGGCCAACTGTGGTCATTGGCCTCGCGCTCTCAGCATGTCGTCACGACGCAACGGATGACGAGCAAATCTTATGTCTTCGGTTGATTGCTTAGCTTCTTTGGTATATGCTACCATAGGTTAGTATGTAGTAATGGAAGCGTCTTGAATCTGAGCTTCGGGAATAGGATCCTGGTTCATCTCAAGCAGAGCCCTGGGGGCTTCTGCAGTAGTTAGCATTTCTTTAAGGAACATGTTTGAATCGAACATGGCTGTATACTACATACCCTAAATGCAGCTCACTCTACTACAATGAATATGTTTACAAGTTTCCAATGCTTAAGTCTGGGTGAAGCCAGTCTCATAGTATAATGCGTGACTAACCTTGGAAGCTGCACCTGAACAAAATTCGACCAATCAGCTAGCCCCACGCCAAACGACACCTCTACGAAAATTCCTCTCCATCCTCCCAAATCTCACAAAGCTAACGCCAATCTACGAAAGAAAAAAACGGTGGATATAATCCGAGCATGGCAGAAACCGACGATATCCTCGCCTCCGTACGTAACTTGCTGCATCTCACTTTCCACCGTCATTCCTTTTTACTCTCCTCGTACTCTCTCTCTCGGGTCCGGTTCCCATCCAATTTGGGCCCCACTCCGCCTCGTTCTCCCCTCTCAATTTCCTTCATTCCTCTCATCTCGCTCGAATCTATCTTTCTCAGTTCTCTCCATCTTCCCCGATCTCTGTCCCTTTCTTTCTCCCTTTCACCACGCCTCCTCCTCCCTTCCTTTTCTCACTACCCCCTCCTCCCCCTCTCGCCCTCTCCCTCCTTCCTCCCAAGCTCATACCCCCGTCACAGCTCCAATCTTCTCTCCGCAACACTCTCGCGACCTTCGGGCCCGAGAGCGTGCAGTACAAGAGCACAGCGAAAGTCATGGACGAGTACATTGCTCACAAAACTCAATCTCAGCTTTCTACTGCCGTAGGGAAAGGCAAGGAGAAGGAGACGCAGGGTCCGATGTTCACGCTGGCGCATCGGCCGAAGACGGTGGGGTGGCGGAAGTAAGGGTTCGGATGAGGGAGGGAGGGGGAGGGGGAGGGGGAGGGGGGAAATGGGGGTTTGAGGTGTGGTTGGGAGATGCCGATGAAAGAAAAGCGAAAGAGCGAGGGCGTGAGGGCGATGGAGTGGGTGTGATGAGCATATCTGGAGACCGTCATCCGGGTAATGAAGGACGGTATGCGGCTGCAGTGGGGAAAATTCATTGCATTCTTTTCGACTTTGCTGTTTTCACATGCATAGCATTGCGATGCGCGGGTTGCTGAACACATCAAATATCAATGGCGGACAGATTCTCGATATCTATATTCCACACCTAACCCTTCGCCAACCTCGCCCCACCCCTCCTCACTCTAACATAACCCTCATCCCATCTGCCCTCTCCAAAACGGCCTCCTTCTCCACCCCCTCCACCCTCCCAGTGCCCCCATCCGCCCCCAAAAACAGCACCGGCACCAAACTATCCGCCCACATCAACCATCCCCCCCTCGCACTCATCCACACCGTCCCCCCAAACGTCACAAACCCCAGCACCCACCGGCAAACCAATCCACCACCAACTCACCCTTACATGCACCACCCTCTCCCAGGCTTCTCCCCTGGCCCCCAGCGTCCCATCCCCCGCCCCCGCCGCCTCCCGCATCCTGTTCCTCATTCGCCGCCGCCACCAGCTCCACCGCACAATCCACGCTCGCCCCCGGGATCCGCACAGCCCGAGTTGCTGAAGTTGCCGTACCAGGAGCCTTGGTAGAGGGATTGCGTGCTGGCGAGGAAGGAGAGGATGCCGGATTGGAGGTAGGAGCCGTTGAAGTCCTGGCTGAGGGGGTTGGCGAGGCCTTGGAATGCGAGGGAAGAGAGGCCGTAGGCGTGGGGCGAGAGGCCCCATCCCGAGGTGTTTCAGTTGGGGGAAGGGGGTGAGGGGTGAGGATGTAGACATCCGCGTCGCAGCCGCCGCATTCGGGGGTCGGGGTGAGGGCGACGTCGCTGGTGAGGCTGGTGCCGAGGACCCAGGTCTGGAGGATTTCTTCGGTGTAGGGGGAGCTTGAGGCGGTGGTGGTGGGGGCGCGTTTGACGGTGGGTTTGTAGGACTTGATGGACGGGGAGAGAGTGCAGTTGGAGAGGTGTAGGTGATTGCATTGAGGTCGCGGTAGCTGTTGTTGCCGGTGTCGATTTGCTTCGGATCGACGTTGAGGTACATAGATAGGATGATGATGGGGCCTGGGTCTGAGCCGTCGACGAGGGTTTGGATGCGGAGCATTTGGCCGTCGATGGGCGAGCCGGCGTAGGATTGGTAGGTTATGTTGAAGGGGTCGCTGGGGCTGTAGAGGCTTGGGAGAGATAGGATCCAGTCGCCTGTGTCTAAGTTATGGGTTTTCTTCACGAGTGCGGTGGTGTCGGTGCAGGAGGAGCACATCCCGATGCTAGCTGTTGCGTTCCAGGTGAAGTTGCCGGAGGTACAGATGTAGTGTGGCTCCGCCAACGACTGGCTGGAGCCGGAGTTGAAGAGAGCACTATGCACATTCCCTTTGAGCGCTGGGTGGGCATTCGCCTCTACTTCTACGTTAGTAAGATAAGGTGTGTATGGCTTCCGGACTCACCGATCCCAAACACGACATTGGAGCCCGTTTCCATGTAGACGGTATCGTTGGCCACATAGGCCAATTTAGAGGGCGCTAGATCGCTGTTGCTGTAGTATACAACAAGATTTGGATGAGTGGCTCAAAGCCCATGCCTAACAGGATACCAAGAGCGGCCAGAGATGCGAAGTGTCTACGGATCAATGGATTAGCAGCAGCTTATCCTCTGTGAGTTCCGAGATCCGTGTCTCCCGCCTTGAACTTCCCGTTCGAGTCCTTCGGCATCAGCTCCTCGCCTCTTGCAAACGACGCCGCCAATGCATCAGCTAGAGATCGATGTAGTCGACCCTAAGGTCTTTCAGCAACGCATGAGCCTCCTTCTGCACATCCTTGGGGTAATAGCTATAGTTCTACAACTTAGTCATGATAAAGATATTACTGCGGGGAACGCCGGAGTGCTTAATAGCCGCACTAACTGCAGGCTCCGTACCGTAGATGCGTACAGTATCAATGTGATGGTAGCCGGCTTTAAGGGCAGCGATGACGGCAGGCTCTTGTGCTTCATTGTCCTGCCAGGTAGCAAAGCCAATGGCTGGGATGGGAGCGCCAGTGTTTAGTTTCTGGATAGTGGGTACTATTCTGACTTAATTTTGTAATTGTGGTAGAAAATGAAGAGAAGGAAGGTGTTGTACCTACCTCGCCTTCAATTTTCAAATCAACCCAACACTCCCCGCCAGCCCCTTCGTCCCCGAATCAAACATCTCCAAACCCGACAGCGGCCTTTCCTTCTCCCCAAATCAAACCCACTTCAACTGTCCCAGACCATCACCGGTCACATTTGGCTCTACATGATCGATAAGGACGCAACCAGTGGAAAGCTTTGAGTGATGAGAATTGCAGCAAAATCCCTGAGCAATACACTTCCTCTAGGCTTTTCGTACACTTCCCTAGTACCACTTGAGGTCCTTTAGGACGCTATGAAAGATCGGAAAAGGACAATATCAACAAGGCTGATAGCTTTTCGGGCCGCCTCAAACGGTGTCGGACTCCTCCTTCATGTTCAATGGAGTCTGATCCTAAGTCCGAGCGCAAGACAGGTTAAGGGATACATATAAGATCATGCAAAGAAGACGACGTCTGACTCTTGGAGGCACATCAAGTAAGCCTATAGCAGAGTTAGAACGGAGTGAATTGTGATATTTCCATTCCTGCTCAAGAGTATGCTTCAAGGGCATGCCTATGCCCATATCGATCCGTTATCAACGAAACAGTATCACCGCTCACTCACTCTCGGCGCACGTCTCAGCGTCTCATCATGCCCATCCAACTTATGCACCCGTTCTCATCGGAAACAAGATACCGCCAGAAAGAGAAAAGGAAAGAAGACATTACCCCGCTGAAATGCAACATCAACAAGTCAAGACGAGGTAATGGCAATAGGTACCTGTACTTGCCCTCATCCAAGAAGAATACCAACAACGAACTAGCCGTCGATGGTACGCCGCTCACAAGACCCCAAAACGAGCGCCAAATCCGCTATCCTTATTTCCTATTCCATCCGAGACTCGAACGGTCTGGTCCAATTGTTCCTCCCTGCAGTTGCAGGTGCCCTTCAAACGCCAAGTGAGAGCCAAATCTAGAAGCGCCGACTCCGGTTGGCTGAACAGCCATCAAAAGGGATTCGTCTTTTGTCGAGCACTCGATGCTGTTCGAACGGAGTATGTTTTCGACATGTGCAATGCATTGCGTGCGCGCGGCCGTGCTTTTCTCTAAGTTCTAGCACAAGCGGTCTTACATGGACCATTTTGCTTCATCCACCCTCCTCGCCTTCTCTTTAGTCCTGTCTGATGCACGCGTTGTCGTTCGTCACTCTCCACGGTAATCGTCACACCACCGCGGCCCCGCTTCTTCTCTCTTTCCCCCCGTGTCCAGATATCAAGGTTCATATGTCGTCAGAAATTTCCCCCTCGTACTCTCACTCACTCGATGAGCGGTTTCCTGACACCTCCAACCATTGCAATGCCAAGTGCTCTCAGTCCGTTCGGCTCGTTAGCTTTGATCACCACGCTGGCGGGTAGCATAGGATTATCGGGGCTGACGTGTGCGGCGTCCTTGGCAGCCTGCTCGATGGCTTCCATTTCCTCTTTGCAGCCGGCATGATCGAATGGGCAGACGACGATGGGTTGGCGGAGGAGAATATCTTTCGCTGAGGACATTTGCGCCTATGTATGTTAGCAAACATGAAGCCTGTCTTTGAGATGGAAAATGAAAGCGAACTCGCAAACATACCTTTACTGTTAAATAGTACTCAATCTTGTACAGCGAACCTGTTGTCGTAAATCCACTAACAGCGTACATCGGAAATTCTTTCTTGCCCCGCGGAATGATGCCATCACTATCCCTTAAATCCTTGCCTGGAAACACTAAACCCAGATTTGTGAAATAGCCCGCTTCAGGCATCTTGACATTGACGGTCTGCGCCGTTTTTGTGAGCGTTTTGACCTTCCGACTAGGTTCGTCCCCCTCGTGGTTGAATATGATTTCCTCGTCTATCCCAATAGTTATCGTTTTAATCGTCACCTTCTTCGCTTTCGATAGCCAATCTGGATTTGGGGATAATTTGATATACACAGACACCGGGTCCATGGGTCCGTATGACCATCGCGGTAGAGATATACCGAGCGTCACCAAATGGTCTGTCACGCGTTCTGCGCTTTCCGGGCGGTTGTACATGCCAAATGTAGAAAGAGTGTCGTATCGCGATATGGGTACAGGAAAGGCATATTTTTTCTGCTCCTGCGGTCCTTGTTGTACCGTTACTACCAGCTCGTAGAACGTCTCAGCCGTCCGCGACGGCAGTTGTAGACTTGCGGGCGGTACCCTTCGGGCTACTTCTTCACCTCCGCGTCCGTATGGTATGAATATCACAAAAGGCAAATCCATGCTCAGCACGCTTTCGCATTCTTTTCCAGCAGGACACCTGAATAGTAGCATCTCCTTGCCTACAATGTCGGTGATCTCCTTGCGGGGTGCAGCAAGGTGCTTTTTCGTTATAGATTCAGCTGAGGGGTGTATAGTCTCGCGACGGTGGAGAGCGATGGTGACGAGTGAGACGAGGACGGGGGCGCTGACACCTTTGTCAGGTCGGATTTCCACTTTGCCTTCTATTCGGGGCTGCATACATCAGACGTTAGCAAAAGCCATAAAAACTAAGATCATCATCCAGGTCTTATACGTGACGGCTGAAAAGGCGAGGCTATAAGCCCACTATGCGCCTATAGCGACATCTCCCCTGCAATGTCATAGGAAAAGTCTCACGTACCAGCGTGGCCGAGATTCCCGGGTAGCCGACTAAGAAGTTACTGTTGGGCGGGCCCGAGACGCGCACAAACGCCGCCATCTTATCGTGCGGCTCTGGGAGGGAGCGGTATACAGTCGTCTTCGGCGCTGGCCTTCCACCGCTCCTGGAACTGCATGGAACCGCCCGTGTTGCGGTGTGGCCCTCACTACGCACAGAGGCCGGGCAGCACCCAGGTCGAGCAGATTCAGGTGCTTGTGTCGAGTATGCCGCGCTCTTCAGTACGCTATAGATATTGTTCCGGTTCTTCTGGCCAGGCTCTCGAGCTGTCCAGCCTCGAGCTTGGCGCGCGGGCTGTGGGCGCTCTCGCCGTGGAAATCGAGTGGCCCTTGGATGAGAGGAGAAACCTCAGAGAAGAAGTAGCGTAAGGGTGGCGGGCGGCTAGGAATGGGGAGGCGTGGGCGGTGGTGAGAGTATGGTGAGCGGTGGAGGTCTGTAGGGCTGTGGTGATCGGGGAGGGATCAGCTCTGTGATAGGGCAGCTGTTTCTCAGCAGCGAACGGTGGGGTAGCCGTTTGGGTACAATGATGCGCTCGGCACCGTGGATGGTGAATTGTGGTGTCCTGAGCAGTGCGGGAATCTCGGGAGCAGCGGTGTCAGTGAGCAGACGGCATAGGGCTCCGTAGCCGGTGAGGCGCACCGCGGTCTGGCGTGGTGGAGTGGTGGTGGAGGTGGCAGGCAGTTCGGTGGGAGGGCGCAAGGACACGATGTGGGCTGAAGCTGAAGTTACGGGCTCTTGACGAACCCAGCTGCTGGATTGCTAGACCACATGTCAACGCTCTAAAACTCTACTGCTACGTCAGTGCAAACATCGCCATACCACGCCCGCAGCCGTGGTCTACTGCGCTGCCATCCCCGGGTCGCCATGTCTGTCACGGTACGTCCGCTCTCGCGCCTCGTGCACTACCGCACTCTCCACCATGGACCAATCCCCCAATACTCCGAACCCGGCTCTCTTCACGTCCTATCACCACCACCCCACCATCTGTCTTTCGCATCCGTCTTTCGCATCCTTACAGCACGTAAGCCCAGCTGAGGCGCGACACGACATGTCTTACGAGTGCAAGACCGAAGCAGGCACTTTCCAACATACTCGCAGCTTCATGACGCCAGCCTGCATTTCCCCAGTACCGTCATCATCATCGTCATCATCATCATCGTCATCATCATCATCATCAAAACCTCAAAACATCTACAACATAGCATCAAGCTTCATGAAACCACAAAACTAGACATGTAACTAACCCCCCAACTAACACAGCTCCACACAACCCACGGCGAGCTCAAACTCGAGCTCTTCTGCGAATCCACCCCCAGCACCTGCGAGAACTTCCTCGCCCTCTGCGCCTCCTCCGCCTACGATGGCTCCGACTTCCACCGCCTCATCCCCGGCTTCATGATCCAAACCGGCTCCCCCGCCAGCGATCCAAAACACAAAGCGTCGACCTCGATCTACCCGACCCACAACGCCCTCTTCGAAGACGAGATCCGCCCCGCGCTACGGCACAACGCGCGCGGCATCGTGGCGATGGCGAATAAAGGACCGAATACCAATGGGAGCCAGTTCTTCATTACGTTTGCGCCGGCGCCGCATCTGGATGGGAAGAACACCGTGTTCGGGAAGGTGATTGAGGGATTTGAGACGCTGGATGCGCTGGAAGGGGTGGAGGTTGATAAGAAAGGAAGACCGAAAGGCACGGCGAGGATAGAGAAGGTACAGATACATGCGAATCCGCTTGCTGGATAGGGTGGATGGAAGGGCACGGCGTCACACATGGGCGGAATTCAGCGTTATGGGGGCGCATATGGAAAAAAGCAATTGTCACGTAACAGGGAGGTACTAGATGCGATACGTGCTATGTTGACTACGGAAGACGATGTTTTAAAAGAGGGAAAAGGTCAGGAAGGAGGCTCATATACGAGAGGAGACGTGCACCTGGCATGTCGAGACCGCTCCTCCTTCCTTGGCGTTTAAAGAAGAAGCTGGGTCTATAATATGGGGTAGCCTCAAAAATCTCTGAATAAGGACAAAAGAGACGATTCTAATGCGCATGAAGGAACGTGTGATACACCTTTCCGGATTGCCGCAGGTCTTTCACAATCAATGCGAGTGCCTCTGGATCCTCAAATTCTTCGCTGTCTGTGAGTGTATATACACAACTATCTTGTCTCTCAATCAGCTGGTTTTTGAGACTGAGAGACTCTACCAGGACCATGCCTCGATCAGAGAGTTCGACCTGATCTGCCCATGGGTTTGCCCATGGAACAAATTCTTCGCCCTTCTCTTTGCGCTCTTTTTGGCGTTCGGATTGGTTGCACATCTCGCACTCTTGGGGGACGTGGGCTCCATCGATCTCAGTGCTATCGTCTATTGTCTCGAAGACGCGAATGAATGATTCGTTAGAATCTCGCTGTTCTGGGTCGACGTATGTTACACCGGGATTCATCGGCCGTATTGTCGGATCAAGGTTTGGTGGAGCTTGTCTTGGCGGCCGTAGTTTGTGGTACTTCTGGACCAGGTTTCGCAATAGCGAACGCCTAAGGTTTCCGGCATCGAATGCTCCAGCAGCAGATGAATTGGCTGCGCACCTTTGCTCTTGTTCGATTCTAGAGAATGGCGAAAAGCACGTACACGAGATAGCCGCCATGAGCAACTGTTCTGGTGAAAACGTGCCTAGGCAAAGACTAGCGTCGTGGATGTCCCCAATGCTCCATGACCTATGGGCCCAGTCGATTGCTTGCATTTCTTCTGCGTTCAAGAGAACGTTGGCATGCGTGTTCAAAATGAGCAGGACATCTCTCGACACAGCTAGGTAAGTCGACTCGTGCACAATGTCCCAAGATTTGTTGATGAAGGTCGCGAATGAGGTTATTACAAGAAGCTTTTCATTCGGACCAGTTGTTGTTTCGTCATCGGACCACCATTGCTCCCAGCCTCTGAGATCGTCCGCGTTGAAGAACACAGTCTCTGAAATGTTGGCCGATATAAATCTCAGTATTTCTGCCGCAGCACTCACTGAACTATCGTCTTCTGAATCTTTCCTCGCATACTCGAGAAAGGCTCCGATGTTTTGCGTAGAGAGCCACAATCCGACAACCCGAGTGCGTATTACAAGCGCAGAACGGCGTAGCACGAGTTTCGATTGAGAAGAATCCAGAGCAGAAAGGTTTTGATAGTCCATAGTTGGAGCTTGACGTAGCTTGTCCAACTCGTGATCAAATCCATCGACATGGGTTGGCGCACCCGGAACCCAGTCCGAGATCCGACTGTACGAGGAGAAAATGTTGGTTTCTCTGGTCAGGCTCACTGCGTCGTAGTCTTTATCTGTGGCTATAGATTTCAGCTGTCTCAGTATTGAGGGACGGTACAGGTCCCTTGCCCAGTCGAAAATGTAGTCGATGATCAGGAGGAGCTGAAGGGCGTTATTGTAAGAGACTACTGATCCGGCCCACATGTGAACGATATGCTAAACCAAGATCAGTGCTGTAGAAGTAACAATGGCAACGCATCCACGTACGTATTCGATGGGGTTACTGTCGGTAATATAGCAGCCGTACACCCGCCAGGAGTCTCCTCTATTCGCAAGAAACCAGACAAATGGGCTTAGATTGGTTCTAGAAGCCTTGACCCTTTTTCGCAATTTATGTTGAAGATTCAGCAGCGCGAATATGGGAAATGCGGTTTGAGTTTGGATGGCGTCAAACCCGGCCTTGCTGTCTTCGGACTTGGCTTCAAGGATGAGAAATGGGAAGATCAAAGGATCATTTTCCTTTTTGAATGGGCTAACTCTGATCGTATCCCCTAATGTAGTAGCCGGGCTGTATGTAGGGTCTGCTGTCACTGGCTGTGAAAGCAACTGCTTGAAGTTTTTGGTTTGTCGCAACCCATAAATCCTGTCTGGTTGTTGTTTGGGCGTGTATACGTTAGGAGGTGCTGGATAGGTCGAATCATCTTGGATCTCTCTCTGGATTCGGTCGTCGAAGAGAGGACTTATGCCCATCTCGTAGCTGTTCTAGTTAGAATTTGGTTACACCCGTTATTGACCCGACTCACAAGTCGTGAATGCGATCGACTGCAGGGCATTGGCACACCGCACGATTCTTCCTTTGCTGCGCAAGGTCTTCTGTTATCCCGTCATGTTGATCAAAGGAAACTTCAATCTCCGAGCGCCAAATTCTAGCCCGACATTCTGGGCTGCGACAACCTTAGCTAGTATCCTAGAACCCAAAGCTTAGCGTGGACCACTTACCACGCAATTTCTACAGCCAGTCTTTGGAAGACGGTAGCCTCAATATGCAGCCTCCAGTCTGCTTCATTGCGTTTCTGCTTGAACAATCGAGCAGCATTCTCTACCAGCCATTCCGCGCGTCGTTTTAGTTGGCCTTTCCAAGGTTGATCGCCCGAGTGAACATCGGGAACGGAACAGAAATTGTCGAATAGTTGTACGCCGAGCTTTTGAATGTTTTGAAATGTCTGTCGATGCGCAGCAGGCCAACGAGATGAAGGCTGCTCTGGAAAGAACGTTATGCGGTATCTCTCGGCCAACTGTCGAAGTTCAAGGTCGCTAAAGGGCATCTTCTATGGTAAAGAGTCGAAGCTCGCGAAGTGCGCCGTAAAGGACATAGGCATGGCCGGCTTGAAGCTTATGGGCAATGGTCTGAAGCAATGTAGGCAACGATTCGATGCTGTGCCGCATTGGTGCTTCTGACATGGCTATGAAACGAGAGCCCTTGATATGCCGCAATCTCGCGAGTTCGGTAAACTGATTGGCTGAGAAGCCACATCTCTCAAACTTCGCCTCGTTCCATCTTACTATCTCCCAAAGGGGCTTCGTCAGCTGCCTTTTAGTGGGCTGATATCTGCCGAAGGTGATTTCAGTGTAGTTCTATAGAGAAGCTTGAATCATTAGACAGAGTGAATTTCATCACTCACTTGCTTTTCTCACCTCAAACCTTCAACTGGCCGTCGACACGCTTACCCTAGGTCAACCTCATGACAGACCCTTGGGACCACCCATCTAGATAACATCGTATTACCGCTAACAAGCTGAGTATGGAAGATTTGGTTATTCAAGTAATACTTCCAGTTATAGAAAATCTATGCCTTGCGATTTTCATATAAATTTGCACTCTATCCTTTATGTAATTATCTTGCTACTTTAGCTGATTCGAGATCTATCGTAGGGGAAAAAAGAAATCCCTACGGCATAGGTCTTTGCAAGGCGCCGTTTGGTAAATATTTTGTCGGTGTGTTGGGATAGTCTGTCGTATTTTATTTAAGGCCTCAGCCTGGCCAACTGAAGTAATACTATGGCCACCTCTATGTTACAACCCTTAACACGAACCACCTGAATGCTGAGGCACTCACGGAGACAAGTAAGCAGATCAGACTGATAACGCAAGAACGAACCACAGGACCTCGAGGAACGAGGGTTGGTCGAATAGGGATCCTGGATTCCCCCACGGACTGCTGGTGGATGGGAACGATCTAGAGGACAGCACACGGCAGCGGTCACGTGCAGGATCATTGTTGAATCATAGCGATCCAAGAATGAGCCACGAGTTTCTTAGGACGGAGCTTTCATATATAAGGACGCTCCTTTGCATACATAGGAACCTCGTGTTCAACCCAAGACTTCAATACTACCTATTGGAAGTAACCCCGTCTTATCCTGAGATTGATTTTGCCTTACCTTTTGAAGACTATTGCACCCCGACGACGAATTGAGCTATCCTATACTTGTGTGAGGCACTTGTATAGTTTAGCAGAGACGACCCGTTACACTCTACTTCAACACGTTTGCCGAACTTACCATCACACCATAAAATCTTACCACCTCGCCCCTTGCAAGTCTGTCTTCGCTATCAACTCCACCTCCACATTTGCAGCAACGATGCATAGCCTTAAAAAGCAAGCCATACTCTGGCTGCCGACTGTGGCCTTCTTCACGACAGCCCTCTATCGTGTCCTCGCCCTCTACCTACATTCGCCGCTAGGCCGCGTCTACCGGAGGTTCACCGAGTCACCAACTCTCTCGTTATGGATCCCCATCCTACTCCTACAAATCTACACCCTGCTGCAATGCGGAAACCAGCCAGCAAAACTCGAGGCCGCAATGTTCTGGTCGCTGCTTCTCACACCCCTTGCAATACGATGTCTCACGCTGCTTTTAGCCTTGTGCAGTAGCGAGCCCTATGATGACGCGATGTGGCCGTTGGTGCCTATATTCTCCAACTCTCCTGGTAAGCCTGCCGCCATTAGCATCATATGCGACTGGCTACTTTGGGACCGGGTTTATCTGGGGAGATACCAAGATTACTGCTATGATGAGGTGAGTTTTCGCGCGGTGCAGAGGTTTCATGGGCCATCGGCTGACAGAACTTGCAGGCCTCAAGATCGGTAACAGACGTCGATGGCGCTGTTCTGCACCGCTTCAAGCCCGACCAAAACCCGATCTACTTCCCGTGGAGGGACCTGACTGTGCGCCTGGGATATATTCATGTTATCGACAACTTCCTCCACGTCATCTGGTTGCGTTATTTCTACGCCGATGGTCCGTATACGGCGCACATCAATAACTCAGAGCTTTTCACTGTGCTGTTGGTCGTACAGGTGGCTGTATACAGCTATGCAAGACGGTGCACATGTGTCAAGCTTCACGACGACGTCGAAGCAGGCGGAGCAGATGATGAGAAGGGCGACGTGTAGGATGTTGTCCGAAAGGAAATCGCGATCCGGGCCCAAGATTGATCCAGGACGCACGGCGTACATCTACTACGCGTACGACCCACCGTCTCCATGGGGTCCTCTGACTATTCTGTACGCAACGAATGGATTAAAGGTCTTTTTGAGCTCGGCAACGACTACAGTGACAGGACACAAGTCTGTGTTCTCGTTTGCCAATGCCAGGGTTACCCCAACGAGGCTTACAAAACCTGAGCGTGATGTCATGGTTCATGCGGCGGGATCTGAGCTGCCTGTTGGCTGAACGGATTCCAAGCGATGGGGCCACTCCTGAAGGCATTATCTAGCTTCCACCGCGTTTATCAGAAAAGCTGCTCTCAAATCAGATCTGTAATACTTTGTGACAAAAGTACCGATTATTTTGTTAGAAACACTCCGCCAGTGTTTCATAAAATGACCTGTGATTTAGCCTGTAAGTGTATTGATCTACGCATTAAGTTCAAGTTTAACAATTTAAAAACAAGGGTAGTGATTAACTTTTGATAGAAGAATGTTTAGAACATACCCTTGTATGGAAAATATGCACAGATATTTGCTGTTCGCGATTCCGTGAACAGCGGCAAATGCTAGCAAGTTTGTCCGCCATTTGCGCTGCCTGAACGCTGGATAAAGCAGAACCAATTGATCCCACTTCCCATTCTGCGCCTCATGCGCCGTAAATCAGCCCACGTTGACACTTACAGCCTTGCCACTGTTGCCTAACACCTAGGTACATACCATTACTGCCAGTGGTTTTCCGGAAAAAAAAGTATCATTCGCGCGTTACAAATTCATATATGCCACGACGCTAGAATATTGAATATCTTCGATGCCAGCCATCCTGCATCATGACGAACCAATACGAATACCAGCCGATATGTCGTTTAAAAGAGATATCAGACTGCTGAAACTACTTCCGAGAGATATCAACGCCAAGCTCAAGTGGATCCCAGCTTGCCAAATTATCCATACCGGCCTTGATAGCCACCCGGAGTTCGTAGCGCTGTCCTATGTGTGGGGCGATGCCAAAGATTCACGGGTGATACTCGTCGAAAAGCACCGCGTTCGGGTGACCAAAAACTTGTATGAGGCGATGATGGCACTCAGACCACTCAAAGAACCCATCTTAATCTGGATCGACGCTCTTTGCATCAATCAAGCAGATGAAGAAGAGAAGAGCTGGCAGGTTGGGCTCATGGCAGAGATCTACCGTCATGCGTTCCAGACCCATGCTTGGCTTGGCCCAGCAGATGAGAGTAGTGATTCAGTCATGGATTACCTTAACGCTCTCGGAGCAAAAGCTGAAGCTTGCTGTATGGACGTTGGTCTGGAGCAATACCAAGAAGCCTGGCGGGAGCCTGCGATGGGGCCTTCGCCTGTCCGTGACCTGGGTCTATTAGATGTCTTGAAGAGATGGCTTATGCTTATCGGCGGGTTGCCGAGTTCTTCCGAAGAGACATTGCGTAGTATCTTTTACTCTATTAGTGGCTGGCACGATCAGGATCACCTATTTCCAGTCGCTAGCATGAAGAGCCTTTTCACCCGACCATGGTGGGGACGGGTATGGGTTTTGCAGGAAATCACCGTTCCAAAAAATGCAGAATTCGTTTGTGGAACCAAGAAAATCACACGAAGTCGATGTAGCGTTGCCCTGGATGCATATTCTGCTCTATGGCGTATTCTTGCGGTGAAGGCCAAAGACGAACCGCATTCGCTGACGCCTTATCAAAGAGATATTTTTAATGCCTCATTTCAACACCGACCTACTGTCATGCTATCCTCCTGGAGAATCTACAGACATGGTAAATTTCCGCTAGCAGCTCTACTCCGCGCAACATGTGTCGGCAGTATAGATCCTCGCCGCCACGGGCCTCACCATTTGGAATCAACGGATCCGCGAGATAAGATATCTGCCTTACTAGGGATTGCAGCACATCGAAAAGAGTTAGAAAGTTTAGGTCTTGTTCCGGACTATACGAAATCGTACGAACAGACATATACAACGGCTATGGCAGCCCTGCTCCAGCAAGGGCATGTCTCACTACTTTCGCTATCCCAGAACCCTAAGTCTCTGCCCCACTTACCATCCTGGGTACCAGATTGGTCCGGATCCATAACACATATGTTACAAGACGTGGAAAACGATCATGTTACCCTTAATCCCAGATTCAATGCGTCTGGTGCCGAACCACAAAGCTCGAAAATAACGATCATACGGGAAGAGGGGGTAATCAAGGGAGTGTCAGGGATAAGCTATCTATACGACGAGATACACAAATCCGGGCATTTCACTGGCAGAGCTTCTACTCGTAAAGTGCCTCTTGCAGAGACGTTCTCGTGGCCAATAGAGTGGTTGCTTGAATTCATCCGCCTCACTTACACCGAGGGTATTTACAGGAACTTTCGCGCCCGTCTACGTGCAGCGGCGAGAAGCTCGATCGGAGGCGTTGGACGGAACAAAGATGGACAACTGGTGAGAATTAAAGAGGATCGATTTGTCGATGCTGTAGCTTTCCTGCGGATGGGTATCAATGACATCAAGGGAGATCCTTTCCAATCTGAGGCCGGACGCTTCCTGGCGCGTACATCTGTCAGAGATGGGGCCATGAGCAAGCTTTCGGCGATTTTCAGGCTGGGCGCGGAGATTAGGGGAAACAGTCTGGGTCGATCGCCTTTTATTACCAAGAAGGGACATCTGGTCCTTGCGTCTGAGCATGTTCAGCCAGGCGACGTCGTTGCACTGATCAGGGGAGCACAGGTTCCGTTCATCCTGCGGCGTCAAAGCAGCGGTCAGTATCAAGTCATCGGCGAAGCATACGTAGACGGCATCATGGACGGAGAGGCGATGGAGAGCTCTAAATGTCATGCTGTTGATTTAGTCTAGCAGCATTAGCGAATCTGTATCTAGTGTATCTCATCACGCGGGGCATGAAAAAGGCGGCACTCTACACGGGTGTATGCCACTGCTTGGGATGCTTCAATGCATTTTCAGAAATCTAAACGGGATAGAAGCTCTGCACTCTAGGCTATGTGGAAACTTGTTGAAGCACTTCAAGCAGTGGTAGCCAGGTGCACCTAGGAGACAGACATCGCGGTTGATGAGTGTCAACATAAAGTAGTAGTCCACAAATCCGTAAGGTGTATACACACTCCAGCTGTTTCTATGCTTGTGTACTCTTGTTTAGCAGCGCTTGAGGTCCTCTGATATGCTATTGTTATTCATAAAAGACCAGCTTTGGCAAGCTTGACGGCTCTCTGGACCACCTCAGACGGTGTTGAGCTGCCGAGTATGCCACCCTTTTTATACCCCGCGTGCTTGTGTCAATGATGTTTACTACATATATCGAAATAAAGGTAGATTATATAGGAAGATGTATTGAGAATAGAAATAAGCGTTGCTGAGTGCTATAGGTTACGCAAAGCCCTATTCGACTGACTGTAGACATTGGCGGATAAGTGAAAGCCTCTCCGGGATCATCGATGCTCTACGTCGCGCTTAAATATAGGGCCTACATATACTTTTTTAAAGAGTAGAGCTGTACGACGCTCTTTTCATTAGCCCTGGCCCATTTCACCTAGAATTATCGTCCCGCGGCCTAAGAAATACAGCCAATTAGTAGTTAAGATGAAAAAGAAGTTCGCATCCAAATCAGGCGTTTTGTACCCTTTCCCGTCTTCTTCCTCGTACACTTGATGTTTGTCTCGCACGGCTAGGCTTGCGAGTCTGGAAAGTTTCCTCCCGTTCATAGTCGCCTAGCCTCTTCAACGACCTGCCCATCGAGTTCGACTGGTATCTCATTCACAGCCAGCTCATGAGCAGCATGCGATGGGACGCCCATCTCGACGGGCTCCACTCTTTTCTTTCCCGTAGCAGGTAACTCCGATTTGGCCTGCTCCGGCTCATCCCTCGCAGCCTTCAACGCCTTTTTCAAATGGCGGATATAGAGGTATACGCCGCCTGCGATCAGTGAGACCACTATGACAACGCCGATGCCGATGCCACCTTTAGCGCCTGCCGAAAGGCCGCCCTTGGGGGGCTGAGAAGTAGTCGGAGACTGTGAGAAGATTGGCTGTTGGGTGCTGGTGAGTGACGAGGATGAAGCTGAGGTGCTTGAGTTTGCTGCAGCCAGTGAGGCGCTTGGTGCCGATGACGAGCTTGCCAAGAGCTGAATGATTGCGGTATCTGTGGCCTCCCAAGCGATCGTTATCCCAGCATGTGCTACTGTTGCGATGTAGGTAACTGGATAAGCTGTATAGCTGTTGAGGACCGGTTACTGTCCAGTGGCGGAGGCGTTCGGGGCCAAGAAGATTGGGATTATCGAGGAGGACACGGGCACGTAGCTAAAGCATTGGGCAGAGTAGTCGCCTTGGTAGTCATAATGGTTGCATTGAAATCCTCTGATCGCGAGTAAGCTATTCAAGGTTTTGGAATAAGGGGCTACGGAAGGTTATACGTTGAACAACAAACTTGCGTAGTAACGTTCGGAGCAAAGGCTATTTCCGAGATTGGACTACACGCCATAGTATCATGTGGACATAATCCAGGGGAGTAATACGGAAATACTGTGGCCGAGCTGTTATAACTACCGGGCTCGCATTCCTTGTGGTCGTTGCCAGAATAGGAGCATGCTGTGCCAATGAGAGCGACATCGGAACGACTGTAATCATTTGGGAAATAACAGGGGGTTGCACAAGATGCCGGCGGGGTAAATACGGTGGTAATATCCGCGATGTTTGCTGCGAGAAGCTGATAGGAAGTGCCATGAGCTTTGAGAGTGACAGTCCTTGTGCTTTCAACAATAGGCATCTTTACATTGGATGTACTAGTTCCAATATCAAATATCGAGACGAGGGGGCTGCTCCACACCCTCAATTAACCTTGGGAAGGCTTTAAGGTATATTTTCATGGAGATGAGGACCCCCGCACCACGTCTACTCCTGTGATTGGTATTCAGGAACGCTCACATAAACGGGGCGTAGATAAGCACGTCGACGACAAGGCAGCGTCAGGCTATGATGCACTCCCTAGATTTGTTTTTCTTAGGTAAAGGTTAGATAAGTTCCGCCAATTAGACGCTGTCGACGAAAGATGCAGCAGCTGGTTCTGGCCCTTAGATGTTCCATGCTCGTTGCGACGATTCCTCATCCGCTCATTCCAGTCACTGAGAAGAGAATCGCAAACGCTGCAGTGTATTGGCGCCTAATCAGAGTTAGCTGGCTATAGTCACATCTAGAACTACGTTACTTCCTTGTCGCACACGATCGCGGGGGCATGGGGACCACGAGGCGTAGACCCCTAGAATAGTCGTCTGCATTAGGTCTGCGTCCGTGCGCATAGTTCTAGAGAACGTCAACCTCAGGCACAGATCCTCGAATACCGACCTTTGCATTACCGCTGTTCCCTCTCAGCCACAAAGAAACATAGCTGAGTGTCTCGCATCGAAGACCATTAGCGACACTCTTCCTACTCCCCTCTCGCTATCCATGCTTCTGCCGCACTGCTATTATCTTCGCGTGTAAGTAGTCTCACTTCTAACTTTAGACCCATCAGATGGCTCAGATAGCGCATTGTAGCTTACACGCCTATCTCCCGTTAGCGGCTACTCTCTAACTCATTAGATCGGAGGTTCAAAGTCATCCCGATTATGGAGCAACATGCTATCACGACTCACTACGCGATCTTGATCGGCATCAATGCCTATCCAGAGAGTCCTATGAGAGGCTGCATGCGAGACGTTCAACAAGTCAGGAAAATCATAGAAGAAATGCCAAACCCTGTTCACATACAAATGTTCACAGCGAGCCCAGCGGAAGACTCGAATCTTTCTCCCCTAGCCGAAAGCCCAGAGCTCTGGCCAACATATGATAACGTGACATCCAGCGTAAAGAAGATCACTTCTTCGGCAAAGCCCGGTGATTTTGTTTATATCCATTACTCTGGTCACGGCACCACGATCAAGGCTTCCGGCGGCTCATCCATTAAGTCTCCAGGAGATCTAGCATTAGTTCTACTCGAAGTAACGGACAGGACTAACATGCGATATCTTCGAGGCTTGGAGTTGGCGTATTTGCTGAGAGACATGGTAGAGAAAGGCTTGACGGTGACCCTAGTTCTGGACTGCTGTTTTTCTGGAAGTGTTGTACGCAAAGATTCCATGGTCCGATGTCTTAGCTATGACCCCCAGACAGACGCGGCATACCCCCTCGATCCTAGTCAGAGCCTCAGCCTCGAAGCTGAAGCTAGCCGTCCCGCTTATCGCGATGTTTCCTTGCGCCCCAATTGGTTGGTCAATCCTGACGGTTATACGATTCTCACCGCATGCGGGCCCACCGAGGTAGCTAAGGAACTTGTTCTCAACCAGAACGGGGAAAGGCATGGGGTATTATCTTACTTCTTGCTCAGAACATTTGCCAAACTTGGTGGCGTTGGGGGGAAACAGCAGCACATCTATCACCATCTGTGTGCCAGATTCCGGGAAACTCGCGAGAAACGCAAAAACGAGCAAAACCCAATGTTCTATGGGAACAAGAACCTCTGCTTCTTCGGACGAGCCACTCCGCGGATTCGTTCAGCACCTATTCCGATCATCAAGAAACCGGACGGTAGCATTCAGCTAGAAGCTGGACAGGCACACGGCATTTGTGACCATGACCAATTCTCTGTGCATCCTTTAGGTTCTGCAAAAGAAGACTCGGTGTCGAACAGGACTCTAGTAATTGCTACTGTCACCCAGGTCAGAGCTCTCACATCTACTCTGAAGGTGCTCGAGACAAAATCTGTCTATGTGGAGACAGGGTGGATGGCAACAGCACTCACTTATCTCTCCTTGCGGAAATTCCCGGTACGACTCGAGCTTGGCCTCCCACATCCCGGTGACTGGACAGCCGCGTTGCAAGAACGAAGGTCTCTTGATGTCTCCGACAGTAGCAATACGATCCTTGGACGTCCAATCTCATTCTATGTGGCTATGGACAGCGACAATGGTTACGAAATCCGAGACGAAACAAACCAGCCAGTTGTTCACGTACCAACGACAACATCCCATCAAGATGGAAGTGCATGCCATGTTTTAGACGTCGCGGAACACCTAGCGAGGTTCAAACTAGTGAGGGACCTGACCAACCCATCGCTTGTTGATCCAGCGCATCCTTTCAGGAAGGCATTTGCAATTCGACTCATTGATCGAACTGGGAACGTGTTTCACCCGGGATGTTTGCAAGAAGGATGGTTTCACGCTGGATGTTCCCATTCAGAATGTGTAGTTGAAGTGGAAGATGGTGATGCTTTAGAGTTGATCGTGGAAAATACAGGAAAGGAAGGAGGCGATGCTCTTCATATCCACCTTTACAGTATGGGCCATTGTTGGGAGATAGAGAATATTCTCCGTGCGAACCACGAAGTTGTCCTACCTAGAGGATTTGGTCAAAGCGCCGGTGGAGAGTGGAGGAAGAAGCTAAGGATGAAAATGTCGCTGGAAGTAAAAGAGAAAGCGCAGCCCCAGTGTGAGGACATCATCAAGGTTTTTCTTACTATTCGGTCGACTTCCTTTATGTCATTGGAGTTGCCAGAACTCGCTACATCATTCGAGGGGGACAGGACTACAAAATCAAGGGGACGAGGCCATGATGGTTTATCAGACGATTGGGCTGCATTGAATTTCCGCATTCGTACAAACGCTCGCTGAAGTATGCTACAACACTTGTAGCATAATCCCGTAACCCTATTCTCGAAATGAAGGACTGGTTGCGGCTGAAGTAGACTATCCCAAATCATACGCCAAAATGGACGTAGGGAACCCAGTGTTGTAGCCGGTCATCCTCCTCATCATCCGAGTCGTCTAAAACAATCTTTCTCGGCAGCCTGGAATCACGCTGATCCCCATCACTCGTAGTTATTGCTCCTATACTATCCTCCCCTACAGGCGTGTATACCTTTCTAGTCGATGGGCTCCTACGTCTGGTCTTTGCTGGCACACGTAGCCAACGGTCTCGAAGCTCTCTAGTAGCTTTATGTAGCCCTAGGCATACCGACTCATCTGTCATGGCTCCATCTCTTATCCCCTCGTACGTGAATCTCGCCATATCCACGCAGGACTCATCATTGACCTCCCACAGAGTGCCAATGACGTGGCGAAATCCCGCCAGTTGACAAGCACTGATCAGGTGGATGCTCTCATCATAGAACCTTTCGTCTCTGATCTCACCAGTACCGCAAGCCGAGAGGTAGGCGAGGAATGGTGAGCGCTGGCGAAGATTCATCTCCAACAGAGTAGCCACCGTTAACTGGTCGCTCTTCCAATCTTCCAGGAGCAAATAGCTATGTGAAGGATCGTCGTCGTCTGTATGGCCATGACCAGCGAAATGGAATATCTTACAGCTCGGAAGATGCGAGATGATATCTTGCTTGTGTCGTCTTACTCTTGGTACAATAGGATCAAAGTCCATTGACTTGCAAACGTCTTGTAGCATCTCTACCTCTTTTGCGGCAAAATTAAGCCTAGGATGTTCTGGTGTATCCTGCATAGCGACAAGAAGCGCATGATTCGGAGCCGTTGGTGTGGCTTCTAGTGCACGACGCCGGCGACCCTGTATGATAGCCTTGATGGACGAGCTGTAGGACGACATGACCCTATCGAGGACTGTTTTGGTGCAACCTTCGCCATGAAGCCCAGCTGCGTGGAGAGGAAATTTGCTTAGGAGACCGGTAGGAATCCACCATATATGCGGCCATTTATCATGAGAAGGAGGTTGAGTGAACCCTAGAGTGTCTAGAATCGGGTTTGTAACGGCCTCCCATAGCCATGATAGGACTCTATGACTCCCCAAGCCACCTCTCTGTGCCTTCTCCTCGATCTCCTCGCTTTTTAGGCGGAGTAAGGCCAAAGACTGTATCTGATGTTGCGTAATGAGTAGTGCATCGCAGCGATGGTTGCTGACGTTGACAACGACAATAGGGCCATACCTCGCAGCATTTTGCATTCCCTCTTCACTGGGAGGAATTAGGAAGTCTTCGAACCCGGGTTGTTGGCGAATTTTGAGAATTAGCTCATCGAGCTCACGATCTGCGGCAGAATGTCGATTCATGTAGCCTTGCGAGGAAGTCCCGGGATTTAAATCCGCCACAGAGAGCTCTTGTGAGATGGACGGCTGTAATTCATCTCGAAGCTGGACGAATTTATCTGCCAGATCAGGGTGACTCGCCTCCAGATCGAGAATTTCCGTCCGCATCTCCTCAAGAGATGCTGCAAGCACGCCGCGTCCCTGTTCAAGTAGGTTCAGCGCAACGAGCGGGGATTTTCCTGCCTGCAGTGCTATTGCGGTTGCATCGCAAGCGAAGCCGGCTATATCGCTAAGCAGATGCTGTTTATCGGAATTTGGCAGTGATCGTGAGATGAGTTTAGGAATGAGATGAACACCCATGGCTGCTCCCTCGCAAGCTTGCTGCCAGTCTGATTTGAGTAAGCAACATCTAACGATATCCTCGGCCGCTCCAATGCGAATCAAAGTGGGGGCGTTAGACTGATGGAGAGCAGCTTGATGGTGTAAAATCGCTTCTTCGATATCGTTCATCATTCCTGTTCCCGAGTCCCTATCGCCAGCTCTAGTCACAAGGCCGGTCATCCGTTTTGCTTGATCTTGATCTTCTGAGCTCGCATCTTTAGCTTGCTGTCCGATTTGGATTGCTTCATCGATCTCGGTCATATTTCTCAAATTTCTATCTTGAAGTATGATGCCGAGGTAGGATGACACTAGTGCTCGGTCTGGGTGGTCTTCCGGACTCGCATCCACAGCTCGCCGTGCAAATTGGAGTGCTTCCTCAAGATCAGGTGTTGCTCCTGTTTTTAAGTAGCTAGACCTTAGTCTATTGCCAAGATTGTGCAAAAAGTACATCCAGTCTGGGTGATCTTCTGGAGTCAGACTAACGGCTTCCCGTGTGTATTGGATTGACTCTCGAAGGTCCGCTATCGCTCCGATTCTGACATATTTATCGTAGAGTAGATTTCCAAGGTTGTTTGAGAGCCTTGCCCGCTCGGGGTCCCCGGGCCAAATGCCAAGGTTATTCAACCATACTTCACGCTTTCGAAGCTCGGCTGAATTCGCGTGAACGGCTTCTCGTGCGACTTTAATGGCCTCTTCAAGGTCGGCCATTTCTTTTTTTCTTTTATGTCTGTCTCCAAGAACAATGCTGAGACTCTTCAACATGCTTGCCCGAATTAGGTCATTTTCTGGAGTCGCCTTAACAGCTTCCCGCGTGATTTGGATTGCTTTCTCAAGGTCGGCCATCGCTCCTATTCTCTGATACCTATCTCGAAAGCAAATCCCAAGGTTTTGTAGCTGGGAGGGCCGGCCTTGGCGATATTTTGGGGTTATATGTAGAGCTTCTTGTGCGAGTTGAATTTCTTCATCAAGGTCGGCCAGCACACCTAGTCGTGTATATCTATCGCTCAGTCGAGCTCGGAGGCTGAGTAGATACATTGTCCGGTATGGGTGATGTGGGTGATGCTCTGAAACTATACTGAGAGCTTTACGTGCGAGTTGAATTGATTCTTCAAGGTCAGCCATCAACCCAGATATCAAATATCTATCCCTGAGTTGACATCCAAGGGCCTCTAACCGTACTGCTCGTTTCAAAGAATCTTGTGGAGTCGCCTCCACAGCTTCTCGTGCGATTTGGATCATCATCGTTCTTTCAGGGTCGTCCATTGCTTGCTGTTGGTCGGAAGCGTCCGGCTCAAAATATCTCTTGAGTTTTGTCGTCTTAACCCAGCTCGCAAAAGTGCAGTCAGCGAAATGAAAAGCCGCGCCAAAAATAAGACAGCTCCAAAAACCTCTTGTGCTGGTCAATGCTAGGGAATATGAGACACTTACCTTATTATGAGGCTGATTGTAAACTCTACCTAGCTTGCACCACACCCCAGTTTTCCATATCATACTCCAGTAAAAACCCCTTAGCGAGCGCGAGCGGCGATTCCTGCTCGTTCAGACAAGTTTGAGAGACCACAGACTTCGCAGTGACGAGCAAGGCTTCGGTCGCGCCATCCGAGGTTGTGAAGGTCTTATCCTTGTTCTGTAGATAAATATTGGCTGCCCTGCTGCCCTGCTGCCCTGCTGCCCTGCTGCCCTGCTGCCTGATACGCCACGTCACTCGGCTGCACATCACGTACCCATAAGCAAGGTGAAATCCGCCTCACTTACAGCATCGGCGAAGTCTTGCTGTGCCGTTGCCGTTACCATCTCCGCCGAACTCTTGCTTTCTACGAACTGACTAGTCTGCCTCGCTCGGGGCATTCGGGGAATCTTTCTAGAGACTCAGTATGGGGCCTCAGTAGGTAGCAAGAAGATATATTGGCCACGATTCTTGAGAAGACTCAAGCGCCGTACATGCAAAATTTATCTCTCTATTCGTTTCTCCTCGCGCCTTCGATCCGTTTTTTTGTTACAACGATAGGTCATAAGTCTGTACACACGCGTCTACTACCACCGCTTGGGTACCCCCCATAGAATTCCAAAAACCTAGAAACGATGTCAAGCTTCAAGTAGTGCAAATTAGGCTGTCTCTTAACTAGCTAGCTGCTTATTAGCTGGGCCGCTCCTCACGGTGGTGTCAAGCGAGCAAGATTGGAGCCAAGCAGTGGCAATCCCGTGTGCCCAGACTTATGACCTAGTACTGTACCAGAAACCCGACTAAAAATTCATTAAATGATTCATTTCCAACCATTTCCAACCTTTCATATATCCCATTAGTTCTCAGCCAGCCCAGTCAATTCGTGCCTATGTTCGTACCAGACACAAATACCACCAAAACAGTCGTGTACCTTCACAATTACGTTAGATTTCTGCATCGCTTATAACAGCATACATCTGCACTTACGTCGCTCCAGCTAGAAACAACTCATTCGTCCTTCTAGTAACAAAACCAGACAGTATTGCGAGAAAGGCCACGAGTGATAACACGATAACAGCAACCCGCGCCGAGGAGCTCCCTACCGAATGACAAACGACTATCGGCAGCGACAACAGCACAATAATGAGCAACACAATCAGCGTCCGGGCCACTCTACCCACGAACGGAGTCGAGAACACAAACACGTGTGGATCCTTCGATAAATTGGGTTGCGAGCTCTGCCACGATCGCATGAGTGAGATCGATTAAACATAAAACAGGAATTCGGATGGTGATGCTCACGTTCTGATGTCTCCTTAGTAATCGGACAAGACAATCCTCAACCCAAGCCTCGAACCGCATGGCCGCGCCATCTTTCGAGGGGACTACGCTCCGCAAATCATGGCAATAGGTCAAGTACGCTGTATCTTCCCAACTCAGGCATCCGTTGCCGTTGACCCAGTTCTGCAAGCTTCGTACATTTCGTGGCTCTGCGTCTTCACTCTCGCGCATGCGACGGGTTCTTTCCACAAAATTGTCTGAGAAAAGGTCAAATCCAAGGCTTTTCTCCGTGTCTTGGCCAGGTTTAGTCTAGAGGGAGTCCACATACCATAATCGGCCAAAGCGGTGTCGATCTCCAAGAGCGTAGAAGAGCGTTCTGCATTTCTATCGTCGCGGCTACTCCCAAGGAATAAAGGAGCATGCTCATTCGCATCGATCGTCTCCAGCCGCTGTTCAAGCATAGAAAGCTTGTCTTGTTTTAGAAGCAAAAGCCGAGAACGGAGATTCGAGAAGCGACGGCATATCTGAAATGAGTCGTGGGCGGCAATTAGGGCGGAGAAACGAGGGTATCCGGAATGGTAATCCTCAACTGCTCGAATGTTAGCATTTACTGTGGAATGTTCGAATGTTCAAGGGAGTTTTACTTTGTCGCGTGCTGACTTTGCAGTTATGGTATACATCTCGTCCGAATAACCAAGACACGCAGGAAACCAGTCGAGACTCCAATCTGAGCTTGAACATTTTAGGGGCTCAATGAAAGAGGTTTACGAGATAAGACACTGGTGATAACAGTTTGCGAATAGCAAGGCTGACTCGGGAAAGGAGTGAACTTTCGGGCGCAAAGCCAAAGTACCTTCCAGATGTAGTATTTGACACAGGTTGCAGACATGCGCCGCATGTACCTTTCCTTCTTTCCAGTTACCTAACTGGGGATATGATTTGACTCGGGCTGTGTAGAATGACAGGGCCAGCTGCAGGCAAAACAGCTGGCAAGACACTATTGGTCGATGAACGAGGCGGTATTCCGACTGTTGCCTAACTTCAAGTCAATTTGCCGCATAGGGCGCTTATTCGCCTTATTCACGATTTCAATATCTCTTCAACCTGCCCCAGACCCATTCAAGTAAGCTTCCATCGACATTTCACCTATGAAAAATTAAACATCTGCAGCGTCTTAAAACGAAACTGCGAGACCTTCGCAAACTAGTCATTCTAGTCCACGGCGGCAAAGCATCTAGCATGGGGTCTCCACGTCGGTAAGATGTGATAATACAATTAGTAACCGACATTTGCATTTTGGGCGCTAACGCGGTTCGTAGTTCTCCAAGCCCTGAGTTTACATTCGATCATGAAAGAGGCCGACCCTTAGTTGTAGACTATGGTTCGGTAAGAAACCTAACTCCTTGTAGGAACTCACAACACTGATCGATGGTGATAGCAAAATCGATATAGACCGGGACAAGTCGTCTATCTTTGTGTTCCTGGAAGAACGCAGCTTGAGGGGCCTTACAAGATCGAGAGTTATGTCGGCCCTCGCCAGTATACACTGTGCTATTCTGACGGCCAAAAGGCAAGAAATGGAGATAGTGTGAAAGAAGATGATTTGAAGGAAGAGAACATAGAAGAAGCTTGAAGGCACACGAATCTTTAGGGTTGACGCGGTCTTGGGTGCGTGAGCTTGCGGCCTTAGGCATCTTCGCAGCTGCAGCCCGTTCGCCGAATAGCTCATATAAAGTATCTTTTAGCTGCTTGCAAAATAGATGCCTAGTCGTCTGCATTGTTCAACGTCTCTGGAATGCCATAGAACAGTCAGCTAGATTAAGCTTAAGTCAGGACTCATGATGAAGACAACTAGAAGAACTCTGACCATATGGAAGCTGGTGAATGATCGACTCCGTATGCAAGAAATTCCCGGATTTCAATGGCAAGAAGTCTCCTTAGCTACCGATTAGAATTATAGCTCCGGAAGAAACGATAACCAGTCGCTGAACATTTCGCTCTCATCCACTACCATCTCATCTTGGCCATCGGGCGCAAACATCCTTCGCAATTCTTCGTTGCTAGGAGCGGTCTCGTATAGCTGCTGCACCAAATCGCGAGCAGCAATTTGGCCGGCCTTCTCTGCGAAGTCTAGTGCACGCGTATACTGGGTTCCGTCATTCGATAGCAGATCAACCCCGTTCTGCACGAGTAGGAGCATCATCTCGATTCGACCATTGTCTGCAGCGGCTCCGAAGGCCGTCCTGCCTTCTAGTAACGAGGGCGCTGCATTGACGTCCGCGCCATGTTCTAGCAGCAACAATGCTGTGCAAGTATACCCTTCCATGGTAGCAAGTTGAAGGGCTGTACCTCCGGCTCGGGACGCGGGAGGCTCGTCGACGTCAGCTCCCTCCTGTATCAGATATCGAATTATGTTATTGGCTCCTTGTGCTGCCGCAGCTTGGAGGGGTGTTGGCAGAGTCCCCATTTAGCTGGCAGACTTATATTTGCCCCGGCTTTCAACAGCTGTTGTACTTTTGATAGCTCCTCTATTTCAATGCGTTGTCGACCTGTAGGTCCTACTGTATACCCACACAACACTGTCCGGTTCTCCGCCGTTCTCTAAGAGGACTTGGATGATTTCTAGACATTCCAAGCTCTTACTAGCAATTGCTTGTCCGAGCGGACTAGGGCTGTTGCTTAAGGGGAGGGATAAACGCACACCCCCTAATCACTCCGCGCACACCCTGTCGCTTCACGGCCTTCTAATTGGCTCGGAGGGGCCGGAGCTTCCTCCGGGCGTTCACCCTTACGTCTCTCTGCACGTGATGGTATTCACGAGGCCGTGCGTGATGGTATACACGAGGCCGTACGTGATGCTACACGCGAGGCCGTACGTGATGCTATGAAGTGTTCCTCTAAGCTAAAGTAGGAGGAAAATGGCCAAAAAAGGTGACTCGCCCTGAAACTCTGCGTAGTCGGCAGGACTGTATCTGGCACAAGCCCGGAATGGACCCACTGCCGTTAAAGGAAAAATTGGTTCCTGAGCCTTGGTTGTGAGAGTGCTGACGATACATGCGGGCTCATGCCCCAAGCAGTCCTGGATGAGCTGATTGAGCAGAATTAGACCATCTTTAAATTGAATGACCACGGCGCCGGGTTCGTTAAGACTTGCCTCCTGGAGAGTCCATAGACGCCTTTGCCATGTGCAACTTGCGACTCGAATAGCCCTTTCGACTGGGTTCGTGGGTCCGACTTGTTGCAGATCCTCATCGAGCACAATTATGAGGCTGGCCTCCCGGTATATCGCGCCTATGCGGCGGATCGAGAGATTTCGACACCGGCCAGATACTGGCACATATACTGTATCGATCCATATCCCAGCATTGCACTATGGCGTCCCTAATTGCTTGCGTTGGTGGATAAGCCGCAATACTTAGCACTTTCGTAGGGCCTTTTCGTTACGATTTCCTAGGCCATGGCTCCAAACATGTGAGAGCGCGATGTAGCATTCTGACGGATTTCGGCGCACCAATCTCAGACTAACCTGGCCTCCAAATTTTCTTCTATATGTATTAGAGGAAGACCATCAGACTCGATAATGGATTCGAGTTGCTCCATCGCGGGTCCTAGGAAATGACAGTTACCAGCACAATGAGAGGTATGCCTGGGTTTGTAATCCCCTTGGACCTGGCCGCAGATGCAGATGCTGGCAGAGCAACGACCATGGTCTCTCATTTTTACGGGAGTAAGTCTGGTCAGATAATAGCATGTGCTTCCGTCCATAGACATGAAAGCAGCGAGCTGATTGGGGCACCAGCCATCGGATATCAGCTTTCTGGTTAAAATCCTTTCTACCAATCCAGAGGTCCGCCTCATCACGAGCCCAGTAGCGAGCGAGCCTTTGATCGCGAATGAACTCGACAAAGCCGTCGGTCCATGGTACAAAAGGAAGAACCATCAAACCCTCTGTCAGGGTAGTGATTGGCAAGGCAACCGGCCAGCGATTGGGACAAGCAGAAAGTGCCACAGTCATGGCCCCTGGCGGTCTAAAGGATGCGTAGCGTGTGCGGATGAATAGACACAGCTCGATCCGCCGCACTGCTACTACTCGTATGTCGACTGCCGAGCTCGTTATTGCTGAAGCAAATGACCTGACGTAATCGGCCAATTTCTTTGTGGTCACGCAGTCGCCATCTATGAAGTCGTTCAGTGCAACTGTGATGCCCGCTGCGGAGAAGACTTCACTCATGACGCCGAAAAATAACCATTCCTGGAAAACTGCCGTTCGCTGGTGTAGACTGTACCTGCTCGCGTCGGCCCAGCCAGCCTCGTCTGTCTCTAGTATATCTGGATTGACTCAAGGAACCCTCACCTTTTCGAGCGAGAGTCATGGCCATCTCACGAGCGTCTATACGAGCTCCTGTTCCAGCCGCCAGACGGGGATTTCCCCGTCTGCAACTACAATGTAGTGCAAATCCCCAACGCGCCCATCCACGACCTGCGATCTTTGAAGGACAAGCTATCTCTTGACCGTGAGGGATTCCAGGTTGCCGATCTCAATACGACCATGGAATATGACGACTATTTTGACCAAGAAAATCTCAAAACCACGTACATGGCTGAGATCAAGGCCTTTTTGAAGGACAAATTGGGTGCCCGAGCAGCTTATGTCCATGAATGTGTCGTAAGTAGTCTTGATGCTTGGTCCTTGATGAGAACCCTATGCTAAGCTAGGTAGATCCGTCAGTCGCAGCGTGGTTACTAAACCGGCGGCCGGCTCAACTAGAGAACAGATTGATTGGGTTGTTATATATAGAATGAAGCTTGATTGATTGGATTGATTAGAATTTTGGTTTGAACGGTTTGATCCAGATTGACAAATGAGTGAATACGGTCGCGCTAAGAGATCTGTGCGCTGAGGCCCTCACCGTGTCTTAACGAGCCAATAGAATCACGGCGTTCTGCCGCCCGGAGGTTCCGCCGGCGGAGGCGGGAGAACACGTATTGCTAACCTCAAACGGATAACGGGAATCGATTTCTACAGGTCGAATTACGTTTGAAGCGAATCATTGGGTCTTCTAGGCCTCAAAAATGTGCCCCCCTTTGGTACTCCGCCCGACGTTCCCAAGGGACATCCTGAGCCCCCCCTCACCTAGAACCTCAACACCATGGTACTCTCACGTTGCCCTCTACTCTGGGGCACTCCGTAGCCTCATCCATGGGCGTAGTAAGCTTATATGACGATGTTATACCCATAAAAATCACGACCGTATGCATCCTTTCCGATTCGTATATATCCTTTCTGATTTGTATACACCAATCGGATCAATCGCATCAATCTCCGCTTGAGGTTTGATTGGCTAGAGGTTTGATTGATTGGATTATCTAGAGTCTATACTAATAAACCGACCGTCAATCCGATTGAGGATTGGCCGGTTTACTAACCACGCCGGTCAGTCGGATGGAGAAGGAGGCCATTCTGGCAGTTTTGGCCAGCCAATTCCCAACGTTCACACTGGTATGGCAAATAGCCCTTTGAAGCGTCGCCGTTGACAGTCTAGATTACACTCATGGTTACGCATTGGAGCTCATTGAGCAACTCACAGGAGACAGGACCCAGGCCGAGGCGATCAAAAACTCTCGAATACAAATACTCAAGTCCGTTCCACACCAAATCTTCCCAAGTTCTTCTGCGTCTAACAACAGACAGCATCTGGAAACCATTGTGAGGACCACTTCGGAGCTGGTCTCTCGCCCTCTGCGACCTTCGATCGCTCGACCGTAACGATGTTATAATATTCGACGAAGTACACACGACGGCCGTGTTGGAATCACAGCAAGTCGTTTATAATCCGTCGCAGAAGTGGTACTACCTGCCGAACCAAGGGCCCAACGAAATCATCGTTTTCAACTCAATGGATACCTTAGTAAGAGGAGAAGGTTTGAATCACTTGCGCTCCATCATCTCCGTACAATACCTGACCATGATTATCCAGTTGCTCATAGGTCCTTCTACGATCCACAATGTCCCAACAATGAACCCCCGAGAGAGAGTATTGAGCTGAGAATCCTCGTTGTGTATTGAAGGGTCTATATCACCGGCACGAAGGATCACGGATCACAAGAGAATTGGCCCTCCTCGGCGAGGAGAGGTCCATTAAATTAACTTAAATATTCAAATTGACCTTATCCTGCCGTGCCTGCCATATACCCCGTCCCACGTCTGCCATTGCTCAATTTGACTGCACAAATCCTATAATCTGGTGAAAGTTAGCCATGTGACTCATCAATCAGTTAAGATAGCTCACCAACTTCGGTGCTACTTGGTCTGTTCTGTAACCTTCCTCTCCGCAACCTCAACAAGGAACGAATTCATGTCGTCCAGACGCATGACTTTGGTGCCGTCAGCAAACTTGCTGTCGTGAGGCAGTGCTCCCTTGGAGGCGCAGACAACATTAAGGTTGGGATTGACAAAGATGTTGGCTGGAGCTGGAGGCCAGAATGGTTTCCATGGTTGGCTCATGATGAGGGTTTGCTTGGCTTGCTTGGTAACTTGAGATGGGATATAATGAGGTTTGTTCAGTTCGAGGATGGAAAGCTAAATAAGCCCTTTGAATATGCCTAGCTCTTATACGAAGAAGCTGCGGCTCAAAGCTGAAAATTACAGCCAGGATTCTGTTTGCCTTTCCCCTCTTTTGATTGTGCCGCTTGGTAGCGTTATGCCAGCTGCATGCGACATACCGCCACATAATGAGGATTTAAGTCTTTAATATATGGACTATTTTTGGTTGGCCGGGTTGAATAAGCCCCCGGCACCATACCAAAGCTATCTACAGAGGTACGTTATCTATTACAGCCATCTATTACAGCTTAACCATTACCGTCCTTCCAGCCTCCCATATTCCGAGTCATCATGGAACCGATATCGAAAGTCGATGAACTTACACAATGGTTCGGGGAAAATGGAGGACATCTCAACGAAGAGATGGAAATGCTTCACAATCTCGAATACGGTTATCACTACGTCGCAAAGAGCAGACCAGTTAACCTCAAAGAAACTGTCTGCAGCTGCCCGTCTAGTTTGACCTTGTCCCACCTCAACGTGATACCAGCGTCGCTAACCGGAATCCGTAACTGCTCCTTGGGGAGTGTCTGTTCCAAGCTAGTCGACAACCTAGAAATAGATAGGAGTACCATTCCCATCTTGTTTCTTGTCGAACAACGACTAAAGGGTGGAGATAGTTTCTGGTTTCCGTACATACAGCTACTACCTGGCAGCTGGCGTAGGAAGGGCAAAGGATCAGTGAAGGAAAGCATGAGTTGTATTGATGTTGTAACGAGGGACTATATAGAGTAACGAGACTCCCTTGACAGCATGGGACAGCAAGGGAGATGGTGCAACTCTGTAAGGAGGAGAAAGGGAGAGAAACAAGGGAGAATAGAGGCGTGTTACTGGCTGCCACTACCAACTGAAACTGAGATGACAACCCATTGTGGTTCAACGACGAAGAACTGGCGTATCTCAAGGGGACAAACTTGCTTTCAAATGGCGTTCCTCGCGAGCAAACTTCTATAGGCTTTCGAGAAGGTATTTACAAAGAGCAATGGAAACTGGGAATCGCAGAGCTCGAGAATGCCAGTGACCCCACAGAGGAATTTACATGGTAAGTAACTTGGAGAAAGTTGTCCTATCTAATCCCATATCATATCATCTACTGTTGTTTTTCTCCTTAATCTATACCTGTAGAGTTTCCTCTGGACTGTTTCAACGCTAATTCGATGTTTTCATAGGGACCTCTTCCTGTGGGCTGCAACGATATTCTCTTCGCGGAGCTTTACGTCTGATCTGTTCACAACAAGTGGAAACACGAATGCTTCATTTCCCATCTTGTACCCTGTCCTAGATATCTTCAATCACCGTATTGGAGCGAAAGTAGGATGGCAATTCGACAATGGCAACTTCAGTCTCTATCTCGAAGAAAACGTCGAGCAAAGCCAGCAAATATTCAACAACTACTCGCCAAAGGGGAACGAGGATCGTAAGCATACTTTGTTGATGAATGCGTCCTATTAGCGTATGCTAAGGAGAAACTAGTTTTAATGGGATTCGGCTTTTGTATCCCAGATAACCCATACGATCAACTCGTCGTTCGACTCGGTCAGGTACAACCGGAAATCCACCGCAAACTGCATGACGGCATACCGAGTCACTGGCGGTCCGAAACTTGGGAACCGAGGGAATCCGTTTTCCATCTTCAAAATACATCAAGCCATACCGACGGCTCCTCCAGCATGTATGGAGTCCCGAAACTAAATTGTCTACGTGGAATACCCCCAGAATTGGCGAAGTCGGTATACATAATTATACTCGCGCATACTGAGGATGCGGTGTTCGAGGAAGAATTAGCGAACGAGAAACAGATCTGGGCAAGCATAATTGACCTGTTGCTCAGTAAAATGGAGGCTACTCTCAGGGAAATCACGCGATGGAACGGCGAACTTGCCGACTTCCACTCAGGTTGAAAATTGATGTGAACTCTGTCTTATTTCGGGGGCCCGAAGGCCAAACTATATACTACGTAGGAAGTGACTGTATGCATAGGCAGAAGCACTAATTGGAGGCAGCGGTAGGCAGCATTAGGCAGGGTAGGCCACCGTACCCCAACCCCTCTCTGTAGAAGTTGTAACTGGCTAGGCATGTAGGCAGCTACTATGCCAGCAACTCCAAGTCTGTACGTAGGTGACCGTGAACCGTATGAGTTGTTGATCCTAGGTTGTAGCTGTTACAACCCGAGTCTTCCCGTCAACGGCTGGAGCTGAGGCTGCATTGATTTACAGAACAGGGCAGGTGAAAATACTAGAAGAAGTGATTTCAGACTTGAAGGTGTTTATGGATCCACTTCGAGCGGGTGATATGAGTATGCAAGATTTATTTTAAAGAATAAAAGCGAAGCAAGTTTGTAGCAATTCCGGTTTAGATTTAAATCCTTGACAGAGTACGAAGTGCTGTACCGGTTAAACTACTCCGTCCAAAATTTCGTCCGTTGATTAGTAGCCCCTCTCATCGCTGTCACCTCCCCTCCGCACCCCTCCACCTCTCCCCAACATCCACCGTCCTCGTCCTCTCCACCCTCCCATCACAAAAACATAAACCATCCATCCAAATCCAACGTCTTAATCACCATATTGATCCCCTAAATACGGGCCCATTAGTGTCACGCCCGGCTCCTCCAGGTTACACAATTTCTGCCTCAACTTCTCATCCTTCAAATTGGGAAAGTTCTTGTTCGAAAGGCGGAACAGTTGAGGGTCTAGGGCGACGCTGTCGGAGTCCAGCGGCCACTGTAGGTGTAGTCGGGGCATTTGACCTCGAAGACGGGCTTGAAGGACGTGAAATTAGAGTACGCGATGCAGTTTGAGGATTGCACGGATTCTTCAGATATGGCGAAGTCGACGGCGGCGAATAGGTCGTGAAGGATCTCGCTGCAATGATGTAATCAACAAACAGAATGCTGTGAAGGGGGTATATATAAGGTGAGATGAAACCCTTGAGAATGAAATCTGGCTTACTGCAACACGGTCAGCAAGGTAGCTCCAATGATGAAATTGTACTCATACAAGGAGATGTCTTACTATGTATACCGACGGCTTACCACGTAGTCTTTTATGCCCACTGACATGCTTTTGCGCCGGGCATACTATGACATCTTGTGCAGGTAGGCTACCGTGTCGGCAGGCACCATGGGCGGACTGAAGCCGTTCTCGTTGGAGTACACGTTTCGAAGTCAGAACCACTGACACTATATATATCTCGAACAGGAAAAAAAGCAATATCATAAGATGGAAGTAAGGCAGTCGTACCAAATTTATCAAGCTCAACAGCACCGCACCCTTTCTCCGCCGCTGAATCTAACCCCCCCCCTTTCTTTTTTATCACATCCAGCACATTCCCCCGGCGGATATCCAATTACCGCTCCCCCGGCCAATGCGACTAGTTGCTCACGCCCTTGAGTCCTTCGATCACGCATTCGACCGGTTCTGTTCACAAAGTTGTCTGCCAACACGTTAGATTGAAGCTTTTTTCTCCGCGTCATAGCCGATTTAGTCTAAAGGGAGTACACATACCGTAGTCGGTCAAAGTATTGTCAATCTCCAAGAGTGTAGAAGAGCGTTCTTCGTTCCTATCGTTACGGCTACTCTCAAGGGATAAAGGAGCACGTTCTTTTGCATCAATCGTCTCCAGCCGCTGTTCAAGCTAAGAAAGCTTATCTTGTTTCAGAAGCGAAAGCCGAGAACGGAGATTCGAAAGGCGACGGAAAATCTGACACGAGTCGAGGGCGGCAATAAGCGCAGAGAAACGAGGGTATCCGGTTGATCAACGCAGCTTCAGGGACCTTACAAGATAGAGGCTTATGCCGGCCCTCGTCAATATACACTATACTATTCTGATGGCCAGCAGGCAAGAAATGGAGATATTGTGAAAGAAGATCTGAAGGAAGGGAACATAGAAGAAGCTTGAGAGAATTCGAAAATTACAGCACTAGGACACAAGTTTGGGCAGATCGTCTTCTGATTTCTTCCAGAAGTATGTTGATGTGCTGGATCACCACAAAAAGGGGCCAAGTAGGCCGACTGTAAGCGCATGAAACCGCTTTGCTTTAAGCCCTGAAGGCCTTTATATATTATCGGATGTCTTTCAATGTGCTGAAGCCCCTCAAAAAATGGCGAGCGAGTGTGCCTAGACCTCTGGTAAGACACTGTAAGGCCAAATGAGACCTTCAACGTTAGCTTCTTTCAGATACATGCCCTTAACCTTTACATGCTGTACCCACACGGAAGGGCCAGCCTACCAACAATAGCGATGCCGTGACCTTTTTGCCCCATATCTAACCAACCAAAGCCCCAAAGCGCCATACGCACCCCCTCCCCCCCTCACGCCTCGATCTTGAGCTTCTCGACCCCCTCCAACCCATCCCCGCCCTCCTCCTCCTCCTCCCCCCCCTTCGCCAACCCCCCCTCCCACAACTCCCTCCCCGTCATCCTCTTCTCCTCCTTGACCCTCTTCTTCTTATCCTCCGCCTCCTTCTCCTCCGCCCTTCTCTCCTCGCGCTCGCGCATCTCCCGCCGAAACCCCTCCCGCCACTTCAAGAAGCTTTCTCTTGTAACCTGCGTCCCGTGGAACTTCGCGTTCTCGGCCTCCTCGGCCTCCGCGGCCTCGACGTCGCGCAGCGCTTGCGCGGCGGCCTGGCGCTCGGCGATCAGCAGCTCGGCGCTGTCTTTGAGCGAGGAGTAGAGCGTGAAGACCATGGCCATGCCGAGGTTTTCCTCGATGGTGGGCGTCAGGGCGGCGAGGAGGGTGGCGCGGTCGCTGGAGATGTCGAGGAACTTGTGTTTGGGCGCGTTGGGGGGCGCGGAGATGTCGAGGAGGGGCGCGGAGTCGGGGTAGGTTGGGGGGTATTGGATGCGGAGGAGGAGGGTTGCTGGCCGGGGTTAGCTTGGGTTGCGCTGTTCTAGGCTTATTCGAGGATGGGGTGGAGATAGGGGGGAGGGTGTGGTAGGGGAATTGGACTGGACGCACGAGGCTCGGAGTCGTCGCCATCTTCGTTGGTTACGTCGAGGAGGATGGAGATGCGGTATTCGGTCTCGGAGATGTCTGGTGTAGTTATTAGTGATTTATTCGCGCATGAAGGCGGTATGGGGCATTTTCACCGGTGATTTCTTCCGGGAAGATGGAGTCGAGGACTTCCCGCTCCTCTTTTTGCTCTTCTATGCCCATGGCGTATAGCTGTGGTTTTGGTGGTTGCGGAGCTTGAACGATGAGGTGGGGCTGTTTCGAGAAAGCTCGGACCACTCCTCTCGAAATTTTTGAATTTCATCACTTGAGATTCGAGCTACTACTCCTCACACTCGACCATTAATACGAAATCTGGATCCCACACTATAGACATTGGACGGAGAACTAACCCCACACAACCCTCCAGATCCACAAGTTTCAAACACCACACACGCACCATGGCGAAGACAAAACCTCAAGACCGTTCCAAACGTTCCAGAAAAAACCCGAACGGCACCTCCAAGAAAGAAAAACCCCTTCCATCCCCCGCAACTCTCCTTGCCGAAGCAACCGCCGCCCTCCAAACCTCCCAACCCGAGCTCGCCCTCAACAGCGCCCAGCGCGCCCTCTCCATCCTCCAGCGGACCTCTACCCCCACAATCGCCTCGCTCCCCGCCCTAACACTTCTCGGCGAAATAAACGTAGAACTGGGGGAGGTGGATACCGCGCGCGAGCTCTTCTTAAGAGCTGCGGCGCTAGATCCTGCGGGTGAGCTGTCCGAAGCACAAGGCGGCGGGGCCGAGAAATTCCTATGGCTGGCGCAGCTGTGCGAGGAGGGGGGCGCGGAGAGCGTGGGGTGGTTTGAGAAAGGAGCGGTGGCGTTGCGGCGGGAGATTGGGGGGTTAGAGGGGAAGAGGGGGAAGGAGGCGGAGGAGGTGGCGGATGAGAAGAAGAGGAAGTTGGCGGATGCGTTGTGTGGGGTTGCCGAGGTTTATATGACGGATCTGTCGTAAGTTTCACCACATGTTCGGGGATGGTTTAGGGGGTATGCTAATATAGGCTATCAACAGATGGGAAGAAGATGCCGAAGCGAGATGCGAGGCGCTAGTCACAGAAGCATTGCTGGTTGCGCCGAATAACCCAGAAGCGCTGCAGACACTCGCGTCGGTGCGGATTTCACAGATGAGGCTGGAAGATGCGCGGGCGGCGTTAATGAGGAGTTTGGATGTGTGGAAGGATCTGGATCCCGAAGATCCAAAGGTCCCTGAATTCCCAACCAGGATCAGCTTGGCGCGATTATTGATGGAAGCGGAGATGGAGGACGAGGCGATCGAGGTGCTGGAGCGGTTGGTGGGGGAAGATGATGGCAGTGTTGAGGCATGGTATCTTGGGGGTTGGTGTCTGCATCTGATGGGCGAGAAGCGGAAGATGGCGGCCGAGTCGGAAGAGGAAAACAAAACGGCCACATCGGTTATGCGCACGAGCATGGACTGGCTACAGAACAGTCTGAAGCTGTTTCGGTTGCTTGATTACGAGGATGAGAGGCTGAAGGAGCATGCAGAGGAGCTGGTGCAAGAGCTGGAAAAGACGCTGGGGCCTTACGTAGAAGGAGAAGACGGGGACGAGGAGGGATGGGAAGACGAAGATGGGAGTGACAACGAGGAGATGGACGACACGTGAAGAGTATTCGTTTCCTGAACGGAAAGAATTACGTCTCCCAGTCTCATGTCTATGGGCAGGAAGGTCTACATTCTTCGGGTCGCAGAGGGCGTCCGGTGAGGCTGTCTGGTAGCAGCGGCCAACATAGAGACGGACTCTGGCACCTCCACGCTGAGTGCAACACTGAGTCCAAGGGTATGATGATGGGTTCCAGGGAAGTCAGGGGAAGTCATCTACAGACGCAAATAGAGGCACAAAATCCAATATTGGCGGTAGGCAGACTCTAACGGTCATCGGTGCACGAGGGTAATACTCGGGCCTTTCCAGCCCCCCTGCGCAGGGCAGATGCCATTTGTAGAATTGCATTCTCGACATAACGTGCATGGTGTTTTGTCTTGCTCGCCAACACATGCCTGCTCTCGTGTCTCTCCCGTCGCACAGCGGACGACAGCTCTCGACCCTGCCCAGTCATAGATGCGATGGTTGTCACCATCTCCGGCAGGGCATGATTGTCGCCCCGGATCTTTCTCTGCGGCTCGCCATCTCCACATTTGGGCAGCAGAGGACGGAGCTGGCTTCAGCCCGATGGCGGGAGTGTGGCGCTGCAGGCAGGGATGGCGTCGATCGCAGGCCGACACGCCAGAACACGGCCAGGAACAAGTTAGGAGGTGTTGAGACCCGCCCACGGCACCGACTGTGGGTGGGCAGGAGACGCGAAGAAGGGCAGTTCTCAGGTGATGTGGCAGGCATCCTCCCACAGCTCCACCACGAACCTTGCCGTGGATCCCGCCGCATCAGACGTCACCGGCCTCGAAGCCCTCGCTGTGCCACTCGAGCGGGCCTTGGGCCCTCAGGCGGGCGCAAGTCTAGATCGCCATCTGGCGACTGAGCCCGCCGAACAGCAACAGCTCCACCACTCGCCAAGCCACCCGTCTCTGCATGCCGTCTCTCCAGATATCTCTCGCGAATGCCCTCCGCGTCTTTCCTCGGCCTCGTCCAGATCCTCCCCGAGCTCCTGCTCCGCCCGCCAGCAGTCACGCCAGAGTCACGCCGCCCCTCGAAGCCCTCTACCTATGTACATAACTGAGCCTCCGGCCGCCGCTCCTCCGCAGCCCAGGCTGTATCTTGCGCCGCCGTCCATGCTGCCGCCTCTCTGCCCGCGCGCCCTGGTCGACCTGGCATGATCTGGTATCTTCTGTACCCGTTCCGTGGGTGAGTATCGCTCCCTTGCGCCCCTCTGTGCGTCTCACAGGCCACATGTTGACGCGCCCGCGTGAAAAGTACCACCGAGCCCCCGAAGCTCTCCCAGACCCATCCCCTCCGCCTCGCCTTCCAGCGCCATGGAACGGCGACCGCGCGCCATTGGCTGCTCTCTATCCTCCTCTCCGTTGCAATCGCCGTGCTGCTCTGCTACCCCGTGCTTTTCCTCAATGCCGGATCCAGCCTTCCCGGTCCACATAACATACCCCACCATGTGTGGACCTCCACCACCGAGTTCCGGGGCGGGCCCAACGCGAAGGCCGATGTGGAAATGCGACAAGTATGGATGCATGGGGATTACATGAAAGCTTTGGACCTCCGCGTCTTGCGACAAGCATTGCGCGTTCAAAATGCGCTTATTGCAGATGGATTTGGATCCGAGGACCACCCCGGCTTGGACCGCCTCCCAGTATCCGACGACGCAGAGAGTACACCGCACGACCTGTGTGCCCCACCCTCCCGGAACGTCTCTTGGGCCTTTCACTCGCCTCTGATGCTTTGGAACTGCTCTTCGGCTGCACTGGAGTCTGATCCCGACATCCTGTCTACCATCAACCGAAAGATGGGCCAGCAGACCTATCTTAATTTCACCCTACGGCCAAGCTCTATATTTGCTGGCAAGGTCTTCAAAGACGGTAAATTACAGGCTGCAGATGCGCTTGTGATTACTGCCTTTGATCTGACCAAGTTCGGCATTCAAAAGACTTGGGAAGCCCGGTTGACGGCACTGGCTAAAGATCTATCAGATCAATGGTCGTTATATCCTGAGACTGGCACGGTGGCAGCGAGCCAACTTTATGAATTTCGCTTCAGGCCTATGACTATATCCGATGACATTTTCCTGGCGTTAGTCTATGGACTAATGGCCTTGTATGTACTAGCTAGCCTCGGGAAGATGCGAGCTGTCACCAGCAGGTTTGGTCTAGCAATAACAGTAATCTGCAAGGTATGTAAAGCGACTTTCACCCCTAATGACGTGATACTCATGCTGTTTAGATGTCTGCTGCTATTCTTGCCAGCTTTACGATCTGTGGAATGCTCAAGATCAACCTAGCCCACATCCCTCGAGAGGCGTATCCTTTCGTAGTTCTCGTCATCGGCCTTGATAACATGTAGGTGCACATATCCTTCAAACCCATCTTCCATCACTAATGAAGGATTAAGCTTCCGATTGATAAATGAGGTGTTATCAAATCCTCCCGAAATGCCTACAGTTCATCGCATTGGCAATGCACTTGGCGAGGTTGGGCATCTGTCACTTGCACAAACCCTTCAAAATCTCGTGCTTTTGTGGCTGCTCTCACGGGTCGTCTCTCCTGGCGTCGCTGCGTTTTGTGCATTTGCTGCTGTGGCACTGGTCTTTGATTTCGTATTCCACCTAACATTCTTCCTCGCTGTTTTGAGTGTTGACGTGAGAAGGCTCGAGCTTCAGGATTCGCTCGACAGAGTCAACATTTCTCAACCGACAAAGAACCCAAAGCACGATCAGCAACACTGGCTCGGAGCGCTGATTGTACGCAAGATCCCCATCCAAACGCGGCTGGCAGGATCTGTCGCAATTGTGTCCTTCGTCCTTATGCTGAACTGGCATTTCTTTGACAGCGCCAATCAGCCAATCTCCTTTGGCCGCCTCATTGAATACGCTCTTGCTACCAGGGACTCGGTAAATACATCTCGTGCGTCTCACACGGTGCGACCGCAGCCGCCTATCAACCAAGCGCGTACGCCAGCGGAATGGTTAAGGATGCAGGATCACGACACAGCCAAGGAATTCATTCAGTTTTTCAAGCCAAACGCGTACAGCTTTGTCGCCCGGGTGTATGATCCGGTACTTATTGTGCTGAAGGGTGCCGATGGCAGAGAAGCACGGCCGCAACCCACATCGTTTCTGTCCATAATTCGTCAGATGGCAGAGCAACATCTCTTCCCGGTTGCGCTTGCGGTTGGCTTCACAATAGCACTCGTCACTCTCCTAACTAACTTCCTCCTGTCGAATGAGTTACCAGATGATGTGGAGGATGGTGAGGACGCGCACTCGCTAGCTGTCAGAACACTTCCAGCTTCGCACGGCTTGGATATCATTCGACTTACGTCATGTGGCAGAGGACACATTGTGAGTATCAGCTTGGATCGCTCCACGTGCATTTGGTACCACGATAGATCGAGGGGATATTCCCAACTGATCATCAAGACGGCAAAAGCAACACCCCCGATTTGGCCTATCATAGGAACTACGATCGACGACAGTGGAAGGTTCCTCGCACTATTGACAGACTACGGCCAAGCGGCGCTCTGGAGTCTTGTGGATCGACGATTCTTCAAGTCGACAAAGGTTCCACTGAGGGGCCAAATACCCGTTTTCTTTTCATTTGCTTCTATGGATACGACAGAGCATGAGAGATTGAGCCTCTTATTTGTCACGCCCGATGGATGTCTAACAGATCTTGACCTTCGTTCGTCCCAACAACAGAGTCACCAAATTAGCCAGAGCAAAATCATCTCAACATCCTTGCTCTGCTGCGCCAAAGGGAGAATGAACATCATAAGCGCCTCTAGAAACGGGCAACTACACGTAACCACAAAATCCTCCAGTAATGAATGGAGCTCGGAGACACTGCCCAATTTTGGACCGCGACTATCCGACGCCGGAAAGCTATCGAAGATCAAGTCCATCTTGACAGTCTCAAGCCTCGGTCTGGTATTTGCCGTCCGGCAGTGCGAAGTGGATGTATTCGACTTCCACAGCCGTTCCATCGTCCACACGGTGAGGACTAGGCATGTGAAACCGAACACTCTCAGAGTCCTACATTCACACCGAAACTCATGCTCGTGCGGAGCTACCACCATCAACTCGCTTTCGATCGTGTACACGGAAATCGAGACTCGTCTCTTGATCATGCACACCTTCTCCATCGACGACTCGTCAAACTCGCAGATTTGTCTTCGCTCATCGTCGGAGAACGAGACGCGGGCCTGCGAAGGCTTAGACAGCGCGCGGGAGGCCCTTCACTGGGTACACAACCCTGGCATCTGGGAGGCGACACACGCGCAATCCGTCATCGGCATACGAAAACGGCCGTCAACACTAGCGCCGTCTTCAATTACGTCCGGTGCTGACACAGGCTACTTTGAACAGACTTCAGACGCTCCTAGCAACGCACTCAAACACCGCAGCAACAAACCGGCCACCGATCTCTCCTCCCTCCCAACACCCACCTCCCACACCGAGCCCAACCCTGACGAGCACATTGAACTCGACACAGCCGACGAGTGGGAAGCTTGGACTCTCACCAGCGTTGGTGAACTGCTCACGACGCCGCTCTTCCCAGATGCAGGCGAGGCCTCGCAGCAGGACGACCAGCTGTGGGTCTCGAACCCAGGCCCGATTGCGCGGCTAGGTAAACGTGCCGTAGCGGTGGGCTTTGGGAACACGGTCAAGATTATCATGCTCGGCAATGAGCGGTTCGAAGAGGACACGGAGGAGTTTGTGGATCCGACGGTTATGCAGTGGAGGAGTGGGAGGAGGGGGTTGGGGCGGAAGGGGCAGTGAGCTTTTCGGGTAGGAAATAAGGGATCATGGGACACCCTACGAGGATTGATTGATTAGATTCGGAACACATAACCGGGGTTCAGAGGGATGGGCGGGGGCGTCTACGGGTGGAGACTTGATTTCAGGTGCGTTGGCTGATGTTGGCGGCGAAAACTTCGTATACACTTGGAAATGGGGTTTTGGTGGGTTGTTTGATATTCATTCTTTCACAGCGAGATACCTCTCGAAGAATTGTCATTTGATATCCCTCGTCTCTTGTACTCGGCACACATGCCGCTCCCTTGAGATCTATCCCCCGTCTCCTAAAACTGGCATCTGCGAGGCCGTATGCTTGCATAAGTTCCTCAATCCATCTTGGTCCTTGTCCCGGCTTTCTGCTTCTCGCCTCCACGAATCTTCGGCCATCTTTTTCAGTTCCCTCCGCACCCCGTCATCAATCCGCCATCTCCTACCTTCCACCTCCGAGAACGACGTCGTGCTGAGCCTCCATGCTATAATTTTTCAGTTCCAGAACCGGATCCAGGACGTCATGCCGTAGCAAGGGACACTTTCTAGCAGAAGCCCGAAGCGGGTGAAGCGGATGATGTCGAAGACTAAAGAGAAGGGCATTGTGTTCGTGAAGTAGGGTGGGAGAGGGTCTGAGCGACGAGTGAGGGCAGAGGAAGTATGGGGTTTTGGAGACGGGTGTTGGGAGGGAGGGAAGGGTTGGGGTGTTCCTTACCGTGCCTCCTATAGGCGCAAACATCGTGGATCCAACGTGTTGCTTCCTAATCAAATCCACAGCATACGGGCGTGTTTACAGAGTGTTAGCACGGTGTTAACAGCTTGTTAAAGGATTAAGCCAGCGCATTGTGTGGTGAACAGCCCTTTAGGAAGCAACAGCGTAGGACCTCCGTGGTTGCCAATGTTGAGAACCGGTGCCGGCGCGGTAAAGTTGGTATAGCCCCAGACGGGGCGGAAAGCTTAAGGTGAATGTATGAGGGAGCTACAGTTTCCTTTTCATTCTCTTGGTCTAAACGACGCTAATGGAACCAGGGACGTTTAATTTAAGGTACTGTGAGTATGGTAAGGACGATGTAGTTCTTTCGCCTACTTTGGTATTTGTTGCGTTGCCAGCGTACGGTGATTTTTATCCATGGAGGATCTGTATCAGCTTATACTGTGTCCCATTATTCCCCCCTCCTGCACACTCTAGTGCTGCAAATCTTATCCTTAAACCGCTAACTAGATCTAGCATGCTAATATGCTAGAGACAATGGGCCCTCCCTTAACGAACACGCCGTATGTCAAGAATGCCTTATGGACAGATTTGCGGCGCGACCGCAGCGCATGCACTTCGCCTTAACAATCGTCTCGCGATACATGCAGATGCCACCTGCGCCGCGAATGGTCTACGTCTCGGTGGAATGTCTCCTAGATCCTAGGACCTCCCGGGGGCCGATGTTGTCTAGTCACGTTCGCGGCACAGTCACGAGCGGCAAATCCAGGTTTCAAGCATACTACCCAAGCCACACGCAAGCTAGACACGTACTACAGTCTATCTGCAGTTTGTTTCAAGGCGAGCGACTTGACGAATGGGGCATCGTTCTATCTCCCAATCTGGTATTGCACGGATCAAAATCGCGATCGCTTAGTGCTACGCGCCGACATCTTCATCCCCTTGTTGCCAGAAACCCATGCGATGCATCCGCAGGAGCCTCAGTATCGGCTGTGCAAACCCAGGTTTGGCTCCTCTTTGATTCGGGAATACATCCTGATCTTGTGCCGCACTGCGAGCATCGCCTACAACGTTGTATCTGGCTCCACGCACTCCATCGCCGCAAATATATCAAAAAAAAAAAGTCGAATCTGGATCGCAAGGCGCCATGTGTCCTTTAAGCACATTGACAATTCGGTAGTATAAATATAAGTGGTCGCCCTTACAATACACAAAGGTCATTCTTCGCAAGTTGCTGCTCTTTGATCTATTTCTCTTTCTCTTTCGGCTACAATAGAGTCACTACTGAGAGTATTGGGTACGTAATATCCACGCATCAATCGGTATGTCAGGCCATTTGAGATGGTCCTGGACGGGCATACTCCTAGTAAGTCCGCGACCACCTCCATATACAGATGCTAATTTTCGCAGGTCTCAGCCCTCTTAATCGCTTTCCGTCAGCTTGTCTTCCGTAATTCGACTTGGGTAGACCTCGGATACTTCAACAACCTTCCAAACCCCGTGAACCTATTTCACTATTCTCGACCATCGTCAAATACCTCACCCTTCCCTACGATCTCTTTCTCGGCACGTCAGGAAGGAATTCTTTGGAGGAGAGAAGGCCCCGTGACTGGCTCAGATAGTCCCTTTGGTGGTACCTCTGGCCTCTTCGGCTCCACTGGACCCATATCATCATCAATCGGGAGTACTAGCACGTTTCAGTCGTATGGAACTTCGGTATCGAGCACATTCACATCGGAACTTTCATCGGGAACTTCAGACAAAACAGCCGCTCTCTCTTCCACCACGACCTCCGGTTCAACTTCCTTCGCTTCGGTATCCTCAACCAATCAGAATACGGGCGGCTCCGCTGGCTCCGGCGCTAACATCCCACCTTCTACTGTCCAGGTCACTGCGACCGTTACTTCCATCCAAACCTCGACCATCCAACTCACACCCGTGCCTCAAGGACCCGAGATTGTCGTAGGTTCTAACACTTATCCGTTCGAGACGAAGACCAGAACGATTACCCAAACAAGTGGCGGTGACATCGTAATTGGGCCAACGCTGGTGGTGTGCGGCACAGTCACTATACCCCTCAGCGTGACCGGCACAGCACCCCAACCACTATCCTGCCCGGGAGCAACCATGACAGCTAATCCGGCCCCGACATATGGAAACTTCTCCGACCTCGCGAAAGAAGTAGATGTTGTCGTAGACGATCAAGAATTTGTAATTCTCCCATTCCCGTTCGCAATTCCGCGCATACTCCCGTCCGCCACCAAGGTCGACAAGATTGAGATGTCTCCTTCCGGCGTCATCCTTGGAGGAGCCAACATGCCTATCCCACCCGGACTCACCAAAGAGACTGACCTTGGCAATGGTATTAGAGCCAAGCCAGGAGGGAAAGAGAAGAAGAAGAAATCCAACTGTGGAGGCCTGTTTGGCGCCATCAAATGCTTGGCCGACACTGCGGGGAAGGCAGGAGACGGAGTCGCAGGCATTGTGAAAGACACAGGGCCTTTTGTGAAAGGCACTACAGATAACTTCGACGACGCTGCAATCACCAGTAAATTCAACCTTGTAGACGGATGTAAGTATACTTTTCTTGATTATTCCATTCATTATTTTGCGCAACCACATTGTGCACGTTGCTAACTAGTCCTAGTCGCACAAGACTTCGCGCATACAGTCAACGGCCTCACCGATGATTTCTCTTCCGAGTTCTCCAACGACCTCAAGTCTATGGACGCAAAATTCAAGAGCCCAATACCGGGGACCGGGCCACCAGAAATAGGCCCCCTCCTCAAAAGCGCATGGTTGGAAGCAAAGCATATGTCTAATGTCGTCAACGGCGCCAAAAACCTGATGAATGCCCTCAAGAAAGGCGGCCCTCCTGATCTCATCAACGACGTAAAGAAGCAGCTAAAAGACCTCTTGAACACCAACGTGCCGAAGCCAAAGGGTGGGCTCGGCCTTGAGATTCCAAATCTGGAAGCACTCAAGGACCTGGTACCCGAAGACGAGCTGCCAACTGAAAGCGTTCCAACGCCGACCAGTGCTCCATTTACAACTCTACCTACTTCAGGGGGACGCACATCACTTCAAGCGTCCACCGCGCTGCAGTCAACCCTTTCGACTTCCTTAGCAAGCACCCAGCAGTCTGCGACGGCATCTACAACTACTAGCTCATCAAGCTCCTCTTCGTCGTCTTCTCACACACCGACTGCCGCAGCCCAGGACTACTTCATCATGACTAAGTTTGGCACGGATTACGACACATTTTTAAACTTTACGACAGATTTAGACAACAACTCTGGCGATATCTCCGAGCGTAGCGAATTTCCAGAAGTTGAATGGCCATTTTATTATACTTATATGAATGAGACCAAAGCCAAAGAATTGATGGATAGTACGAAATATCCCTTCATCGAAGGTGTTTTCGTGAACGACCCTGGAACCGGAGATGGAGAAATCGACATGAAGGGCGTTATCCCTCTTGGAGACAAAGCAGGGCATCTACGTGTAGAACGAGCGGCTGAAGAAGGCAACTATCCTCCTAACCCCGATCTTATCGAAAGAAGGTGGGAGCCTTCTCGAGTCACATCACCAATCAACCACCTAAGTATGATATCACAAGCGCTTCCTGGAAATATTCCGAATTCGTATATCTTTGATCCGTCCCTCGGCAGAGGCAGTACCATCTACGTCGTGGATAGCGGCTTTACACCAACCTTAGTCACTGGTGGGGTAAGAAAAGCGCTCTGCTATTTCACTGTCCTCATATAATAATATTGTTATTAGGAATTCGATATGAGCCGTATCCAACAATATGTTGTGCCGAATAAATTTAGCCTAAGAGGCATTTCGACCAGTCTGCATGCCCCAGAAGATATGACAGACAGATACAAATCCCAAGATGCTGTCGGGCACGGGACCTTTGTTGGGAGCATCGCGGCCGGTCTCATGAGTGGTGTAGCTTCGAATGCAGATCTATTCTTCATCAAGGTGTTCAATCAAATGAAAAATCCGAACTACAAACCGCCAATCCCGGGCGAAGAGCCTGTGCCGGAGTTCGGAGGAGCCGGAGGACTTCGAATGGGGGCGGTGATAGACAGTTTCAGAATTATAATGAACGATGTCCGTAAACGAGATCTTAAAGGCAAAGCGGTCGTCAATCTTAGTATCGGTAATAATCTCATCATATGTAACAGAGCACTATGCTGACGATTCTATTAGGGATTCGGGAAGGCTCAAAGCACTTCAGGGGCATTAGCAGTATCATGAAAGAGTTCATTCAGCGATGCGACGATCTTGGAATCGCAATTGTGGTCGCGGCTGGCAACTCCGGAAATCCGAATCTGAATGCAGGGCAGAAATTGGTCCCTTTGCATAAGGACGCCATGACAATGCATGGTACCGACGATAATGCGGTAAGGTCTTTGGAATCTATCCCCCAGCCGACCGGATATCTAGGTACTAAGTCCTGCCGTCTAGCTAATTACAGTCGGTGGAATTAATTCAGACGGTTCCCTTGCGATTCATACCTCACCGCATATACACGGTCAAGCCGGTTCAATCACTATATATGCCGCATTTCGTGTGATGAGCACAACTTCGGCCTTCCCCGGATTTGGAGGTTTGGTGTTTATTTTCGGCACCAGCTTTGCTTCACCCCAAGTTGTAAGTCGAGCTCCCTCTCGAAGGCTCAGAGAGGATTGCAGGGTTTCGGTATACTTACACTTTTTTGCCACTGATTGGGGTGCCTCGATATATTTCGCAAAAGAAACTGGACACAATGTGAGATTTGGTACAACCGGATCGAGCAATAACTCCAATAAGAAGCGCGGGAGTGGACTCAAAAAGGGACAACGCATTCACTGCAATTCCCCAAATATTGGAAATATATTGAAGCACCCCAAACTGTGACAGTTAACGGTAAATGGCTGATATCTTGGCTTTGTGGTCTTCTAACCTTTCGCGATATGGTCATTCTTTTACTAACCAATCTAAGGCTGGTCTCGCTGCATACTTCATGTCTCTCGAGGCAGTCGCAAAGGAAGAACCAGGTGACGTATTCTCTGCCAGGTCAATCAAACAGTATCTCGTACGGCATTCACGAGAGTTACATCAGCCAGGGCAAGCTGTAACGCCGTCTGATTTGAATGAACTCCAATATACTCCACCGACCTCTTGCAATGCTGCCTACAATCGGGCACCAGAAGGGTATATCATGTATGATGTTCATCCCAGAGAGAACTTCACTGACCCTTTTTAATTAGTATCTGCGCTAGCAAATTCGAGAAGCGAGGCCTCCATATTCTGGCAAATGCGAAACGAGAGGGCTCTTTGGTGTCGTTTCAGACCGACATTCCCACTGCACTACCTTCGGGCTTCCCATCGCTCAATGTTACGGAGATTCCGATTATGTCAAGTGGGACATTGATAGCTACAGCTTTCGACCATGGTGAATTTGGTCTCGCCTGTACCCCGACGTCAGCAATAGCACTATCGTCCTCCACCAGCTCGATATCGTCCAGGTCAGGCACCACGTCTCCGTCAAAGTCAGCCCAATCGCCGGATTCATTGGTGTTTCAAGTATCATCAACAGCAGCAGCTCCGCCTTCTACGTCCTCGGCGTCCTCCAGATCTTCCAGGTCTTCGAAGTCCTCCGCTTCCTCCACCGCATCCATAGCGTCTCAGCCAAAGCCATTCTCATCACTAAGATCATCGACCGCGGCAACTCCGATCACATCTTCTATGTCGCCGAGCCTACCTCCCAAACCGACATATAAACCTGTAGAGGGCCCCCTATCATGCAACGATGACAAAATGAGCACGTGCCAACACGGATCTGTCAAACCAAACCACATCGACGAAACCGCCAAGGAAATATGCACACAACTGCAAAACAAGGATTTCTATCCTAATAATACTCGAATCAACGGTTACAGAGCTCACGAAGGAGTGAGCTACAACTTCTTCGTTGAGTGGGACATGGGATGTATGAGTGAGACCAGACACCACTTCGATGACAATCTTGCAGTCTGTGAGGACATGTTCAAAGCTACGGTATTCAACTGTAAGTCTATCTACCTGCTGTATAAGCGCTCGAATGGTGATACTGATATATATTTATTAGGCCCAAATAATCAAGGTAGCGGTAAGAAAATATGTGTAACATCGCCGCATCTGACGTTGGCTGACTCTAAATAGGTGGAAACCACACCGAAGGGTGCGTACGACTTGGTTTTGAGCCCACCTGTATGGACTCTCCGCCACCGAAGATTACTGAGGGCCCACTGGTGTGTAATGAGAAGAGAGCTTGCCCCACCGATGCCCAAAGCGAGTCAGTAGATTACGTCGCCCGGTCGTTGTGCGACTCGAACTACAAAAACAACGAATTATTCACACCCAAGGATGGACGATGGGAGGGCAATACAACCAAAATTACTGCATGGGGTGCTCCGACCCTATACACTGCTTATATGGAGTGGGACACGAGCTGTACGGCTGAAACGGAGCACAAACTTGACGCAGATGCCGAGCACTGCATGCAGATGCTAACGGGGCCTTACCATAACTGCACAAACGGGGGATTTGGTGAGTGAGTAATTCCATTTCCTTTCGGGCCTGTCTTCTTCTAATCGCGCATGGTTATAGGAGGCTACCGCCCAGAAGGCTGCGTCAAATTCGGCATTGACGTCACCTGTGACATGAAGTTAGGCGAAGGTCCTCTCCAATGCAACCCGGCCTGGAACTGCTACGACGCGATCCACGAATCATACGTTTTGAAGGCGCTGACAGAATGGGAATCCGCTGAAAACACAGTACGGACACTGTACGCAGACCCCGACAAGGACCAGCTGAGCTGGGGCAAAGAGACCCACAGTGCCGCTGTGTACGAGTTTAGCGCTAGGTGGACAAAGGGATGCACGGCCGAGAGCAGTCACGAGGTCTTTGGGGGAGATTGGCAGAGTGTATTTATGAGTACGTGGAAGGACTGTGATGATAGGGATAGAAATTCAGGGGCCGGTGGCTGGCATCAGGAAGGCTGCGTCGCGTACGGATTCTTCCCGTGGTGCGACACGTGAGGGGGTTTGGATCCCTTGGTCCAGCTGGAAAACACTAGAATCGTTCATTTTTGTGTTTGATAGGAAGTATGTCCTATTATTACGCCGGCGTTCTGCGCCTCCTTCGAGGTATCTTCAGCACACGTTGCCGATCACGTGACCCTGGCAACCTTCGCGGAGCCTTGATACGTTAGGTCACAACGTAACTGAGTAGAGGCTCCGAATTACTAACAAACCCTACACCAAACAATTGAGGCGATGTAACGGTGCGCTCGTCGCAAGCTAACAATGCTAGAATACAGGACAGTTTTGCGGCGCGGTTTACGACACGCTTCGCCCCAACATTTCGCAGGATGCCACAATATTGGCAATGCAAATTGTTATTCTGATCCTTCCTGTTTCAGGATATCCTCCTGGTTTTCCACTACGCTGCGGACTTTGCCCTAGAGGTTTCATCAGCCGCTTGTGAATCCTTGAAGGCTTTGAGCCATGTGTCCATTTTCAAGGGCCGCGGGTTCCAACATGTTAATTTAATATATGAGTAGTCTTATCGGAGTTTTCTAGCTTCCTAAGCCAATTTTTTTGGGATTATTCCATTTTTCACCGCTTTTCATATCAGGTTCGTCGTAAGTCCGGAGATCACGGTTCAAAATATTGCCATCTTTCTTTGAAGGTCTCCCAAATCACTGGGCCAACTGGGACACGCAGACTCTGCTCCATAGATCAATATGCCAGGTCATTTGCAATGGTCCTGGATTGCAATAATCATAGTAAGGCCGCGAATATTTCAGGTCGCATAAAGAGACTAATGATGATCAGATCGCATTCCTCATCCTACTTTGCCAACAGACTTTCTTTCATGACACCACACACATAGATGTTTGGCGCTTCAGTAGCCTTCCAAATCCCTTTCGGCTATTCGAAAACTCACGCTCATCGACCACGCCCTCACCTTTCCCTACGCTTTCTCAATCCACACCACAGGACGGAGTCTTCTGGAAGCGAGGCCAAACGACAGGTTCGGATGGTCCCTTTGGCGGAACCTCCGGTTTTGTTGGCATTCTGCCCATATCGTCGATCGGGGGTCCAAGCACCTTTGAAACTTCAGTATCTAGCGCACTTTCATCGCAAGGCTCGGACACAACAAACATTCTCCCTTCAACCACGTTATCAACAGATCCGATATCTTCATCTGGAGCACTCTCGTTCCATGCTTCATCCGGTTCTGACGGCTTTTCAACCGCGGTATCGTCCTTCACATCTTCTAGAACGTCGAACCCAACCACGGCCACAACAACGGCCACAATCCACAAGCCAGGAGAAGGACAGTTATTATGCAACGTTGATAAAATAGGAACTTGCAATGGAGGATCTGTTCAGCCAAACCACGTTGATGAAGCCGCCGCTAGTATCTGCAAAAAACTTCAAAACCTGGATTATACCCCTAATAAGGCAAAGATCGAAGACCACCAGGTGCAGGGAGGAATTCTTTACCATTCCTTCGTTGATTGGGACTCGGGATGTGTGGACGAAACTGTACATCACTTCGGGGACAACCTTGCCCACTGCGAGGACATGTTCAAAGCTACTGTACTCAACTGTAAGCCGTAAACTAGTGTAGTCTACGACGCAGCTGACATATCTTTAGGCAAAGGAAATAGTGGCAGCGGTAGGGCGGTCCTATCATAATTTGCCGTAACTCACTAACTCTGAATAGGTGGAAACTATACCGAAGGCTGTGTCCGACTTGGCATTGAGACTACCTGCTCGGATCCCGACCAAGACCCACAGATTTGTGACCGTGGACCCTCCTGCCCCAATCAACTTCAAATAGAGACGGCAAACTACGTTGCCAATCAGTTATGCATGAACTACGAAGTCATGTCACCAATCACACCAAAAAGTTAGAAGTGGGTTTTTGATTCCTGGAAAAATACCACTGGATTTGCTCCCACCAAGTACTCTGCGTACATAGAGTGGGACACGAGCTGTTCGACTGAAACGGAACACGAACTTGACTCGGATTGCGAATCGAAGGTTAAAGAAGCTTACCACAACTGTGCGAACAATGCGAACCACCAAGAGACTGGAGGCTACCGCTTGCACGGCTGCGTCAAATTCGGCATCGACGTCACCTGCGACATGTCTTTAGGCGAAGGGCCGCTCATTTGCAGTACCACGCCTTGGAAGTGTGACGGGGGAGCCATCCACGAAAAGGACCTCGACAGAATCATCGAAGAATTCAAGGGCCATCAGGAGGACAACGCCGATAAGAACTTATACGTCCTATCGTCGGCTCTCGGACAAACCCACAGACGCGAGAGCGGTGATGACTCGCACGCCAAAGCAGTGTACGTTTTCAATGCCAACTGGACGCAAGGATGCACGGCCGAGACCAGCCACAACATTTTTAGAGGTACGTACCATAATATCTTCAAAAGCACTTGGAGGGATTGCAAGAATCAGAATGGCGGATCGGGTGGTTCGCATACGGAGGGCTGCGCCGTGTTCAGCTTTGAGCCGTAGTGTGATAAGACGGCTTGAGGGACTTGGTTCCCGCCGTCAAAATTCATGCTGACTTTCGACTCTGTCTCACCAGCCTTTCGTCGGACCTAGCCATGTGGGAAGGGTTTCCAGATGCAGAGGAGCATTTTATCTCCGCAATATAACGCTGTCGCTACTAGGTATCGTCTCCGGGCTTCCCTCTCCTGCCTCACCATCTTCCTCCACGCTCCATCACGCCCTCGTCCGTCCTCGCCTTGTCGTCTGCCCACCGATTCTGTATCCCTCCTCGTTACTAGCGCTACTTCCTCCCTTCTAACTCCGTCATCTGCCCGCAAACTCTGTAGCCTCCCCCTCCACGTACGACGTCTTACTGAACCTCCATGCTACGATTCGCCCGTTCCAGAACCGGACCGAGGACGTCATGCCGCAGTAAGAGATTGTTTCGAGCAGAAGGTCGAAGCGGATGAAGTCGATGAAGTGGACGATTGAGGAGAATGGTACGGTGCTCGCGAGGTTGGGAGAGTGTCTGAGTGGGGGTGAGAGAATTATGGGATTTTGGAAGCGGATGTTGGGATGGAGCGTTGGGATGAGGCGAAAAGAAAAGGTTGAGGTGAGTGGATAAGGAAGTGACAGTTTCATTCTGGTTCTTCTCGGTTAAATGGTGCTGATGGAAGAAACGATGTTAGTTTAAGGTACTGCAAGCATAATAAGGGCGGGTTTAGGTCTGCACTAAGTAAGTCACGTGCTGCTGTCGGCGGTAGGGAGGGGTAAGTTGGTGAGGTAAGGTAAAGCGAGGTGAAGATTAGGAACTATTCTGGCTGGCCAGCTGGCGCTTCGAATTTGTAGCTTAGTTGCTCTTCAGATGCAGGATGCGCTTTTCAGCTATCAAGATGGTAGAAAACAGGGTCAAGTAAAGTTGGGCGGAAAGATGATATATTAGAAGTCCACTCAGTCGAGCTTTACCTGTCTGTCACGTGACTATAACCTCCTTTGGCTGCATCGACCAATTGGGGCTCTAGCGGCCTGAACTCCGTAGCAGTTGAAGGTGGTTTCTATCATGTATCTAGCCTTTCTTGTATTCCACGGCTGCAATACCATTATCATGTGACCAGGACAGCTTGTCTATCTTTCCGCCGTCGCCTGTCTTGAACACCGCCTTCCAGAAGTCCGGACCTTCGTCTCCACCGACCCATCGTCCACGCTTAGAGAGCTCATTGCGCGGTAGCAGCCAGGTGAACAAGTCATCTTCATAGTTATTCAGAAGGAACTTCTCCGACTCCAGGCCTTGGAGCAGCCAGTATAGCTGGCCCTCTTTCAGGACCACGTCGATCTTGAAGACGTGAATGGCGTCCCAGTAGGTGCAAACGTATTCCTCCAGGGGCTTTGCAGATGTATCGTACTTCCGCTCTTGGGCCAACTCATGCATGAGCGAAGGATACCATTTGAGGTTCTCGGCTCGCGAGCTTTCGGCTGCCTTGAGATAGTCATTCCTCTCTACGTCCGGGGCTTGGATGAACTCTTCGAGGACGAGTTGGCCAACCTGCGTTTGAGGAGATTACAATGGCGCTCTCGGTTGCTGGGAGCAGGATCACGATGGAGAGAGCACCGGGTAAACTTCCTTGGTGGAAGATGGCTAGTTGAGATGGCACTCCTTTGCCAACGGTCGGCATACCATTGGGCATGAGATCCGGGTTGATGCCAACCTGGCCCATGCGTCCGGGTAGCTGGACCTTTTCCCCAGCCCAAGCCATACGAGATTTCATTCCTGGAAGGCTGATCGACCGGAATCTTGGCCGACATTAGCTGCGGAACCTGCTTGAGTGGTAGGCCCTTAGTTGAAGTCTTCCCGCTCTGCAATTAGTCGTTGAAACTAGCCAGGAAAGCTTTGTAGAGCCTCAAGAGGTTGCTAACACAGCTTCGCATACCAGCGCTGGGCGTTCCGAACCAGTCATCTCCGGCCTTTACGGCGGGTATGCGCACCGAACAACCGTCGTCGAGTGCATTGTAAGTGGTGCCGATGTCCTCAAGGCTCGACGGGGGTGTTTGGAGGAATGTACGATCCATGCCGAGAGGATCGAAGATGCGGGTTTGGAGGAAGTCGAAGTACGACTGGCCACTTAGAGCCTCGATCACCTTTCCCGCAAGTTCGAAGCCCATGTTGTTGTAGGAGAGTTGACCACAGAAATGCAAGAGCCTCGTCTGGCTATTGATGTATTTCATCGAGTCCTTCTCGCTAATGAGTATGTTGTTTTCCGTCCCGACGAATAAGTTGTCGCCCCAAGACTTTCCAGAACGATGGCACAGAAGATCCGTGATGGTGAGATTGTTCTGCAGGATATCGTCGTTGATGTTGAAAGATGGAAGAGCATCCTTGATCAACGTGTCCCAGTTTGCCTTGTTCTCTTCCATTAATATTCCCAGAGCAGCTGATGTGACTGCTTCCGTCATCGAACAGACAGGCAACACAGTTTCGTCCGTGATTGGCAGACCTTTCTCAACGTCGCTGTGGCCGTAGGCTGCGTAGTAGACCTGTCTACCCTGATGCATGACACCGAGAGAAAGCCCAGGGGTACCTCCGATGCTCATCAACTTTTCGATGGTTGCGCGGAGTGCATCGAGACGAGTACTTAGGTTTGCCATTGTTGCTGCGGTTTCAGCTAGAGCATACTGTCAGAAGAGTGTCGATACTGAAGCTGAGGGCACTTGCATGTTTTTGAAGAGAAAGGATACTGGAATGAAGAAGCCTTGGGGAACGCCCCAGTTAGAAGGGCGGTGGTGAACATGAGCACGACAGCAGTGATGATATACCTACGGGATAAACACATATAGAATGCAGAATACGGTGGATGCTCGGTGCCATGAGTTGGCCTGCTATATCACTCATAGAAGGAGGGTGTGGCAAGGCTGGAAGCACTGAGATAACATGGACGCGGTGAGGCGGTTTGAAAAGGCTGAATCAGGGGCCGAGAAGGCGACTTCAATTTCAACAAGAATGGTTTTTGCTGGACCAAATGGAAAGGCCCGCAAGAATGGACTGGATTGAGTGCAGATGAGGTGAAAAAAAAGGGGCACGAGTGGCTACGCCAGAGCTACATCAAAGAAGTTGAAGACTTTATCAAGGCGGAAGTGCAGAGACAGGATGGAAAACCAGTGGATTTCGTCAAGGTGTTCGACTACAAGGTTTGCCACATAGCACTTTCTTAATGGACGATAAACTAACAAAAGGAAACGTATACAGCCCCGGAACAGCGCAGACATGGCGATCTTTGATTCTAGGACGCTGAATCTAGACGATGGCCTTGACACCATGATTCCAGTTACGCATCCCCACGTCCGTAAGCCCAAACGCTAGGTACCTGCTTTTTATTCTCTTCTGATGCAATGAGAGCAGACCAAAGAGGAGTCTAGATGTTGTATACGGACGAGTGAAACATTCTTGTTAAGTTGGGCGTCAAGGCCGTAATGTGTCGAGATGAATCATTGGAGGCCATGCTTCCTTTGCAAGGTTCCACGTATCCTGGAGAAGGTTTACTGTTGCAACACTTTGGACAAATCTCGTGTTCGGAAGAAACTGCACCTCCACATCTTCGATGTTCGACGCCATGTCATGAATGAGGATCAGTGAGCCAAATAATAGAGACCGGTAGACGTCCTCAAAATATGGCTGTTTCGCCGCCCAGCGATCCAATACTTGGATGATGTATCGACTTATACTAAGATTATTGATAGAACGACCGGTCATTCCATAGAGATAAGAGGTGTGAAGTTACCGTCGGAGAGCAATTGGATGACGTGATTGACAAGGCATAAGGACATCAATGCGCTTGACTGGGAGGTCGAGCAGCATCGATGTGGGCTAAGCGAAGAGCTGTCGACCTAAACCGGCGCAACCATCTATCTTCCATTTCGCTTGCAATATAGGGTCGTTGCGCACTTTGTTGCACGGGTTAACGAAGGAGGAAGCCCATCGGGTCTTGGAGGTGTTATCGTTCTCTCGGTCCTCGTAGTAGCGTTGACAAGTTGTAACGAAGGAGTTAGTGGCTGACGGGTTGAGGAATGGCGACACAGGGCTGAATAAAGGCTCAAGACTAGCTGTCAGCTCCATAATTGAGTGCGCGCATATGGGGTATGTAGTAAATAGGCTGTCTTTGTAGGAAAGTGGCTGCCGCCACTTTCTTATCATGCTTCATGCAAGAATGCGATCTAGGCGTCTTTAGACGACTTGGCTTGCAACCATCAACGGCCTCATGGCCGACTAGACGATAGTTGGCGTTCTATGACGTTGAGGAAAATAGGTTCTGCCGTAGCCAAGATCGGCAATAGAATTCTAGATTAACGCGATCAATATGCTGCCCCTTTGATTTTGCGCGTAAACTTGTCGCCCATAGGCTTGCAGATGCCAGCCTACAGACCACTTATTACCTACGCCTAGTACAATATCTTTCAACAGTACATCTCTAGCCCGAAAAATAAATCATAAGAACGAAGTGCAACACAACATGCTGTCGGTCTGCTAATCCCAGAAGGGCTCCCTGAGCACTCAAAGCCGCGAATGCCCTAAACCATCGCCCGCCCCTCTATCCAGAAGAGACCCACGCCATATATCCGGCTTTCCTTTTCAAACCCACTATAAGGATCCGAACACATCCCCCCTCTCACCTATTCCCCCTCACCGCCTCCAAAAAAGCCTCCGCAAACACCTTATACCCCACCCCCTTGGGATGAAACACCCTCCTCACATCTCCACCCCCATCCCCCTCACCCCCCCAAAACCACACCTCCCCCTCCGCCGCAGTATGCTCACAGAACCGATGTCCGCCCCACCCCTTACTCCACCCATCCACATCCACCCAAAAAACCCCCCACGGTCGCATCGCCCTCGCGACCCCCTCCAACACCCCATTAAACTCCTCCACAACCGCATTCAAACTCTTCCTTAACTCCGTCGTCAGCTTCGGCACGCCGTCGCCGTGGATGCTGAAAGAGACGTTATCACACACGGGGTTGTGGGTGTTGAAGAACGGGACGTAGCCGGCCACATACAGCTCGAAGGATTCCGGGGGCACGGCGCCGCCGGCGGCGCGGGCGGTTGTTAGGATAGTGGCGAGGGTGGTAGCGAGGGCGGTGGCGAAAGCGGGGGAGGCGAGGTGGGCGGAGATGGAGGTGAGTTTCTGGGAGCAGGGGAGGGAAGGGGAGAGGTGGAGGATGCAGGCGTTGATGGCGCTCGATTGCCAAAATCGTCAGCTTGGAGTTTAGACAAGATCTCGCTTTGGGGGAGGGGCTAGGGGGGAAGGCACTCACCCGAAGAAATCAGCATCATTCCCCCCGATCGTCATGACGGCTATCTGCGGTTTGCCGATTTTCGTGTAGGCCTCTGAGGCGTTTGGGACGCCTAGCTGTAGTTGGTTTGCGATGAGGTCGTTCATTGTGGCGCCGGAGCATGCGCCGAATACGAGGGCTGGCTTTTTGCCGTTGAAGCTGTCCCATGCAGGATCGGCGATTAGTTGGAGTGGCCAGGACTGCTTGTAGCGGTCGCAGTTGGCGGAGGAGGCGATGTAGTCGGGGAAGCCGTTGGCGCCTTCGCCGGCGGTGTAGGAGTCGCCGATGGCGAGGATAGTGGTGATGGGGTGGGTGGGGCGGGTGTAAAGGGGTTGATCGGGTAAGAGTTCGGCGATGTTTGGGATGGAGGGGAGGCTGGGGATTGAGGGGATGTTCGGTGCAAGACTAAGATGTGGGACCGCGAAAGAGAGGGCTGTGGTGGCTAATAGGGTAATACTCAGTATGGCGAGGGGAATACCAGGCATGATTACGGTTGATATGAAAGAGCGTAGCGTCGAAGGAGTGTTATCTGGAAGTAAAAAATGAGAGAAAGTCCAGCTTTATAAAGCATCGGATGCTGGTAAGAAATTTCGGTTCATGGGTTCACTTCTGCTAGCCGTTACGAAGATTCTCAGTGCCCCAACGGTGGAACGCTTGCTAGGTTGATGATTTGCTTCCACTCTTGTCCACTTTAACCCACTAAGGATGAAATTGATCCATAAATGAGATACTCAATCGAGTCTCAACATCATGGTCATGATATCTGCAGTTAAAATTATGTAGAGACTGACGTGGTGAGTTGGACGTCGAAGAAGAGGGGGGAGTGATAGACGTGAAATAGCTAGAAATGAGGTCTCAGTCAGGTGACACTTACCCGCCACCGCGACACTTGCGTAAATCATACAGCTCTTCCCTGACATTAGCTACTCCTTTAGGGTCATAGGTACGGTAATGTGAACACTCAGCCCTACACTCCATTTCAAGCCTAATCGGAAATACATTTTGCTGGGCTGCCGTCCGCCGCGATCAGCCCCTTTATCACGAGATAACCACGTTTCATGGACTTTCCCGAGGTATAAATTCTGGAAGGACATTCGGAAGCGTTGCTCAGCTTAGGGACCTCTAGGGAGTAAAGTTGTTCGAAACCGACTAACGTAGGTGATGGGGTTATTACGCACGAGGTAGTTATTACGCTTCCGAACATTAAAAAAAAGCTTGGCGGGTGCACAGATTCGGAATACGTGTGAAGCTTAGACCAACGTAATAACTACCTCGTGCGTAATAACCCCATCACCTACGTTATGGCAATATTTAGAAAGAAAAAGTGAAGAAGGAATGTCCCATGGTGTGAGGTTTGTTCAAAAACAACGAGTCGTGCTTGCAATGGCATCATCAGAATGGTCCATTCGATCTATCGATGGTCTCAAAGTGGTGTTGTGCAATAAACGATGCAAGAGGAACAACATGATATGTGCGGCAGAAGAATGAGAAAGACTGATGATATCCATCGTCACGATCTCCAAGGAAGGCGTAGAAGGACTTAAAAGTATTGAGGAGCACTAGATGATAGGAATTATGGATACGATGATCTTTTAGAAAGCATGCGAATGTCTTCATAAGATCCACTGATAATCATCAGCATGTAACGCGTCTACACCCACCACCACTGCGCTCACTCCATGAGAGATCTGTCCGCCACGATGGACTCCCAATCACACCTCCAACCATTTCGTCGCCCTTGTCGGACTTTTGATCACGAAGCAGCCATTGAGATTCTTCTGAGCGTGTGTTTGCTCTGACCCGTCGTCTGTGAAGGACAGCTATGACGAGCTTGATGATCTTGTAGGATAGGAAGCGAAAACGTGATCTGCACGTGCAAATCAGGTGGCCAACTCCACTTTGAAGCCTGGAAAAGTGGTCATGCCGATGGCAGTGATCGCATAGGCCAATTCTGGTTCAAAAAACGGTATTCTTCGCGCAGATGCAGGAACCTTGCGCAGGGCTCTGAAAGGAATCCTTCAGTCTGTCCCTGATTTCAGACCATAGAGATAGGCTAAGGATAGCGAAGAATGCCGATAGTATTCTAAGCAGCCATCGAGATGTTCCAGCAGCTCGGAATAAGTAGTGCACGATCCTGCATGCACGCGGGCGAGGGAAAAGAATGCGTGAGAAGTGGTAACCCTATGGGGCAATCTTTCTGCAACGCCGAGCTACTGGGCTGGAAGAATAAACACGGTAGTGCCGGCATGTGAGATAGACGGACGGCCATCTTCATCTTCGGGGCAGGGTTCGCAGCAATGACGAGGCTCTGAACATGTGGCCTCTATGCTGGCACACATGCTGGCGCGTGCTGAGTTCCGTGACGGCGGCGGGCGAGGTGGCAGAGGAAACGCTGGCTGTGGTATGTATGCGCCCCAAGTTTCGGGCACACTCGCATTCGCTCTGCTCGGCGGATTGAGGAGGTGTTGGTGTTGCTCAGCCCTGCCTCAAGGCGGACGACGTGTGGACGTGAAGGGCGAGGTTGATGCACGGCGGGTAAAAATGGAACCTGGGCGTGCCGCTAGTAGAGTGATCAAAAGCTTGACCTGGTGCGACGCGCAGTGATTGGGAGACGCCCCTGCATGGCCGTTTCAAACCCACCATCGCCCAGCGTCTGTGCATGGGGGTTTCAAAGCGGCCATGAATGTTTCGACGTGCCGCCTGTGCCTGTCTCGGTGCCTGTTCTGTAATTAGGACGCTGGCGATGCTGGCGATGCTGGCGATGCTGGCGATGCTGTGCCCGGGAGCCCTTCCTGCGCCCGTCGGCAGAAGGAGCTAGGAGCCTTGCTGGAGACATGGTGGCTTTCTTCCAATCCAGCATAGCCCAATTCAAGGCCGTAGCACCACGTAGAACACTGCGTCTGGGGCCGCCCTCTGCATTTATTGCCCGCCTGCCCTCGTGCTACGTCCAGCTGGGTAGGCTATCTTACTGCAAACGCCCGCTCTCCCCATTCTCCATTCTCCATTCTCCATTCTTCATCTCCATTCTCCATTCTCCATTCTCCATTCTCCATTCTCCATTCTCCATTCTCCATTCTCCATTCTCCATTCTCCATTCTCCGTTCTCCATTCTCCATTCTCAACTGCACATCTTCACTCTTCGCTGAAGCCCCCGTTCACATCCAGCGCTGTCACAGTGCTCTCCGCATCCGCGACTGTCTCGGCACCCGCAGCGCTGTCTTAGGAGTGGCACGCACCCAGCCTTGTGACCCGCTGACATCACTCACATTCCAATTTCCGGCCACGGCCCGAGACCCTTCATCACCCACCGCCTCGTCGCTCTTCACAACATCATAAACCGCCACACTCTTTCAGGACAAGCTCCAGTCCCTCATTCAACCACCCACACTCATCCCACTGCCTCTTCTACAGCTCTCACTCAACAAGATGCGCACCTCAACCGTCCTCTCAGTCCTCTCGGCAGCCGCCCTTAGCCTGGCCATTGACGCCCCGGAGACGACCAATAATCTCAGCGCCAGCTACTTCGCTGTCTTGCCCAACCGTATTGATACTGACGTTCGCGGCACCATGACCATCGCGAGCGCTCCCAATGGCAAGGGCGCCAACATTGCCTTCACCCTCAGCGGTCTTCCTACCGAGGGCGGCCCTTTCCGTGAGTCACTCCAGCCATTCCATATTCTTTCTGTTCGGCGTCTGCCGCGCTGTGGCGGTTGCTCTCCATGATTGAGATATGAGAATCGAGACCAACCTTACAATAGTGTACCACATCCACGACAAGGCCGTCCCAGCCGATGGCAACTGCACCGGCACCGGCGCCCACCTTGACCCCTACGGACGCGGTGAAACCCCACCGTGCGATTCGACCGAGAAACAGACATGCCAGGTGGGCGATCTGAGCGGCAAGTACGGCACTGTCAATGCAACCGGCTACTCCGCTGCGTAAGTGCCCCTCCTTCCTCTCCCTTACCTATTTCTACCTCACTTCAAGGCCCAGCAAGGCCCTCGTCGCCCGATTCGCCCGCAACCTCTTCAAGGTCAACACGCTTATCTTGCCTATGTCCTACAGCTACACTGACAAGTACCTCTCCTTGGTGCCGGGCACACCGGCCTACTTTGGCAATCGTAGTATCGTCGTCCACTTCGCCAACAAGACTCGCATCACCTGCGCCAACTTCACCACCATCTCCACCGGCTTCGAGACCCTGGTCACGCCCCCTGGCTATGCCTCCTCCACTGCGAGTGCCTCGGGCACTCCAAGCAACAGCGCAAACCACACCGCGTCCACCTTCTCGTCGGCCGCAAGCTCCATAGATCACCCTAGCACCACTGTCGCGCAGTCGCCGAGCGGTGCAAAGCCGATCGCGACTGTCACGGGCACTGATGCCGCGACCCCCGCCTACTGGGTCTCTTCCGGCGCGCTGCTGGGTGCAGCGTTTGTCTTGGTGCTGTAGATGGGACAACTGGGCCCTTTCCTTTATTATCAAGGCTTAAGATTCCTGTTACTTTCTTTCTGCATGTCTGAGCCATCCCGCTATAATGAGTCAAGTTTGCGGAGGATGGTGGCATTACGGGTGAAGCGTGGAGGATCTGTGCAAAGGAAAATTTCTTTCGGCGGGATTCTGGGTGTACGATACCAGGCTAGAGGCCAAGGAGCGTGTGGCGTTATAGTGGTTACGGATAATGAATCATGTGGGAGAGAGCGTTCTCTGCTTTACTCCTTTCTTTACTTTACCGCTTGCATTTTGAGTGGAATGTCGGCGATCAAGCTCGTACGTGATCATGCATCATACGTAGCCAATAGTTTGGGCTGTTCTTGATGCGCGGCTGGATAAATTTAATAGAGTACAGCCTCTACGTGCTGCTGCAAGGAGGTGAGTTGAGACTTCAAAGCGGGGATCCGCTCAACGACAGTGATAGAGAGGCTTTGCGTGTCGTATCCGCTTCGGCCCCATTTTTCTTGAATGCATCACTAACGCGTGGTAATCCTAACGTCAAACATCTTCCCCAACCCCGTCTTTGCTCTGAAACATTTTGTCACCAAGCTCTGCCACCCGACTCTCGCTTGCTTTGCACGTTCCGAAGCCTGTTCCTGGTCCCTGCATGGCATGAAATCATCAACCGGCAGCTTGTGATAATCCGGCGTGACAGTCTCAGGCCTGCATCTGTCACCCATCTCTCGCCTTTTTGGGCCATCTGATCTGCGTTTCTAATTCCCATTCCGTATCAAACTCTCCGCTTTCGACCGTAGTCACATTCGTCTTAGTTTTCTCAAACCCCTCGTGCATGACTGTTTGTCTCATTCCATACGCCCCGCTTCGAACGATCGCCGAAAGTAGTCCCGTTTGTCTGAACCCACGGATGTCTCCCGTGGCTTGCGAGCTTGTTTCACGAGCTTGGGCGGAGTAGCTGAAAGCTTAGCAAAGCTTGGGGTATGCACGGTGAGCTTGTGTGGGAGATGGTTTCAGCCATCGCAGAGACCCAAACACGGGACCCCACCTGCGCCGGGCTGGCTCAAACATCCATCGCGCTCAAGCTTCAACTCGGCCTACTACGTCCCGGTGTCTAGGCAATTGAAATCATGGTAAACATGTTTCTCAGCCGCTGAAGTTTGGTAGGGGAGTGAAAGAGACACGTGCTTAGAGACACGTGCTTGTAGACAACGAAATCGGGAAGGTTGCACGCTTCATGTTGGTAAGCATGTTGCTCACCCGTCGGGCATGTTGTTTGCGCGACATCAAAACATACAAGCGAGAAACGGGCTTCTGTGTGAGCGACGGAAATGGTAAGGGCGTGGAGGAGAGAGGGTGGGAGAAGTGAGTATATGACCAGGCGTGTTGACGGAGTTCTGATGATTTACTTTCATCCATCATCAAGTCGTATATTCTCTGTCCATCTCTTATATTTCTATATACATATCAATCATCTTTTCTTTATATATCCCCCGCTTCCTTCATCACGGAGGTATGGGCAAGTAGCTCCCGTGCGCACCGAGGATGGCTATGGCCCCAGCACAGTCAATGTCATGCGCTATCCACCGTACGACGCCAACTCGACCACTGGCCCCTGGCGGAAGCTATCTAGATACGGAAACAGAAGAGGCTCGATGGACGGGTTTTAGGGAGTGGGCTTTTGACTGGATCGGGGCTGTGGGAGAGGTAAGGAGGCATTTCATGTCCCGTGTATCTTGTTGCTTACGTGTGCTAGTTACGATCGAGATGTTGTGGAGGTTCCATGTTGCTCATCTGTACAGCGCAAAGCTTGCGCCCAGCCAGATCGCGTGGTTCCAGTCGGAAATCCAGAGGCATTGGCGCGGATGGAAACAGGATTAAGCACTCGTGTTCAGAGACTTCGTCTTCCACAATCCAGCTCTCCGTGATAAATACCATCAGCTACGATACGGTGGATGCCAAACCTCCAATGCGCGACCTCGAAAACCAACTCGAGTCCCACAAAATCAATCGCCAGGTCTGCGAAGACAATGTCTTGGCAATCCGCCTGTGGGCACCTGCACCTGGGCACCGATGTCTCAATGGAGCTTCGGAAGAGGAGATTGCGAGAGTGCCTTGAGATGAGGCTGGTTACGGCAGGGACATTATGGTATTTTTTTTCCTCTCTGAGGACATATAAGGGTGCTGACTTGATAGTGCTCAGTGACCTTATGATGTTGTTGGTGAAGCATTCCGGTTGATGCAAGCGCCGAAAGTCGGAAAGGGCATCGAAAGTACGGTTATTGCATCCCCTGTCCTCACTTTTTTTTTGAAAACTAGTAACTTACGTAGGACACCTTCTCGAGTGACAATTTCCGGAATGAAGCATGGTGGATACGCACGAGACTACGGCAGACCTTGAAAAAATTCGCTCCCGAGGCGGCCGTTTGCCATTATCAACGACATCCTAGTATAAAGTCCCTGTTGGACATCAAGTATGTTCCAAGAGACGAGACGGAACACCATGGATCCCGGCTGGTACGAATCCCTTCTGCAAGCTGTTTCCAAAATGCTAACTTCTGCAAAGGCCATAGAACTTAGCTTTATGATATATACTCTTCGTCATCCTGGCCCAACTCATGCTACGCTATCATTACTCGACTCTGTATTTGTAACACGGGCCGCAGCTTCCTAGCACCACCAATCTAAAAAATACCGGAAACCAAGGACGAAAAAGATGTGCAGACAACCATATTATCACCGTTCCACCACCTCTAAGCTACCACAACAACTCAACCTCTTCGTAACGACCAGTCAGCTTCAAGTCACCGTTCAACCATCTCTACGCTACTACAACAACCTCATGACACCGTCAAATTATGTTCGGAAGGTCATGAAGATCACGAGACGTTCCGCCAACGCACGTCCGGAATGGTCACCATGATGGTGGTCTAGAAGCTTGACTCGTCCGACTTGCACCTCACGAGCGGACCACCGCCATCTGGAAGCTTAGAGTGCAACAGGACATGTGCAATTTCAAGATCGTCGTTGATCTTGGCTGTGAGCGGGGTCAGCGCATCGCTGACCTGGGCACTGGACCCAGTAGCACCGTGCGGCCCAAACGAGTCAGCAGTTGGCTATGTGGGACTCCTATATACTCCTGTATACTCCTATATCCGACACACGGAAACGACTTTATACCGAGCTTTACTTACTATATATCTCACCTTGCCATCCGACATCACCAGCGCCAGCACCAGCACCATGCAGTATCATCTTCGAAACCTGTCCTACGATGCGTTTCCACCGCAGACCGGCGTGTTCGGTGACTATGAAAAGAACATCAGCATCAGGCTCCTGGATCACAACACTTGGCACTCGCCGCCTCACGAGGTTGAAGCCGGAATAACGTGCAGAGAGGACTGTGCAGCTCTCCATAGTCTACTACACGTTGGAAAAGGCCAAAGATGCGCTAGAGGCCGTCAGGCGCCAGAGGAGCAATGGCAGACCGAGCTGTATCCAATCCCGGCGACAAACATCGAAGGCAATCTCTTAAACACATCTGGGAGGAAATCCACGAGCACTTCAAGCGGTATGGAATCAAAGGGGCACACACGTTGAAAAACAGGTATGCTCGTCTCGAGAGTTTGGGTTGCCTTGGTGTATTGGTCGTGTTGGTGGCTGTTCCGGCATATCGCTCGATGGCGGTGTTGGCCTCGTTGGGGAATACATCCACGATGGAGCACCAAGCCCCATGGCCTAGTTCTGATCCCTCCCTCACAAGCAATTGGCTTGATTTCACTTACTACCCCGATTTCGTTGGACTAGTCCACACCAATTGACGCCCCGATGCGCTCAGTAGAGAAAGAACCCCCTTCCCGAGCCTGGATATGAATGGGCATCTTTTCCACTCCCTCGTAATATTCCATTTTTTATATAGCATCTGTGTCGCTAATTTATACACGACAACCACACGAGTATGTACGATCACCTCGAATCTCTTCCAGCACGAGCATACGAAGAGACGTAGGGATTCCGGTAGTAGCGGAGACGATCAGCCAGTGGGCCACCGAGGAAATCCGACAAGCTCGACGCGCACTCAATCCCTAAACGCCAGATTGCAATCCTACCAGGAGGCAAGTTACTTGAAACCCGGCAACTAAGGCATTCCCTAGGCCAGCGTACATCGAACCTACCACGCGGCCTGTTCTACGGGCATTATCAGGAACATCATGGGACAATGGCCCGGGCGATGCGATTCAATACATCAAGTCCATGAAAATGCGGTGGGGATATTGAGACAGGAAGTGGGACAGGCTCGTAGAGAATCCTACAACACAGATTTCTGTGTCTCTGGACTCGACAAACTCCGACGCTGTTCTGTAGCAGCAGAAAGAAAACAACGTCACCTGCCATACATCTATATCACCTGCCGTTAATCTATATTCGCCCCCAAAAGCCCCGAGGAGGAGCTGAACGTTGAGAAATTCCGTTCTCTTTGCCCACTGCAGATACAGCTATCAATGTCTTGGTGGCACACGGAGTATATATACAGCCGAAACCAGCTAGGTGGAGTGGGTCTACCTGTTCAACCTTGCGTTCAGATATCTGATGGTGCAATACTACAGACGGATAATCCTCGCTTGTTCATGCGCGATGTAAAAGCCCAGGGATCACCAGGAACTCGTCTATCAGAGAAGGACGAAATAGTAAAGAACCCAGACTTCGCATACCGGCATGAATAAAACACACTACCGGCCCTGGTTATGGAAGTAGTGTTCACTGAAACCTGGCAACATTTGAACGGGAAAGTGGACAACTATTTCTATGGGTCAGAGGGAAACATTCACGTTATTGTTGCATTCTTTCTATGGTTTCTGGACGGAAGCGGTACTCTGACTCAAAACGCTTGATACTATCCATGACATGCTGATCCTCAAGCACTTTCCCACGCCACTCGACGGAAGCACGTTGCACGCAACAAGCCATACGCCGGACTAACGTGGCGCCACTAATCGCTTCGCGACTGTATATACAACAAACAAAGCACCTACGATTATATACCACGCAGGAACCCTTATAATATTGCGCATCCACAGTATCCATGTCCAAAGAATTCAGCCCGCTTTACATAGCGAAAAATGGCTGGACAGGCGAGGAAATACAGCAATGGAAAGATGACACTGCTTGAGATGGCAGTTCCGTTGCGATTTTCTCGGGGGCTGGGATTGGAGGACCTTGCAGAATATCAGTTCCATGTTTCAAAGCCCTGATGTAGTTCGTGAGGACTAGGATAGGACAGACTGAAGTTACCACCATGCGGGTCCCACGATTCGGCCGGTAACATCTCTGCCCCAGCGTGTTACCACTTCTCGACGAGCGAGGCGTTACTCACGCGCATAAAAGAGAAGCTCCACGACCTTACGAAGGTCAGATGGGGTACTATTTATGATCCTGGGACTCGTGCTTCCGGTCGCGAAAAATCTCTTTGCTTTGAAGGATCCATTCGCACGACCCGAATACGCTCGGAAGCATGCCCAAAGATCACCAGGAATCTTCCTATGAAAGCAAAAAGCATAGAGAAAAGCTCAGACATTGTGTATTGGCACGATGCAAACACACCACCGGCTTTGATCATAGAAGTAGCAAACACAGAATGTGAGGAAGAAAGTTGGGCCAGCTACACACAGAGCTGGGGTGACGAACCTCAGCAGGGGGCCGGGGATTGCCGCAGGTCTACAAGCACTCCGGAAACTGGTTATTCGGCTTTCGGGGACCAATACCACATGATGGTGGGATGGACAGTCACGCTAGTGGCCTACCAACATCAAAGAAAATACTATGTCTGCCTTGAAAAATTGAGGAGAGCAAGCACGAATGGATTGTGGGACTGTGTCGCTAGAGTCCCTTGAGAATGAGCAGCATCACGCTACCCTTTTCATCATTCCAGTCATTCCAGAGTGCATCGGCATTTCAAGGGGAGAAAAGACGCGGCAACACTGAAAGTCAGCTAGAAGACCTATGCCAGCAGCTTGCGCTAAGAACTCAAAAGTACCAACTATTCAATGGCACACTTCAAAAAGTGCCCACGCAACCAAATCTGAGGAAATGATAAAGACTCGCACGTGTTTGTATACGGATGGGAGATCCCCAACTCCCCCGCAACGTTCATCATCCCAAGGATAGAACACGTTCCCAATCTGAGAGCACTCTATGCTGGGTATGCACCGAAGCTCCTACTTAACATTAGGGTGCAATTTCGATAGCCTTGCCTATAGAAAGCTCCATCACACGCAATGCATTGCTATTTCTCTGAATAGTGCGGTTCACGTCGAAAATATCGAAATGCCTATTCCAAAAACTATAATCCATCTCACCCCTGGGCGTGCAAAATCGCACTCTGTCACCTCCCCGCGGTGCCGTCTGAAACACTCCTATCGAGCGGCTAAGAACCAGAGACGTAAAACCCTACGGATGAGAGATTTTCGACGGCGGAGGTTTATATTCTTCGCTCAGGCTCGTCGACGCCAAACCACATCACCTACCTCCAATTCAGTCGCCCTATCAACGGACTTCCGGTCGACTAGCTTCCTTCTCAGTATAGTCGGACGCCAACTCGCCAAATATATACGCCATTCATCAACCGTAATACTTATATACGACGAAACGAACATCATTATACACGACCAATGAGCCACCTGTCAATTTGGCATATCCAGCGTTACCGCTCATGTAACGGGAGACAGCTGGATTAATGAGGGCCAAATCGCTCCTTCAAACGCCCGGAAGTATCACAAATATACCAAGGACAAATGGATGAAGTGGCACAATAAGCATTTCAACCTCACGTTGGAAGGCAGGCAGCGAGAGAGCATTCTGCAGTACCCACAGGCATTGCGCGAGTTTCTCATGTTCGGAAAGTCGTCTCTCCATGGCATGGACGATGAAGGGTCTCTCAACCTACGGAGTAGCAAAGACGATCGGCCGTTGGACCTAGAGGACCTAGGAAGCGACTATTTGATAATGATTCCAAGTTCAAGGACGGATATTTCATAATGGGTCCTACCGAGACTACCAAGACTACAAGACTACCAAGATTGTCAGACTGAAACGAGACTGTAACACTTCCTCTTCTGCAACTCAAGGTCTGCGTGATAAACACGCCTTGCGATTATCGCCTACCCAGGGCAAAGATGAGAACCCGTTCTTGTTTGGCTTTATATACAACAACCCAGATCGACCCTATACTCCACCATGCTTTCTCTATGACTCCAGCTCTGCATCCAGGGCTGTGAATCCTTCTGCATCCAGCCAAACATCGACCACGCTTGCACTACTCCAAAAAACCTACACCATGCCATCTAAGACTGCAGTGAGCAGCAACCCAAATGATGAGGAGCAGCGACACAGACAGTGGTATAAGAGATAGATGAGGAAACGCGTGGGATTTCAACCACCGGTATATACCGAAACAGCCTCCATCAAGAGTATCCATCGCCGGAAAAATCGATCTCATGAGCATATGAATTACCCCTACAACGACTCCTCGCGTCTTTCTTGCCAACTACTACAAGCTCTGATGTAGTTATTGGATGCACCTGGACAATCCGGCGTCCTGCACACTGAAGTTACAAGGAGAATTCCCCACTGCGCTAAGCAAAGGGACAGCAAAGGTACGTTTGTTCGTTTATCGTCCCGCGTCAGTCATCCCAGCAGGCGATTACGAGATGCCAGCTTCATTCACTATATGTGAAGCTGTTCGAAGCACGGATGTTAGATCAACTTGGACGCATCCGACCAGCCTTAGTCCGTGATGAGCTTGGAAGTAAGAATTCCGAGAAGGAGTTCAAGGTTCTTGCTAAGTCCGTTGTACCTATCCAGTATATAAAACTCTTGCCTTCACTCCACGTATATATCCACGGACGACTCGGTTCAAACGTTTGGGACGCTCAGGCTGTAGCTATCCTGGTGTCGCATGAGAACCTCCGTCTCGACATAACGGAACTTTGCCTTGTCTCCGGTGCGGTATAAGCGGCCATATTGTCAAAACATCCGAGAGAGGCGCCATTATTGCAAGCTAGAATGCTATAGCGATGATGCCGGAGAGCTTCTAGTAGTACGGGCGCTTTGGTTAGGGACTGTGCGGAATACCAGAGCGTGCCGTCCTGGGGGCAATCACACTGACGACAATTGGAAGGACACTGTCGAAGAGTTGGTGGAAGCACCCGTCGACCTACATTCGATTTGAAATCTTACAACCCCACAACGTGCGACATGAGGCTGATATTATATCACGGAACCGGACCTTTGCACAAGAGCTCCCATCATGCTGCCCATCAGAGGCCGTTGTACTGCGTTATTAACAGTACAGTGTCCTAGAGAATCCGAAACGCTAAAATGCAATGGTCGTCACCCTGATCCTCCTCGGCTGCAATCCTGAACTCCGGGGTCAGGAGAAGAGGTATAATATAATGGCAATCCAACTACATCGTAGGCTCAACGAAATCACCGAAGAGGAAACTCACCTGCATCGGATCAAGATCACGAGACTGATGCATGAGCGCATCGGGCCAGGTTCTGCGGATAACTCAGGAGCTCCACCCCGAAGGTCTCCTCGAGTATCTACGCAAACCACTTAACTGCTCGGAAGTAGTTATACGCCCTATATTCGCTTCAAATGGAATGCCGTGCGAATATGAGACGCATAGCTGTTGGGCTTAACGCGCTATGCTGGGGTGCGGCAAATGTGTGGTGGTTTCAATATTCATTCACTCATGGGGTACTTCACAAGATGAGCAACGAGGAGGGCAGTGTAGAGGAGATCACAACGCTCGAGCGGAGACTGAGTACTCTTGTGAAATCCTGTCTTTTGTTAGGCCGGCATATCGTCACGCCGTCCCTATATAACTCACCAGCTAAACCAGTATACACGGATGAAAACTCGACTTCATAAAAAGGGTAGTGATGCCGTCGTCCCATTTGGAATCGAAACCCAGACATCTACTACGTCTGCAGCCTTCTTAAGCCAAGCCTCTCCACAACCTACCTCTTCATTTCCATATACACAGACACACCTCACTAAAGCCTCAACATCAGTAGTCTCGTGAAGGGAGCTACCAACCCCCACTGCCCAGCCCAGCCCACGATTCCGATCAGGGACTGTGCGACAGATAGTCACAGCTCTGTCGACATGTGAAGTAGAATATATAGCGGCGACCGAGGCGGCCAAGGAAGCGCTATGGATCAGACGGTTCATTAATGGTCCTCACGTGGGAATCAACTTTGGCACAGTTTCTGGACGTCAAACGCCGGTGCAGGCAAGTCTATGGCATTGATTTCGACGAAACCTATGGCAGTGGCCTCGGCCTTTGCTCAGGCGCCCTCGAGATTGGCCCGTTCGAGGTGTTTCACAGCTTGGAATCACAGTCCCGACATCCCCCCTTCGCATCCCCATCATCACCTCGAAGTTTCCTACTACAACCAACGATCCATCATATCACTCCAGCTAGTAGCTCCGAAGGATCGGCTCGAAAAAAGACTCGGCGCGAACAAAACATCCGAATCGACCACATCGAGAACAACCAGAATCCACTGCTCTTTTGACTAAGCCGACAAGAGAAGAGATACGAGCTGATGCTTCCAGGATACAAACGCCGCGGCTGAAAAGCTACGAAAGAGCAGTGCCCGCCAAGTTGAGGCCTTTCACGATGTTTGGAAACGAACTTCACTAGATCTTGCGACTGTGCAGTCAAGCCGCCACCTTTTATAGAGTTTGCTGCTGTATCTGCTTTTGATTCTAATCTCAGGCATTACCAACAGCCAGTACCAACGCCATGCTTAATGAAAGACCAGGAACCGGCTCCAAGATTGATGCACGAGGTCCTGCATAAAGAGGCCTGGGTTAGATCCTTGAAGGAGGAAACCTGAAATCTAGAGGGTAGGGGGGCGAGTGGGGAAGTAACCAGGCGCCTGACTGGAGCGAGTCAGTTGGCTTGACAATTGGTTTCGCAGCGTTGGATCTCTGGAGCTTCTTGCGCAGTACCACTATTTAGTGGAAGTCGGTTTTTAAGAGTACAGGGAACGATGCTTGTTGGATATTCTCACCCGGAGAACAACCAATGATGGAAGCAGGTCGAAGGCCCGCATATCACCTTCAGGAAGAGTGCGTGTTTCCACTCAGCTAGTATTGTCGGCAGAATTGTGACCTGGAGTAATAGGAAGCAGAACTTGACGCACACAGGAGGGCTCAAGAACACGAGTCAATCGTCGGAGTAAATGTGGAGAAGCAAACAAACAAGCAATCTAACAATCAATACCCCTGAAGTCACTAGAGAAGCAATCCAAATCAGTCGTGACCTCAGATCGAGTATTTCAATGTGATCTAGAGGCTGGAGGTTGTTTGTTAGCAAATACAGTGCACCAAATAGAAAAGACCGCCACAACTAATGATCTTCGTGACTACTTCATCAAGTAGTTGCACTACAAATATTATCGTGGGCTCAACCCATTCGTGACTGTTATCCGTACCATGGTTCGGATCCGGTGAGTCGTGAGTCATCTCCACCACTACCCAAGCACTTAAATACTGCAATATCAAGATATCTCCATTTCTCTACTTCATTCTCAACTCACTTCGCACATTTCACACCCATCGCATCCCCAAATTCACCAAAATGCCGACTCCAGAACCCCACCAACGCACTCCCAAAACACCCGCCCCAAACCCCCCTCCCGAAGACCCAAACCCCACCCTCTTCTTCTACTACCCAGACGAGAAACCCTACGGCATCTTCTGCCAATGGCACCCCTCCCCCTTCACCGTCCCCACCACCTCGCTGGTCTGGCTGCTGACCGAAGGCCCTCGGCCACCTTTCCAAACCTCCCAAACCGCCTCCACCCCCCAAAACGCACCCCCAGCACCAGCAGATCCCGCAGACGTCCTCGCCGCCGCCGCCGCCCACCTCCCCATCCTCGCGGCAGACCGAGTCGCTTTCAACTGCGCCGAGCAGTTCATGATGTGCGCTAAGGCGCTCTACTTCGCCGACTACGCTGCCGCGGCGCGCATCCTGGCATCCAAGGCGCCCAAGGAGCAGCAGGCGCTCGGCGCGACCGTCGCGGGGTTCTCGTCGGAGGCGTGGGGGCGCGTCGAGCCGGGGGAGCAGCGCATGGTCAAGGAGCGGGTGGTGGAGCAGGGGAATTGGTACAAGTTTACGCAGAATCGCGCGTTGCGGGAGGTATTATTGGGCACTGGGGAGAGGGAGCTGGCGGAGGCGGGGAGTAAGGATCGCACGTGGGGGATTGGGTATACGGCGAAGAATGCGGAGAATTATAGGGCGTATTGGGGGGCTAATCTTTTGGGGGGGTGTTTGATGAGGGTTAGGGGGAGGATTAGGGAGAGGATGAGGGAGGCCCACGAAGAGATGGGGGAGGGGTGGGTTAGCAATGCGGAACGGAGGGAACTGGAAAAGTGGGATAAGAGACGTCCTTTGTAACTGGAGCAATGATAGCACTTAATACTTCATGCTGGATTTTCCGAAATGACCTAAAGCAGTTTTAGCGATTACGTGGGCGAATGATCGTTCCAGGCATAAACCCTGACCCCTAAACCATATAATCCCCATTATTTCCCCCGACATTCGCCCTCCGGGGTGTCTGCCACAGAGCGCCTTCGACCAGCGACTTCCACGGCATTCGGTCACGAAGAAAAAATCACTTTCGCCAGGGGGTTTTTAGTAAGGCTTCACCGTAAGCCTGAGTTTTTGGTCTTTGCCATGGGTTGGGAGTTCGATCCGCGCGCCTGCGAGCCTGCGAGGCATTTCATTTTACTTCTGGTCTGGTTAGCGAGCACGTGAGGGTCAGGTGACTACCGTGTGCATCTCAAATGATTGCCATGTACACCTGGAAAGGCCGGTGCTAGGTGGCCGACCCCTTTTTGCTATTCGGCCGATGCCGTATTGCTATTTGGCCTATCCACCCACCTGCGGACCTTTCACCGCGTTCTAATTGGCTCGGAGGGCCCGGAGGAAGCTCCGGCTATTCACTTGTATATATATTTGCACGTGCAGCCTTTCCGTTTCATCTGCAGTCTTTCTATTTTTGTATAGCTACGTGTATAGCTACGTGCCTACGTGCCTAACTGCCTAGGAGAATGGCCAAACCGTCGATTTCGCACCTAATAGAGGCCCTCTCTCCATCGCCGCTGGCCTACAAGCACCTACGTGAAGTCCTCATCAACAAGGTCCTCTGCATACTCATCGAATTCCTTATCAGCCGCCTCATCAGCCGCCTTATGAGCTTACCTCACGAGCTGCCTCACGAGGCTGCGGCAGGCCTGTCGACTGCGCTGTACTTCCTGCGACAGGCTGTAACTCAGGTTGCAGCACTACAACCTAGGATCAACAACTCATATGCCAGAAAGCTACTCTCCGAACATCAGCTGTAGAGAACCCAGCTGAAATCTCAGCTGTAGAGAACCGAGCTGAAGCCTCAGCTGTGCAGGGCTCATCTGAACTTACTAGCGCGCCACCCTGGGGGTGGCCCCCTTCCTTCCCCTAGTATATATACAACTAGCTAGACGTCTATAGAAATCAGAGTTCACATCAATTTCAACCTGAGTCTGTAAACCCCGTACCTGCGCTTCTAGTAGTGCAATCTTTCGCTCAAGGTCTGCCTTTGTATTCGCACGTTGCTTCTTTGCAGGAGGACCTGGTGTTGAGTTCTTAGGTGGCCTACCGCGCTTCCTAGCCGGCTGATTAATATACGCATTTGGAATCTATCTATGCTCCGGAGGAGCCGGCCCGATAAGCGAGCCAATTAGAACGCGGTGAAAGGTCCGCAGGTGGGTGGATAGGCCAAATAGCAATACGGCATCGGCCGAATAGCAAAAAGGGGTCGGCCACCTAGCACCGGCCCCTGGAAATGCTCTTCGTGCGTCTTTAGGGAGTTCGTCATTATCGCTTCCCTACAGTGCCTTCAAAAATCCATTCTTCAATAGCCTATAGATCTCTCACATCTTATCTTACTATACTCACACAGCCATATATACACTCTTATTCATTGTCGCCCTCGCCCTTCGGGGCCCTGCCCACTTACGAGTGGCGCAGTGGTACGGTGTGCTGGACGGCGGCGCAAATGTACTGCTGGCCGGCATGACGTAAACACACGACATTGCAAGGCAGCAACCTTGGAATGTCGCGGAAAAAACCCCTTGCTAAAGGGGGTTTTTAGTAAGGCTTCGGCCTGAGTTTTTTGCGGAGGGTTCGATCCGCGTGAGTGGTTTGTTGTTTTCTTTTTGCTTTTGAATGACATCTATGGTCAGCTAGGAGGTGATGGTCATGTGATTGACACTTGCACTTAAAATGATTGTCGTGTGTCCTTATAGAGTATTTTCAAAGGGGAGGGATATTGGCACACCCTCTAACCACTCCACGCACACCCTATCGCTTCACCGCCTTCTAATTGGCTCGGAGGGGCCGGAGCTTCCTCCGGGTATTCACCTTTACGTCTTTCTGCACGTGATGCTATACGCGAGGCCGTATGTAAGCTTATACGTGAGCTTGTACGTGAGGCTATACATAAGACTATACAAATCGGAAGGCTATATAGCTGTACATAAGGCCGTATAAGAGACGCCGTATATATAGCCATATATATAGCATTATGTACAGTATCGCTCGCGGCATTATATACAGCATCACTCACGGCATCACGTATAGCTATACGCGCAGTGCCCATGTGCCTAGGAAGATGCTGAAACTATCAAAACATCGCCTAATAGAGGCTCCTTTGCATCAAGCCTGGCTTGCCTGCATTGCCGCCTGTATTGCCGCTTGCGCTCGCTCGTTCACTTCCAAGAGGAGCACGAGCGGTAGCTCCGAAGAGTCGGCCCAGCCGCTCCAGCCAATTAGAAGGCGGTGAAGTGACAGGGTGTGCGTGGAGTGATTAGGGGGTGTGCCAATATCCCTCCCCTTTTCAAAGGCGTATAGATCGCTCACATCTCATCTCAAATCTCAACTTACTCTACTTCCCAACCCATATATACGCTCTTGTTCACCGCTGTCCTCGCCCTTCGGGGTCCACTGCCAGGATGGCGCAGTGGTTCGGGTGCAAGCCTGCCGGCCAGGTAGGCTGGAAAGTGAAAAAATCCCTCCCGGAAGGGGATTTTAGTAGGGCTTCGGCCCGAGTTTTTTGCCCTTCCAAAGACTGAGAGTTCGAAATGCAGGCGAGTGGAAAGTCTTTTTCTTTTTTTGAATATGGGATGGATGGATGAATTATAATTGATCGATACAACACGAAATGAAAATCCGAGAAGGCACAAAAAACCACCATACCAACCTCCCTCCCACTCTCTCTCACACGCCCTATATCCTACATATCTCCACCTTAATGCAATCCCTCCAAAAACCCCACCAACCTCTTCTTAATCACCACCCCAACCAACGCCCCCGTCCCCTCCTCCACTACACACAAATGCCTCAACCCCAACCTCCCAAACATCTCCACCGCATACTCCACCGGCGCCGCCACGCACAGCGTCAGCGGTGTGCGATCTACAAACGGCGTGAGATCCATGACCGCCTGCGCCTCCCGCTCGTCTTCCAACGGGCTACCCAGCACTCTCACCTCCGCATCCGCCGCGAACACCGAGCCCAGCGCGTCCGGAGCGCTAGAGAGCCCGAACGCGAGCTCGCCCTCGGCGATGTAGCCCTGCAGCACGTGCACGCTGGTCCCGGGCAGCGGCTGGACGAGCACGAGACCCGCGTCCATGAGGCCGCGTGCGTGGAGCTGGTCGAGCTTCTTCTGCAACAAGGCGCGGGGGACTTTGTTGCTCGGTGGTACTGTTACTGTGATCTCGTCCATGGTTTGCTTGGGCGGAATGAGTTCTTGCACTAAGCGGCTCTCTTTTCGCACAAGGAGCGTTGCGTGGTCGGCGTCGAGGAATGGGTGGCCCAGCACTGTTTGCGCGAGGTCGTAGACGCCTTCGGAGGAGATGGCGTCGGCAACCCATTTGGCGACGAGGATCGCGATCATGTGCGGGACGATGTACTCGAGTTCGCCGGTGAGCTCGAACATGATGACGCACAGGGAGATGGTCATGCGGGAGACGCCGGCGAGGAAGGCGGCGGCGCCGACCATGGCGAAGATGCCGGGGGAAATGGTGCCGATGGATTGGCCCAAGAGGCGGCCGAAGAGGGCGCCGGCGTCGAGGGCGGGGATGATCACGCCTGAGGGGACTTTGCAGCCGAAGGTAATGATCGTGAGGACTAGTTTGGTGAGGGTGCCGTAGGTGAGCCAGCCGACGTAGGCCCAGCGCGCGGAAGTGCTGGAGGCGGCCGCGGCTTCGTGGGTGCAGACCCAGGAGTCGGCGGATTTAGGGGAACGGCAGTCGACGAGGAGGTTCTTGATAATTATATCGCCTGGCTCCCGCGTTAGGGGGTTCGGGAATTGAAGCAGAGTAGTGGCTAGAACGACGAGAAAGACTTCGAAGACGGGATGGTTCTTGATGAGGCCATAGCTGCGGAACCATTTCGACCACTTGAAGTTGGCTTTGCAGAAGATGCCACCGAAGACGCCGCCGGCAATTCCTAGGACTACAAAGACGACGTAGTGGATTGGGGAGTATGACGTGCCGTAGTTGGTCTCGAAGAGGACGAGCTTTCCAGTTCCTGTAGGATTAAGTGCTTTCAAGACCATAGCTGCGAAGAGGGAGCATAGGAAAGCGCGCCAGAGGACTTTGCGTGGGAAGTATGTGCTGATTTCCTCGTAGCTGAACAAAACGCCACCGATTGGTGCACCAAAGGCGACACTCAGGCCTGAGGCACAAGCAGCGGAGAGCAGCTCTCGTAGCTTGCGGCCATTCTCTCGGTACTTAGGGAACCAGTTGCCCACGATGTAGCCGACACAGGTGGAGATGTGGACAAAAGGGCCTTCTTTGCCTAGACACATGCCTGTAGCAACAGCGAAGATGGCACCGAACCCTTTAACGACGAGGACTTTCAGGTCAAGAAAGTTGGGGATCACAAAGCCGGAAAGGATAGTCTTGATCTCCGGGATACCGGAGCCAGCGGCCATGTACATAGATTTCCCAACCGGCGGCGATTTGGGGTCCGCATCGTTAGATTTGTCTGCCTTCCCCGGTGCTACAGCTGGCAACGAGCTTTTCGTGAGCATGGTGGCGCTGGAGCTGATGATACCGAAAAGGAGCGCCCAAGCTACGTAGATGGCGAAGGAAGCCCAGTAATTTTCCGACCATAGCTGGAAATGCTTGCATTGGTCACCAATCTCGGATTGAATTCCTAGGAGAGGCGTCTTGTCATCGCAGCATGCCTCGCGGTTGAGCAGCGGATTCCTGGTGCAATACCCTAGCTTCCAGTCCGATACAGTTGCTTCAGCCACATCCACGACAAATGCTACACAGGCAGTGAGCGTCCCTATGATAATCACGGCAATCCACCCAGAGGAGGCTTCGAAGAGAGAAATTAGCTCATAGCGTAGGCCTTTTCGAGATTTGATATAGCGAGATCGATATGAATCTTTGACCTTCGAATCATCAGTGACTGCGAGTATGGACAGCAGGCAGAGATTACCAAGTCATGTAACCAGTCAATGGTCGTGTAGTCATTATACGGCAACCTCTCCCCGACCGTACTACCGGCCATTTGCTGTTCATCTTTCGTAACAGCAGACGAGATGATAGACTGAGCTTCGTCCTCATGCTGCAGGTGGCTCAATCGACGGTCGTTCGCAGCATGGTAGATGAGATGAGTCCGCTCGGTAGCGGACTCGACGTCGTCAGAAGGCATGGTGAGTCCCGGAAGCTACCGAAGCTCGAGCACGCAGCCCTGAAGGCGCCTTTTGAAGGAGAGGAAATGAATCTCGAGGCATAGCTCCGGAGATCTGGGATTTTGGGGTATTCTAGAGCTTCCAGAGCTCGATGACGCTACTGCAACTGCACAGATCGACTGGGTCTGGCAAACTGATATGGCATTCAGCTTATCGCCCCGCGGAAATGCTGGTCGGAAGGCTGCCAGTGTGTCCGCCACCCGCGAATTGGTGAGGTAGAGATAAGAAAGCGGGAAGCCTGTCGATCGCGCGAAACGTGACTTCGTGTTTTAGTGGCGGGGAAGAATCCGTTTCTTACCTCCTAGTATCATCACAAGAGTAGCCAAGTACGCTTTGAGACCAAACGCAGAACACCATCTACGGCACTCACCAGTCTCTGGATTCACGATGATGAAAGACTGCGGAAGTCAAAGGTCACGTGCTGACTTCTCAATCCAGTTTTCACCAGGACCCAAAGTAGTGTCACGTGAGTTAACTGTTCACTCCTTGGGAAAATTTGGCCAAAAAAGCAATCGCCTTACTCACTCGTCACTGCTATAGATCAACATCCACTGATTGCGATTCGCTCACACACATAGTCGAATCTTAAAGAAGCCTCACATAAAGTCACTCGGCACGAAAAGCGTCTCAAACCGTCTCTGTAACCCGTACAAGACCACAGATCGACGTTGCAGATAATCTCAGAAACAGGCAAGTCTTGGCTGCATACGTTTGCCAAAGTGTGGAGCGCCGTGTCTACGCTCTGCACTACCACACCACCGTGTTTCGCACGAAGATTCCGTCAGGTGACCAGATTCAATGAAATTTGCTACCGAGACTATGTCACGTGATGGAATCGTCACGCGAAACACGGCGGTAGAGCAGGACACAGATGCACTTCAAAATGGGAGATGACAGAAGCGGGCTGGTTTTGATTGTTGAAAAAGTGTGGAATGCCGTATCTGCGACCCATAAGACAGGTGACAGATCTGCCCTGCCTACTGGCTGCATACGTTCGTTGAAAGTGTAAAGTGCCGTGGAGGACACAGATTGCAAACGCTGCTCTGAAATGCGTAAACGGCAGTGTAGTCATCCGACTACACCATCTGTTAAAGTAGAGTGTAGGACTTACGCCAGCAATGCATGAGTTAGAAGCCACCCCGCAGGATATGTCCCGCAAGATATGAGAACCGCAAAAGAAAGGCCCCGTAGTATGACATGCACCGCCCATCCCATCCATGCAAGAGTTCTCAACCTCACCAGTCTCCACTCCTCAATGTAGAGGCCGTTCAAGCAGCCGCAGGCGCAATCTTCTTGCCCTTAACACTCTTCCACTCCATTCCGAAACTGACGATGAAAGAAATCGCAGCGGCTGCGACGGCGACCAGGAAGGCCTGCGTGATGCCCTTGGTGTAGGCTTCTAGCACACCGTCCAGCATCTTGCTCCATCCATACTTCGCCATGACCTCCCGTACGTGGGTCGCGCCGGCTCCGATCACGACCTTCGGGTTCACACCAGGGGCGTATACGGTTATGTTCTCCGCTAAACTGTTGACGAAGATGTTTTGCGCAATCGAGATCGCTAAGGCGCCGCCCAGGCTGTTGAAGAAGAACACGCATGCATTGCCCGTGGGCATATCCTTCTCGCTCGTCACGACCTGGACAGCGACAAAGGGGATCTGCACGGCCATGCCCGAGCCTGCACCCGCAAGGATTTGGTAGCCAATCCAGACGCCAGCTGGAGAGTTGACCTTGAGGGTGTAGAGCAGGCCAGAGCCGACGCAGAAGATGGCGCTGCCGATCCACATGAAGGGAGTGTAGTAGCCAATTTTAGTGACAGTACCGCCAACTACGATAGCGCCGAGAGTGTTTGAAACGAGGTATGCGATTGTACGGATGCCGGAGCCTTCGGCTGTGGTGCCTTTACAGGCTTGAAAGTAGAAGGGAAGGTAGAAGATGTGACTGTGTTAAGATTAGCTCCAAAGGTTCTGCTGGTGGAGGAGAGTGCGAAGTTACTTACGTATAGAGACCCATGCTGAACAAAGCTGAGAACAGACTTCCAAAACCAACGGTTCGCTGCAACAGAATCCTAGGCGGAAGCGTGCCTCGGTCGCCTCTGTAGACTTGAATGCCTATAAACACGATTGTAAGGAGTCCAAAGCCCAACAAGCAACCCCAGATGCTGCTATCACTCCATGGATATGTTTGCCCACCCCATTGCAACGCCAATAGCAGGCACACAACGGCTGAGATGAGGACTGCGGCGCCTAGCAAGTCGATCTGGAGAATACGCTGCTTGAGAGACATATGCGCAAACTGACGTTCCGGGCTCTTGAAGAAGAAACCAACCACGACCATGGTGACGGCGCCAAAAGGCAAATTTATCCAGAAACACCATCGCCAGGACACCTTGTCCGTGAGCGCACCTCCGAGTAAGGGTCCCACTACCGACGCAATGCCGAACATGCTGCTCAGCGCGGCGATGTATATGGGTCGCTTCCGCAATGCGACGGAGTATCCTACGATTGTGATGCCACCAGAAAAGAGAGCTGCGGCGCCGGCTCCTGCTATTGCACGACCCACAATGAACATGGCACTGGACCTGGCGGCAGCGCAGATGATGGAGCCGACCTCGAAGAGTAAGAGGGCACTGAGGTATGTCCATTTGACGTCGAAGTAGGTGTATACGCGGCCGAAAGAGGGCATCAGGGAGCAGGTGGTGAGGAGGTAGGCGGAGCCATACCAGCCAACGTCGTCGAGCGAGTTGAAGACGGTGGTGATCTTCGGTATAGCAGTTGCGATGATGGTGTTGTCGAGGGCGATAACGAAGGTGCAAAGGCAAAGACCGATGCTCAGGACAACGAGAGGGAGCCCTTTTAGATACTGGCTCTCGTCGTCGGCCTCGTCTCCAGGCAATGGCTCACCTTCGCCTACTGTTGCTTTATTGGTACCATCGGAAGTGGCTGCGCGAGTCTCGTCGGTGGACTGAATGCGTGCGGTTGTCTCTGAGGCCTCAGCCTTCAATGGCCTCTTCGTGTCGACCCCGGTGGGCTCCTCATCATGGATCCCTGTCGAAGAGGGTGTAGGTGTCTCGTGCTCCTTCGCGTCGCCCTTCAGGTCTCCAAGCTCGATATCCTCCTCCTTCAGGGCGTGGTGTCCAGACAGCGACTTGGAGGTGGTCGACGAGGCATCTTCAGTGACAGGCCTCGAGGGACCGTCGGCCGAGGCTGCGGGATGGTCCTGCATATCGGCGATTGAGGGCCTGTTTCAAGGAACTTGCCGGGAGAGCCGGGAGATGCCGTCGGGCGCTCCACAAGTGAATCTGACTGGCCGCTGACGCTGCCCAGATCGGCAATGGTCCAGCGCTCGATGAGGGTGGTGAAGATGAATGGGAGGCGATGGCGATGAAGACGGCGAAGGCTGTTTGCGCTTTCCACATCACACGCACGCCGTGTCCGTCTCTTGTTCACCCCGGAGAAGAGCCTATCCGAGGTCTGAGCAACGGTGCGCCAATCAGAGCCCTGAGAGCACGTCGCTTCCACAAGCTCTGTGGTCTCGGCTTTCTCGCTCCTCATCGTTAAACCGCACGCTGTTAAAGGGCCAACCCTATCTCCAAAACGCGGCCGTGTGGTCTCTGCTATGAAACTCGCCGCCCGTCAGCCTTTACTGACCTCCCAGACCCCCATCAACCCAGCTTGTCTTGGAGGAAAACAGCTACGTTCTAGGTCCTGTATACACGCACCCAAAGACGGAGGTCGATAGCAAAGCCCAATTAAGCATAGCGCCCGCCTTTCACCTTCCTTGTCGCCAGGATCCGCGACGACAAGCGCCCCACGCGACCCCGGATCTAGCTTCGGCAGGCGAACGCGAAAGCGAAATGCAACCCGAGTTCGCATTTCCGTGATTGGTGCAACCTTGAGTATTTAGTGGCGGGATACTAAAAGGTGAACTGTGCCGTATGGTTGCAATTCGAGGCTTCATGCAGCTATGGGAGGGTGAGTACGCATGCACACTGGATCTAGATAGTGCAGAAATTCTTTAGGTCTCGAAAGGAGTGAAGCTTGTTCTTCCGTTCCATAATCATGTCCACTGTGCGACATCTCACAGCAAGCTCTGGAGATTCTTGGGAATATAAAGGCCGTATCAATTCTGTTTTCTCTAACCTCAACACCACCCACCAAAACCCTTCGGAATGTGTCGCCAAAGCCTTACCAACGACATCAATACAGGAGCAGAACTCCAAAGTCCACACCACGATGCCAGTCCAGCCCCAATCTCAGAAACGCCAAAATCCTCGAAACACCCTGAATCTCAAACACCTGCCAATCTATCAGCCTTCTATCACCCCCGCAACCCCACACCCCGATCTGTCCAAAGACAGTATAACTCCATTCGAAAGCCCTCAGGTCTCCCCATACTATCCCACTCAAACAATCTTGAAAAACTCAGACTCCTTCAGATCCTACATCCAAAGAAAGACCCATCCTCCCCTGACCGATTCTGTTCGCCCTCATCACCGCCTCGCCACCATCTTCTTCTTCCCTTTTGTTACATCCGCTACATCGGGCTTGCAGGAGGTGCACGGGTGCTCCATGCGTAGGCTCTGCCATATCTCGCCCCCTTGGCCCCCAGGACACGCCGTCTGGATGAGTTGGGCCGGCGCACAGAAGGCGGCGAAGACGGTCGTTGTATGGCCGCAAGGGTGGGTGTGGGCGTAGTAGAGGCACATTGTGGTAAGTTGGATAGTGGGGTTGTGGGCAGGGCGAGATTGACTAAGACCGGATGGTGCCTATATGAGGGCGAGAGCGGAAGGCCACTCTTGGTACGCGGTCGCGTTCGAGGACGTTTGACTCGGGGCAAGCTCAGATGATGAAGTTAATCGAGAGCTGTGAGATATTAGCAGGTGAGTGGTATAGATCGGAGTGCGTGAGGCTTACCAGACTAGCGTAAGCTTAGTCGACCTCGACGTCGTACGTCTTTCCTCCTTGAAGACCACTGCTTGAAAGAGATCCTGACAAGGTATGAAGTGCAGATGACAGAGACAGATGACCTTAAAAAGAGGAGGAAAATGACTTGAGAGTTCGAAGATTGCTGTAAGCTTGATTCCACAAACGATCTTCTGATAACCTCATTCCACCTCCCCCATTCCATATTTATATTCCCTCCGACTCATCATTCACCGTCCAAAGCCATCCCACCCTACCTTTTCCGCCGTCTCGACTGCCCGAATCGCCGCCATCGGCCATAGCAATTACCCTTCCCTACCCTCCTTGCAGCCCCATTCCTGCCGTGCCCTCCTCCCCCGCCTACCTATTCGTCCGACGCCCTGCCCAGCGCTGCCTCGTTTAGTGATCCAGGATGAAGAGCGCGCACGAGCGTCCCAATCGAGCAGCAGGCTGGGTGTTGGAGCTGCATCAGCCTTACGATGGCGGTTGCAAACACCGCGGGCAAGCGGGTAGAGCGGGTAGCCACGTTGGGTGGACGTACGTGCAGCACTGCACGCGCGTGGTGGGCGTGGCTTGCGTGGGACGGGGCGCGGGTGAGTGCGGGTGTTTCGGAGATGAGACACGGTGGTGGAGGGGTTGAGGGGTGGAGGAATGTGCAGCCTTTTGCTGAGTTCGGTGGGTAGTTTAAGTGTTATTGACAAGGAAAAATGACCGAGAGTTCGGTTTTGAAGCTTGAATGTTGAAGATACGAAACCCATTCCCCCCGGAATTGCCTCTGGGAGTGACTGATGTCCTCTGGCGGTATTCGTTTCGCGTTCTGCGTTAGCCGTGGGCTACGGTATGAGGTGAGGATGTCGGTGACGGGAGAGCCTATGAGGATTGGAGCCAAAGATGTTTGTTTCTTGGCGTGATAATTTTGGGCACATCGCATGATAAGAGGCGCATCAAACTTCTCACGGGGGAAATATCAGGCGGCGGTGAGTTTGAGGAGTTTGAGTTGAGCCGTTGGACGCAGATGGCGAGCAGGTAGCCGTGTCCTACATTTCGACAATGGTGGGGTGGAGGATGGCGGGGCTATGGAAACGTTTGAAATGCGGGATGACGACAGCAGCGGTGGATCTGAGGCGTGCTGGCTAGACTGGTCTAAACACGGACCAAATAGAGAGAGATAGAGACGTTGAGGGAGAAAAGTCACAAGGCTGGCCCAGCTGCAGATGCAAGAGATGGGCCAATGGGAGCAGAGCTACACCGCCAATTGAAAAAGCAGCGCGATGCGAACCGCTGCGGGCGGTCGCTGGTCGTCCTGTGCCGCATGTCGACAGCGCCCGAGCGAACTGCCGGCCATGTCCCTGTCGCCGGGAGCATCGTGGGGTCCGGCGGGGTGTTGAAGCGGTCGTCGGGAGAGACGGAGGGCGAAAGGCCCACGGTTCGTGAGAGCGACGCACCAGAGCGGCTCTCGACGTCTCTCCCCCACCGAGGGGTGTCGTGGCAGGCAGCCCTGCACATCCCCGGGCCAGCTCGAGCAGTTCGCGCCCTGGAATCCGAGCAGGCTTGTCCAGGTGGTGCTGCAGCTACGCGAACGCCTCCCACACGGGGCATCTCGCCGTGGTGTTGTCGCTCCCACCGTCGCCCAGCCATGCCTCCTCCACGGCTATCGTGCTCTGCGATCCCACCCAGCCCCGGTGCCAGCTGGCAGACATGACGCCCTGCGCCCCTAGGACCCCTCGTCAGCCAGCACCAGGCGGGCCCGTCGCGCTCTCGCGGCGCTGGGCAGAGCCGTGTGTGCTGTTCCGGCATAGTGCGCTTTGACACGTAGCTCGCAGCTGCATATTGACGCAGGACCCGCTGCAGCTCCGGACAGCGCCCCAAGCTGCAGCAGTGCCATAGTCCCGTCGCCCTCTCTCCCAACCTCGCTCTCTTCCTCTCACGATTCCATTGTCGCAATTGTGCTGTGTGCTGTGTTTTCGTGCGGATCGACTGTCGCTCGCTTCTCTCCACCACGCCCAAAAGTCGCGAGACGAAGCGACCTCGGCCGCCACAGGCACCACCACGGGCCTCACCACAACACGGCCGCACCTCGTCCTGTGCTCTGCTGGGCTCAAATCGCCGCGACACTGCCTGCCGTGGAGGACGGCGGAGCATTGGCCTCGCCCTCACCGCCCTGCCAACGTCACGCCTGTTTATATCCGCCTCTGCCCTCGTCACCACCCTCCGCCGCGCCCGCAGGTCGCAATGCGTTGTCTGGTCCAGCTCCAAGTCACTGCCCAGCCGCTCCGCGACCGCCGCCTCATGAGTGACGTCTGCTAGCCTCCCGTTGTGAGAATCGCGTCGCCCTCGTCTGTAGAAGCTGCCATTGGCCGATCGACCTCTACCCGCTGAGATTGGGCGAATGGGAGGCCGCCGTTGACGTTAGCAGCCAATTCATCCTGCCTGGTCCGAATTAGGTACACAGACAGAGTCCGCTGGCCGTCGTGAGGCGTGCGCTGCTCGTGCTGTCCTCTTTCTGACTTTTCCTTCAGATATCTTCCGGACTCGCCTGTCACTCCTTCATCTGTACCATATCTCGTCTCCTCTCTCCCGTCTGCAGCCGCCCGCCTGTACCATTAGTCTCTTTGACTTCCACGGCCTAATCAACAAATCTCCGAGAGCGCCTCTTCTCTCCCGCACGCCTGCTGCCCCAAATAGCCCTCATATCCGCCCGTCTGCTCCGCCTAGCCCAGTAACCGCGGGACCTGACGCGCACGGCCGGGCCACCTCGACGTATCAACGGCCAACGGCGGGGGTACCTCTGGCCAGGTTTCACCACTTCATCTCACGCCTGCACATCATCCACGCGCTGCATCCGTCACCCCGGGGACTCGCTAAGGGTTGGCAGGGCTGATACCGGGCTGCTGAGCTGATCGAGGCTGCATGGTAAGTCATCCGTTCACTATGCCAACCTCCTTTCACCGCGTCATGACTGCTGGCCGGTCTGTGGTCGGCGCCAACAATGCCTCTCATCTTGAGCCTCTTCACTCCCGTTCACGCAGCCATGCCTTCACTTCAGTCAAGCTGACTTCTCCAGATCTGAGAGAGATGGCTTCTTCGGATGTGGATCAGAAATTCCTCGGTCGTCTAGCAAAAGCAACCCGCGATTCGAACCCTCTCTTGTCCGCCTCGCTGTTCCAGATCCTTGGTCTCTCCGTCCTCCTCTCGCGGAGGCTCTTCCGAGCGCGAAAGTTGCGGAAGTTAGATACATCGCGCGACACCAAGTCTCTGGCATTGTATCAACATATCCTATGGATATCACGAGAGGGCCTCTCAATTCTTGAGCTCTACGTCCTGCCGTACGCGCAAGACGGTCAGCAAGGACACGAATGTCAGGTGTTGAGCGTCAAGCTGCGCGCCAGCTTCTACCATATCTTCTGTCTGTTCCACAACCAGCCACCTGTCTCCAGCCTTCCGACATTCGACGCCCGCGCTGCTGAGGTGCCACCGCTACCTCAGCCACTATCTCCACGACAAGACAATGGCCAATCCCGCCGTGGTCCTACTTCTCCGTTCACAGCTCGTGGCAAGCTGCCAACTCTGCGCGAGCCGATCGAGTCCATCACGTCCGAGACCTCCTTCCTTACAAATCCTTACGCCGCAGGTGGCCCTGTCGGAACACCATCCCCACATCCTCCAGCACCGCCAGGTCTGAATCCGATCCCGATTCCGCAGCCATCCTCCTTCATCCTTCCACCTCTCAATTTCCTCCCTCTAGCTGACGCGCACTTCAAGACTGCGCAAGATTATGCCAACGTAAGACTGCATGGCTCTCACCCCCTCCGCCTCTCTGTGGCTCTTGAATACGCCGCTTTTCTGTGGGACTGCCAGCACGATCACGACGGCGCCCGACGCCTCTCTCGCAAGGCCATTAAAGACGTCTATCGTGCGCAGGAGAGCATAGACGATGCCGAATTCGAAGATGCAGCCGAGCTCGTGAGTGTGCTAGGCCGGATGATGAAGCGAAAGAGCTGGGAAGGCACACCGCACGTGGGCAGTGGAGTTAGCAGCCCCGTTAGCGCGCCTGGTCTCGGAGTAGGAGGAAACGGAAATCCAGTTCAGCTAGGCCAGTACACTCAGGCGCAACAACAGAGCCCAACGAGGATCAAGAAGATGGACAACTTGGGTGGAATCACGACCAGCCCTTCCGCCCAACGCCGCAATAGTGCGGGCAGTCGAAGCGGCAGCGGTGGACATCGTAGCAGCGGTAGTGGAGGTAACCAAATGACACCCCGCGCAGGTGGCCACCAACGCAGCTCAGCTGGCAGTGGTAGTCGAAGCGGTGGAAGCAAAGAAACCACACCGCGTGCGCGTCATGTTAGCGTCGAGAGCGGCGGAAGCACCACACCGCGTGCGCGTCATGTTAGCGTCGAGAGCGGCGGAAGCACCACACCGCGTGCGCTTCAGGGCGTTGGTCGAAGCCCTGTCACACCGGCATCCATGAGGTCAGCTCATGCACCTGGAAGTGGTGGCTCAAAGGACAGGAGTCCAGTCGTTGAACCGAGAGCTGCGGTTGAAGCTGCGGGACAGAGCCTGCGGAGGAGCCAGAGGGGAAGCCCGATCATGGACATCGAGTATGAGGAAAATAGGAGAGAGGTACGATGAAGTTCGGGGTTTCTATGAGCGCTAAATTCAAGGCTTGAAGCATAGGAAACCGTTCGAAGAAGGTCCGATAATGTTCTCGGCATTTCCGACATTGCGGGGAATTTGGACGTTTCGGTAAAGGGATGGAGCCGAAGAGGGGCAAGTTCGACGACGCTTGCTTGTACACTGCGTCTATGTTGTACTAACTGTCTCTCACAACTCGATCACTTCGACACGGCGTATGCCAAAAGCGCGTCTTTGCACTTCCGAAGTACCGATGCTATACCACCACACTGTACACGGCCTACACGACCCTCTCGATACACCCTACACTCCCTACACACACCTAGAGGACATACATATCACACACCACACCCTACCGAGAACGAACACCCTTCTTCGGACATTGGCGGAATTGAAGGCATACTGTACTGTACTATATTGGGATTTGTTTGATTTTGGAGTACAAAGGACCTCTGGGTACTGTTCATAACTGGGCTCTGGGTTCTGCATCTCGGTTCTTTCTGTTTTGAATACTGCATTTTGTGATTTGGATTGTTTCAAAAAGCCAGGCGGCCTGGTTGCTTTTTTACTTCTGCATAGACCCAAAAATTGGGGTTGGCTTTTTGCTCTTCCTGCGACTTTGGATAACTACACTATCCAGGTAATTGTTGGAACTAATGGGGACGGGTTGTGGGGATTGGTGTGGCTTGGAGGTGTCGGGAGGTTGTGTTAATAATTCTAGAGTAACTGGCCCCTGTGAGGGGTGCTTGAATGAGACTTTGTGTATGCTGTATGCCGTTTGCCTACACTTGTTTAGTGCTGTTTGAAGGACCTCGACAGGCTTTGAAAAACTGAACAATATGATTTTGAGTGAAGTATATAACGCGCTGGGCCACCTCAAACGATGCTATCCCGCATACCCTACTCCGTAAATCACAACCCAATCACCACGGCTGTATTACAGTCATAAACCTCTGCCTGGGTTCGCTGGACATAAAGCGGCAGCCCGCCACCGTCTGAGGTGGCCCGAAGAGCTACTAGCCATGTAGAATCTGTTGTTTTCCAAATCGTCCTAACGTACCAGGGGGCCTGTTTAAACTCCTTGGGGCCCCACTTTGAACTTACTCTGCCTCTCTAAGTTCAACGATTCGGACCCCAGTCATGCTGAGTCCTGCCTAGCCAGGTAATTCAGGTCACGTGGACAGATCACGGTCCGAATTTGAACTTACACTGCCAAGGAATTTGAACAGGACCCACTACGCCACACCGCCATCTGTGTCTCAGCTCTCATCTGTACCTAGGTACGTGCACCTGTATCCCGCTTTACGGGTGGCAGATACGGTGCTCCACACCCCTTCTTCGACAGCCAAGCCTTGCTTCTTTGAGACTCCGAGGGGCTCTCTGCTAATGGAGTCTCGACTGCGGTGCAGGGTCTAGTCTTCAGTCCCTCGTACGCCTTTTCAAGTTGAATTTTTGACTATTGTAAGGCTTTCTTTCTGTTTCTTCGAGGCAGGTGGCGAGGCATATGGAGGGAGTGTCTGGACATCACAGACTTTTTCGTTGAAGAGTAGTTTTATAGCTCTTCTCGTATACATCAATACCACGGATTGTCTATTGTTCATCGCGCCTTTCAATTAGTCAACACCTGTCACGGGAGGAGCTGGGATGGATAGGAGAGAGGGTAGGAGAGAGGGCAGGATACATCACTCGTCAAGTCACACGACACAGCAGATCTACGTTCCTTACAAATGGGGCGATGTAGATAGGTAAAATTTGCGTCAAGGGGAGCAAAAATAGAGGCATTGCGGCGCAATTTACTGACACGCTCTAGATACAGTGCCTCCTCGTTGATCCACCTACACCGTTCTGCCACTGCTTGCGGTGCCCCAACAGGTCCTCGGGTTTACAGGAATCTGGAACGATGAACAGCACAGCCAGGTGTGTACTTCCATCAGCCACGGCCTGAGGTGGCCCGGCAAGCTTACTAAATGCTCCAACTAACAAAGTTCAGGGGTTCTAAAATGCATCGAGGAGCTTCAAGCAGCGGCAGACAAGTGTACACAGATCAGTGACGAGTTATTGTAGCCGTTCATAATTGGACTTACCTACTGCTCGACGGGATCTATGTCCGGAGATTGCCCGGAGATTGACCCTTTTCATACAGCGCCTTGCCATAGACATCTAACTTCTAATCTGAATGCACCCTGTTGACGCTGCCTAGGCTTCTTATATGGTGGGTTCTCCTAGAATTCCATAAAACCTCTTGTAGTGGGCCTTACTATACAAATTACTGTAGCGAACATCTTGCCCCGACAGCAAGGGGCTGGATTCTCTCGGCCAGTGCAAGGTTAGCTATCTTCCCAATTCGACATGTACAGACGGAACCTAAGTCATCTTTAGGCCCCTCCTTATCGTCCACGTCTTCTTCCAAGGCCACATTGTCTACCTCCGCATCGTCTACCTCTACCGCTGAGCCGACATGGCCTACCTCTGCTTCCGTCACTTCTACCTCGGGTCTGGAGCCCACCTTAAATAGCACTACAAGTTTAGAGAGATCTAGATACAAGTATAATAAGCTTAGAATCTATTGCTCTCGAGGTTAATACAAAATGTGGTTAATCGTTAATAAGCGCGAAAGAGGAGGAAACCTAAGCCGAGGTCGTAGTAAAGCTTGTAAGGCTGGTATCTGGTTAAAGAAGATTATAACAGCCAGAACATCAACGCGAGTAGGAACACCAGCTCTAAATACACGAATGGCGTCCAGGAAGCTATGAACCCTTTTCAGAAGAAAAACGTCAATGAATATTCGTCGGACATAAAAAGCCTCATGAGCTTACTAGTTGTCCCAAATGCTCAACTTCTCTCTTATTCGTGACACTAAAAATACTATGAAGCCCCTCATGCAGCGAATATTCATCTCGTGCTTGTTGATGCCATCAAGGAATCTCAGGAGTCCAAGGCCCGCAGGGATATCATCAGTCTTAGTAGGAGGTAGCACTTGCTCAGAGTTCCGCGCCCTCCCTTCGCCAATAATCTTCGACCGCTTTACGATTCGGCCAAGTCCCTCAATACGCTTATTTCTTTGATGAGCTATCAGCGCAATTAACATATCAAGCACTTACGCTTTGAAAGCTCACTGCGTGGTATTAAACTACCTGGAGACTCCTCGGGGTTCTTTGAAAATATACTGCCAGAAGATATGCATACATTCGAGACCGAGGAGTTCAACGAGTACTTCTCCGACGGAGTGCGCGACATTCTGTCGAATCTCCACCGCTGGTTTCCAAACCTGGACGCGCTCTCTGTCCAATTCGACGCTCAAGATTACTAGGACTTCTCAATGGCGGCCTCAGAAGGCGGCTCTACCGCATCAACAAGACCAGAAGACCCATCCCGCGCTGAAATCAAGGAGCAATGGCACCCCTACGCAAACTGATGGCCGAGACCTACACCGCGCTGGCCAGGAACCGCCAACACCACATCCCGACTCTCATCCTGCCCAGCATAGTCGCCCGCAACGTGTCCACCTTCTCCCACTCCTCCTTCCACGCCTTCCTGCGCGCCTTCCGCGCCTTCAAACTCTCGCGATGGGGCAGCTACCGCAGTTACACGGGCTACCACTCGTGCGACGGCTACTCCACCTTCGCGCAGAACCTGGCGCCCTTCTTCTTCGCCCACCTCACCACGACAACCAGACTTAGCATCGCCGCCTCCCCCGACTCCCTCCCGTCCCCGTAGACGCTCCCGCTCGCCCCCGCCCACGTCCCAGCGCTCCGGGCCCTCCGCCTCGACGGCATCGTCCTCTGCGCCGCGCTCGGCGCCTTCCTCGCCGCCCACGCGTCGATCCTGACGCACGTCGCCTTTGCGTCCTGCCTCGGCCGCTGCGGTGGCGGCCTCGGCAGCCCCGGGTGGAGCGGGATTGCTACCACGGCGGCGGCGGCGGGGTGATCCCGCTGAATCTGGACGAGAGCGATGAGACGGAGGGCAGGGTGGCGGCGGGGCCAGGGCGGCGGTGCTTTTTCTATGAGGCGAGTTGCCCGGAGGATAGTGAGGAGGGGGACTGGCGGGTGGAGGTGTGGAGGCTCATTCGCCAAGAGGATCAGAAATGGTTCGACAGGTTGCAGGAGATTGCCGCGATGAATAGCGCGAGGGATAGGAGAGGCTGAGTAGCGGGCTGTCTCCGTCTGTTCTGATACCGTTTAAGGTGGCTTAGAGAGCTATTAGGCGTGTCTAAAGTGTTACCTTACCAGATCTTATGGTAGGCTGGAGGACCTCATACGGTGGTAGGCTAGTGTACATGTGCAGGTGTATGCCTGAGAATAAAGGAAAATTCAAAGAATAAAATATCGCACAAGGTTCCGTGAATTTGGGAAATCTGAAGTGTTGGTCTGTTCTGACTCTGTCTGAGGTGGCTTAGAGAGCGACTAACCCTTTGAAAACTGTCGCTTTCTAGTTTTAATAACGCATTAGAGGACCTCAAGCGGTGCTAGGTAAGTGTATACACACCTGAATTTAAGGTAGCCTGACTTTTTATTCGCGCGTGAGCTATATGTACACATTATATCTGTGCTTGTGTACGCTTGTTTAACACCGCTTGAGGTCCTCCAGTATGTTGATGTTATTCATGAAGGACCAGCGTTGGCAGGCCTGATAGCTCTCCGGGTCACCTCAGACGGTGTTGAAGTGCTGTGTGTGTGCTACCTTTAAGCCTAGCGCGTCCGACCGCTTTTCACCGATTATCCATGCAAAGTACTATCCTGCCTCAGCCTTCTCTTCCCTCGTGCATCCTATATGTCATTAGGCTATACGAGAGAGAAAAGACGTGAAAGTATATGCTCCCGGAATGTCATAAGAGAAGGATACGTCCATCGTGCGTAAGATCTATACCAATACTGACACAAAGAAATGGAGCGCGAATGAACCTTTGCAGCAAACTTGTCCCCCACCAAGACAAATCGCTTCACACATCTGTAGCATTCCAAATCTTCCTTGGTATTTTGTACTTCTGAAAAACCAAACTCATGCCGAGTCCTTCCATCTCACGTTTGACGCCATCCAAAAGATCCAAGGGGGCCTGCGCTTCCTCTCTTCGGCAGTTGATCAAAACTGGCTGATAGATAATCTCGACCTCGCGAAGGGCGGTTTCCTCGGCATGTGCGAGCCGAACCACACGGCTCAACCATTCCGCCTGTTCCGGTCCAAAGTCGCGGCATGTCGATAGCGGGTAGCCTTCGTCATCCAACGGCCAGAAGAACCAACCTAGCTTCCGGAGGCGTGGCGCAGAGAGGACGTTCCCGCACACCTCTTCTGGGGCCCACTCGACAGTCAGAGTGCGGGTGGATAGCCAGAGAGCTTCGAGGTTCGCAAAGTCGGAGACGTTGATTGGGCGTGCTGAGTTGTAGTTGCCCATGGCCAAAGATTTCAGGGAGTCGCGATGTGGTAAGAGAGCCGATCGAATGGTGGCGAGGTCTACATCCCGCGAAAAGTAGCAATTGCCGTCGAGAGCGAAATGTTCGAGCCTAGCTGGCCACGTCAGCAAGCCTGCGAGGCTCTCGAAATCGCCGTACACAACTTCTAGATCAATTGAAATGAGAGCTGCTGCGCCTTCGAATTCCTGCGTTGAATCTATCAGTATGCAAAGGACTATAAGGAGACTCGGGGCAAAAGATATTGTACCTTGGGAAATTCGGTGAGTTTCCATGATTCCCCCAGTTTCAGTTTCTTCAGCTGCCGCACGGGAGTAAGGGTCTCACATAGCGATTGAAGGCATAGTGGTGTTTGACTGAAAGTGAGGGTGAGCGACTCGACCCGGAACAAGGGTGCAAGCGTGGATTTGATGCCTTCCCACACGCACTCTTTTACATGTCGACTGCTGCAGTGACACAATCTGATTGATGGGAAATCTTCGGGCTCGTAATTTACATTCGGACGCCAGGAGTCATATAGTTGAAGTTCTAGCTCCTTACAACAACGCGCAAGAGAATGATTTTTCTGAAGCATCTGAAAGAGTTGTTGATGTCGTTTTCTGAAGGGGGTTTTATCGTTGGGAGCTACCCACAAGTTGAGAGAGGAGTATAGGACCGGAGCGACCAGGCGATGAAAGGTCTTGCACACAAGCGATAGAGATAGAGCAGTCGGGTGAGGTCGTCGCCTAGGCACAAACATGCTCTTCGCTTGACTCATGTACTCAGAGCAGGCTAACACGACGATCTCGTTGACTAGCTCTTCGGGAAATTCAAGGATCCGGAATGGCGGATTTAGGACGAGATAGAGCTCCTCGGAAGAAAAATCGCCGAATGGCATTTGGGCCAGGATGACTGGATCGCCTTCATGATGAATAGGTGGAGCCTTGGAATTGAAGCCTAGAAGCGTGAGCTGGTGTTTATCCACCGTGAAGCCAAGGCGGAGCTGTCGCATGCCCCGTTTCTTTGGTTCGCGTCGCATGTTGTTGAGAGTTGTTGTTTGACGGGATTGTTGACAGGTTGGAGTTGTGATGAAGAGGTGAATGCAACGAGCGGTGAGGTTCAGTGTATGCTGAGGTAAGCATATCCAAATCGAGGCATAGGTAAATATGAGCCTTGCCAGTTTTCGGGCAATTGACGGATAATCATGTGATAGATTGGATGAGGAAAGGCTGAGTTGAACAGCGTTTCCTTCTCCAGTTTGTTCTCCCCAGTTTCTCTTGTTTGATTTCGCTACTCCATGTCTGGCTAATCTACCATGACTACAACCCTGGCCAGTAGTCATCACATCATCGAGATTTGCAACCCATGCAAATTGAAATTGAAGTGAACGATAAAACGATTGTGTTGACATAGATATATGTATACCTCATCTTACGCTTAGTCGTGCATTCACTCCTAGTAAAGCAAATACTTGTGCCGCCTGCTATTCTATGAGGCTATCTCATTTCCCCACCAGACGGATTTCACCGATACCTTCTTTATGATCTATCCCCACGGCGTCGCTGGAGATCTATGCAGTGTCGCAGCTACCGTAAGAAGAAGTTTAGCATTCTTGCAAAAGTCTACACTGAAGCAAGCGATCCGTTTCTAATGACTCCTCGCTAGGAGACCATGAACCACGCGATCTACTGCTACCTTCACGTATATATCTGGAAAACATGAAATACGAGAGGGCATGAAAGTTGATATTAAGGAAAACATGATTGATGATGAGCGTATGTGGACCAGGCTTCTGATTTCTACCGAATACGCCTAGGCATACACATTAATAAAGAAATGAAAGACATCGTGCAGGTCTTCGTCGTCAGGTTCGGCTCTCCATTCTGCCTGTCCGACACTGATATATTTGATAGTCCGAAGAGAGAAGTGTAAGAAAGCAGCCATCGAGGTACAGGCTCCTTGAAAGAACATGTGGTCGAGCCCACACCGCTGGGATAAATTTTCGGAGTAGGAGAGATGAAGGAACTCGATGCTCCCCAAGAAGTGGCCGAACCAAGGGGCGAAAGGGTGGCCAAGTATAGCGAGCGCCCTAGGCACCACATTCACGAGCCTCAGAGTCTTGATATGATGCTGCTGATTGGCGCCCAGCGCCTCGTACGCCTTGTGCATTAGGATCGTCTAGGGATGTGTTCTTGCGTCCTCTCCCCCACCGCAATTGGTATGTTCGGGCCACCATGTCAAGCCGACGCCAAAGCTGAGCGTCAACGTGTCCAGATTCGGGAACAGCCTGAGATTCGATAAGATGTCACGAACAGGCGACGGGAAGACCACCGCCGCTGCGGCCTGATGGTACTTGTAGACACCGATGGAACCTCCACGAGAGCATATAACACCATCCATGACAGCGGCCAATTTTCGCATATCGATAGATCCCTTGAACTGCAGGTGTTTGACGTTCTCAATGTACTCACTCACTGCCAGAGCTTGGATCGAAGCTGCGCTGGCCACGGTGTTGCGTAGTGTAACGGTGTCGAAGAGATTCGGCTGGAGAAGTGCGCGGTACCGCGAACAAGTGGTGCTTAGGTTGAGAAGCGTTTTGGGGTAGCCTTGTGTATCGGGGTCGTCGAGGGCGTCGAGGTCCTGGATGGCATCGATGATAAGGAGTTGTAATTCATCTGCGAGGCCCGGTAGTAAGCACGTCATGGCGGGCTGGTGGTGTATTGGAGACGTTGAGGTTGGAGAGGTCGAAGTTGGTGTCAGAAAGAGACAGTTGGCGTGTTGAAATGAAATTGGAATGCAGAAATTGACAGTTGGCAAACCCCGCCTACGTAAGCAAGATGTGAGCCATGTTACCAGAGCGACTCAACCATAGAACAGAGCCGCTGAATCCAGCCAAAATGCCAAAGTCCCGAGCTATTCGATGATGAAAGAAAAAAGACAGGAAAGGGAGCCGATGTTCTCCCCTCTCCAATATTTCTTCCGCGCCCTCACCTGCACCAATCCCAAAAAGAAGAAGCCAGCTATCATACAATTTATTACTGCCCTAAGAAAGCCCCTAGATAGTATACAAGTCTCTATAACCTAGCTGTGCTTTTCAGCCACCCCACAGAAAGCGTCATCCGCTTTTCCAGGGAACACCGAGGTCATACTCCAACAAAGTAGAACCTGAGCACCTACCGCCATGCATCCACCAAAAAACCAAGCACCGATAACCCAAATACCCGTCAAAGCGGAAAAGAAGAAGTCACTAGAGCCCTTGCAAAAAGAAAATGAAATATATCGAAATATCCCGCTATCAGTCCATCACCGATTCCATATTGACTCGCTCTTCAGACAGTCAAAATCAGATGCATCTCCCAAGGGGTATCCGGGTATCCGTGTTAAGCAAGGCTGGGAAAGATCCAGAAGGAAGTAAAAGGTCAGAAATGAAGAGAGAGACAAGCCCCTGAAGATAGGTTCAAAAAACTGGAATGGCTCCAGAAAGTCCCCAAATATGTTGATGGTAAAGCAGAATATGCAAGGTTAGAAGAGAAAGTTGACCGGGTACGCCGTTCCGTTCCGTATGCTATGCCATGCGTGCCGTCGTTCGTGCTGGTGTGGTGCTGGTGTGTTCCCAAGCCTCGGTTGGAGATCCGATCCGTTCTCGTCTACGGGGTGTAAGTCTTGGTGTAGAGATATTTGGTTTCGTTTTGGAAAAAAGGGATCGGTCTTCGATCAGTGCATCATGCCCTGATTGTTGGCGTCGATGACGTTGTCAGAAAGGTTGATGAGCAACTGCGCAAGGCAGCGCTTGGTGGCAGCATCGTCGCGTAGGACGGAGGAGAATGTGGCGTCACGAAGGGGCTCGGGAAGGCACTGGCGGAGGGCCTCACGGGCACGAGCATTGTCGCTGAGTCTGTACTGGGTTAGTATACTTCAATTGAGCCACAAGCATGATAGTTCGTACCTCAGGAAGCATCTAACGACATGCTTGAGCAGCCTGACCGTCTGCTGCTCTACGAGCTGGTTCACCATGTTGCTCAGAACCGTCCCGACGGCGTAGAAACGCTCGTATGTTTGGCAGATGTATGCTAGCCCGGTGTCGTCAAGCAGGATCTTCTGGACAATGAAGATAGCTACGGTCTTGCTCAGCTCCGACCCTGTCTCCATGATCCTCAGGCACAGGGGAATGATCTCGGTAGTGAGGAGGAAATTGATGACCTCGGAGGAGTCGTTCTTGACGAGTGCTCCGATGACGCCCAGGGAGGTGAGGCGGAGGTACTCGAATGGGCGAGATTTGGAGGTCGTGTTGAGGAACGGGTACAGGAAGAGCGGGATATGCGCTGTAATCGTCAACGTCTCAATTGTTATATAAATGAGGCAACTCTACTCACCACTCAAGAACAAAGCCCTCGTGTCCGTGTGCGATGCGACACACTGCAAAAGCGCAAGAGCGTTGCACACTCGATTCGACGCAGCCGCCGTGAGCTGGGAAGGATTTAGAAGTGGGTAGACGGAGATGATCTCCTGCAGAAGTGAAGCCATGACACCTAGATATTCACAATTAGCACACGGCTCCAACCCCGCAATGGCTAATGGACTTGGGATAACATACCGAACGAGTGCCATAGAATCAGCGCCAGCTCCGGAACCTGCTCTCGCTTTTTGCTCAGCTCAAGCAGCGCTGTCTCGCGCGTCGCGGGCTTCATCAGCTGCGCAATCCAGTCCAAAACCCGTCTATTGTCCTCGGACATGCCTGGTTCCGCTGTGAGAAGGCCAGCGCCGTGGTCGCCAGGTCCCATATTACCCATTGTCAGACCTGACACGTTGTTATTAGCTCCGATGCGGGCGTAGTTCTGCTGCTGGGCAGCTGCAGCGGCCTGGGCTTGTGCTTGGGCTTGGGCTTGCTGCTGGGCTTGGATGTGGTGGGCCGGGTGCTGGTGGTGGCCAGCAGCCCAGTCGCCCTGGAACTGCTGCTGGTGCGAGAAGACGTGCTGCATGATAGCGTAGGGGGAGGGCAAAGGGTGTTGGGCTTTGGAGAGGGAGCGGGTCTCGTCGCGGGTGAGGTCGCTGGCGTCGTGGTGCAGGTCGGAGCTGTTCGCGCTAGCTCTTCGAGGCGTTAGCAACGGGTGTTGTGCGGTTTGGGTCGCCTCGTCCGCCGTAGCCAACCGAGCCTTTGGGCTCCCGTAGGCACGGCGAGGCATCTTCTCCACGTCTTCACATTTGTTGTGACAGGCAAACTAGGTCTCAGGAGAACAGAGCAAGGAGGCCCGGAAGCCTATGTTGAAAGCACTTGCCTTCACGGTTCTATTCCACCTGTCGGATATATGTTAATGGAAGGGACTCCACAGGCTGCTTCGTGCTCTACTACTGGAGCGTCGACTTGACTATATATCCCTTCAAGCGCACGTCACTCAACTGGAGACTGAAAGCCGTACACAACATCATTCTATTACCTACGGAGTAAGACGAGAGCCCCGGTGTTCATTTCTCCTTAATCCTCCCACAGTAATCCCCGGGATAAAAATCCTCATAAATTAGTATAGTATGTACCAGCGAGAAATGGAAACGAGTGTTCGTTCCTACACGGCGTCTACCCCACCCAGCCCAGCCCATACAACCCTGACCTCCCAGAGTAAATGAGGAATACAAACGAGATTCGTCAGGCTCATCCGCCAAACTTAGCGTCCGCCGTTGCTACTGAACCAAACCAAAGGCCAACAGCATCACCGGCACAGAAAAAAAAAAACGACTCCCGCATTACCACACCGCCATGCCCAGTGCTCGCTCTACATGCCTGTAGGTACGCCATTATGCGTCTCCTCCCCCAATGAATATTTGTTTTCGCTATAATCGCAGCTCTGCCAGAATCGTCTGCGCCATGTTCTTGTATTGCCATGTTCCTCCGTCCACCTTCTTGAATTGAATGCCATGCAGAGACAGTAGTGGAACTTTGACGATCAAAATTTCGAAGACCAAAATCAAACTCCCCCCTAGGTCGCTTTGAACATGCGTTGTTGTTTCGCCAGCCGGCACCGCTTTCTTCCCCATTTTTCTGGCGTCTCGTCCGTCGCTCTCTTCTGAGTCTTCCGAGTTGGTGAAGCTTGGATTCGCAGCCGGTGGTCGGGATCGCGCCGATTTCGGTGTCTGCGGTTGTCGCTGTGACTCTCTGAACTCGTCTCGCTCGCGGTCGCCGCCCATGAAGCCGCCAAAGCTGATCTTCCGCTTGTGGCCTCCGCTGCTAGAAGGATGCCCTGGTGTGGATGGAGAGTCCACTACCTTGTTGAGATCGATGCTCGGTGCATGTCGACATTTAAAGCCGCCTTTAATTTCATGAAACGTGACTCCAAGTTGGTTCAGTACTCGTACGATATCCGCGCGAATGAAGGTGAGTGGCTTGTTGCTGGTGGTGCTTACGGAAAAGAGGCCCTTTAGATATACTGGCTTCATCGTCTCCGGACTACGACTAGTTTCCGCAGCACTCTCGGCGAGATCTTGGTCCGTCTCCTCTGGAACGTTTGCCTCCTTGGCCAATTCCCTTCGCGCCCGTCGAGCTTGGATGCTCTCTTTGCGCGCGTGTCCAAGAGACTTAGCCCTCGACGTCGTTGTATGAGGGCGTGAAACTGGCTGATCATCCGAAGCGGCGTCTCCTGGTTTCAGCCGATGTCCACTGATACTAGATCGATCTGATCCACTGGTGGGTGGTGGGTCGCCAGGGGGCCCTTCAGATGCACCTCGTCGGCTCAAACGCCTACGAAGATCTGCCGAATTGACACTAGTCGATCGGCCAAGAGCTTTCAGCTTTCGCGTAGCCCCACTGCCAGTACCAGGAGGGCTGAGCAGATCTGGTTGTTGTGAGCCACCAGGAGGGAGGACCGATGAGGATTGAGTCTCCTTGTCTCGCGTTCTACGCACACTGAAACTTTTCCGCGGAGGTTGTCCACCACCTTCTCCAGGCGCAGAGATATTAAGCTGAGGAGTTGGAGGTGGGTTACTTGCCCGTTCAGGATCTCGGTGTCGGCGTGTACTGAAACGACGTAGCAGTCCGGCAGCGGCACTCTCTTTCTTCATCGATGGTTGATCGCTCGGAGTTGTGATAATTGCCGGAGATACAGGCCCTTGGGGGACATTCAGATTGAGCTGTTTCAGGCTATCTGTGACCTCATCTTCCCCATGCGTCCTGGCTCTGGGCCTCGATCGTCCTCCGGTAGGGGTTTCGCCGGCCATTTCGTAGGCTGCAGAATTAGTGTATGCTGCCGCTGGGGCAGGCAGATCGGGCATCTGCAGAGGTTTTTCCCCAGGGCTTTTCGGCATGCTCAACGCTCCAGGGTTTGTCTCCAATGCCTCGCGCTCTATCTTCTCGCGTACTAGGAGATATACGGATACCAAGGGGCTGTATGCGTTGACTGGATCCAACCCAAACTGCACAGCTTCGACAGAAGATGTGACTAGAGTCTCCCGACTTGAAATGGAGTTGCGTCGCCGGTAAAAGTCGAACACACCACGTTTCCGCTCCGTTTCTGGGGTCTGAGCCTGGTGCTTGCGGGCTGCATGTCGTACTGCTCTTTGGTACTCTTCTGACTGGATGACGTTCGTGAGGTTCGTGGTGATGTATTCAGGGGATCCGAAGTCGAATCCGGTCATTTTATCAATAACTTCAGTGTCCAGAGGAAGTTGAAGAGGCTCCCGATGGGGCAAGTAGTTCTCTGGAGGAGAATTGAAGCCCTTGGTGATCCAAGGATGGTTCATGATTTCACTGAGGGTGACACGCTGGAGGGGATCCGTTTGGAGCATTTTATGGATCAAGTTACGGCATTCTAGGCAAAATGTAAGCACGTGACATATGACAGGGATTATGTATGCTTACCTGCGGACAGCCATGGTGGGTAGTCGACATGACCTTTCTTGATCTTAGCATGCAACTGTGGCATGCTCTGGTCGTCGAATGGAACCTTCCCGCAGACCAAGACATAGAGCACTATGCCGAAGCTCCATATGTCAACTTCTGGACCCGTGTATTGTTTGGCCTGCAACAATTCGGGCGCGGCGAAGTACAGACTTCCGCAGAAGGTTTTGAGGTGGCTACGAGGAGAAAAGAGGTTGCTAAGTCCAAAGTCGATGATTTTGATATCTCCCGTTTTGCTGATGAGAATGTTCTCAATCTTGAGATCACGATGAACAATGCTGTTGCGATGGCAGTAGTCCAAAGCGCTAGCAATCTGGCGGGCAAACTTGCGTGCCTGCTTCTCTTTGAGCCTTCCATGCGATATAATATAGTCGAGCATCTGGCCGCCGTTGACATATTCAAACAGCATGTACCAGTGGTAGTTTGTTCGGACAACATCGCGCATGCCGCAAATATAAGGGTGGTTGAGGAGCATGACTATGGCAGCTTCTCTGGCGGTGCGGACTTCTTTGGAGTGGTCGGCTCTTTCGCGGTCTTGCTGGGTGCGGTGTTCATCCTGCGACTGTCTTGGCACGATCTTGACCGCAACCTGAAGCAAACAGAGTTAGGATCACCACGACGGAGAACGCATTGGAGAGTGCCTGTATCTGTACTTACCTGTTCTCCTGAAGCTACGTTCTTTGCTAGCTTGACCTTGCCCATGCTCCCAGCACCAATCGTCTTACCCAGGGCCCATGTTCCTGTGTTCGGAGCGACGATTGTTGTCCTCCGTTTTTGCGTGCCTGAAGCGGCGATCGACCGCGAGCCATTATCGGCTGCGACTCCGTTTGTAGCCATCTGTGCTGCTGCTGCGGACGCGTCAGAAGCATATCGCGCATGCCGAGAGCGGGAGGAGGTACGGTTGTGAGAGCTCCGCACCGACTCGGTGCGAGCGGGCACGGGCGCGGGCTGCCCTCGATCTCTCGACTCGCTGCGACGCGTCGGGGCCTGGGCGACGTTGCTCTGCTCAAAATCCCGGCGGGCTACGTTGAGCAGCGGAGGTTGCTGAGAGGAGTTGGTGCGGGCGTGGTGATGGGACTGCGACTGCGACCGGTGAGGAGAGCCTGCCGGCTGAGTGGTGGGCCTCGTTGTCGTCGACTGGGTGCGATGAGGGCGGTCGGCGGGGCTCCCCAAGGCTTGCGGGCGCCGTGAGGTCGAGTTGGTGCGTGTAGGCACCGCGGCTGACATGACGCACCTTTCGCAGCTGGGGCCGAGTGTCGAGATGGGCGAGGGCGTCTGAAACCGGGAGATTGACGCGGGCAGCGAGATGGAAACGCAGCGCGACAGGGAGGTGGGAGGCGGGCCAGGTACGGAGGGCGGTCGCCGGGCGCGTTTGTGATGGCGAGGGCAGCAGGACGAGTGTTGTGCTCTTCAGCCGCCGGACATGGCGTGTCTTCGGGCCGTGGTGCGATTGACGAGGCTGGAACGGCAGCAGAGGCGGCGACGCAGCAGCGGGCGCCAGAAGGGTGAAGGGCGGGCTGTTCGAGGGATGATGGAGGAGCTGCTTGCTGATCGGACTGACAGCGGCAGAAAGGCTGGAGGCTGCCAAGCCGCGAAAGAGGCTAAGGCGCGATATGCTGCAGCGGGCGGCCTCCTGGCGGGCGCCCTCGTTACATTAGGCGGAGAGCGAGAGATAACCAGAGGCCGCAATGATTGAAGCGTGCACGGCAGCGTCCGCATGCGCCGTGGCATATCTCTGGCATATCTGCACACCTGCACCCATCCCGGTGCCTGACGCCCATCCCTGGGATCGAGGGTGAGGGCAGCACTGCCAGCGCCCCTGCGTCACAGTGTAATATGCACCGCACGGCGGCTCACGACGTGCCAGCGCCTGCAGACAGGGCAGAGCACTCTCGCGGCGGGTTCACATGCGCACGGGACTGCCGCTGTCTCTCTAGGTGCCGTCGAACAAGCGCAAGGCACTCCCGAAGCCGTCGCCAGCCCTGCGTGACCTCCGAAAGTCACCTCCTGACAGCGGGACAGGAGGCAGCGACGGCGTGGAGGTCGGTGGTGTCCCATGACATCAGCCTTGTCTCGGGTCGCTCTCCGCACGACGACGTTCTGGGGAGAAAAGGTCCGACAGCAATAAACCTTCACAGCTGGCCCGCTCGCTCTTCCGCTGCGCCACCTTTCCGGATTCTCTCTAGTGACTTTTGTCCGCTCCACCCTCCGAAGAAATCGCGACTCGCGCCAAGGCTTCCGCCAATAGACTCCATGACCTAATCCACACCACGGCCTCACCCCAATCCATGTCTGTCCTGCTGCATGGCTCACAAGCGACCACGGGCCGCCTTCGAGGCAGACCTGCAAGCCCACCAGTCGCCCTTCGTTTTCTACGGTACCCCTCTCCCGCCCCTCGACCCAGATACTCGCGATGATGGATCCTATGTGCCCGTGTGGAAGCAAACTGTGACGGATGAGAGGGGTCGAAAGAGGCTACATGGAGCGTTCACAGGAGGTTTCAGCGCTGGGTAAGGAAGTCCAAAATCTATATTTCAAGAGACAGATCGCTAACGCAACCAGCTCAGCTACTTCAACACTGTCGGCTCTAAAGAAGGATGGACGCCCTCGACCTTTGTCTCCTCGCGGACGAACCGCCACAAAGACCAGGCGAAACCCGCAGAGCAACGGCCCGAGGATTACATGGACGATGAGGACCTAGCGGATGCCGCTGAAGCCGAGAAGCTCCAGACCAATGCTGCCTTCTCTGGACTTGGAAGCACAAACGACGAGCTTAGCTCGCGGGACATATTCACCGGCCTAGGGAAAGCCGACGGAGACACAATGGGAGTAAAGCTCCTTCAAAGGATGGGCTGGAGGCAGGGTCAGGGGATCGGTTCCAAGGTGCGGCGCAAAGCGCGTTTGGACGAAACAACAGGGGCAGACGCAGTGACGCATCTCTTCGCACCGGACAACTCAAGAATCATCACCTTCACGAGGAAAAGTAATCACAAGGGGCTAGGATATCAAGGAGAGGGTCGCTTGGAGAGCTCGGAGTCAACACCAAAACCCACGCGTCTTTTGATAGAGCCAACGCACCACGACCCGTTAGCAGGACCGAAATCCAGGAAGCAAAAGCAGAAATCAGCGCCCAAAAAGAGCGGATTTGGCGTAGGAATCTTGAATGATACCGGTTCAGACGACGAAGATCCCTACGAGATGGGGCCCAAGATATCTTACAATCGAGTCATCGGATCAGACAAGAAGTCGAAAAAGAGCGAAGTTGTTCGACCGACCGCCAAATCTGCGAATCCTCTCGTGACAGGCAGGCCAGTTTTTGTATCAAAATTTGCGTCTAAGCGTGTCACGTCATCTACTAAACGCACTTGTCACGACGGAAGGCTGCCACTGACAGGTTTCATTCTCGCCACTGAACAATTGAGCCTTCAAGAAGCACCAGCGTTTGCTCCTCCCAAGATACCACCGGAATGGAAGTCTTCACGACAACAGAGCACAGTAGAAGCTTCACAGCCGGCATATCAATCTGTCACGGACGCCGCCAAAGCTTCCTCACTCGATCCTAAAGCTCGTGCGGCCCTACTCGGCGAGGCGGCACTTCCTGGGAAATCCGTGTTCGACTACCTCAAACCAGAAGCGCGAGACCGGCTAGCATCAGCATCCGGCAAGACCAATCTCCCCCAAGCACGAGGCGAGGCGCCTCCCGAAGGCTTCAGGAAGGATGCTGCAACCACACAAAAGGATCTGTGGAGCCTTGTTCCTGAACTACCAAAAGATATTGCTGCTGCTACTCTAGCGAAGGGCGCCGGAGGCTGGATGCCATACGCCGATGACGAAGGAAAAAGGGCTCGATACGTCCGGTTCCTTGAACTTCGTGCCAGAACAAGTGGCCGTATGCCTGAGCGCAAGCCTGGAACAACAGTGTCCGACTGGGCGAAGGAGCTCCAGGAATTCGTCCACGCGGCCAAAGTGTTCAAACCGATTACGGGACTCATGGCTTCCCGGTTTACCTCATCGAGTTCCACCATCCAGCCATCCAGCTCGTCGAATGGAGGTGGGGACAAACTGCTGCATACGCCAGCCCCGAAGCCCCAAGATCCTGCCGAGGAGGCTGCGAAATTAGGAATGTATGGCCCAATGACTCGCACCGTGCAGCAGTTCTTTCCTACCAGGCTACTCTGTAAACGCTTCAACGTGAAGCCCCCGGCTCACGTGCAACCGGATCCCTCAACAGCACACGGCGACCAGGGCGCTTCCAGCAGCGCGAGCAGAACGCAAGAGCCTGTGTCGAAAGCGTCAATTGACGAAATAATGAAGGATGCAGCACTTCACAATCCCAATCTGGGCCTCTTGCCTGGTGATGGCGCTGAAATATCCAGGACAACGCCCTTCAAGGAGGCAGTAATGGACGTAGAGCGGAATGAGGCGCTGGAGGGCGAGAAAGCGGGCGATGCTGTGTTCAAGGCAATCTTCGGCAGCGATGACGAGGATGATGAGGATTGATGAGACGAGTATGTAGGATATACTTCGATTGGGCGACTAATACATTCAGGCTTTGCAATCCTGTTTCGCTACCTTCCATTCAAAGTGCTCGACGTTGACTTAGATACGTACCGTCTCGTAATCATAGCTAACTGCTGTGAGCGGCTGTTTGATGGTTAAGTCAATTGATCACCTTGGTTAAAGTGATACTAGAAACATTCAGAAATCCTACTAGATTCTGAGTTTGAAGTAGGATTCGTTGTTGACAAGCAGTAATAGGGACAGGCTGGACAAATCGAATACGCTAGAATCTGTTCATGCGTATACTCCTTTAATATCTACCAATTCCGTATTCTCCGGCACGTCAACAGTCTAGAAACCGTTAGACTCCTCTTAATCAGCGACTACTATGCTTATCTATGCTTATATTCTCATATGAATAGAAGGCGGGAGAGGCGGGAGAGGCGGGAGAGGCGGGAGACCGAACGGACAAGCGCGGTCCGCCGCGATTCGTCCTTCAGTCACCTGACCTAGGCCCGAGGGGCTCATGCAGGAACTTGCGGGGAATAATCTTAAATCCTTCGACAAGCCTCGATATACAGTAGCAGATCTGAAATACTTTCCTTGTCTTTTGTCTAGTAATAGTTAAGATTTTCCGATTTTGCTTACAGAGAACTTCTTCGTACGAGGTCTCCGTCGGGTCCGTTGAGGATCTCCGAGTTCATAAAACATCACAGCACCGAAAGGGCGAGACGGTGGATATATCTTGCGCGCCAGCTTTCCATTGAGGTTGATTTGACATCTCTGTTGTAACTCACAGAAGTACCTTTGCTAATCATTTACTCAGCGATTGCAATTCATGATGGGCAGCACGTTCAGCAGGTTCTGGGACCAGACATATTTCATCCCTAAACCTACGTTTACGGAGAAAGATCTTCCTGATCAAACCGGGAAAGTAAGTACAATTCTACTGTGTGTCTGTAAATCGACCTTTCAAGGTCTTCTTGTACTTTACCAAACCATTTATTATCCTTGCGCTGCATGTACCTTGAAGCATCCCCTACTCTTCCCTACCTATCTCCCCAATCCCAGTCATTCTCAACCCTACCAAATTTCCCGTACGCCTCACTCACAGACATCCAGGTCCACCTCATTACAGGCGGCTACGCCGGCCTGGGCGCCGACCTCGCCCGCCTTCTCTACTCCCGCAACGCCACCATCTACATCGCCGGCCGCAACCCCTCCAAAGCCGCAACCGCCATCGATGCCATCAAAGCCGTGTACCCAGATTCCAAAGGCCGTCTCGAGTTCCTAAAGCTCGAGCTCGACGATTTCCGCACGATAGCGCCGGCGGTGGCTGAGTTCCTAGCAAAGGAAGAGCGACTAGATGTGCTAGTCAACAACGCAGGGGTGATGAGTTCACCGAAGGAAGCGCGCGGGAAGCAGGTATGTGTCTCCAATTTTGCTCAATCAAGATTCGGAACGACTTTTTGTGAACGACTAGGGAAAGGATGCCTCCTAACGCGAATCAGGGCCATAATCTCCAAATCGCAACAAACGTGTTAGGGCCGTTTTTGCTCACATCGCTTCTTATGCCGCTGCTTCAGAAGACAGCGGCTACCTCCCCCACCGCGTCAGTGCGTGTGGTATGGGCCGCCAGCTCCGCACTTGATCTCACGGCGCCAAATGGCGGCGTGCCATTTGACGCTGCCGGCGCCCCTCTGACGGACTTCAGGCCGGAGACGCTGTACGGTCTCACCAAAGCAGCAGATGTTATACTGAGTAAGGAGGTCGCGAGGAAGTGGGGAGATAGTGGCGTGATGAGTTTAGTGAGTTACTCTTTCGTTGGAGTCGTCATACGCAATGCTCATGTCGTTTTTCTTCTAGGCCTTCCACCCCGGTAATTTGAAGACAGAGCTTGGTCGCCACACCCATCTCTTCGGGAAACTTCTCATGGTATGATTTCCACCTGCTCCTCTCTGGTTTCTGTTATATGCTAACCTGCGTCTTCGCAGACGCTGATCAGCCATCCCTCTATCTTAGGCGCGTATACGGAGCTTTTCGCTGGCTGGTCTCCTACGGTCACCCCGGATAAGAATGGGGCGTATATCATTCCCTGGGGGCGGTTCGGAGACTACAATAAGGCCTTGGCGGACGCGATCGAGAATGATGCGGGGGGGAAGCTGTGGACATGGTGTGAGGCGGAGACGAAGGCGTATGTGGGTCAGGCGTATGTAGGGTAGGCTTGTGTAATGCTGGAATGGATGAGACACTAAAGGCGCCGGGCTAATTCTCGTTAAGTACTATTTCATAATTCGAGTCTCTGTAAAGGATACAGTCCTATTCTCCAGATTTACATATGTATGCTTTTAGTTACCAAGTACTTCGACGCACTTTGGTGAATCAGGAGGTAAGAGACACCGACTGGTGATTATCTCACTAGGCCAGAGGAAAGTGAAATAGCATTCACCTAGCCAGCCGGATGGCACATTGGGCCAATCAGCGGGCACGCTAAGTACGCGCTAACGTTTGCGATCAAGTTATATTGCACCTACAGCGACTGATCCACCACTTCCACTGTCTACGAACATCTCATCAACCATGGTGTGCCCACTGATCGGGCTGGCAGATGAGCTGCAGCTTACGATCGTGGAGGCCATCCAAGCACCCGACGGCGGTCGCGAGGATCTCGTCAACCTCAGCAATACCTGCTCGACCTACCATTCACTACTTGCCCCGATCATCTTCGACCGAGTCACCCTTCTTAACGACGCTAAGAGTGCGACTTCAGCTATTGCTTTGGCTAGCAGCCCTTACGGTCAATACGTGAAAGAGCTACGCTTCGAGGGATCGCTGGATAGGGATGACTACAATCAGGCTATAAACGTGGACACTGACGGGATCAGCCTACGCAAATTGAGAGAGATGATGCAGGTGGCAAGGCAGAGTGTGTTCCCTCGATCAGTCTACAGGGTCATGTCCAATCTTGAGCATTGGTTCCCGAAACTGGATACACTGACCATTCGGATCGAAGAAGAGAGCGCGTGGCACACGCCATTTCCACGTATGAGCCTGATCAGTTTTTTGCATCACCCAGATCCTTATAGGGCGACCCTTAGGCGACGAAAGGTTGAACATTGGAAGATGCTTCTGGCACAGACATACGAGGCACTATGCGAGAACGAGAACCACAACATCCGGACCCTTCAACTATTCGATCTCGTTTCCAAGTCACCTCCTACATTCTCCGAAGCTAAGTTCCATCGGTTTCTCGAGAAACTCGAGACTTTCAGAATCTCCCTCGTTCCGGCAAGTGCAGAAATCCGCGGCTCCGGGCTCAGTGCGAACTTCACTCGCAACCTCTCTGGATTCTTCCTGGACCATCTGCCTTCGGTTCAACATTTCAAGCTCGAAGCCTCCGAATACAGCGCTTGGAGTGATGAAGATCCTCCGTCTGACTGGACGAGGGACGCGGCACTGCCATTGACCGTTACCCAAATGTCGAAAATCAAGTCAATCAACCTCGCCCACGTTCTTGTCTGCAAGGAAATGATAGCGTTCTTCGTTAGCCATCAGAGCACTCTTGAGCAGATTACCCTTAACTGTTGCTATGCCAGACACGGCAACGCAGCAGATGGACAATGGAGAGATACCTGGGGAAATATGTTCGAGGCTCTCACGGTCTCCGGCGCTACGTTTCTACGAAAGGTCAACATAGAGCCCATACACTGCTCGGATTGCATGGACACAACGGAATCACATCAAAAGGGTGACGAATTGCCGTATCCACGAGCCTTTGCATATGGCCTAATGAACAATACGTACGGCTATCTAGCAAGCCTTTTGGTCGCGCGGGAGAACGATCAGGTATGGTACAGTGCGTTGGAGGAGCTCATCAGAGGCAACAGGGCTAGAGACAAGCGTTAAATGAACGCCTGATGATGGCCTACCAAGATGGATACGACGGTCTGTATACACCTGTCTGCCGCTCCCGGGCAGCGATGAAGTACTCACGAACGACATTGGCGCATTGCTTATCACCGACTTAATACCTCGCCCGACCTGCCCCAAACAGTGACGGAGCGGCGTACCAAGACTCATGGCAAGGCACAGTGCTGGTTTTCTCTTTCTCTCCAGTCAGACTCTCCTCAAGAGGCGACAGGCGTCGATGGACCCTTCAAGGGGCTTATCAAAAATAAGCATTAGGGTATCCCTAATATTCCAATCAACCTCCAGCAAACTGGTAGACTTACTGATGCAAATCAAATCAACTTTCCTAGGCCTTTTCGCATGACTGCAGTGATGGTGACCCATTCTTGCCCTTTTGCAAAACTCAGTGATCTAGCGCCGCGCCTTGGTTAATGCATTGGTACTTTGCCTAACGATTGAGGTTCCCAACGTAGCTCTAGAGTTGCAGGACAGTTCCACCACTAAAACGAACCCAGATAGGCCGAAGTGAATAGCCGGAAATCAGTGCTGCCCTGTTTAGAAGTGCATCGGAAATCAGCACCTAAGGCGATTGCGTTAACGCTCGCATACAGAAATATGCGAAGATAAAGGAACACTTGTATAACCATATAGAAACATTCCGTCTCTTTATGCTCAGACCAGTATAAGAACGACGCGTAGGTTGCCGCGGGGCGGTATCTCGGTTAGTGTATACGTCTTCGGCTTCTAGACTTATCTCATCTTCGCGCTTGTATAATTCCTGGATCTTGTGGGGTATATCATGCTCGATAGGACGGATTTCTAGAGATTTTCTGCTCGCTTTCTTCACGCTTTTGGGCATGTGAGTCATGTGCCTCAGTGTCTCGGCGGCGAGCACGATTTCCTGGAAGGTGAGTGGCTTGTGAGTGGCAGCTTGCGAGTAACAGCCAGCGTAACTACTGTAGTACCCGGGGGTATATTTCGTGCTTGGGCTGTGCACGACATTTACTAGTATTTTAAAGACACCAATCGCAACTTCTGTTATTATTGTCTGAGCATTTTGATACATCGAAACAGGGCTGTAATCGGTGTCTTTAAAATACTGGGTGAATGTCGTGCACGGACCACACACAAAAGATATCCGGTCACCATAGTACACGTGTTTGAAGATTGGTGAATGTGTCAAGTAGTGAGGGCAAATCCCCGGGCACACATAAATATCCGTTGGATTCCTCTCTCACTTACAGACACACACCCACTCTGTTTCCACACCCACTTCTTCGCATCGACCCACATCTCCCCGTCACAACACCATTCCTCATCATGATCACGGATCTCCCAGCGGAGCTGCAGCTGATGATCTTCGATGCCATCAAGAAACCTGACAAGCGCAATCCGCGACGCCGACGTCAGGCTCTCGTTAATCAACGGGGGTACTCTAAGCATTCAGAAAATGCAGCGAGACGCGCTCTTTTCAATCTCAGTCTGACTTGTCGAAAATACCGGTCGCTTCTTGTTCCCACCCTCTTCGACCGAGTCACTCTGCTAAACGAGACTGATAGTGCGGCATCGGTTGTTGGCCTAGCCACTAGCGAGCTCGGCCATTACGTGAAACATTTCCGATTTGAAGGTTCTTTGCAAGGAGAAGAGTACAAGATGGCCATGCAGCCCTTTGCTCCAGATATCAATGAAGGCTCAGCTGAGAATCTCGACAAAGTCATCGAGGCAATCCTACCCACGCCAGTTCATAATATCCTATCCGATCTCCACGATTGGTTCTCGAATCTGGAAATCGTGAGGGTTCACTTCGAATACGATAACTCCTGGGGTACGGACCGTTTCAATTATCCGGGAGGCTTGGTCCAATCCGTGTTATTTGCAGAGACCAGCTCAGAACCTGCTATGGTAGTGAAATTGGCAAGTTGGGAGATACTCATGACCAAGGCATACGAAGCTTTGTACCAAAACAAGCACCCTATCAAAAGCCTTCACCTCCAGGACCTTTTACCGGGGCTGGTGTCTACTTTCGCAACGCCGGACTTCCATAAATTTCTCAGCAGGCTTGAAACCTTCAAGATTTCTGTGTCTTCTTCCTATAGCGATGACCGCTTCTTCGCCAAGCGTTCAGGCGGCGATTCCAACTTGTATAAACAGTTCGGAAATCTATTCTTCAACCACCTGGCTTCGGTCAAACATCTCACCATCAAAGCCGGCCTAGCTCGTCGTGAGTACGACAATACGTACCCGTCGACGGTGCCCTTTGCTACTACGCAGACACCAATGCTCAAGTCGATCCGAATACAAGGCATTCTGATCTCTATGGCTCTCATCGACTTCCTCGCGAATCATTGCAACACGCTTGAGCACGTGTTCTTCGACGACTGCGTTGCTGCACATTTCAATTGGGCCACGCAGAGCTACTGGACTAATACCTGGGGTGAACTGTTCAAGGCTCTTGCTGGCTCTGATTGCAAGAGCTCAACTCTCCGAAAACTTGATATCACGCCTATCAAAAGCTCGGAAATTGTAGGCCCGACAACTGTGGTTGACGTGAGTTGCGAGGAAGAGTTATTTACGCATGCCAAGGCTGGGATGTTCGTGTATGTGGTCAGTCGCTCACCGTGGCAGTTCCGGAGGTTTATCAGGCGGGATGATATGAGGTGGTACCAGGCGGTGCGCGAGGTTATCCGCGCCAATAAGGGGAAAGGGAGGCGCATCCTTTAAAGGCTCCATATTGGAAGCCACGTGAGCAATGCTACTATAGCAGGCGTTTGGCGTTCGGCGGGCGGGATTACTCTCAAAGCCATATCGTTGATCTTCAAAGTCTTCTTAAAGTTTCGGTGTCTGCATTAGTATCTTCTTCGTTCTTCGCAACGTGTGTGGATGTACCATCCGAAAAACTGATATGGCCCACATCGTCAACCGTGGTAGCTAACGTGACTCGCAAGCTTCGCACACACCTAAAACTTCTCTCTTCCACGTACACGACACAGCAGCCTCTTGAAATTCCAACTTACTACGCTTCACCCTTTTCCCTCCAACTTACCAATAGCGGCTATAGGATGCCTCGAAGACCTACCAGATGAAATAAAACTTCTCATCGTCGAGGCCATCCAAAACCTCGCCGAGACCGAGAAATAAGGCCGCCAGACGCTTCTCCGCCTCAGCGGTACTTGCTCCGCATTCCGCTTATTTCTCGCACCTGCTCTCTTCGATAGAGTTACACTTCGCAACGAAAGAGAGACCGTGGCCTCGGCACTCGCTTTGGCCAATAGCCAGTATGACCAGTATATCAAGCAGTTACGTTTCGAAGGATCGATAGATCGGAACAATTACACTCCTGCTACTAAAAATCTCCTCACCGACGACACGATATTCCCATTGCAAGTCAACCACGTCTTACGCAAGCTCCATAGACATTTTCCGGATCTGGACACTTTGAGAATTCGATTCGGCCTCCGGCTCCTGGATGACCCCACTCTGTATTGGAACAGTCGATATGGGGAGAAGGAACGGGCTGATGGGAGACTGCTGATGGCGCAAACATATAGAGCGCTGTGTAAGAACAAAAAACATCAGCTTAAGACGCTTCAGCTTGTAGACGTCCCGCTAATAGAACTATCCATCTTTACTAGCAAAGAATTCCACGACTTCTTGGTGCCTATCGATACCTTTCACCTCAGGCTTGGGAAGTATCCAAGCTCCCTAAATAGTTGGGGATCTATCGACACATGCCCGACCTTAGAGAGAATGACGACGATTTCTGTAGAAAGCTCCCGTCGTTCTTTCTCGATCACCTGCCATCGGTCACATACCTTCGAATCTCAACATGCCACGCCGACTGCTTCGTCTCTCGACAGTATCATTGGTACAATAACAGCCAGAAAGAAGAAAAAGACACGTTACCTTGGGACGTCTTCTCCCTGCCGAAGCTCAAAGCAGTCCACTTTCATGGAATTCTTGTCTGTAAGAAGCTTCTAGGTTTTTTTGACGCTCACGAGGACCGGCTTGAACACATCACGTTCAGCGAATGCGTGGCGGTGGATGTAATCGAATGGGAATGGAAAGAGACCTGGGGAGACATTTTCAAGGTACTCGCGAGCGCTGAGGCTCCGCCACTGCAATATCTTGAAATCAGTGCCATTGAGGGCCCGGTACGACTAGAGGCGGACTTGGAAAGCGTGGACGTCACGAAATTGCCTGAGGCCCGGGGATTTGCCTATATTAGTGGTAACAGGGAGTTAAGATGGTCTAAACGACACGGTGCTCTTTATCCAGGGGATACGCGTTGGCACATGGAGCTGCGAGAGATTATCAATGAGAACAAGATGAGGGGTGAGCGATCGACTAAGCGCCTTTGATGAGGAGTTCGCGGGAAGTTCTCCTTCAGTCCTTAGACTAGTAGAACTTGTTAAACCATACATGCAGCGGATATGGCAGTGAAGACCCGGGCGTCCACCTTTCCATTATATTTTGTTGTGAACCGTTACGGCCAGTGTCCTCTCTGCGCAACAAGATCAGTGGTGCTGTGGCATCAATTCAATGCAGCTTCGAGAAAGAGATTCTGATGAAGTATAGACACTCTAAACAACATTCGAATTGCACAACGAATTCATCGTGGTGATGGCAGATAAAGTTCGTGAGCCGTGATGTCGATAGCCCTATTTTCACCCTAACCTATTCCTTTCTAGCGTTCTTCATTTCTGTCAACACCAAAACGCCATTCCGCGATCTTCGAAACACCCGCCTCAAGCCCTAAGTCCCCGCGATTCCCTTTGCGATTGAGCCTCATCGACCTTCCAAAGATAGGCATCATCCCGTCTGCACGAAATACCGCTCATGAACCATGTAACGCTCGCCTCAAGCCCTCCGGTTGCGCGAGATTGCTTCCGCCATCGCGGATCGAAGACCTTCTGAAGATGGACGCGTTCCCGCTCTGTAGCGCAGCCGCTCCCGCGTTGACGCTTCGGAGGTGTTCCGACATGGAGAAGCGTATTCTTTCCAATGTTCTAGAGCCGCCGGGGGTGCGGCGGAGATGGCTAGCTGTGGCTCTCCCATGAAGCTTTGATCTGGATTTCGATTCAATCGAAACGGCTAGGAGAACGCGCTCCTCTCCTCGATTCCCATCTCATTTCTTGCTTTACAGCGTACGTTTGATATAACATGGCGTTCAGATCCAATCTTTCTTCGAACACTGCGACTCGAGCTTCTTTCAAACTATCATGCATTCGTTCATCATCTCATTACTGGCCATCTCCAGCTGTACCGGATCTGCTGCAGCAGTGGGGGTAGTTGGCTCTCCAGTAGGATTTGCGGCCGGAACGACAGGCGGCGGTTCTGCAACTCCGCAATATCCAGCCGACATCGCGCAGCTCACGGCGTGGCTCACGGACAACGTCCCCCGCGTGATTGTATTGGACAAAACGTACGTTGTGCCTACTTATTGCGTCAGTCCTTCTAATCCATACGGTATTAACAAAATCAAGCTTTGACTATGTTGGTAGCGAGGGTACTGTGACGGGTGCAGGATGTCGACCAAGTTCAAACACATGTCCTGGGCATGGCGGGCAAGATGCCATCAATGCAAACAACTGGTAGGTTCTTCTATATGGATGGGAGTGCTTGGCTAATGAAGTAGGTGTGATGCTTCCTATCCTAAAATTTCCGTTACATACGACAAAGCTGCTACTCAAGGTATCAATGTTGGATCTAACAAATCGATAATTGGAGAAGGGAGAAAGGGTGTCATTCGAGGGAAGGGACTTCGAATTGCGAACGGTGCACGTAATGTGATAGTCCAGTATGTGAGCGCTGCTAAATCTCTGCTATCGCCGTGCTGACTCTTGCAGGAACATTCACATCACATACCTGAATCCCCGGTACATTTGGGGTGGGGACGCCATCACGCTTGCCGGCACAGACCTTGTATGGGTCGACCACGTGAAGGTATGCAACACGCAATTCTTTACGTATTTCCTCACTCCTGGTCTACAGGATCATTTCGACGTTTCTAAACCGGTCACCAGATTTCTCACATTGGCCGCCAATACTTCGTATCTGGGTACGCGCCATCCAATCGTGTTACCATTTCTAATTCTGAATTCGACGGCATCACTAAATGGTCTGCGAGCTGCGACGGACGTCACTACTGGGGCATGCTGCTGCTGGGGTCGAGCGACCGGATCACGTTGGCTGGAAACTACATGCATCATATGAGTGGCCGCAGCCCAAAGGTCGGCGGTAACACGCTACTCCATGCAGTAAGTTCCATGTTTCAGCTTTTCATGGAATCCTGCACCCCGCATCTGGCGCCTACGTTCCTGAAAGACCTAGCCGCTGATCCTTTCTGACAGGTCAATAATCTTTTCGCCGATAACACGGGCCATGCCTTCGACATCCTTGCAGGTGGCCAGGTCGTTGCGGAGGGGAACGTCTTTGAAAATGTCAGAACTACGTTGATGGAACCAGTTCAGGGACGGGTGTTTACGTCCCTGAGTGCCGCTATGAATGCAGGGTGCAAACCCTACTTGGACCATGATTGCGCGAAGAACTTATTGCAAAACAGTGGCAATTTTAATGGAGACGCGACTGCTATATTGGCTAAGTTCTCGGACTACGATAGTCCGCCGGCGCTGTCAGATACAGCGGTGAAGGACAGCGTCCTGGCAAATGCTGGAGTAGGCAAAACTGGGAGGAGGCGGCCGTGGCGGCGAGTACGCACGGCTCACCACTCGAAAATCTGACACGTGGGGTTCGGATGGGGTTGAGGATACAGGGTAGGGTGTCTTTCTGTCAGATCGATCCCGCAAGGAGTACGCCTAGCCAATATTTTCTCAAATCTTTTCAGTGCTCGCTCTATCCCTTTAATATGCTCTCCCACGGAGGTCGGACTCGTTTTGGGTGCCTATAAATAACTTTGAAACGATATCACTGACCGTTTTCAGTATACCCTTGCGCCGCACACATGAGCTCCTGCGGGCGGAATAGGCTACAGAGGCGTCAATAAAATCTCCAATTATGATGCTCGAGAACCCGCCCGTCCACGTTACGACTGCGTCTGCCATTAATCTCATTTGTTGTGGTTGGTTTCATCATGCTAAAGCCAATGGCATCCTTCACTTGACACCACCAAGAGCCTCAGGATTTCAAATACACCCAGGCGGCGATAGCTATTGTCTAATGCAGGTAGGAGGTACTATTCGCCCCCTTCTTTCCACGCGCGGTTGTGATGTAACATGCAGTCTACCGTCCCGCAAGACAGTGATTGCTCATAGACATGGCCCACTGCATGTCGTGGTCACTGCTATCTGGTGCCTTGCGACATGCCAAAGTGGGAATTTTGCCCCCTTCGCAAACCTCGTTGGACTCGGACATTTTGCGAAGCTGTTGCTTGTAATCGCCAGCAAAATCCGGATGTTGAACTAAGTATCGCCGATGCTGACCGGTGTGCCGGCAACGGCCGTGCTGTACTATTTCTGACGTATTTCTGACGTCGGGGCGAAGATCGGGCGAAGATCGGGACGTGCCAACCTTGATGCTGCTGCAGGGACCATTTTTGCGGGTAAAGCAGCAAAGTGGCTGATCGAGCCCGCGTTCCTGGACTAGTGCAGACCCTGAATCATGCAGTGTCTCAATTGGAAGAGTTTGGGAACTCAGACGTCGAAAAGGAAGCGCCTGGAGGTCACAAAACTCCAATTCGAAGGTGCCGATCTGCAGTTAGAACGCTTCGAGATGATCATCCCGGGGTAAAGAGCCGTTAGATTCGCCAATCGGTGGTCACAGCGAGAGTGGAGCTGTGGAGCTCTGGAGCGCGACACCAGCTAGGCATCTTGGATTCTCGGAACCGACGTGCCTCTTTAGGAAAACTCAAAATCCACAATTTTTCTATGGTCTTCATCGATGTGCAACTGTCTGTTCACGACTCAAGGTAAATGTCTCTTCTTTCTGACCAAAGAACACAGTTAATCAACTTTTGACAGGCTGGTGTTGGCGATAAAACGCCAGACAAAAGCAGTCGCATGTTTCGAATAAGATCTGATCATGGGTTTATTGATACCCTGGAATATTGAAGGACCAAACCCCTTGCCATCCAGCCCTAGGCATGTGTCTGCATAAGCCGCCGGCGGTCAATGCCATGAGAATGCTCTCACACCCTCGTATCCTGCACTATAGCGCGACATAGTACATTTGCACACTAGCTGAAACTTGATCAGGGTCTGGTACGGCCTCTATCGCAATCCTGCACGAGTGTTCTGACATGACGTCCGGGATCTACCTGGATCACCTGCGACTGACCCCAGAGCGGACTGATTCCTGCATTTCGCCTCTTAAGTTGGTGTTCTAATTTGTGGATCTCTATCACTGAGTGGACAGAAAGAAGGCTTCGTGTGAATGGATGTAAGATACTCGGTGCTCAACGCGAAACTTGATCATGGACCAGCACCAATGCTCTACCCTGATACTCAGGGTCTCTTTAGACCCACTGTGACGAGCCCTGGGGGAACGGGCACATTCCTGTTTCCAACGACCGGGAATGATTCCCTGGTTCCCATGGTCCATATTCCTGTGTATGTCCTTATAAAAGCGTTCCGTCGGGCTGTTTCCCTTGGCCAGTGCATTTATCAATTCTCCGGTTCTTATCTTTCGTCATGTCACACCCAGCCGCCATGCCTGATATCGAGGAGATAATTGCGAGGTATGCTTCACGGAGTCCAACACTGACGGTGTCTCCAACCCATACGACACATTCAAGATACTCAGAGGATGCAGCTCTGGTCAAAGACACTGGCAAGAATGGAACTCTACACTCAGACCTCGAATCCGCAGCCAGAAAAGAGTTCCTCCACCCAGAATCACAGCCTCTCCCACAGATATTGGTGTCAGCAGAGCCGCAAAGCAAATCAAATGAATCAACCCGGGAGTCACGGCAGGATCATCTTTCCCCGAGCTCAAGTTTTTCTCCTAGGCTCTCACGTCGAACGACCTGGGCCGATCTCCCAGATCTCCCTGAGGATTCCTCGAAGCGACCTATATCGGAAACTCTTCGGAGACTCACCCGACGAGACACCTGGCAAGGCCTCGATGAGAGTGTTGGACGTGCGTACCAACCCGAACTCGACCTCAAGGATGAGCTCACTCTTACCGATTCTTATCGTCAAAGGCCTGTTGCGGAAACCATCAGGAGGCTCTCGCGACGAGTCACGCTCGCAGACCAACTTGATACTGCTGAAGAGCCACAGTGGACATTCGAACGAAAGCTCCGAGCCGCAGTGGAAGGAATTAGTGGGAACGACAGCACGGGGCTATCGCCTCGTATTTGCATGCGATGGAAGAACGTCAAGGTCTACGGAGAAGATGTTGGTTCCAGGGCACAGAGCGACATCTCAACCGTGATCAGCGACTTGTACAAGTCTGTCCAAGGAATTTGGCGTAGGAATCCCCAGAAAGAGATACTACACGGCATAGATGGAGTGCTCAATGAGGGAGAAATGCTTCTAGTGCTAGGCGGGTAAGATGAAATCCTATGTTGATCTTTGAGATCGTATAATAACAGCAATATCTAGGCCAGGAAGCGGTTGCACTACTCTTTTGAAGACCCTCGCCGGCCATCATGGTGGATACAGCAAGAAGAAAGGAGTCATCCGCTGTAGCGGCATCTCCATTACGAAAGTCATGGAGCGTTTCCGCGGAAGTGTCGTTTATAATGGCGCGGTTGAGAGTCACTTCCCCGAGCTCACCGTTGGTCAAACACTCGACTTTGCTGCGAAGACCAAAACGCCCCATCGGCGCATCGACGGGATTTCGAGAGCGGAGTATGCGGCCAGGATAACGGACATTATTGGGACTGCCTTTGGACTTCGGCACACCTTCCAGACCAGGGTTGGGAATGACTTCATCAGAGGTGTGTCTGGTGGAGAGCGGAGGCGAGTCACTATTGCTGAAATGGTAGGCTTCTCATTTCATCTACCAACCGCTAAAATTGGCTGCGAGTCATTGAACTGACAATTCACAGCTGATGACTCGCGCCTCCGTCACATGTTGGGATAATCCGACCCGCGGTCTCGACTCTTCAACATCTCTAGAGTTTGCTCAGGCACTGCGGGTAGCCACCAACTTGACTGGTAACGTCTCTATCTCAGCATTGTACCAGCCCGGAGAGGCGCTAGCAGAGATTTACGACAAAGTCACCCTCCTTTACCAAGGCTACCAAATCTGGTTCGGCGAGATCGACGATGCTCGAAAATACTTCACGGAAATAGGATTCGAAGCCCTCCCTAGGCAGACGACCGCCGAGTTTCTCATTTCCATTACTGACCCAAAGTCTGCGCGGGTGAGAATGGGCTATCAACATCGAGTGCCTCGCAATGCGGAAGAATTTGTGAAAATCTGGAAATCCAGCGCCGCTTATAAACACATGCTGACTGAGTTCAACGAGCAAGAGCAACGATTTCCCGAGGATGACGAAGAATCTTATCAGCGCTTGAAAGACCATCAAGTCGTGGAAAAGACACCATTCACACGAAACCATTCCGCCTATACCCTCAATCTTGGCATGCAATTCCTCATCACGCTGAATCGTGGTTATCAACGACTTGTAGGCAACTGGATCTATTATCTCGTCATGACTACCACGATGGTGGTCATACCAATCATCATCGGAAGCATGTTCTACAACATCCCAGAGGATGCTTCTGGATTCATCTCCAGGGGCGGGATGATATTCTTTTCGCTCCTCTTCAACGTCATCATCAATTTCGCTGAAACTAGCGCCCAATTTGCGCAGAGACCTATCGTCGAAAAACAGAACTCCTACGCCATGTACCACCCTTTTGTGGACTCACTAGCCACAGGGGTCGTACAGTACCCCCTGAAGCTTTTCAACATCGCTATGTTCAGCGCGATTGTCTACTTCGTTGCCCATCTAAAACGGGAGGCGGGTCCGCTTTTCATCTTCATGGCCTTCACTTATATCATCTCCATATCAATGACGGGGTTGTTTCGAACAATTGCGATTTTCGTCAATTCCATGGAGACCGCGTTGGCATGTACAGGTCTGGCTATGCTTCCGCTGGCAATATACAGTGGCTACGTCATCCCACGCCCTTCGATGCATCCATGGTTCAAGTGGATATCATGTTCGTCCAAATTTCTCCCATTCATGAAAGTCTACTAATTTCAATCGTTTCCAGACATCAATCCAGTTTACTATGCCAACGAGGCTCAAATGGCCGTCGAATTCCACGGCCGAAGGGCTCCATGCACAACGCTCGTTCCCTCTGGTCCTGGGTACGAGCACGTCAAACTTGCAAACCAGGTCTGCGCGGTGGTCGGCGCGAAGCCAGGTCAGGCCTTTGTTTCTGGAGACGAATATGTCAAGCTGTCATTCGACTTCGAATACGCCCACGTCTGGCGGAATCTGGGCGTCTGCATCGCCTTCTTCGTCCTTTTCACCATCACGTCGGCATTAGCGGTTGAGTACAAGAAATCAGCCTCCACGAAGAGTGAGTTCTTAGTGTTTCGCAAGACTACCAAGGTGTCCTCGAAGGTCAGTGGGAATCCTCGCAAGCGCGACATCGAACAGCCCCATCGAGGCGTTGAACTGGACGTCATCACGGAGGAAAAGAGAGAGTCCATAGCTATCGAGAGAAGCGACGATATTTTCTGCTGGCGCAATCTATGCTACGACATTGAAATCAAAGGGGTTCCCCGTCGCCTCTTGGACAACGTCCAAGGTTTCGTAGAGCCAGGTGCGTCTTTGATTACTTTCGGTTGCCCTTCTTGACAAAGATCATGTAATTGACATTTTGCTAGGCACCCTTACAGCCCTCGTGGGAGCCTCCGGAGCGGGCAAAACTACCCTCCTCAATGTCCTTGCGCAGAGAGTTTCTATGGGAGTTATCTCTGGTGATATGCTGGTCAACGGGTCACCACTCGACAAGTCTTTCCAGCGGCGAACTGGCTACGTTCAACAGCAAGACGTCCATCTTGCGGAATTGACCGTTCGGGAATCATTCCGCTTTTCTGCGCTTCTACGACAGGGCAAGGAAGTCCCAGTTTCTGAAAAGTACGCATACGTCGAAAATATCATCGCAGCATTGGGAATGCAGCATTACGCTGATGCTGTAATTGGAACCGCCGAGGAAGGCCTTAGCGCGGAGAAGAGAAAGCGCATTACGATTGGGCTGGAGCTCGTTGCTAAACCAACTCTACTGCTCTTCCTCGACGAACCCACCTCAGGCCTGGATTCCCAATCAGCGACATCGATCATGAAGTTTCTTCGTGAACTTGCAAATGCAGGGCAGGCGATTCTCTGCACCATCCATCAGCCGTCCGCTACATTATTTGAGGAGTTTGATCGTCTTCTTGTTCTTTCTAGAGGAGGAAAAACGGCATACTTTGGGGATCTAGGGCAGAACTCCAAGATTGCCACCGATTACTTCGAAAGACATGGAGCCCCGCCTTGCGAGCCCACCGCAAATTCAGCCGAGTACATCTTGGATGTGGTTGGTGCTGGAGCAACTCAGACGGCGATGGCAGACTGGGCAGAGGTGTGGAAAAGCTCACCGGAGTGTGCTGCTGTGACTTCACGAATCCGAGCCATCCGAGCACCTAGACTCCAAAACAAATTCCAAGGAATAGACAGCAAATTCCAGTTCAACAAACGCATAGATCCGGACGGAAAAATGGAGGCCGACAAAACGACTGATTTTGCAACATCCTGGTTTACTCAGTTCTTCGCGGTGCAAAAACGTTGCTTCCAACATGCGTGGCGGTCGCCGGTTTATCTCAACAGCAAGTTCCTCATCAACTTGTTCGGGGGGCTCTTTCTCGGTTTCACCTTTTACCAAGAAAACACGTCAATTCAAGGACTCCAGAACAAGACCTTCGCCGTCTTCATGATCCTCCTTCTCTGTCTCATTCTCATCGTGCTTCTCCAGCCCCGTCTCCTCGTCATTCGCGACCTCTACGAAGTCCGTGAGCGCCACTCAAAAATGTACCACTGGACCACCTTCGTCATCGCCAACATCATCGTCGAAATCCCCTTCAATTTTGTCATTTCTTCCGTCGGCTTCATTTGCTGGTACTTCCCTGTCGGCTGGTACCGCGACTCTGCAGTCACTCCCGGCCGCGGCCTTTTCATCTGGTTCATCTTGTAAGTTTTCATCCTTCTCTGACCAAACAGTTCGATTTCTAACATCCTTCCGCAGCATGCTCTACCAGATCTACCACACCACCTTCGCACAAGCCATCGCCATGGTTTGTCCCAACGCTGACACCGCCGCCATGATGACAATCCTCTTCTACACCTTCATCCTTGCCTTCAACGGCGTCGTGCAGCCGCTCGCCTCCCTCGTCAAGTTCTGGCACTTCGCGTACTACGTCTCCCCCTTCACGTGGCTCGTCTCCGCCATGATGTCCACCGGCACCCACGATGTCCCTGTCCGGTGCTCTGCCGCTGAGATCAACATCTTCCAGCCGCCGAAGGGAATGTCGTGCGGGAAGTACGCCGGCGCGTTCGCGAATGGTACGATGGCCGCTCTATACAACCCGAAGGCTATGAAGAATTGCGAGTTTTGTAGATTTGGCATTGCGGATGCGTATTTGACCGCTGTGCATATCTCGTATGATGATCGGTGGCGGAATGCGGCGTTCATGGCGGCGTATATTGTGTTCAATATTTGTCTGTTTTTCATCACGTTTTATTGTCATGCCAATGGGGTTAAGAGTGTGTTTGGGGGGATGGGGAAGCTGTTTAAGAAGAAGTAGATTGAAGGGGCTTGTAAGCGAGATGGATGGGGATGGTTCGGGACACATTCACGATAATGCTTTATTGACAAATTGTCCACTTCTTCGTTTCTTGGTATTATTCTGAGGCTTCTATGTTTATGCGCCTTTGAGATTTCGCTGACTGGTCGCGTTATCGCCTCTATTGTCTCGGCTACTCTCTTTATCGCGTCGCCTCTATTTCTACACGAAAGTAATGAAATTCTCCGAAGTATGACCTTGACTCCACTTGCTCTGGGAACTCACATGATCGTCACATGTCTACGCTTATGTCAGCGTCACATCTCCGCAGTCTCCGTCTAGCTATAAAGCCTTGTACAGGCGGGTTTTTGATGTTTTCAGCGTCAACCTCGCGGGGAATAGCTGATGGGACCGGTTGGGTGTTGGTAACAGCTTCATGGAGCTGACCACATGGCTGCCTTGGTCGGAGACACTAAGTTGGGATTTAGCTGTGTATCATTTGCACTTGATAATGCGATCATCTACAGCTGAGACGGCGCTATGTAAACTGTCAATGTTTTTGTCAATCGCTAGTGTCTACCGATATGCTGGCTAATATGTTGGATTAGAACAATCACTTACAGCAAGCATTGCTGGTAGCCATCAGGTGTGAATTATACATAATGTCCGGTTCCATCAATGTTCAGACGCTACGGCCTGAAATTCTACATAAATAAAGGAAGCTCTAGCGCTGATAATCATCATCATCCGCTTTCCCATCTTTTTCAATTCGGCGCGAGTTTCATTCGCTCTGTCTTCTCCTTCTCTCTCCTCCCCCGCTCCCGCAGCAAGCATTCTCGTTTCGATGCTGCCACATGGTAGGGGTTCGATGATAGTTTTTACGAAGCTAACGCTGCATATTGCTATGCCTTTCCTGATTCTGAACGTAGAGGGGTTTTAACCCCACCCACGTCATACAGCACGTGACTGTCACATGATCTGGAACTATTATATGTGAAATAAAATGCAATCCAGGATTTAACGCTGGTGACATCCTGTAACTGTGATACATTTAGCTAGCATACCTCAAGTATGTTCGCTTCCCAAGTGCCGCTACATCATCCAAAGCCCGCCAGCTAGACGACTTGACAAGAATGCACCTTTCATGCCTCCAAAGTCTCCGAATAGATCTCGCTAAGGAGATCGAAATCCTTCTTTGTCATCTCTTTGTCGTTCAGTCTGGCCCGCATCCATTCCGCCATCTTTTCCGGAAGCGGCCGCAGCAGATAGACCGTATGAAGATTCTCCTTAGGCGGTTCACTTTCGTCCTTCCATACAAAGCTGATCAGAAGCCTTCCATCACAGGTAAAGCTTGCAACCAATACGACGTTCAGTTGAAAGTCGTTGCTCGTTGATGTGATCACTTCCTCCCAGGCAATATCATTCATCATAGGAAGATGTAGCTTGTCATTCCAGAGCCTGCGGAAGTCGTTCAACTCGGTGTTGAGCGGACTGACTGAAAGATTCGGGATGGACGCGCTAACTACAATATCCCCGCAGTGTACTGTAGTGGTAGTGCCAACTCGAGGCTTCGCTCCGTCTTCAGGTGCCTGTGGTACAATAGTATCGATGCGTTGTGCCATGCTTGGTACTGTGAGAAGCGGGATGAGTAATGACAAGGGAGCTCGCTTGCAGGTTGTCTAAAGGGAGAGAAGAGTCCGTTGAATGGTAAGTTTTCTCAGTCGTCTAGAACTCGTCTTTATACTAGGGCGAGCCTTGGGCGGTCGGTTCTTGATTGCTGCAAGCTTTCCTTCGCATTACGTTTGGGCTGCCTACGGTTTTGCATCTAGAAGCAACCAGAAAACGACAAACTCAGTCTTCTTGCAGCATAAAGAACGAATCTTTGAACCTCAGGAACTTTGGAACGGACCTGATACATTGGACCAATCTCAGATTATCAATAGGTTCCTGTGCAGCAGCAACTCCGAAGCGAACTATTAGGCAACGATGGCACCAAAGAATGAGGGCGGCCAGGGTGGCAGAGAAGGTAACTCCAGGGGTGAGTGCTACACATGCGGCAGTACAGGTCATCTCTCTCGTGACTGCGCTCAAACCGATAACAAGGGGGGTAGAGGTAGGACATGCGATAGAGGCGGAGGGTATGACTTCTCTAGAGCTACAGGCGGAAGCTTGCAAGAACACAATTTGATCGAAGTACCCTGGCCTTGCGACGACGACGACGACTTCAAATCGCGCAGTTACGAGACGTCCCCTAAATCTTTCCGCTTTGGCATCAACTACGACGAAGAGCCTACCGACATCGATGTACATCGTCTCCGTCAGGCGTGGAGTGATCTAGATCTTCGCTTTCCGGCCGAGCACCATTCGGAACATATCGAGGCGTGGCAGCAATTTCTAAACTCACCTGAAGAGGATAAATACCGCCGGTTCAAAGTTATAGTCATCGAAGATTTTACCATGTGCGGGCGGGATTTGCTATTGTTCCATTGGAATAACGAGGGGCTGCCGGAGCATCATCTCCATGTTCTCTTACTGCTTGGTCCCTTTCCAGATGAAATATCGCAATGGATAGAAGCGAATTCAAGGCCGAAGGAGAGGGATGAGAAGTGGTATGATACGATGAGAGACTATTATCTCGACTACTTGCGTGGTGAGTATATTACGAAGGACCTCGAACCTTTGATCACAGGCAGACCGGTAGCTTTCGAAGTGCGGAAGACCGTGGAGCTCTAAGTTATGTAGAGGCTAGCAAATTTGCTTTTTTCAAGTTGAGACTGTAAGGATATGTATGTGTGTGTGACTGGAGCAATTTGCGGCATCCGTGAACTCTATAGCCCTTGAAGTCACCGTCCGTGCCACATCGGAGCCACTCCGGCCCGCTAGCGCAACGCCACACCTTCACGAGACTTCGCGTTCCCACACCCATCCATCTCCACTCCCTCCATCCTTTTTTATTGAATGAAATACGAGATTCGCCAAGCCGGCGTGAAAGGCCTGGGACTGTTTGCCAAAAGCCCGATCGCCCGCGGAACTCGCATCCTCTCCGAACGACCGCTACTCGCTATCCGCCAAGACCAGGAAGTTGACGGCATCTTTTCTGCCACGAAGTCCTTAACTCAGAATGACAGAAAAGCGTTATTGGACCTTTCAGGCCACAGCGGCGGACAAAGTCTCGAGTTTGCACGATGGATGCAGGTGGTGTGGTGGAATGTGAAGAGTCTCGTCAGGAGTGTTCGACACCCTAGTACTTTCACTAGCTCTATCCCATCTCCACGTTCGATGCGAGAGCACATGACTATTTTCAACGTCTTTCGCTCAAATTCGTTCGATTTGGGGGGCGGCGGTAGTATCCAGCAAGCCGTGTTTGATAATGTGGCAAGGATAAATCATTCTTGCCTGCCAAATGCGCAGGGAAATTTTCATTCGACGCTAGGTCGGTTCAATGTCCATGCGTTACGGGATATCAAGAGCGGTGAGGAGGTTACGCTGAACTATCTCCCTGAGCTTGGTTCGCTTGCTGCTTCGAGGGGTAGCAAATTGCAAGAGGGTTATGGCTTCGACTGCGACTGTCCGGCGTGTGATTTGACGACGGCGAGAGGGAAAGCGGGAGAAGAGCGGCGAGCGGAAGAAAGAAAAAGGATAAAAGAGTTTGCGGCTACGGTTGAGAAGAACGCGGAAGGGATGGATGCGGAGTTGAGGATGACAAAGAGGTTCATCAAGCTATTTGAGGCCGAAGGGATTACCGGGAGGGAAGTCGCGTCGATGTGAGTATCAGGCTGAAGCAACAACTTACTTTGAGGTGTCATATGCTAATCTCTTGATAGGTATTTCGAAGTTGCAAAGCTCAACGTGAAGCTCGGGAGACACGACGAAGCGCTTCGGTGCGCCGAGAAGGGATTAGAGCTGGATCAGTACTGCATTGGATTCGACCATCCGACATATGAAAACGGTGTTGAATTCATTACGGCGTTGAAAAGCAAAGCTTGAAGGCTGTATGCTCTACAGATATGTATACCTACGAAGTACACCATCAACTACATACCCAAAGCTAGAAGAGCTGAGGAAAACCCATTCCTCCTATTCTTCAGTGAAGAGATATGTCCATACCTCCCACATTCATTCTCCTTGCCGTCGAATCGCTTAAATCCCATGCTCACTCTTCCACACCCTCAACTCCTCCCTCAACTCCTCCAAGCCTTTGCTCTCATCATCTTGATATTTCGCAAACTTCCCTCCGCCCATCCCATGAATCAATTCCCTCACCTTTCCCACCCATATATCTGACTCCGACCACTGGCTCTGCTTTCCGGTAGACCTCGCAATCATGCGCATATAGCTCAGTACCTGCGGCGCATCCGCCCCCAACATCTTATGTCCTTGTAGCCAGGGCAGAACCTCCCTCGCCGCAGACTCGGCCTCGGGATGTAGTCCGTTATGTTCCAAGATTTGGGAAAGATTAAGCAACGCGCTCATGTTCTTGGTCTTAGCCCCGGAGACGGGGTCGTAGGGTCCATTAGCATACATCTCCCGCACAATCCTTTCTTGCTCTTCCCACTTCTCGAGGTTTTTCGCGATGGAGCTTCGAGCTAGTTTCAACTTCATCCATAATTGATAGTCGGCTCTGTGAAGTGATTGCGGTCTGCTCGTATACTCGCGGATCTCGAGAGTTTCATCGAGGATCCTTTCGAGCCAATCAAGCTTTTCCTCGACTGAGAGCGCATTGTTGAACTTGAATCGCTGCAGGTCGGCCTCGGTGAAGCATTGAAAGAAGTTGCGCGCGGTGGTGTATTCGATGTCGCTCCAGAATGGAGTGTTGGGGACGTCGTGGTCCCAGAGGAATTTTGGGGCGAGGTTTGCGGTGGCGGCCATTTTGAAATATGGGAAGAGAGAGGTATAGCCAGCAAAGGCAAGAGATATGCCACGTTTCTGTTGTATATACTATGTACATTCTGAATAGTGGTTGCCTGAATACTGAGCCAAACATGTAGTCTCCATGGAGATCAAAGCGCTTTCGACACTCCTATTCAATCCTAGCGCCGTTTTGCCATTGGCTGCGGTAAACTTCAGATGATCAGACCTCCATACTCCATAACGTAGAAAGTCATATCAAGTCTTTAACTCGTGAAGTTTTGATTTAAACTCCAAGACGACTTTTGACGCTTCGATATTAGGTTAGTGACTGGGCGTGTGGAACGGACATGCTTTTGAACTCGCCTTGGCAATCGCGTTATTTTCCTTATCTCGCTTCGTTTTCTCAACCTTTCATTTCGTACCGTGGCTCTCATCTCCACGTAACAAGCACGACAGCTTTCTTTCCTTCATCATGTAAATAAGTTTTTCGCATTCCGTTAAAACAACGCTTGCCCCCCGCTGCCTGGCTTAGATTAGCCTTGATGTTGGTGGTTTTTGCTTTTTTCGCCAAAATACCTTTCCAAGGCACTGCTCTCCAAATACAGTCAGACATAAGTAATGGTTCACGGCCACGAGAAAGAGCAAGGAAAAACCCTAGCTCGTACCCCAGAGGACTCCCTTCAAGCAAATGACCCGGACAACCCCTTCAATTGGTCCCCAACAAAGAAATGGAGCGTAACTTTAGTCGCCTGCTACGTAACCTTCATCGTGGGGTTCAACGCGACAGCCCTCACAGCCGCCGTTAACGAAACTAATGCCCAATTCCACATATCCGATGCCTCGTTTCCGCACTCCGTTTGGCCCGTCACGGCATGGAACACAGGCGGTGCTTTAGCTCCAATGGTTGTGCTTCCGATTATGGAAGACTACGGCACAAGACCTGGGTACCTCATTACGTATTTCCTATTTGTCATCTTCGTCATCCCTCAAGCTGTAGCGCAGAACTTCGCAACGTTCATCGTTTGCCGCTTTTTTGCGGGATGTTGCGGAGCAGTACTTCAAGACGCAATGGATGGGATTATTGCAGATATATGGGCGGAGGCTACTCAGCGAAGCTTACCGGTATCGTGCTACGTTTTCGCGCTTCTTGCGGGTGTGAGTATAGGACCAGTCGTCGGTGGAGCGATTATGGAGAGCTTGAGTTGGCGATGGTAACTATTTCTATCGACACGGAGGAATTTTTACATTAGCTTACATGCATCAGGATCTTCTACACCCAACTCGTAATCTACGGCGGCTCCGCCCCCATCGTGTTTCTCATCTTCCGCGAAACCCGCTGCCCCATCATCCTCTCCCGTCGAAAAAAACGAAATCACCAACATCCACCTGAGCTCGACGATGCCAACCCCAACACCCCAAACACTGCCAAACACCCCATCCCCCTCACCGCCCTCAAAGCCTTCCTCGCTAGCAACATCCTCCGCCCTCTCCTCCTCCTCACCACCGAACCCGTCGTTGCCTCCTTCACTCTACTCTCCGCCCTCTCCTACGGCCTGCTCTTCCTCGCCACCCAATCCGTGCCCCAAGTCTACGCCGCCCTCTACGCCTTCTCCGAACCTTCCACCGGCCTAATCCAAGCCTCCATCGTCGTCGGCGAAGTCCTCGGCTTCCTCGCCTGCGCCTCCATCGGCGACCCCTACTTCGCGCGTGCCTCGGCCGGCACCGCGCGCATCCTCGGCGGCCCTCCCCAGCTCCCCGAAGTCCGCCTCTACCTCGCCATCCCGGCCTCCTTCATCGGGCTCGCTGGCGGGCTGTTCGTGTACGGCTGGACCGCCTACGCCGACGTCACATTCTGGGCGCCGGCCGTCGGTCTTTTACTCGTCGGGTTTGGCAGCGTGGTGGTCATGCAGGCGATCATGATGTACATCACGGACGCGTACGCGAAGTACGCGGCGAGCGCGTCGGCGGCGGTGTGCTTTGGGGAGAACATGGCGGCGGCGTTCTTGCCGCTCGCGAGCCAGAGCATGTATAGCAATCTGAGATTTCACTGGGCGAGCAGCTTGCTGGCGTTTGTGGCGGTGGCGTTGAGCTGTGCGCCGGTGGTGTTGGTGTGGAAGGGGCGGGCGATTCGGGAGAAGAGTCCGTTTATGAGGGAGGCGATGGTTGGGTAGTGGGGGTGGGTTTGGGGACTCCATGTGGTTGTGAGCTAGGAAAGAAAGATGTGCGGCTGATTTACAAGCTCGAGAATGTCACATGCTGGGAGAATTTCGAAACCATGCCGCAGTACCTCTTACATTGGCAAGCGGTTGCGGGCTGATATGAATGATGCGCGTCTAATTTGCGTGCATAAGGACGTTGCGAGCTCCTGCGGTCCTAACTTATAGTGGCGATCTTGAAGGTTATCGTCATTGCGCTTGTTCGTGCTGTGTTGTTTGAAGAGCGCTTGGAGTGCTATTGTGGCAGGCGAAATTGGATTTGCGAGAACAGCGGGTGTAAGTCTGCTGAGGCGCCCGAGTCCGGGAATGTCTGAGAAAGGTTGGAGATGATCGGTCCGCCAGCCTATTGTAGCGCTTTGCCACACAAATAAAACACTAACCGACCCTGAGAGACTTTGGATGAAGAAAACTATATGTGCGCCTTAGGGTACTCTTGCCAGCTCTGCTAAAAGAATAAAAAAAGATGTCCAGTTTGCGAAGTTACAGTTGACATCGTGCTTTCTAAGAGTATGCTGGGTCACCCTTGGCTTGTTAAGTGTACACGAAAAATGCTGCCTGATTTAGAAGCTTAGAGTTTCAATAAGCTATCTATATCTTTAATGGTGTGTTGGAGGTCTCATGACGGTGACAAACGTGTGTCCATGAGGTTTGACTCGTGAAAACGCATTGAGGCACCTCAAATAGTGCCAGCCAAGTGGAAGCTTACCTCTGTGGGCTTTCACCTGACGGGGCCGACACGTTTGTGGGTGGCGGACCTTGCACGGCGGGGATGAATATATAACCGCTCGGGGCAATGGCAGACCTGGAATTGTCAGTATAGAGCAGCGAGGCCAATGAATAGGTTTGACTTACGCAAGCCAAACTCGGAATGAGTTTAAGAGGTTAGCCATGGCGACTAGAGATGATGCATGTGCAAGATGTAAAGTGGGGGGAAAGTGAGGAGAAGTGAGAGGGGAGTGATGAGTTGCAGAGTGAAGAGTCATAGAAGGCAGATGTAAAGAGAAGAGAGTGAGGTGTAGAGAGTGGAAGAGAATGAAAAGGAAAGACGGAATTTCTCCGGGAGAGCACTCCAGTAATTTGTTAATCGCATACTTATGCGGCATTGCTTATTACGCACGGTACCTGATGATGTTTTTCGGGAGCGCGGACAATAGATGTCTTGTTCTGGTCAACTATAAATTGGATGCTGGGTATACAAACAAGTTCTCGATATGATACCACAAGGACGAGCTTAATTACCACCCCCCTTTTCTCTTGCTATAACCCGCCCTAGATTTAGCTTAGCTCCGGCCCGCAACAACTTTGTCCTACTAATTCGAAGCTTTAAATCTGCAACACCACGAGAGTGAACTAATAGTTATAGGACGAGCTTAATTACCACCCCCCATTTCTCTCCGCATCACCCCCCTTTTCTCTTCCTACCACCCCCCCTACATTTAGCCTAGCTCCGGCCGGT